TCTTTTGCCATGATCATCATTTATTGATCTATGCATATGAGTTCATATATGTTCACAACAAAATATAATCTTTAACCTGAGCTAGCTAAGCACCTTTTTTTTGTCATGCCCGATGATATTGAAGTGCCTGAGTTCTTACGTAACTGAAATAAGAATAAGAAGCGTAAGTTCACTCCTACGATACCAAAGCCTGGAGACAGAAAGAGAAGGAAGATGGCCGGTCCGGACAGGAAATTAGACTTGATTTAAGTATGAAATTAATTCCATTTGAATAAAGATATCTTTTTCCGCTTCCTAAATACTTCCTATTTAGTAACAGTCCTTTATTATATATCCTCTAAAGTCTTAACTAGAGCTACTACCTGTACTCCTGTTAAACGACAATTGGTAGCATCAGAAACCAAGGAATCATAAACATCATGCGATTTAGTGATTGCTGTCTCTATTTCGCGAAACTTTTTTTTCTGTTTAAGTAATACTTCTGCCTCTGAGTTGAGCTGTGTTTGATTATTCAACTTTCTCTTTGAACGTTGTTGTGAACATATAGAATCTATATGCATATGATGATCTGATATTAAATAAGTCTTCATTTACATACTAAAAATATATCATAATCAATTTACATCAGAAATAGACATAAAAGAACCTCTTGTACTGAATAAGACAAAGTATCTTTTAATAGATCAAGACGTATAACCGAAGTCCATAATTTATATTACAGTGGTTACATTAAGTGTCCCATAAAACTCATTTATAAGCATAAATTAATATATTTTCGTCGTATTGACCTTGTGTTAGTATCAGAAAAAGCACATTTTTTTGCTGGTTACTTCAGTTTCTCTATTTAGTAAGAAATACCATTTTTGAACAACTTAGGTAAAAAATGACGTAGCGTTTTCAAAAAATTTCCTGCAAAACTTGAATACCTTATTTTCTTCTGCGAATAAGCATTCTCAATCGTGCGTTTTCCACATTCTTCGGCAAATTCTAGCACAACCTACCCGACTACATATAAATGCGGCAAGCTTTTCAGAAAAAAATTCCCTTTTCTTCATTCTATATACATACCTTTTCTCCTTATTATCATGCCTTACAGCCTCCCATACGATAAACGAAACAATGTCAAATCTGCACTTTTATCTGGCAAATCGATTCGTCAGGTCTCAAAACTAACAGGTATTGCCAAATCAACAGTTTCTCGTATTAGAAAAGAGTTGCCAGAAATGAAAACTTGCACTGGTACCGGTAGACCATCAAGAGTAGGTCATCTTACGGCTTGTTTGCTACGAATAAAAATCCGAACTGGAGCATTGAAGAATGTCAAAGAAGTCCAAACTTAGTTGTCTGGACAGGGTATTGCTTTGACGTATAGTGGAACAGTCTCTCTGATGAAAAGGGTAGGATTATACTCAAAGCTCAAGCAGAAGAAAATTTTTCTGAGAGTTTCTCACCTTTCGAAGAGATACAAATGGGCCTTAAAATATCGTAACTGGTCCGCAAATGAGTGGAAGAGTGTCGTTTTTACCGACGAGACGAAGATCAATCTTTGGAGATCAGATGGTGCAACATACACTTGGTTACAGCAAGGGTTTAAAGCGAGGCCCCATAACTACAAGCTATTGCTCAAGCATGGAGGTGGCTCTCTGATGATGTGGGGGTACATGACATCTTCCGGAGTAGGATATGCCTCTCGAGTGCTTCAAAAGACAATGGATACCGATTGCTATTTGGAGATTCTAGGGTCGTCATACCTAGATACATTGAAGTATTATAGTATGGATCCTGTCATGAACCAAGCAAGCCTTGTTAACCTTAGCACGCTTGTCTCAGTGTTCCAACCTTTAGTTCCAAGCATCAAGTTACCAGCATCTAGTTACCAGCATCCATGGCATAGTTTTAAGGTAACAATGCCAAGACAAACAATGCCACTTTCCCATGTACAAATGACTCAGTCCTCAGGTCATGAGGTAGAACGCATTGCCAAGCCTCGTCATGTTATGACTTAGCCCCTTCCTCACATATATTCCACGCTACCTCAACATTAGTATAAATAGTTTAGTTATTCTGTCGTTGAGTTACTTCTTCGTCAGTTATATTATCAACTTGTAGTATAATAAATATCTCTATATTCTCTAGCCAATTGATAAGCTCATCTTGCCTATAAAGTATTCTTCGGTCTGTCTTGTTCCTGACATTATAACTGACCAAACAAATTGAATACTTAGATCGTCGATTTGTGTACTCCTCTGCCTGTATAGTCAAAACTTTGAAATCGTATAACTCCGTGGATTCTCAACGTACCCAACCGATTGTTTCATTTCCTTGCGTTCGTAAAAGCCACAATTACTGTCAAACTAAAAAACAAAATTTTTGTGCAACGTTACCTAAAAAGAGAATCATATATTACACAAGTATTTTGAGCCACTATTTCTATTTTGGGAATTTTGTGTAACGTGTCTGTTTGTCTGTCTGTCTGTCTGTCTATCTGTCCAACTTTTTGAACCCCACTTGTATTCTTAAAAAATATTTTTCGCTGCAACGTCAAGCCCTATGGAGCAAATTACCGCCAAATTTCACGCCCTTGAGGAAGCTTTACCTCAACAACTAGAAAATTTAGACCACTATCTGTCTTTGCTCAAAACAGATTTGGATAATCTGCAGAATCTTGTTAATACCAATAATCAAGATTTGAACGAGCGTGTAACCACGAACGCACAAAACGTTTTAGTTGAACTCCAAGAACGCATTGCCCAATTCGGTCTGGAAATACACGACTATTTAAACACCAACGTTGTTTTTCGTAAGGAAAACACCAGCAACAACGCTCCTTTGCCTGCACTAAAAATGCGTAATCCACCTATTTTCACTGGCAAAAATAGTGATTGTGACACTTTCTTCTCTCAGCTTGCTCTGATCTTTGCTTCTGACCCTGCTCGTTTTGTGTCGGATGAGGCTAAAATACTTTACGCAATCAATAATCTGGGGGGTTATGCTTTTCTTTACATTCAACCTTACCTCGGACAATTGGATCAACCTGTCAACGAAAGAAGTACTGTATTGACAAGCTACCATTATTTCAAACATACCATGTTCACTGCTTTCGGAGATCCAAACCCCGAAAAGACCGCTGTTGACAAAATACGTGCATTGAAACAAACTGGTTCTTGTGCCACCTACTCTGCTGCTTTTCGTGCTCTGGCCATCAAAACAAATTGGGATGATTGTGCTTTGATGTCCCAATATTATTTAAATTTGAAGCCGTTTATCAAGGACGAGCTCGCTAAAAGGGACAAAATTACCGAATTAAATAACCTCATGGATGTTTGTACTGAAATCGACAATCGCTTGTATCAGCGACTCAAAGAGAAGCAATTTGGATACCAAGAACAACGCGATCAATCAGTCAATCTACCTCGTCAGTCGGGTAATAAGCCTGTGATGATCTGACATTAAATAAGTCTTCAATTACATACTAAAAATATATCATAATCAATTTACATCAGAAATAGACATAAAAGAACCTCTTGTACTGAATAAGACAAAGTATCTTTTAATAGATCAAGACTTATAACCGAAGTCCATAATTTACATTATTTAATTAATTTAAAGTAGTCTATGATAATAGAGACTCAGTCATTTGCATGAACTCTACTACTACTTACTCCGACATCTCTTCATATATAAATACCTAGAGAATGAAGAGCTAGAAAAAGATATATATATTTTTGGATAATAAACCTATACAAGTTCTAATCGACTTCTTTGTTTTTATCTTCTCTCTTACATCACAACAAACGTCTTTTCGCCTTTTTCTCTAAATGATCTTCAAATTTCTCCATGTACTTCTTATGAACATCAACAGATTGCAAATACAGGTTCACCTGGTTGGCATAGGTTTTTACATACGGGTATCGATTCAAACGTTTGCTAATCTTCGCTAATGAAGCCTTGTATCTTCTTATTGATTGGTCTCCGCTAAATGATATTGTGTCCTTCATAATCAAAGTGTCAAAATTCGTCCATTCGTCTAACTCAAGTTCAGTGAACACAGAGTTTATAGCATGTGCTTTAGAATCTGTCTCTGATATTTTGAAGTTCTTGTACGTGGGTAAATCGCAAGTAGGTTTCTTCATTTGACAAAGATGGAAACAGTTGTAAAGTGTTCCTAGTGTTGGTGCTGCTGAGGTTGTGTGATATTTTGATAATAGAGTTATATAATAAGATGATATAGAGACAAAGGTAGATACTTTGAGACTGTTCTATACAATTTTTATTGTTGTTCTTTTTGATTATAAATTATTCTAGCATATTTATACATGAAGAGATGTCGGAGTAAGTAGTAGTAGAGTTCATGCAAATGACTGAGTCTCTATTATCATAGACTACTTTAAATTAATTAAATAATGTAAATTATGGATTTCGGTTATAAGTCTTGATCTATTAAAAGATACATTGTCTTATTTAGTACAAGAGGTTCTTTTATGTCTATTTCTGATGTAAATTGATTATGATATATTTTAGTATGTAAATGAAGACTTATTTAGTGTCAGATCATCATATGCATATATATTCTATATGTTCACAACATACCCATTTGACCACGGTAAGTAGACGAAACAGGTACTGCATAGGTATGATATTGCTGCCAGTGTGTATGGTATCGGAGTGAGGGCAATAGCCATGTTTCAGTAATAAACAAGAGTGAGCTTGACTGTAACGTGTTGGTAACTGCAGATATTACTGAACGAGGGAGGCCAGTAGAATTCCATATAGTGAAGGTTAAAGGAATGAAAGTTGAATCATAGATAGGGGCGCAATTGGAGTCATAATTTGTAGGTGGGTGCATAGAGGTGTTTGGATTAGTAGTATTCATTTTATTGATCACTGTCTGGTGTGTCACCAGGTTGATCTTGCATTAGGTCGTCAGCGTCAAATTCCTTGTTCAGGAAGGATGTTATACGGAATGTGCCATCTGTAAAAGCTGACTGAGCCATACCCGCAGTAAGCCAGCCGCTATATACAAAATCACGGGCCACTGGCCTGCGAACATGTACACGCATGTATTCCAAAGCACGGATCAAACGTTGCTGATGGATTTCCCTCAACTTTGTTGTGCGCTCCTCGTCACTGGTTAAAGTTTCAAGAAGTTTGGGGTCACGAAGGTGATGATGGTCCAAAGGATTGAAATCCAGGAGTGGTGCAATCTTCCATTTTTCCAAGAGATTTGTAAACTCGTTATAATATCCAACATGGATGCGTACGGCAACAACTCCTCTTGCTGGATAGTGAATATCTAAAAGACGACCAGAAGCAGCGCCCAGCTTGTGCAGCTTATTGCGCATTGTCGAGAGGCGATCTCTATACTTATTTGGCAGATAGACATATTTAAATGCTGGTGCATATTTACCATCTTCGTCTGAAATTGATAGTAATTCATATGGAACAGGTGCTGAAAAGACCTTGGCAGCTGCTTGTCGTTGTTTAGCAGTGGTTCGTTTGGGTTTGTTTGGGGCTGATTTCGTCTTTGGTGCCGATCGAGCAGAGAGCTCTAGGGCCTCCCTCGGTGTTGGATCCCTTTTTTGATTTGGTGCAGCTACCGATGCATACTTTGAGGCTTGTGAGCCCAATGTCCAATTGAATGCAGCAGGGACTTCAAAGTTTCTAGGAGCTGGGGAGCTAATCATTTTAGAATCCGAGTTTTGTTGCAGTTGGATCTCCAATTGGCGGATTTTAATGTTGGCGCTAGCTAGAGCAGCTTCCAATTCTAATTTTTTTCGGGTGAGGTGTTCCAATTGATTAAGGCGTTTATCAATTTGCTCAAATTTTGTTTGAAATAATTGCACCCGTTGCTCAGAATCTCCACTGTCAATGGAGGGCGATGGTGCGATATGGTCCATTTGAGAACACACGTCTGGGAGTGAATCTTCAAAAACACTGGATGAAACTCCAAAGATTGCTAGGTTTGTAACGTCCGGAGATGAGATCAATGGAAGCGAGTTAGGAACATCAGAGGTACCTGGAGTATTGGCCCTAGACCGCAACGCTTTGATCTCCCTTGTCTTAGTGTTATCTTCGCTTGAAAACATATTAGATCGTGTACGCTTGAACAGAAGTTTAGGTGACTTTTGAGTATCAATGGTACCCAAAACTGAGAATATTTTCTTGGTAGGAGGGTGAGGGATGTCGCTTGTGTTAGGGATCGCAGGCGACAACTCGGAAGTGCTGGTTTTAGTTTGCTCCAAAGTATTCAGTGTGCTGAGTTTTGGCTCTGGGTTGTGTTGGGTGTTGTTGTTACTGTTGTTGATTGTGATGATGTTGCTGTTTTGTGTAATTTTGTCGATTGTCGGTGTTTGAATTCAGAAAAAAGTAATGAATAGCGGAAAAAAAAATCAATTGACTCAACACTGTCGTATCCCCCTTCAAATATTCAGACATATCCACAAATAAAAACTATTTCTCAAACCATTTGTCTTTGTTGTGAGATGAAGAGAGAGTAGATATTAAATAAGAGAAAAGGTAAGAACACAGTGAAAGTCCGTTAGAACTTGTATAGGTTTTTATTTCTCCAAGAAATGTTTTACTTTTTCTTCTCGGTCAAAATATTGTTTTGGGTTAGCTTCTTGACTACGGATTGATTTGTTAGATCAGGAGCAATTAAGAGAAATGCCTTTAGAGGAAGTTGTCAGCTCAGCCAATAGTACATGATCTGACCTGAACTTGAATAAACCATTACATATTTGTCAAATGCCAATGCTAATGTCTTTGTCAGCTCTAACTGTCACTTTATGAGGGCCATTAGTAATAACAGAGTCACTGGGCTCATAATCTCTGACTATGAGGATGATGTAGTACTTCTAGTAGAATGAGTGAATGTCAGTGATTATAGATCCATTGCAATTGCCATAGATGTGATCTGGTCTTTTGCCATGATCATCATTTATTGATCTATGCATATGAACTCATATATGTTCACAACATTTTGCACAAAGGAGGTGGTGCCAACGACATTGAGGAGAAATCCGGGAAATGTATCATTATCAAAAGCGGTTTGAGGGAAGAGCTGAAAGTTATAATTGAAGTCGCCGGCAAAAACAAATGGAATTGTAGCGATAGAGTGAGAGGAGGACATATCAAAAAGCTCAGAGAAAGGAGAAAGCTCTAGCAGATAAGTAAAGAAATCCTGTCGATCACGGCTGAATGCTGGTGCATACATATTAACTAACATAAATGAAGGAAAAAGAGAAGAGAAGTGAGATACTATTGCTAGAATTGTTGTATACACAGCATTATTCATCCTTTCTTACACTAGTTATTCCCTGAAAGACCAAGCATTAATGCCATGTATAAATATATCTTTCAATCACAGTTCTATCCGCAGCTTCGATGGATTTCTTCTATCTTAGTTTAAAAATGTTAAAGATCAGACCATCACATAATCACAAATTGACATCTGCATCAATACCAATGGTAGACGAGGTCTGTGCCCTGATCATGTACCCAGTTCTTGTGTACCTTAATCCATTCAACCGATTAGCTAGTGTATACACACTCAGTCCCAAATCAGGGATAATCAATTATCATACAAACAGTATAAATACAATACAAAATATAACCTTTAATAAAGCAGACTTCTTTTGGCCGTTTTGGTTCTAATCGACTAATTGATTTGACCATTTTATTAGTGATTATATCACAAACATTTAATTTTTCACTTTTATTTTATCTAACTTTATTAGTTTATGCATTTTCTTCATTTATCGCTCGATAATTGTCTAGTACATGACATTTTTCCTCGCTCCAGTAAATGAAAGACTTGCGATGAATCAATGCCCATATGTAAGGTATAAAGAACTCAAAAGAATTTTGCTCTTCTTCATATGAGAATTTCAAGACGGGTAATAACTACATAGACTTGTCAGTACACTATAAAGCTACAAATGCTTAATTTACAATCAACTTTTGATTTGACCAAGTACGGGCTGCTTGTTCAACCAATCTGAGCACTTCATTTGAAGATGGTGCTTTGAGATTAGCCTCAGAAACACGGGTATTAAAGTATTGAATTACTTGTTCTAAATTGTGCACTAAGTCAGCTAGTCGAGGATGTGATTCAAAGGGAGTAAATATTTCACGCTTCTGCAATAAGGCATAGACCAATTGAGCATTATGTTTTAGACAGTAACTCAAGGCGGAATTAATAGTTTCTAGCAAGAGAACTAAAATATCTTCATAGACCGAAATATCTATTGTCAGACTTTCGGTGGATTTTATATATCGTCGGGCCAATACTTCAAAAAAGCTACCATCGTATTAGATCTATGTACAATATTGCAGATATAGTTTACCTTATGAACCTTTGAGCAACATAAGCATGCATGTCGTATATTCTATTAGACATGTTGGATAAGATAGCCAGTGCATTTGTATGAATAAACACATCTTTATGATGCGATAGATTCAGCTGGAGTGTACGAATCAATATCAAAATCACCAATCCGCCCAGCGATACTGACTTTAATAATGGTCTTTCAATAAACCATGTAATATTGCTTACAACCTGTTTGTATTTAGGAAACACGATGTATTTGCATCAACAACTTACCACTTTATGGACCGCTTCATTATTAACATCGTCTTGACTTAGTATTAACAAGATGACAAAAAGAACATATACTTGCGAGTAATTAGTCTTTCCTTCCATAGATTCATAAATAAGCCTTAAAATGGGCATGTACTATAGATTGTTAAGCCGTGAAACATAGAATGGCATATAACTTACAATTGTTTCCGGGTCTGTTCTTGACAAGACATAAACACGAAACGTTTCATTTTCTTTAAGAATCAAATAAAACAAGAGCATTCTTTCTTCTATATGCAAAGAGGTACTAAAGATTTCAAACAAGTCTTTGAATGAAATCAAATGCATTTTTCTATCAGGCTCATCAATATCGTTCGATACCACTACATTTTTATGTTAGCCTATGTTGGTATAAGTAAAGATATTTACTATTATGATCACTCAAAGTAGCTAAGGCAAATCGATAAGCTTTCATCCATTTACTATCATTTTCTAAAGGTTGTGTTCCCAACAACAACAAGAGCAGAAGACTGCGATCTGCTACAGGTATGCTATCAGTATCCGACAAGACATTGGTTCTTCCCGAGAAAAAATAATTATACGCAGTATACATGACACTGGATGACTGAGGCGGTGCTGTCTTTTGAGAAATGAGATTCTCTAATAAACGAGCGACTACTGTTTCTGCTCTGTTAGCAAATTTGTGCATTAATACGTGCAAGAAGTAGTTGTTGGTCTGCGATGCTTTGGAATGACGAAGTTGAGTAGAACATAGGATAATCATGGTATTCAAGATCTCAGTATAAAATTCATAGGTTGAATAACTAAAGCTAAGACCAATGAATAAGACAAAAACTACCTAAACATTGGCTTACCATGGATCCATGTTAATCAAGACATACAATAGAGCTTCAACAAGTTGTTCTCCTTGCAAAGAGTTGCTATCCTCAAACTGATGGATGAGCTCTTGATTGGTCAAATTACATGCAAACTGCTTTGTTAATGCATTTGTCAAGAATAACGCGTTAAACGTCTGGATAGGAATGGTTCTATCTCGATTAGGACCCCACATACACATAAAGTAGACTTACTCATGTTGGTTCGACTGCAACTCTTTCAACAGTGAGAGTAAATGAGCCACTAGCCTAGTAAAGTTGCGTGTCCTTGGGTTATTGGCAGCTATAAATACAGATAATGAATATGTCAATCAATTCAGAAAAAATGACTACTTGCCAAGATCAATAGAGAGTCCCAAAGTGCTCATTTCTAGATCGTAAGCACCTTGCCTAATTCAAAATGAGTGTGAAGACAATAACGACCATACTTACGCGCTATAGCAAGCGGCATATTTCTCGAGCGATAAAAAGGACCAGTCGTTTATTTCAACTGCAGAACATAAAAGTCGAATAGCGGCCAGTTGAGAAACTGAGAAATAAGGATGATGCTCAGTAGGTGACTTGGTATGTGCATATTTGTGAGTAGGCGTAGTAGGTGATTGTAGACTTAGACTCGAGAAAGAAACTTCAGAGGATTGTATACGAGGTAATAAAGGAGGGGGTGTTGTTTTATTAGGCTTATTGTTTTCTAACACATAGTTTGATGGTCTTCGTGTAGTTGGTGGAGGTGCGGTTATTGTTTCTGCCAAAATAGAGGGTGAGGGATTCATAGTTAATCAACGAGAGAGAGAGAGAGAGAGAGAGAGAGAAAAGGGAAAAAAGCTATGCATGTTTAGCAATCACACAATTGAAAATCAAACAGCGCTCGTGTTTATTAACTTTCTTATTTTCTCCTTTCCCTTTTTCTTTTTTCTTGTAATTTATAACATGTCTAATAATATTAAAGTTGTTTGTCGTTTTCGACCTCAAAACTCGCTAGAAATAAGAGAAGGTGGTGTTCCTGTGATTGATATTGATGAAGACGGCACACAGGTTGAATTAAAGGTATATATCATTCTTTTGTCGTTATAGCCTTACACTCTCTTCTTTTTTTTCTTTTTTAAGGGCAAAGAGTTTCAAGGTTCTTTTGCTTTTGATAAAGTGTTTGGCATGAATACAGCACAAAAAGATGTCTTTGATTATTCAATCAAGACCATTGTGGATGGTAACCATAACAATAAGCTCTTTGCGGTATTTAAATCTATTGTCTTATTTTAGATGTCACTGCTGGTTATAACGGAACTGTATTCGCATATGGTCAAACCGGTTCGGGAAAAACATTTACGATGATGGTATGGTAACTCATGTGAATTCTATCGTTAACATTAGATTAGGGTGCGGACATTGACGACGAAAACACGCGGGGTATCATACCTCGTATTGTAGGTCAGATCTTTGATTCTATCATGGCTGCACCAAGTAACTTGGAATTCACTGTCAAAGTATCTTATATGGAAATTTACATGGAAAAAGTAAGAGACTTGCTTAATCGTAAGTGTGTTGATTTGCTTGAGTTGTTTCTTATATGTCCATGATAGCCACACAAGATAATTTGCCTATACATGAAGACAAGACACATGGTGTGTACGTGAAAGGCTTGTTAGAAGTCTATGTTGGGTCAACAGAAGATGTGTATGAAGTCATGCGAAACGGAAGTGGAAATCGAGTTGTTTCGGCCACAAATATGAATGCTGAGAGTTCACGAAGTCATTCTATTGTTGTCATCACTATCACACAAAAGAATATTGACACTGGTGCGGCCAAAAGTGGAAAGTTATATCTTGTCGATCTGGCTGGTTCTGAAAAAGTGGGCAAGACAGGTGCCTCTGGTCAAACATTGGAAGAAGCCAAAAAGATCAATAAGTCCCTCACCGCTCTTGGTATGGTCATTAATGCTTTGACGGATGGCAAGGTAAGCTTTCAATAATCCAATAATGGAGAGTTCTCATTCTATGTTAGTCAAGTCATGTCCCTTACCGGGATTCCAAGTTGACTCGTATTCTGCAAGAATCCTTGGGTGGTAATTCTCGAACAACCTTGATTATCAATTGTTCTCCGTCGTCGTACAATGAGGCTGAGACACTCTCTACTTTACGTTTTGGTATGCGTGCTAAAACAATCAGGAATAAGGCCAAAGTCAATGCTGATCTATCTCCTGCTGAACTCAAGGCTTTACTCAAGAAGGTCAAGACAGAGACTGTGACATTTAAGGCTTATATTACTGCTTTGGAAGGTGAAGTTGAGCTTTGGCGTTCAGGTCAAGTTGTGCCTGAAGAAAGATGGGTTACAATGGAAAAGGTGTCACGTGGTGAATGTGTTCCTCCTTCAGGTTTCAAAAGTCCTTTATTGCCAGATGAATCTCGTCCTGCTACACCTGCTATTGTGCTTGAAAAAGACGAACGAGATGAATTTTTGAAGCGAGAAAATGAATTGATGGATCAAATCACGGAAAAAGAAACTGAACTTAATCACCGTGAAAAACTGCTGGATTCATTGAAAGAAGAAATCAACTATTATAAAGAACAAGAGCAAATGGTGACACAAGAAAATCATGTTATGACATCTGAATTAAGCGGACTTCGCCTGCAACTTCAGAAAATATCTTATGAAAGTAAAGAAAATGCCATCACAGTCGACTCGCTCAAAGAAGCCAATCAAGAACTCATGGCTGAACTGGAAGAACTCAAGAAGGGTCTGATTGAAATGCGGCAACAGGCACAAAAGGAATCTGGGTCAAGTCAAAAAGAGAAAAAGAAAGCAGAAAAAATGGCTCAAATTATGTCTGGATTTGATGTGCCTCATGAAATTACTGAAAAAGAACGTTTGATTCGTGATGCGCTCCTGAAACTCGAGTTGGATGGCTATGGTATGACACTAGAAGAACTGGTTGGCCTGAAACGTGATTTGACAGAATCCCGTAGTTTGTTAGAGCAACATAGTCATACGATTGATGATTTGACAGAAGCCAAAACGGCCATTGAAAAGAAGAAACAAGAGTTAGAAAACCGCTGTGCCTTATTAGAACAAGAATATGAAGAGTTGTTAGACAAGACAATTGCAGAAGAAGAAGCACAAGTACAAAAGAATGAAGATATTGCAGAGACCATCTCTACTCTTAAGGTAAACTATCATGATTGATTACTTTTTATTCAGTGTGGTTGTATAGCAAAAATTGGAATTCCAATACAACACCAAGAGGGAAACACAACAAAGAGAGATTGAAGAATTAAAAGCGGAATTGGAAAAGAAGAGTAATGAGCATGTCAAATTAAGCACAGCCATGAATGACCTCAAGGCTGCTAATGATCAACTTCAAGTAAGTCTGTCTGTTTATATGTATATTTGTGGCTGAATATGATGCAGACTGCTTTATCTGAACAAGCTACCAAAGAACCTGTCGATATCTCTGAGAAAGAAAAAGATCTTGAACGTATGCGCAAGACAATGGCACAACAATTGGCTGATTTTGAAATGATGAAGAAGGCTTTGATGCGTGATCTTCAAAGCCGCTGTGAAAAAGTCGTTGAATTAGAAATGTCTTTGGATGAAACACGCGAGCAATACAACAATGTCCTTAAGGCCAGCAACAATAAAGCCCAGCAAAAGAAAATGGCCTTTCTTGAACGTAACCTTGAACAACTTACCAATGTACAAAAGCAGGTAAGGTGTTGATATAAACGTAAGTGTTTATTGACTTGTTGAATAGTTGGTTGAACAAAATGGATCTCTTAAAAAGGAAGTTGCTGTTGCAGAACGCAAGTTGATTGCAAGAAATGAACGTATTCAAAGTCTAGAAGCCCTTTTAGGTGATGCACAAGAAAAATTAATACATCAAAATCAAAAGTTTGAAGCACAATTACAAGCTGTTCGTGATCGGTTGGAACAGGCCCGTTCTCAAAAGGCCAGTCAACCTGCCATGTCAGCTGTTAACTTTGGTAGAATTGCTAAGCCTTTAAGAGGCGGTGGAAATGTAGTTGAACCCGCTGATGATAAACGCGAAAAGCGCTCTTCTTGGATGCCTGGATTCTTAAATGGTCGTTAATATCTAATAAATAATCAATGGATCTGCATTTGATACGTGTAACCATGGTTTTAAAATGCCGAGAAAACCTCCCTGTTTATTTGTATTTTCATGGGCAATCATTTTTGTTTTTATATTGAAAATGCATCAAGTAAGACTTGCATTTCGCAATGCAACGCTCAGGCATCAGGGGATCCAGACACGTCTCTTGCGTCAATTAACTTCTCGTGAACTACGATCTACATTTATTCAATACTTTGAAAAACTAGATCATACACCTGTCAAAAGTGCTAGTCTTGTACCTCACAATGACAAAAGCTTATTGTTTACAAATGCAGGCAAGAGAATGGACTATGACAAACATGCTCTAATATTTTCTATTAGGCATGGTACCTTTTAAAGAATACTTTTTAAAGCCCAAAACAGCACCTTTTGGATCAGCTACGAGTATACAAAAATGTATGAGAGCAGGTGGCAAACACAACGATCTCGACAATGTAGGCTTCACACCTCGTCACCATACTTTCTTTGAAATGCTAGGTAACTTTTCATTCGGTAAATACTCAAAAGCAGAAGCTATCGACTACGCATGGAAGTTTTTGTTACATGAACTCAAGTTACCTATGGATCGATTACGAGTCACGTAAGTGATGGATACGCTTGGGCATGAACTTACATGATGCAGCGTATTGGAAGGAGATACAGAAGCCTACAATTTATGGAAACAACAAGGATTGCCAGACGAAATGATAGTGGTTTGTGGACCAGAAGATAATTTTTGGTCTATGGGTGATGGTGAAGGACCTTGTGGTTCATGCACTGAAATCTTTTGGGACACAAAAGATGCATCTCTAGAGGATCCTTGGTTAGAGATTTGGAATCTTGTGTTTATGGAGAAATATCGTACTTCAGAAGGTGTATTGACTGATCTACCTATCCCTTGTATTGATACTGGCATGGGATTAGAGAGAATGATCTCTGTCTTGCAAGGCAAAAAAAATAACTTTCAAATTGATCAATTTCAGATATTAATTGGAGGATTGAGACAAGTCCTTCAGAATAGAGGGTTGCGAGTAATGTATAAACACTACTCTCAAGAGACGCTAACGAATCATAGGCACCGAATGATGTGGATCCAAGTGCTCAAGAAAAGATCATAGCAGATCATTTTAGAGCAATGTGTTTCTTGATTGGTGATGGTGTGGTCCCTAGTAATGTTGGCCGTGGTTATGTATTAAGACGAATTATTCGAAGAGCATTAAGATCTGCTAAACAATTAGGATTGAATGGTAAAGTGTGTATGTGTATCCAAGTATCTGATTGTCTTTGTATACAGAACCTTTTTTAACTGAACTATATCCTTTTCTATTGTCTGGATTTAATCATGATGAATACCCTGAGTTGGCTTCTCGCGCTTCTTCTATTCAGAGCATTATCATGAATGAAGAAACTGCATTTTTGGCTACATTAGATAGAGGCATGCAAGTATTAGAGACTGTGTTTAACCAAAGCAGCCTTCAAGCCACAAAACAAATCCCTCCTCATATTGCCTTTCAATTATATGATACTTTTGGTTTTCCTTTTGATTTAACATTCATTATTGCTCATGAAAAAGGCTGGACAGTCGATATTGAAGGTAGAGTGTCTATTCCAACATATTTGACTCATCTGTTTGTAGCTGTGGAAACATTAAGGAACAAGCAAAAACAAGCAGGCAAAGAATCTTGGAAGGTAGATGATATCAATGATAAATCAAGACTTGCTGAATGGCGAAACTTGAACATCAAACCACAATTCACTGGTTACAATCATAGTTTACTTCAACAAGAATCCGAAATCTTGGCCATTGATACAGTGCAAAAAAAGAAGGAGACTGAAGTGACAGTGGCTATTGATCCATGTCCATTTTATGGGTTGGGTGGTGGTCAAGTTGTTGATCAAGGTACACTTACTTTGGCCAATGGACATACATGGCAAGTGAATGATGTAATGGTCCCTTATGAAGGTGGTCTTGCTTTACGCATTCAACCCCTTGACTTGAGTCCAGATCAAACAGTGACAGACAGATTAATGGAAGATCAGGCATTTTTACAAAAGGGTCAATTGGTCAGAACACAAGTAGACATGAGCCGTCGAGAAGGTGCTGAAGTGCACCATACAGCGACACATTTGTTAAATGCAGGACTTCGTAAAATATTGAAATCACAGGATATCGTTCAAGCTGGATCTACAGTAGAGCCTACCAAGTTACGATTTGATTTTACGTATGGCAAGCCATTAAAACAGAAGGAATTGGATGCTATTGAAGATTGGGTCAATCATATAGCAGCAACTGGTGGCCCTACTTTCGTTCAAGTAAGTTGTTTGATTGAGATTATCGATTGACATGTATTATAGCATATGAAGTTATCAGACGCAGTGAATGCAGGTGCTATTGCTGCCTTTTCTGAAAAATATGGCGAGGTTGTAAGAGTGATTGATGTGCCTGGTGTCAGTAAAGAATTATGTGGTGGTACACATGTAGATAATATTCGAAAGCTTTATCCTTTCAAGATATTAAATGAAACCTCAGTTGCTGCAGGTAAGTGAATGTACAAGCTTAACAAGTTACGAATATCTCTTTGTAGGCACACGACGAATTGAAGCTGTAGCAGGTTTGGCTTGTGTTGAATGGTACAGAAAAGCCTTTGCTCCTGTGCCTGACGCACTTAAATTATTACGAGCTAATAATACAACGGACATGATGGACAAACTTGAAAAGACATTACAGCAGCAAAAGGACTTGCAAAAGCGACTTGACATGATGAATGAAAAGTTGGCTTCTGCAGATAAATTTGATCAGCCTATTTCTGCTACTATCAAAGGTAAGTCAATGCATTTGCCTATTTCTTTTGAGCCTTATTATTTTATGGAGATGTGAATGTAAAGATTCATTTGATTGATGCCGATTTGGATAATGGATTTATGCAAAAACGTGCAAATGTGCTCAAATCAAGCCAACCTGAATCTGCTCATATTTTAGTCAATGGCAACACCATTGTAGTCGCATTAAACAGTTGTCAAATCAAGACAGAAACTGCCAATTCAGTGAGTTTTTATCCTTAACTTGTAATTGACTAACGAATCCAATCTAGATTTTGAAATATTTATTGAAACATATGAAAGGCGGTGGTGGAGGACAAAAGGAAATGGCTCAAGGTCGATTAGCAGATGCTATTTTGACTAAGAATGATATTCAGTCCAAGATCTTGGTTGCTCTCAATAAGTCTGAATAATACTACCCTTTAGCAAAAATAAAGAACTTTTGGTCTACGTCATTCAAAATTCCCAATTGAATCTCAGTTATTCAACTTTTTCTCTTTCTTCTTTGTACATAAACATATATATTTATATATAAATACGACGCGATGGAAGAATCAAACAACCATATTCATTCTTTCACGGACACTCCATTTGAAGATATAAACCCTACAACAGAAGATCAACCTATGGAAGATGCCAAAGAAGAAAAAAAAGATGCTGCCGCTCCACGCGCCAAACTTGAATTAGAAGCACGTCAATACTTGATTGATCAAACACAGCCTGTAAAGATACCAGAATATACATCTTGGTTTGACATGAAGACTATTCATAACATTGAACGTGTGTCTCTACCTGAATTCTTTACAGGCGCCAATCCATCAAAGACATCATTAATTTATCAGGATTATCGTGATTTCATGATCAACACGTATCGACTCAATCCTAAAGAATATCTAGCTGTTACCGCCTGTAGACGTAACCTGGCTGGGGATGTATGCGCTATTATGCGTGTTCATGCCTTTTTAGAGCAATGGGGATTGATCAATTATGAAGTAAGACAAATTTGACTTATACTTGTGAGGACTAACATAATCTAGTGTGATCCCTCTACATGGCCTTCTACTGTGGGTCCTCCTTTTACAGGTCACTTCAGAGTGACAGCGGATACACCACGCGGACTTGTACCCTTCAAACCTAATATCAAACCTGTGGCCAACAACACTTCGCTTAAATCAACCACACTCAATGTCGAATTACGGCAAAAAGTATTTGAGACCAGTGCTGCCAAAGATGCCAAAAAGTTCAGCTGTACAACGTGTGGTGCTGATTGTTCGCGTGAACGCTATCACAGCATCAAGACCAAAGATATGGATTTATGTCCCCTTTGTTATAAAGATGGACGGTTCCCTATCACCAGTTTCAGTAGTGACTTTATTCGTTATGAAGCAGCACCTTATAAACATGGCCTTGAAGAAGATGCACCATGGTCAGATGAAGAAATACTCTTGTTATTAGAAGCCATTGAACTATATGATGATGACTGGAATACGATTGCTGATTATGTAGGCACAAAAACGCGCGAACAGTGTATTTTTCACTTTTTACAAATGCCTATTGATGAACCTTATCGTGAAAAAGAAGAGCAGGTCAACCCTGTTTTGAATCATCAACGTACACCCTTTTCGCAAGCAGATAACCCTGTCATGTCTATCCTTGCCTTTTTGGCTTCTACTGTGGATCCCAAAGTGGCTTCTACTGCAGCAGAGGCTGCTATCGCTTGCCAAGAACAACAAGAAGTAGATCAAGATGAGAGAGAGGCTAAAAGACCTCGAACAGCTATTGAAAAGGCTGCTTCTGTAGCATTAGGCTCTGCTGCTGCCAAAGCGAGATCTTTATCGAACATTGAAAAGCGTGAAATAAAGCGACTTGTTCACTCAGTAGTGGATGCACAAGTCAAGAAACTCGAACTCAAAATGAGCCATTTTGAAGAACTAGAAGCTGTCTTGGACCATGAATTGGAATCGATTGCTCAACAACGTAAAGATATTTTTGCCTATCGCTTGGCCGTTAAGAAGACTGAGGCTTTATTACAACAAGAAATTCAAAAGCGTGGAGGCATAGATAAAGCTGTAGAAGATGGATGGACACCTCAACAATTACAACAGTTTGTTCAATCAACACTTTTTAAGGAAGACTATCGTTTAATGGATACGTCAAATTTGAATGAATCTACTTTGACTCATCCTTCTTCTGCTATGGAAGAAGGAAATGAAAATGTGGCTATCTTGACGTTATAAATTATCAATAAAACATATGTAGATATACAAGCTATATTTCTCTCTTATGCACTTGCTACTATTAAGTGCATGTTGTGTGTACGAAAAGACTCTCCTATTGCTTTCCCTCTTCTTTGTATCATTTTAAATTTGAAAATCATCCTTTATTCTCCAGACATGTTTGAATAAAGCATACAAGGATTAGCTGGGAGGGTTAAGTACATCTACATAACGAGAACGCATAGGCTTTCTAGCACCACCTGCTCTTCTTCCAGCAGTAGGAGGAGGCGTACTGAATCCTGCTGGTAAAGGACTACCTAACGAAGAAACTGCTGTAGGTGGGGGAGCTGAATTGATACGTGAGGGAGGCATGTTATTAGGCTTAATGGCAGATAAGGGTGGTGCTGGTGGTGCTGGTGGTGCTGATGTATTAGTAACAGGTTGAGGCGTGGTTGATTTGGGAGGAGGAGGAGGTGTAGCAGCAGCAGGTTTAGAATCATTCTAATATAGGATGAGCACATATAGATAGATAGAATAATGACTTACAAGCTTATTGACCCATCGCTTTTCCTTCTCATCATAATAAAACGAGCTTTTTTCACCCAAATTGGCTTCGACAGGTTTCTTTTCATCACCGTCTTTTTCTTTACGACTAAACAAAGAAAAGAGACCCCAACCACTACCTCCAGAAGCAGGTTTTACTTCTGTTTTTTTCTCTTCTTTTTCTTCAGTGATTTGGTTAGGCTTTTGTTCTTCTGGTTTCTTTTCTTCCGCCTTCTTTGGCTTTGAATTACCAAAGCCTAAATCATCGTCATCCTCATTGTTGGCTTGATAACTTGTTGTAGGTGCAGGGGTATATGCATCTGGTTGATAACTTTCTGGTTGATAACTTTCTGGTTGATTGTTGTCCAATGCTGTATCAGCAGGATTGTTCCACCAAGCTCCGCTGCTTTCTGCTGGTGCTATGTAGCCACCAAAAGGCGATTCAATACCCTTTGCTTGTTGGCCGAAAGGAGTTGTAACTGCTTTTTCAGACACAGGCTGATAACTGCTGCCATAGTCTTGGTTGTAAGAAGATTGATAAGATCCTATTATGAAAAAAAAAATTAGGATATAACAATCATTGGTATGTGTATACGCCATACCTTGATTATTGATTGCATTTTCAACAGAAGCAATCAATGTGTCCAATGTTTGCTTGTTTAGTAAATATTGACTAAATTTTGATCAATACAATAAGTACAGGTAGGCACACTTACATTTCAGGGAAATCTTGAGCGGCTAATTCTTTAAAGCTTTGTAAGACATTAGAAGCATCAGTCAAAGAAATGACAGAAACAATCGAATCTACGTATTTTCGAGACTCTTGATTGAATCCTAAATCAGATAACCACCAAGCAAGCAAAAGTTTAAATTGTTGAGGAATTGTAGTTCTAGAATTCAATCCAAATTCGTATAATTCGTACAAGTACAAACTATCCAGATCAGCACTCCATGCAGTGCCTAGACCCAGTAAGTCGGGCGACAACAAATAGCTAATTCAGAAAAAAAAAAGGGTTGGTATACTTGTGAAACTTTTTTTTTCTGTTTATACCATAATTGGCTTTCGTTCGTTAATCCAGCTTGTTCTAGCTGATTGCCTAGACCATGGATGGCCTCTTGATCATTCATTGAACGATTAGCCAGAACAAGTGCTAAAGCATCTTTCCATCCTTCAAGTGTCTTCTGAGTATACATCGGTTCTTCTTCGACTGCATTTTTAACAAATTGGGCAACTATCAATTACTTAGTATGTATACATGCAAGTGAATAACTAACTAACCTGATGCTGCACCTGTTCCGTTAAAGACAGAATATAACATACGCAATGACTTCTTATTGTCTGCAATTTGAGGTTTCCATTCCAATTGAGAAGTATAGAGTCCCCGATCAATGAATTGAGTAATGATATGCTTAAACTGATCAGGATCAATAGAAGCAATAATAAGAGCGTGTGCCCACATATCGTGTTCAACAGCAAACTGACAAGCACTTTGCCGGTCACCTTGAGCCAACATAGATTCAAGTTGATCCAAATCATTTATACCGGCAGGAGAATGTGAAGAGAGTAGACCAATAATGGATTTATCCAATTGACCACTATGAAAATTCATATAAGTACATAGGTACACATGTCAGTCATACATTACCCATCACCTAAAGCATCTTCATGGTGTTGAATCATCAATTCAACAAGTTTCCACAAAAGCGCCTTGCTTTCTTCAAATTCACCTAAACGACCTTGAATATAATTCAGAACAAGACGACGTCTTTCTTCCACATCGCCAGTAATGGTCTTTAAGAATTGATCCAGACTTGTTTTACATGCGTCTTTCTTTTCATCTTGAGGACGAGTAAATGTCATCACATCATACGAGGACATGGTAGCGGCAGAGGGTGTCGTGGATCGAGAAATACCTGCTAAAGGACGACCACATTCACAACAAAACTTGGCCTTGACTTTGTTTTCCCCTTCACAAGCAGGATCAGGACAAGGCACTAATTGAGGACGTGGGGAGGCAATACGCTCTGTCATGGGAGGAGGAACAGTGGCAGATCGCTCAATCATGCGGAAAGGAGACGTCATTTGATGACGGTCTGGCTCAGTAATGCTGTTGGAACGAGGAGGTGGCATGGTTGAGAAAGGTGGGGGAGAAGAGACACTCTTGATAGAGGCTGCAGGAGGAAAGGCGGGGGCATACTAGGGTATTTTGTAGGCGGAGGACGAAGGATTTCACGAGAAGCGGCAGGTTGAGGCTCATGTAAAGTGACTGCATAACGAGGTTCATAGTCTGATGGTTCAGGTTCATAACCTGTCAATGGTTGAGGCTCATATTCAGTGGATTGTCCAGGCTCATAGCTAACAGTTTGCTGAGATTCATAACTCGTAGTTTGCTGGGGTTCGTAGGCTGACTGCTGAGGCTCGTAGTTGGCAGTTTGATAAGGTTCATAACTAGCAGCTTGTTGTGGCTCGTAACTGGTAACTTCTTGAGATCCATAACTATCAGTTTGTGGTGGTTCATGATTAACATCTTCTTGAGCCTCATAAGTTGATTGTTGAGATTCGTATTTAGCAGTTTCTTGAGTACCATATTCTGACAGTTGAGGAGAATAATCAATAGCTTGTTCAGACTCGTAGTTTCCTTGAGAATCTTTTTGGTTAACTGACTCATAATTGATATGGTCTTGATTCTCAAAACCAGGTACTTGCGTAAATGCTTTGCCAGTTTCCTGAGATGCCTGTTGATGTTCATAATTTGCTTCTTGAGATTCAAAAGCAGCAGAATGATTTGATTCCTCGGAAATAATGGCATGTTGTTCTGCTTGAGCATTATCTTCACTTGGTTGTTCGTCTTCATGTTGCTCTACTTGATGTTCTTCCTTCTTGTTTTCCGTAAGTTCATAAGCAAAGGAACAGTCTTGTTCTTTTGGTTTAGATGCTACTTCTTGTGTAGTTTGTTCTAGCTCGCTACCAAACAAGATAGAATCAGCCTCATGATGTATTTCAGGCACTTTCTGATCTTGGTTGTTGTCTATTCCGAACAAATCGTCCAAGTCTTCTACTTGAGGTTGCTTATTGCCGCCAAAAACCAAATCATCTAAGTCGTTCAAATCTTCTTGTACAAATTTAGATGGTGATTGATCCATCTCAGAATTAGCTTTAGCATCAAATGAGCCTCGATGAGAACTGATTTGTGCTCCAGGAGACATGGCAGAAGAGCGAGGTAGTGATGGCAGTGTCACAATTGCTTTTTGTGGTGGTGCAGAAGGAGAAGGGCCATTGTCTTTTATGTCAAGTGGTGGTACTTGAACTTGTAGATCTGTTGCTTGAGTATTGTACTCAGCAGGTGCATATCGGTCCACACTAACAGTCTCAGTCGAAACTGGCTCATAAGACTGATAATTTTGTTGCTGTGAACCATATTGGTCACCTTGTTGGTATTGCTGAGTATCGAGTGTTTGCTCAGATTGAACTTGAGCAGGCACCTTAGCCACTGCATTATCAGTTGGCGTTACTTCTCGAGGTTGATGACTATAATCAAAGTAGGAATTCTCTGTTTGATCTTGTGTGACTGGAGCATAGGTATTTGTGTCATAGACTTGCTGCTGTTGAGCATAAGCATTGGGATCATACTCTTGTTGACTGTAGTATTCAGCATATTGAGGATCATATTGATAATCATATCCATATTGGCTCATATCATATTCTTGGTTTGTGTTTGGATCATAATAATGTACACCTCCTTGTTCATCATAATAGTAATGAACATTGGGATCAAATTCAACCCATTCCTGCTGTTGTTGCTGTTGTTGTTGATCATACGCTTGAGCTTCAGCTCCTTGTTGATAGCCATTAGGAACGTATGCCTCTATTCCTTCTTGTTGACTATAAGTCGTGGGGTCATAAGCTTGAGTCAGAGACACAGGTTGTTGTTGATTCAAGTCATCAAAAAATGAGCCTGTTCCTTGTGATTGATCAAAGAAAGAAGACGCGTTCGTCGTGGGAGGATAAGCCGATTGAGGTGTTGTGTTGGCAGTAGCTGCAGTAGATGAAAAGAATAAGTCTACTCCGGCTGTACTGTTATCAAAAAGACTCGAGGCGTCACCAGCTACTTTCTTTTCGGTAGCCACTGGTTGTTCTTCTTTTGGTGGGGTCGGCTGCTGTTGTTGCTGCAGTTGACTGAAAGGGTCATCTCCAGCCGAGTCACCAAATAGAAAGGACGCAGTAGGTTCTTCTTTTTGAGAAGCCATGATACGAAAGACTGCATAGCATAAATATGTTGAATTTCATAAATTCACTTACTTTTTTTTCTCTTTTATAAAGTTATGCAGAAGCCTCTCTTTTTCTTAAAAGATAAAAGGACCTTGTAAACAAGGAAAAGAAAAGAGAGAATGGCATTGATTACACACACATACACACACACGTTTCATCTCAACATTGAAGCTCAGCGTATTTTTTTTTTTTTTTTTTTTTTGTGGACATCGCCAATTGGTTTATTTAGTAACTTGATTATGGAGCAGCCACTTCTCCTTTATCTGCTAGTAAGGCTAATTTTTTCATGCGATCAGAGCTAGTAAATCTTCTAGAACTACTTCTTGCTGCTCTTGGTAAAGGTGGCGCTTCTTCTTCGTTCTGTATATGCCTTAATAAATCTTCTGCCTTTACGACCATGGACTCAGCCCGGGTTCTTCTTCTTTCTCGCACGGACATGCGGCTCTTTCTATGTGAATTGGTGGACATTTCACCGGATCTTAATTTTTCTAACAAATTGTCCATAATGTCCTTATCATCTTGACTTTCAGACACAGCTATAGATAATGAGTGATTTTGTCAATTGATTGTAACTTACTCTCAGTCATATCAAGTCGTTTGTTCAAACGAGCTTTGCGTTGTTCTTGGAATTGCTTTGTCTTTTCTGCTTGTTCTAGTTTTTTCTTTTGCTTGACAATATCTAATTTAGCCTTTGTCCAACTAGATGTAAATGTCTGGAAAATACCAAAGAATTCATCGGGCTTCATTTCGTTTGGATCTTCACCAAAGTAAGATACTACGTCTTTATAGGCCACATCCATAGAGGTATAACGCACTTCAAGCTGATCGAATTTCTCAATAGCCCGATCACGGAACTTGTACATGGCTGAGGCAAAATTATCCCCTGGCTCTGGTTCATAGTCTTCATTGTAATGGACGTCAAGCTCGTGAATAAGTGTTTGGAGTCCTACTCGAAGTTCATTATAGTCCTTGATTAAATCTTGCATAGTGACTAAACAAAAAAATCAGTCATGACTCTAATAGACATTTCTATCATTACCTCTACATGCTTCACCACAAAGTTCAAGATCTTTAAGCAGGGTTTCATTGATGCTCGGGAATTTCTCTTCAATCATTGTACATACAAAATGAAGTAGTGTGGTATCATTACTTGAAGCTCGGGTATCTACTAACTTGTTGATACTGCCAATACGAACACCAAAGGCACCACCTTGGAAGTTTGTACCGTTCAAAAAATTACCAATCATAAGAATAATCTATACAACACATACAGTCAGACAAAACATAGGATCATTCTAAAGGCATTTACATTTAAAAGTTCTCTCACTGCTTGAGATTCTTTAAGATTGGTGGAAGCGTCCATGACATTGTTCATGTTCTTTCCAAGTTGCGTAATACGTTCATTGAATGTTGCAACAAACAACATGTTGGTGATACGTTCTTTAAATCGATCAATAGAAATGATCTAGAATAAGTTTAGTCATATAGTCTCTCTGTTATCAATGATTTGCTTTACCTCGGCACAGAAAGCATCTGGCTTGGATAGACTAGCAAGGTCTTCTTCTGACGCTGTCTTCAAGAACACGGATAATTTACCCATCTCATCATGCGAAGGAGCATTGACCAATAGGTTCTTGAGTAACACTTCTGTACAAAACTTTTCGTCCACAGCCAAGATCTTCTTTTTGAATTCCTTGAATGAGATATGCTTACATTTGGCCAAGACAGCAATGCTGATATTGTATGCTTTACGCGAATCAATGATGCTGATCTCTTGTCGTCTTTCTTTAGGTGCAGCGCGTTTACTAGCCACCACTTTTTGAGCAAACACTTGTTCCATGCGGTTAAAGATACCTTCCTTATCCAACAATGCTTCTAGTTCTTCTTCTTTTTCAGCAGATGTACCCAATTTCCAAACTGTCGAGCCAATATGGTTAGCATTGAGCTTTTGCCATTGAAGTTGACGAGTTTTGACACCTGGCATGTGTTTAAGTTGTTTACGTGGGGCAAGGGCATTCATACCGATGGCACCAGGGGCAGGAGGGGGTGGGAAAGGTGCAGAAGGTGGAGGAGGTGGAGGTGGAGCTGTACTGTTCATAGAGCCTGGCATAGGAGGAGGCGGTGGTGGTGACGTATTGTTTGCTGAACTTGACATAGGAGGAGGAGGAGGAGGAGGCGGTGGTGGTGGTGTTGCACCATTCATAGGAGCTCCTGGCATTGGAGATGGGGATGGAGAAGGAGGAACTGGTATAGAAGAGCCATTCATAGGAGGAGGTGGTGGAGGAGGTGGTGGAGGTGGTGGTGGAACACTAGCAACTAATGTCTTTGTATCTTCATCTGCTTCATGGATAGAAGTGATACCAGACGGTGACGACGTATCGTCATTTGTTTCCGAACGTACAGAAGAAAGGCTGTTCTTTCTACTCTTGGACTGAAGCGAGCTCTCTCTTCGTAAACTAGAGACAGAGGCGCGACTGTCAAGCGAATCTCTTCTTTTTGGCAAAGCTTCTCCAGATACAATGTATTCGGATGGAATAGGGGGCAATGCAGGTTCAGCTTGAGCTGCAAGCCTACGACGATTGTTAGTGCGCCTTACTGCTGATCCCATTAAAACACTAGGCAATCCAAATTCACCAAGACCAGGCGAGGCACCAAACTGACGAGCCAATTGACTCTTAAATTCCTCAGATAAGCCAAGTGCCATAGATTTGTGTTTGCTATCATCTTTGTCCAGAGCAGGCATGACAGATTCCATAGGTAATCGAGTCTCTCGTTTACTTCCTTCAAGTGCCTCCTGAGCGCGGATTTTATCCATGGCCATCGTGAGACGCTTTCGGGGGATAACCAAATCTTCTTTTTTATCATTTTCTGCTTCGTCGCCTACAAGTTTGTGGAATTCTTCTAATTGAAGCTCTGCCTTTTCGAGTTTGGCTTCATAGCTTGCTTCAACCTCTCGTAGTTTTTCTTGAAGTGTTGAAATAGTATGTCTAGACATACGAAGCAAATCTTCAAGAGATACTGTCTTTTCTTTAAGCTGAACTAGTTCGAGTGCATCTAACAAAGTTATGATTTAATTTTGTTTAAGAAGATTACTTACCTCCTTGTTGTGATAATTCTTGTCGAAGCATATCTCGCTCCTTTTCTATTTCATCGTAATTTTGCTGCAGTTCCTTGAGATCTTCAAGTGCTGCTTTTAGTTGATCCTGATCTGCAAATTTACTAATGAGATGTTGTACAGTCGTTGTGTAGTCTGTCGAGAAGTCTTCTGCTAAACCTTTATGATCTAAAACCACTTGTGCCACCAGATTATCAATGATCTGAAAATATCTTGACTTCAATCCAGTCTCTTCATTATTGACTAACAGCAAATGTTGCAAGCAGCTTAAAAAGAAATCATAAGCTCGAGTGCCTTCCAAACTCAACAAAATACATTCAAACACATCGCGCGGATCATTTTGGTCACTGAGAATATGTTCATGATACATTTCCATCACTTCATCCTGATCGCTTTCTGCCAAACTCTTGAATTCGCGAATTTGTCTATCCACATGCTCATCGCACAATTCATTCATTTTTTCCATAATGCGTTCTAGACCAGACGCTGTCATTTGATTTCGAAGATGAATTCTGATTTCTGTATCATCTACCACATTGATAATAGCATTGACCAAGATCATATTGTACAATGTGTATTCTGTCAATTGGTTGTCTGGTGAACCATAGGCTGCCATCCGCTTAAAGTCTTCACTGGCACCCACCATACTGCCCATACGACCACGCCCACCAAGTGTGATTTCAAGTTCTGTCAACCAAGCATCAAATCTACCTAAACCACGATTTTTGTCACGCAATTGATCCATAGCTTTTAAGACAAGGTCTTGACCTATAGGCACTTCGTAATAACACATAAATACCAAAACTTCACATACGAGTCGACGTGAATTAATCGAAGGTGAAATAATACAATGAACAATTTCCTGAACACATCGCGGATGTTTAAGAGCTTCCCGTGCGCCAACCTGTTACTAGAATTAGTCATGCCAAACATGTAATATGATATTATCTGTTTCCTACTCTGTTGTTCAGGAGTGCCTTGAAGCATTTCAACAGGTCACCTTCTACAGACAAACTAAGTTCTTGCCTAGAACAAGTTTTAATTATAATGGCCTCAATGGTTGTTTCCCTTACTTGTTTTTTGTCTTATTGAAAGCTTTCAAGACGTCAGTAATCACTAATAAGCCTTGCATGTCAATAAATTGACGGACCCAACTAACATGTCGAAAAAAAAAACGTTAAGGAGTGAAATAAAAAATACAATTTAAATTACCTTAATGGCATTGTTCGAAGACCCACAGCAAGATGAGATACAACTTTTGTGTTAACTCCCCTTGACATGTCTGACAATTTCCGTACATAATAATCTGGTCCTTTACTTTCTGTCTGGTGGTCTGATTTCTTATCCATTCCTCTTCGGTTAGATTGTGCTGAAGGTGAGTTACATTCTGACAGTATTTCCTGAGCAACCATCAATCTCTTTTTTTCAACTGAAAAGGAAGACATTTTTGCGCGAGCATTATTATCATGAATACCTCTTCTTGTCTAATTCTTGTGTTAGTTGAATAGAACTGAGCTCGACACCTTACCAGCATGCGCTCAAAAAACTCTTCAATTTCAGCCTCCGTCATGGCATCGACATTGGTGTATTCGCTATCTGTGCTTGGTGCAGACGACTGCGAGCTTCTTATGGAAGGCGATCCTTCAACTAAACGACCTACCCCTAGACTAGGTTTCTAAAAATGCTATTCTATATTCTGGCTTAATTGTTGTTTATTACCTGATGAGAAAAAGTCGTCAGGACCCGAATGAACATTTGGACTGTTGGGAGAATGAGGTTGTAAAACTTGGGCTGTATTAGTGGTAGTGGCAGTCTCGATAAGAGGTGGATCAATGACTGGCCTTTTTTTCCCTTTGGATTTGCCACGACTAAAGAGGTCCATGTTTTAACAGTATATAAAAAGGAAAAGGAGCAAAAAAAAAAAAAAAAAAAAAAAAAAAAAAAAAAAAAAAAAGTTGGACAACCACTTTTCTTTGGAAAGGAGGACAAAGAAATAAACTGTTAAGGAGCAAGTCGTACAAATTGAAAATGGACTTTGAAGTTTATTATTTCTCGATAAATTTAGTATTTCTGTGCTGCAAAAGCCTAATTAATGAATTATTTCTGTTGTTGTTGTTCTTGTTGAATCTTATCTTGCATGACATTGACAATAGCTAATAAAAGATGATTAATGATGTTTTTTTTTTTTTAGTTTGGTGATATACCTCTTAATGTGCTTTGCTTGTCTGTAACTGTCTTTTCAAGTGTACCGAGATTCTTTTTGACATATTCTACCTTGTCATTATAGAACTTGGAAGCATCTCCGACAGACTGCAACAAATGATTTAAATACACGTGCTTATTGTCATATTCCTTCTTTTATGTACCTTCTCAACATAATAGCCAGTACCAACATCCACAATAACCTTATTGACGTCACTCAATTTACCTGGAACATAGAGGTGTGTTAAAGTTAAGGAAAATAAACGCGTCTAAAAAAATATGTTATGCGAATATATATATATAAAAAAGGATATAGATGAAGTGAGAGGTACAAGAATCGTTTTGTCTAAAAAAAGGGCGCGTTTTAGTCATGTTTAATTCAATGCAGCCCTTACCATCAGATTTTTCTGTTTTTAAAGAGTTGACACTATCAGCACAGTCTGAGAATCTGTTTTGAACACCTTTAAGCTTTGTATATGATTGTGTCAAATGACTTAATTCCTAACAAGACAGAGGTTGAGTTGTTTTTTTCTTTTTATTCCAGAACTAGAAACTACCTCTTCAAGTTGAGATTTGACTTGTTGAAGTGCAGGTAAGTCTAGATCTGTAATGTTGACTTGTTGTTGGGACATGATGTTGTAATGTAGTTGACGATCTGTCCTTTAATGTGTTGCAAAGAAAAAAAGAAGAGACTCATCATCTCAAGGCGTTTAATTTTTTTTTTTTGCGTTTTTTTTCACAGTCAGACTGTACACACACACACATTTAACATCACACTTTTAGGGCACGAATACCTGATGTCTTGGTTGTTTAAACACTCAGTTTTCAGGCACCATAATCATGTGAAACAAATCGTTCTCGGTACTTTGTTGCCATGACAACGCTAATTTCAGCTCAAAAAGAAGACGTGGCCTTAAAAAATTAAGCGGCACATCTTCTGGATGTATTGCTCAAGTAATATATATTTTAGATGAATACGAAAGTATATTTCTGTCAGCTTTAATGATTTGCAAAAGAATTACTTTTTTTCGAGAATGAGACAAGCCTTGTAAAACCCTTTTTTTTATGTTCTGATTTTTTTTTTTTTTTTTGGTTACAAACACTATATGTGCATACCACATGAAACCCATTTTTGAATGAAGCTTTATAACAAACATAAAGAAAACGTTTAAGAAAGTCTAAAACGTGATATACAAAATTTTCTGTAGGTTGGAGATTAATAATGATAGAGTGTTTATTTGCTGACATAACCGGTGCCCTTGTATCCTTCTGAAGAAATACCAAAGATGGGGTTGGAGTTTTGGCTCTTAAGATATTCGTTGGTAGCTTCTTGCCATTCCTTGTTGATGGTACGAGGAGTTTCTTGACCTATAACAGCATTGTAATTAGTGAAAAAAGTTCGCTATGGACACACATTTCCCCATCCTTTTAACACACTGCCCACTCTTTTGTAAATACTTTACCACCAACACGGATAGCGTAGAAGAGAGCACCAGAGGCAACAAGAGTGCCAACAACACCACCAAAGACCTTCATACCATGACCAGGCTTGGTCAAAGGTTCACGGGGACCATGAGCACCAAAGGCAATGTAATCTATACAAAAAGTTAATGTCTGCTAGAAATCGATAGTCAACATACAGGCAGCCTTCTTTTCGTCAAAAGAGAGGGCCTTCCAATCACCCTTTTGTGCTTCTTCGAGTTGCTTGGCGATAGTGTTTTGTTCAGCGGTGGAAAGGGTCTTCCAACGAGTTTCAAGGTTTTGAACAGCAACATTGGTGGAAGCGTTACGACGGCCCAAAACACGAGCAAGGTTAGTACGAGTAGCAGCAGTGGTGCGAAGCATGTTTGTGTAATTCAGTAAGAAAGAGAGAGGGGAGAAGTGAAAGAGAAAAAAAAAGACCGCTTTTCTTGAAAACTCAATGGTGAGTTTTTTTTTTTCTGATGATTTGTAGGCGGGGGTCACTGTATTTTCCCTTCTTAAATCAATGCTGGTAGATGACGCAGTGAGATACTGGCCAATGAAATTAAATGGATGGCTCTCTCGTCCAAAAGGTACAGTGGCTTAGTGACTATCAATATGTGTCTATATATCCCAACCATGCTAACGAACCAATTCTAGCACGCAGTAAGCTCAACATACTTGCATATATTTCCTTTTACAGATAAATTTTATTATCTTGTACCTAGGATTGCTTGAATAATAAAACAGCCATACTTAATAAGTATGCTCACTTATATCTTTATGAATCTTTATTATATAATTTTCCTATAAATACAAATAAAAGATGTTATCCGAGCAGTAGTAGGACATTTATTGACCCTTCATTGACTATTCTCAAAGGAACAATAGTCAAGAGACACTTTTTTCAATAACATACAGCAATTTTTCCTAACAAACGTGGCTACCTAACGCATTATTCTAACAATCTACCTAATAAATAGGCTAACATCATTATCAAATATCAAATCGTAGAGATACTTGCAAGAAAGGTGCCATACAAAATCTATATGACAAAATCCACATCCACCAACTTCAGATACATAAGCTAAACTACTTTCAAGATCAGCTTAGGATAATATAATAAAACAAAAGCTATTTGATATGTTGCCCTTCTTGAAGAATAAGTATCACATTAGAAGAAATTACGCTTTGATTATCCAAATTAAGAAAAAAGACTCAAAGAAGCGTACAACTTCTACTTGTTCTACCAATGAAAGCAAAATGCCTACTGTGTAAAATGTCAAATGCATTATCGTATCCCAGGAGAACCTGTATGAGTTTCTTCTCATCACTTTCCTATCAATTTTATTCCAAAAAACATTGAATCAAGGGATAACAATTGCCAGCCTTATTTTTCTGCAAGGGCATTACCTAGTATTCCTACTTCACCAACTAACAAAGAGTGCGCATTACATGTCAGTATGTACTCTACAAAAGCAATCAATCGGCATTACTTTACAGTTGACAAAATACCAATAGTAGTAAATAAGCGCATTATCTTCAAAATGGACAACTTCTTTGCTTTAACAATATATCTGAAAGAACTAAACACTATCAATGATTGTCTAATTCAATTTAACATTGCTACAAATACACTCGTAGTGCGACAAGCTCATGCATCAAGTAAAATAGTAGTTTATTTTTTAGTAGAATGAATATTTCTTATAATATCCATTATCTTTGCAGTAAAAGCTTCGCCTTGTTATTTTCTCAATATATACCATTTAAAAAGTGATGTCTCTAAAGAAGTCCGCCAGCTTTTACACAATCATTAGATTTAAACTCTGGGTAGACGTCTTTTATCTGCCCTCTTGTGTTAGAGTATTTTTTTGTATGATGCACAATACGACTGATTTTAGAAAATCCTTTAATTACGCTGAACATATCCTAGGCTATGGATTATGCTGAATCGTAAATACATGCGAAGCTAACTATAGCTATACGAGTTGATACTAATGAACAAAACAATAGAAGCTAAAAGCATGCGAGGTATTTTGAATAAAATAATTAACTTGTCTTGCACAGCAGGTTCTCTATAGTATATCTCGCCAGTCTTTAAGCAGCGAGAATCAATGCATTTTTTGGCTTGTTTATCGTTTGCTCTATACATTTCGTCTAAGATCCCTAGTAAATTGTACCTTATAAAAAAGTATGAAAGCCAAAAGAAAGAAAAAAAAGAACAAGCTGTGTAATAAACAAATATTTTTATTTTAGTCATCATTTGAAAGCCGCTTATTCGAAGAAGACAATAAGAGTTTGGAATCGAATGCACCTAAGAATATGCTTCTGTTGGTTTGAAGATACAGCAGTTGTGTACATGTCAGTGATAAGAAAATATCTTGTTTGATTTGACAATTGATGTTATCATACAATTAATAGGGTAATGCAGTATTACACGGTTATAAGGAAGTGATCGTAGAAAAAGAACAGTTCATTTCATTGTTCCTTTTTTTTTTTATTATATCTTGGCCATCACTAATCATTCAGAATCTTGAACAATTTTAATTACTCATCTTTACTTGAACAGTGCACATCTTTTAATAGAATATTAAACAAACGCCAATGGAATGATTGTCATTAATTGACATGTAATGTGGAGTGACAAAACTAAAAAAAAAAAAAAAAAAAGAAAAGGACTCCTCCCTACATTACTCACTTGCACGAGATGTTCAAGCCCGACAAGTATTGCGCGCGGTATCAAAAGTTGTCCAGAACAGTTTTTTTTTCTTTTTCTTTAGATTTCATTTCCGCTCAGGCACCCATTACTATCTAAAATAGTCAAAGACTAAGATCGCCTATCGAAAAAGTCCCAGTTATTTGGAGCACTTGTATATAAAGCATGTGTATATATATGTATAGAAAACAGAAAGGCCAGACTCTCTTTTGGATTGACAAGTAGCAATGCCTACTACTATTTTTAGCTCCAGACAAACATCATCAACTAAACTCTTCGGTCTTATTTTATTGGCTGATATTAAAAGTACATATGCTTTAATGGACAAAAATGGATATTTCTGTTTAAAGAAAACTAGAGTCTGTTACTATATATAATTCTGCTATGCACTCTCTCTATCGCCATGTTTATAAGTGAAAAAAAGCGTGGTTACTATTATTACCTTTCCTCCTTGATTGACTTGAATCCCCGAAGTAGGAGTTTGTTTGACCCAGCCAACTGTTGGAGAAATATAAAGCTTGGCCTTGATAGCACAAAGGATCCCAAAATAAGACAGTGTCTAGACGGCGATCATTAACGCAAAAAGATATAAATACAGCTATGTATTTTATCACTTTTTCCCTTTCTCTTCTTATTTTATATTCTCAAGCAACAATTATAAGCAACTATGTTTCAATTTTGGTCTGATTGGAAACGAAAAGGCAACAATCATAAAGAGGAAGTCCATGATCGCCGTATGATGCGTTCCTGCAGCATGTCTTCTGACAACTTTTCAATTGACTGGCACAATGACTGGAATCAGAAACGCACTTTGTCTTTCAAAGACGATTATGTCTCATTTCCTAGCCTTGATCCTCCTAATAATGAAGTCTCTACCAATTAGAACCCTTTATAGCTACTTGTAAATATCAACAACAACAATGACGACAATGAACAACCTCCATTCGTTTTCTTCTTTTCTCTATGGTTAATATGTATATGTGTGATTGTTATTATTTTTTTTTCTATGTTTGTATATGGTTTTCTCTCTCTTTCTTTCTCTCTCTGTGTTTTTATGTATAATAAAGATATATATTCCTGTTTTCATTTATGCTATATAGTCATGATATCAATGTAAGCGTGTAACCATAAAAAACGTGTGTCAATACAAAAAATCGGTTTTCTCTGCACAAGTGTCCTATGAGTGCCAAACTGAATTATATGCAGGTACATGGACCATGCTGAACTTTATAAACTGTCATGAGAAAAAAAAAAAAAAACTTTATTCACAAAAAAGCGTATGTGCTACAGTAACTTTAATTTTCATTTGAAAAAGTACCTTCCAATATCAATTCTTCTTCTTGAGATTCATGAAGAAAAGGGTGCTTTAATAATTCCTCTGCAGAAGGCCTTTCTTCATGATTTCTATAACCCATTAACAAAAAGAAGTGTATGAAGTATATAGACTTACAATTGGAATGTACACTTTAAAAAGTCTTGTGCTTCTTGACTCAAATTAGGGGGAATATTGGGTGAAGTATAACAGCCAATCTAAACAAGATGTGAATCAATGCTATACATGTCAGTATCTTACCTGGAAAATGGCTTGCATTTGTGAATATTCAGGAAATGGGTGATCGCCTGTAAACATTTCTACTACCATACAACCCAAAGACCAAATATCAGCCTTCATGGTATAATGTGTCTGTTTGACGACTTCGGGTGCCATCCAATAGATAGAACCCTGTAGACTGGGTCGATGTGCTGCATGTGTGCCCATCTCTTCTTCCACTTTCTTGGAAATACCAAAGTCAGTAATCTTGACACCTCCCTTATTGTCCACCAATACATTGGCACCCTTAATATCACGATGAACAATATCTTTACCATGCAAATAACTCAGACCTTTTAGAATTTGTCTCACAAAACTATTGACTAAAGGCTCTTGAAATGCACCGTAACTCGAGAGTAAACCAGCTACAGATCCACCAGGCACATATTCCAAGAAAATACTGAAATACGATTCATCCGTCTTGTGCCCTAAATACTGTACAATGTTTTCATGCTCTAAATCTTGCAATAATTCAATCTCTCGACGCAGGGACCTGATCATGGATTTTTTACGTTCTTCACTAGCGGAATTTTCCACAGGTAATTCGACTTGTTTGACAGCCATGAGTTCACCACTGATTGGGTTTAGACCCAAATAGACATCCCCAAATGTGCCTCTTCCAATCAACGATCCCTTCATCCAAGTATCTGGTAATTTAGGTTTAGGTGTCCCTACAGGTTCACGAATCACAGGCACATTCTCGAGTTCTAATGGTTTAACGGGTAAACTGGATGTTCTGTTACGTGTCATTTCAGTCTCATTGGATTTATCCACATTGGTGGTGACTGGGGTATCAATCTTGATGCTCTGTTTTTCAGCGACCATTTTTTTCTCTTCTCCTTCATCATCATCACTCGATAGACCACTGCCATCGTCGCCACTGCTACTACTACTACTGCTGCTACTACTAATACTCGGACTCACCACAAACTCTTGTTCTTCTTCTTCTAAGAATTTATCTAGATCCACACCCAAAACAGACACTAATTCAGGCAAGACACTGTTTCGATAAGTACGTGGCTCAAATCGACTTAAAGCCGAATTTCTTCTGGTCATGGACAATCTCTGTGCTTTAATACCCGCTGTTTCCAATACTTCACGATTATGGTTGGGAAAGAACGAATGGAGGTTATTCGAGATGATTTCGGAAGGTGGTCGTTCACCAAAGAAACGTCGGCGACTCCGTGAACTGTCCAAGGTGTCTTTGATTGAACTGGCACTGGCCTGTTGCCATTGATAGAGTGGGCGTCGATGGCTAGTGTTAATCGTCCCTTTGCGTTTGAACTGTTCATGTGTGGGGTACAAGTGCCTTTTACGTAAAATTAAGCGTTCTTTTTCAGGGCGATCGACGGACCGACAAATCTCGACTAATTCAGTATCAGACAAAGCACGGGCTTCGCCATTCGTACTAGAGCCTACAAATATACAATAACTGTCTGCATTGGATTCGTCAATACCAAATTTGTGAAGTACTTTAGCCATAATTTGTTTGGATTCATTAGCTGTATGGACATTCACAATACGCGTCTGGCCATCTTCACCAAACACTTTGACGCATGTCTGCTTTACTTTTTCCATAGACATGATACCACCTTCCAACGATATTCTCTAGATCATTACTGTCAGAAAAAAATACCTCAGCATGAATTATACCTTTTGAAGTGTCTTGGGACTTGATGGACTGAGTGAATAGATATCTGAATTGGTAGGTGGAGTTTGTTGTTGTGTAGGGGATGGGTTGGCTGGCTGTATGGTAGCCACACTCGCATTACGCTGAGATCGCTTGGATTCAGATCTGCCTAAAAACCGTGAAAACGAATTGGATCGATTTAATAGACTTTTAGCACTTGATGTCTCTGACGATTTAGAGGGTTTCGTATTGGCTTCCGTCATGTTAAATCCTTCATGTTTGTCTGTAGCTGGAGTTAATAATCCTCTATTATCCTGATAAAAGTGTCAGTTTATGCTAGCCATACATAGCTACATACTCGAGCAGGTATTCTAGCTGCTAAAGAAGCAGCTAGATAACATTCTTGTCGTAGTGCTTTAATGGCAGTCAATAGACGCACTCGTTCTCCCACTGTCTTTATATCCATGGCTTTCAACGCTTCATAATCTACGTCCAGTAAGACAGAGCCCGAGATGTTGTGTTCTGATGAGATGAGATGATGTTATCTGGATAGAGTCTTACCTATAAACTTTTGACTAAATCGACCCAAGGCTTGATTAGACAACCACTCTGTTACTTTTTGTTCAGACCAATTTTTCACATCGTCCAAGAGTGTTCTTTTATGTTCTGCATAAGAAGGAGATGTAGGTGAAGGTTGTTGCATGAATTGCCTTGATGAAGGAGAAAGAGGTGGAATCGACATGAAGAGAATTAAAAGGAAAAAATAAATAAATTTTATTCTAAACTCATGAATTTCGTGCCCACTTGAGCCAGTTGCTTTAAAAATGAATCTGAATTATGAATACAGTTACCACCCAAAACAATACGAACACCAGGTACAGTAGCATTCATTTGAGCTATATAACGGGCTTCTTCAAAGGTGGCCCCGCCACAGATAAACACGATGATGTCTTGAGGTCGTTCAGGGGTAAATTCACCAGCAACAAAAGGATAGTCTGTGTCCTTGAGGCGTGCTTTGATAAGCAGGTCCAGTGTGTCTCCTAAATGAGGCGTGTGTTGTGTATAGACATTCTCTACACCTTTCAGGCCTTTAAGAGCACTTTTGCCTCGAGACAAGAAGGATTGATTTGAAAACAAATCATTTTGTCTTTGTTGATAACCTGCATAAAATAAAATGGCCGGTACAAGCTATGGATAGCATAAGTCATCAATAATACTGATTGTCTATACTTACTGCACTCTTGCGTTCACTAATACCGTGTTGATCCAACAGTTGAATCAGTGACTTGACTGCATTATTGGCCATACGTTCATAACGAAGAGCATACAACAAGACCAGACGTACTTTGGCATCTTCATCAATTTCGGGCATGGCAATCAATCGTTGAATGTTCTTGAGATCATTATTGTGATTTTCATTACAAGCTAATCCTTGTTCTAATTCACTAATCTCCAGCAAGTGATCCTGTGAGAGACGTCGACTTAGCTCACTCACCAATGCCACATGTTTCGAGACATTACCAGACAGTTTTCTAAATTCTGGGTATTCTTCTACAAATCGCTTCATGTCTGCGATTGATTCAATGTTCATGTTTGATTTTGTCTTGTGTTGATATTCGTCCACGTATTGTTTAATGGTTGCAGCTAAATCACCCAGGTTCATATACATGGATTTCTTGAAGAACGGGTCTTGATCAGGACTCAATACGATTTCTTTAAGTTCATGTTTGATTTGAGGTACGCGTGACATGTCAACACGGCCATGATGAATACCAATCAATTGGTGCACCATGGCTTGATAGGTCCATTGGGTCAATAAGGGTGTGACAGGATCATTACGTCGATCCAGGATCAACAAAATAGGCGGTGTATCTGGTCTTCTGAAGTCAAACAATGGACCTTCTGAAGATATGGTTTGATGGACACCTAGAGCTAGTTGTTTGGCCATTGCAGACTGACGCTCATATCGAATGACTGGCTTCTTTTTCAGACTGAGTAATACGGCACATAAGCCCTTGATCGATTGTTCGAGTGTGTCTGTATCCCAACTCTGGACAGTTTGGCCAAATAGATAAAGAGGATCTTGGCCCAACGAGAACAAATCGGGGTTAATGGCCAGATAGTCACCATAGTATTCCTGTACTTCACGAATCACTTCATGTTCATCCACTTCTGCTAATTGCTCCACGTCTGATTTACGTAGTGTGTTGCTAAAGTCTAACCCGAGTGATATAAGTTCTCTATTGTATGACACTGCAAACTTACATAAGTAATAGTCGCCGTAAGCAGGTTCACGTAACTCAGCAATCAGGTACTGAAGTGTTTCGCGTGTAGGTCTTAGAAAACAGATACATTTTAAATGCTTCATTTTGTCTCTGTTTCTATTGTCAATCCGATCAATAAGGTAACATTCTTTTGTCAGGAGTTGTGATTGAGTCGTGACAAGTGAAATGATGGGTGTCTATTCTCATGAGCTCATGTCGAATAAGACAAACTTACTGTCTCGGTATCAAGTAGAATCGCCTTCATGCCAGGCACATCACTAATCATTTTATCTGTATAATGTTGTATTGCTTTTATTACGTCCATCTTTTATACAGAAAGAAAAAGAATAAAAAAAAAGTGGAGTTTTAAAGAGGATGGAGGGCTCAGCATAAATTACAGTATGAAAGGTTGCGAAATAGTGTGTACTTAGTATACCTTTGAGTTGTCTCTGTCTTCCCTTTTCTTTTTTTGTTGTGTACCTGTTACACATATAATTATCATCTATCCTATCACTTTATTTTTTTTCTTCGGATTTTGTCTCAAGCATTACTCGAGAATTAGAAAAAGTAAGATAACTCAATATTGCATTATCAATTATATCATATACTTATATCAATAAAGCTTTTACTATATTATCAACAAAAATATAGCAAACTAGTTAAATTATATCTCAAAATCCAATCCGAACAAAATCCCAAGATTTCAAGTATTTCTACTTTGAATTCAGACGATGTTAGTTTTTTTCTGGACGAATCAAAATTAATTTCCAGATATTTTTCTTACCTATTTTGGACGAAATAAAAATGGAAATTAAACAGAAAGAGAAGAATTATTAGAGAAAGTACAATAGTATGCTAGATGACTTTACCTATAACAATCTTAATTCCTGAAGGAAATACCGTGTTTATTACGGCGATCATTGCTTCTCTTTTTAATTTCTCTTGAATCGTTCTGCACGGCCTTCACCTTTCCAAATTGACTTGGCAATGTTCATCATATTCAAACTAGCGTTGATGTCACGCTGCCATAATGTTCTGCACGTCTTGCAAACGAGAACACTACTACTGTGGGCATCACTAATACCACCCAAAGTCCTACTTTCACATTTAAAACATATTTGGGACATCAAATATTCATCAATGTCCACAGCGAGTAAGTCACCAGTCCTCTCTCTTTTTTTCAACGTTCTGTATAGAAGACCAGTGACATCAGTCCGGACCGTTTTCATCTTCACATGGTCCTTCCCAAACATGCCACTACCAAATACTATCAGTGGTACCTCCTGTTTGTACTGAAAGAAATTGCTTTCTCCAAGTACCATAAACTTATGAGTATAAAAATTATCGTAGCCATGCCCAAGTAACTTTTTACCTTGTTTCTGTTGTTTTCCGTACCATTTTTCTCTTTCCTTTATCCTTCTTTCCGGACTTGCTCCCCTTCTTCTTCCGCTTCCCTTTGTTCTTTGCTATTTTTCGTTTGTTTCCTCTTGACTTCTTGTTGTATTTCTTGGTACCATCTAAAAAATTTTCACTATTCGCTCCGGTGCTCGTTGACGACCCTGGTATAAGAAAAAGGTCTCTTTTGCAGTTTCTTGATTGTAAAAACTGAAAATACGACCAATGTTTTCGAGCATATAAATGGCATACTCCATATACAGTGATTCATCGGCAGCCTTATTAGTCGGTATATTTGTTTCAATCGTCTTGTTACCGCATGCTTTCTTTTTCTTCTCTTGCTCTGCTGAGGATTTTGTAGAGCCTTTCAAGTGGTAATATTCCTTGATGGAACATTGTCTGAAGTTGTTAATATTACCAGTTGAACCAGCAAATACAGTGAAAACCCTTTTTCTTCCTGGATCTACGGCTATTGGTAAATAGTGGCTGCCAACTTTATGCTGCTCAAAACCATCCAGGATCAGATCAACTTGATTGATTTGCTTGGTTAAACGTTTTTCTGTGATTGTTCGTTTGTTAAAAACAAAATCAACAGAAAAACCGTCTGATCTGATCAGGTTACCAAAGAGCCTCTTATTTGTTCCAGTGGGTAATAAAGATTTAATCCTAATAATAAACATATTTTAAATGACTATTATATAAAATCATTTTTTTTTACAACCATGTACTTACGATTTGGTTCTAAGCGGTTTAAAATCAAATACCTTGTAAAATAAATGCAGCTGATCATTATACCCTCTGGGGAGTGGTTCACCAGGAAGAAATGCTGCTAATGCATTGACCGAAATTGTCACTGATCGCCAATGGCATGGTGGTGAAGGGAATACATTGGACAGCCTTAGTAAAGGAAGTCTTCTAACGTCAAACGCTTTATGGGACTGATGTTCCCTTTCGAAGACAGCCAATATATGAAACAACAAAGGAACAAAAAAGCCAGGGCTATCAGCTAACGATTTTATACTAACTCTAGCATCGAGTTTGTTTTTAAGTGGCAGGCATAGTTCATCGATTCTTCGTTTGATCATAGGGTCTTCAAGTGATTTCTGTTCAGACCACACCGCTTCACCTTGGCATACATACTGATATCCATATTTTATAGCAATATCATCGACGTCCTTCGAAGCCATGGACTATATACATAATATTTAAGTAATTAGGGTAAATGAATGTGATTATTAGCTCTTACAACAAACATAATTTGAATTTGATATTGCAAAAATCTTCTCAATATATTTTCATGTCTTTCTACAACTGCATTCTCGTATGTGGTTGCTAGCTCCTAGCAGGCCTCAGCGATGTACTGGCTAGCTCCTCCAATCAAGTCTTCATTAAAAGTGGCATTAGGATTTCCAGCTTTGAAGTTATCCCATTCTTGTAAAAAACTTTGTGGCAGAAGCTTGGTGTTTTTAGGTTCTCTATTGTTCACCAGTTGACAGACAGGATACCAAAACTGTTGCCCAAAGATACCATCAGATACGGATTCACTTGGGGTTTTCGAAAGATACCAGTTCACAAAAAGTTTGGCTCTAAACACTATCTCTCTTACAGCGCTACAACACGAGGTTATTTTCTGCTTCAATATGTTTTGATATTCTTCCTTGACACAATTTTGAAAAGGTAATTTACGAGCGTAAACAGAGTAATTTGGCCCAAGATTCTGAAGCATAGTATTTGACTTACTCTGTAAAAGGAGCAGAGAGGTGAACGTGCAGAAGAGTGGCCGGAAAGTTCACACTTCTTGCATATTACCCCTGGATTAACTTAGGCTTGATTCCTTTGACGTTTTGCTGCTCTTTTTATTTTTTTTCAGTATTTCAGGCTGCTTTCTCTTTCTTTTTCTGATACTAACTATTAGATAGGTTTAGTGACCAATATGTCCATATCAATTGAACACTTAATAATTATATCTTCGTGGTCAGTTTCTTGGAGCAGATGGAGAACTTAATTTTTCTTTAAATAAGATGAACCTCGTTAAAAAAAACATTATAACAGACAAGTCAATCTAACTATTGTTGATGATCTGGTGTAAATAACTTTAAATAAATAAAAAAAGGTATATTATCACAAATAAATCTTTTCTCATAACAAGAACATTTGTCATATATTATTATTATTATTATTATTATGCCAGCTAGTCATAGTTTGATAGCAATAGAACTGAGTTCATTCTAAACAATGATATAGCTGAATCAAAATTTACACTCCTACGGAATAGAGTCATATAATCCAGGAACCAGTAAACAGATCTCATCTTGAATGATAAATAACTGTAAAGATGGTTCACAAAGTATATTTCATTGGAAAAGCCAATACTCTTATTCCATCTAATATAACCTTCAGATCATCAAGTCCTATCTCAAGTTACATCTAAGGACACAATCCAAATCATATATAAGCCTAGAATATAAAAAATCTCTCTCGAACTTTTACCTCAATACATTTATAAACGGTCTCAAAGTATTTCCTACACGTCTCTTTATTTTTTTATAATTTCTATATTCAATCTTTTTATTTAAAAAGTCTCAAAACGCCACAATAACCAGTCATTTTGATACTTCTTCTCTAACAATTGATCTCCCTTTACAGATAAATGTCTGAATGTAAACTCATTCATACAAAAAGCTAATTCTTTTCTGTCTAATTTCCATTTTTATTTCGTCCAAAATAGGCAGAAAAAACATCTGGAAATTAATTTTGATTCGTCCAGAAAAAAACTAGCATCGTCTGAATTGAAGCGTAAAAACAGTATTATCTTCTTTAAGCAGATTTAGTAGTTGCTAAACCACCTCGGGTGGGTATCAAGGAAGGCATACGATGAGGCCTTAATGCTTTGTTAAGGTTCATGTTGGATTGGATATAGGCTGTAGTGGAATCGAGCTCCTTCTTAGGAGGATCTTTTTTGATTTTTTTTTTGAGTGGCATGGATTGAGAAGGATTGATTTTTTTAGGTGGTGGTGGTGGTGGCGTTAGAATAGCAGAGGCAGCGCGTGCTTTGATAGAAGGCAGTGATGATTTCTTTTGTGGCAGCATGACTGAAGCAGGCCTGCTTTTCATACGTTTTGTTATGGTGGTATTAGTATTAGTAGTGGAGGAACTATTATGTGATACGGGATCCGAATTTAAAAAGCCAAAGAATGTTTGGTTTGCTTCTCGATCTGCAATTTCATCCAACTACAACATAGTATGAGCAAAGAGTCATTATTTTTGTCTAAAGAATTACCAAGGCATCCAAATAACGCTTGTCTCCAATCATGACAGGTTTTTCTGCTAACTTTTCAAATTCTCCTATGGCTTTGATCAACTGTCTATCTAACTGTAATAAACGAGGCAAACATGAATTTCGCCACTTCTCTTCTTCCAACAATCGAAATGAAGCTTGGAATAAACGTCTAGGATCAGAAGCCTTTTTTTCAAAATCAATCATTTCCTGAATCAAGTCTTTTCTCTCTTTCATCAAAGCCTGAAGTGCTTGTCCTTCCCCACGGATATTTTTAAGATAGGCTATATGGATTTCAACGGCCGTCTTGATTTCTAGTTTGTTATCTGTCATTGTATAAACAACCATGCTTTTTTTTTTCGACTTACTTTTTTCGTATAAAGAAGCAATAAATACATCTCTTTCTAATTCAGATAGGAGACAAGCATCCCATAAAGGTATAAGTTGTTCCTTAAACTAAACAAAATCAATACAATGACAGACGATACCCAAAACTCACTTGTTGAATATACACATCAAACTTCTTTTTTATCATCGGTTCGAGTCCATCTAAGATATCCTTCAGCTTATACCTGAATTAACAACTGAATGACATGACTGTTGGAACTTACAATACGCATATCCTGTGCCCCTAATCGGTTCGGTAAAACAGGCCTCTCTAAAAGGGGTATATTGAACTCGTCCCATACAGCCATGATTTTAGTGACAGAATAATGGTACATTTGACAATTGGCATCAAACAAAGATTTCATCTGTGCTTGTTTGTCCATTAACAGAGGTAGTTCAGTAAGCTGGAATGGATTTGAGGGATGATGAAAATAGTCGTTTGTACGGTCCAGTTCTGCTTGTTGCTGTTCTCTTGTCATGGTCATGTCAATAGCCATAGGGAAATTCTCGCAAAAATCCAGTGAGGCATCGTTTCTATAATCCAACATATGCCAGTAGAAATGAATGGATTTCATGATTGTATTGAACTGGTAAATACGTTCTTTCTATACATAATGATTAGCCTACTAAGAAAAAAAAGATATAGAATTACCTCTAGTTGCTTTAAATCCCGTAATGTACAGCTAATCTATCAAAATAGAAAGGATCAGCAATTGTTCTCCTATACACGTGTGTAGTCTACTTTACATATTGAATAGTAGCCCAAGAGAGATTGTTTTCTTGATACTCCTAAAAAAAAGTAAATATACATGTACAGATAGATGCTCCGTACTTTTATGGGTTTAAATCTATAGTCTAACTCTAATGTTTTACAGAGTGTTTGTATCTCCATCAACCATTCTTCGACATGTTGTCTTCGAGTAGTAATTTCCTATCCCATTGTTATGATACACGTAACATTCCAAACACTAAAAGCTTACATGATCTAGTCTAGAGTATAATTCGTACAGCGATTTTTGTTTAGGCCAAGTAGGATTTAAGTCAGGATAAATGTCGGGTGTCCATACAACACCATGAGAATCTAACATGTTTTCTAATGATACACCTAATAATCCTGAAGCTTCTTCGATATATGTCTAGCTTGTATAAATAACTTTGTGGTTGGGACTGCTTATTACCATCATGTCTTGAATAGTTGCTTCTAAAAGCCTCTTTTCTTGTCGTTCATTTATGACAAGTGTTTCGAGCACTTGTATGACAGGCTATGTCAAGTTAATAAACGAAATTTGAAATTCAAATTATTGGTGTCACCTCTATTTTTTTATTTAGTGTTAAAGGGTCTAGTTGAACTGAAGACCATAAAGAGTAGAGTGTAGAGAGTTGAGAGGTAATGGTGTTCATGAGGAGAAAAAGGAAGAAAGAGAGAGAAAAAAGAACTTGTACTCACAAACCGACAAAAAAAAATATATTCATCATTTGTGTGACTTGATGAAATAAACAAGCGCTGAATGCATAAATACGTTTATGGAGACTTGTTATTGTTTAAAAAAGCGTTTACTTGTCCGCATTCTTTTAAGTCATGCGAAACATTTTCAAACAAAAGCGTCAAGAATGTATTCTTACTGTTGACAGTTACTTTGTGTTTGGTCGGATTGTAACACAATTAGGAATGATGCAAGAAATCATCTCGATCATTTAATGGAACAGAAAAGAGCCACACCAGCTAATTTCAGTTGGAAATACGTGCTTGTTACACATCCAGGGGTCTATATATGAGAGCGAAACTTGATGGTATTAGCGCAATCAGTTGTTTTTTTTTAGAAAAAAACAGAATTCTACGTTACTTGAATGACTACTTTACGCATTGAATATCGTGGTTTTGTTAATGTTGCTATGTCAATCCATTTTTAGACATCCTGTCAAATACTTTGCATGTATTATCCTTCATTGTTAGTGCGCATAAGCATTATTCATGTGCTAATGAGCGAGATAATGATGGCATTTATTGAATTATTACTATGACAATGAGCAAAGCTTATCAACATAAGTTTTAGGGAAGTATGTAGAATGCAAGCCTTAGAGAATTGACATTTTGAGTATTGAACTCAATATCACAAAGCCCATTAGATAAGCCAAGCGACTAGATCAAAACTACTCTACTACAATATAAACTCTTTTATCGACTGGTAGCAGAATATGATTGTTTGTTTTGGGACGTTGTGACTCAGTACCTAATTATGGACATTCCAAAAAATTCAACATCAGACGCAGATTCAAAAACGCAGATAAGTTAATAAAAACACGAATGCGATTATAAGAACAGAAGCCTACTAGAAAGATCAACATGATACATTAATCAAAGTTGTAGTGCTTTATTTAACACAATAGGTGGTATACAAACTACTTGTTTTGGATGTTTATATGCTGAGTAAAAGGCAAAAAAAACGTATCTTCATTTTCTGGCGATAGCATACACTTTTTATATATCTTTCACAAATACAACACTTTTGGTGTGTTTCAAAACACTTTAGAGACATTTTTCATTATGCATTATCATAGTAAAAGTCTTATCTATCTCTGTCAAACGATGATGGTTTAAATTTTGACAAAAGGATTTTTTTTTGTATTGAAAACATTAAAGGATGGTCAAGTGTACACAGAGTGAAGTGATTCGCCATATAATTATCATTTTGTATAACTATTTTACTGTTTTCTTCTTCATTTTTGAAATCTTTGGTATTTCTTTGGTGCTTCTTTCGGAATTTTTTTTCAGGGTCAAAAGGCACTCCATGGAAACGATGTTGGAAGTGGCTATACCAAATTGATCGAATTATTGTCGCAAAGAAGTCATACATGTTGATATTTACATCTAAGTTGTAGATGAGATATCTCGAAAGTCTAAGATTTTTAAAGTCTTGGAATATTCTATCTGTATTAATTTCGGTTGGGTAGCCAAGGAACTTGTTGAATACACCTTGACAAATCATTGCCTTATTTCCACAAGAGATTAGTAAATGTTTGGCATCTTCTGTTTGGTTGCAATTGATATATCGACCATTTTTGACGCCTTTTATTCGTCTTTCGTGTAGAAATTGCTTGCTAGGGATTCTGTTGTGTAGAATTTTGAGCCAAATGTTTTTTGCAGAATGATGCATTGGTGCTGTGTAGAATTGCTTCCATTGGGCATGGCTTGATATTATTACTGAACTCGTTTGGCTTTTTTAAAGGAACGTTTTCCAGCAGTATTCTTCGGAGGCCTTGGTTATTTACTTGGAGAATCGCTTTGTTGTCGTGTTGTAATTCCTTCAGATATGTCTCAAAACCCAAGGATTTTTTGAGACTCTCTTTCATTGTCTTGTTCAATATGTCGTAGAAAATACTGCTTTAATTGCAACGGGTTGCTAGAAGTGTGTTTCTTTAATTTGGATAATATTGCTGGTCTACTCTATTCATTTCAGCTTTTGAATGAAATTTAATTGGTTGCTAAGTCGAGATTAAAAAAGTGTTAAACTAGGCTTTTCTTTGCTGTTGGACTGCCAATGAATGTCAGCTCAGCGTTGTCTTTCCAATTGTTACATACAGTTGAAAGGGGCAGAGTCATACAATTGATTGCTGGTAATGATATTGAGACTTCATCTTTTGGGTTACAAAGCTTTGTCAATACATCCATTGTTTCAAAAAATCAATCCAAATGCACCGTCTTTGTTTAGGGATGTTTTATATCTAGAGTCAGAGAAGAGCATAATAGATCCGAGGCTTGGGTTATTCGTTTCGACTTGAAGAGCGTATACCACTATATCATACAGGTACTTTGGGATTCGTTTAAATTGCTCACAGTTGAGCAGAGTTTCGATATATCTCATCTGTAGAGATCCCTGTTAGGCAAACAAGTTTAATAGCCCTAGACCTCCTTTAACATTAGGCAGGTAAAAGACATCCTTTTTGATTTGCAATTTCTTCTCGTCGACTATATAATGGTAGATGATTGAGTTCAAGGTCGAAAGTATAGCTTTGGGTAGTAGTGTCAATCTGAGCACATGCCATAGTTTGGAGAGTGTTATTGTGTTGGCTATATTTGCCCTATCGTACATAGAAGTATTTCTTGTTTTGAAAAAGGCCACTTGAGCTCTGATTCTTCCAGTCATTTTGGCTACAAACACTTCTCTCTGTTGTTTTTTTACGCAAATTCGGTATCCCAGGTATTTGATATAGTCAGCACTGTTGTAGTCGTACCATTTCATACGTTGCTGGATGTACGTTTTTAATCTTACCTCAAAATATTCATTCATTTTACCTCCATGGAGTGGAAAGGCCTGGGACTTTTCATAATCAATCTTGAAGCTTGACACTTGACTATATGTCTTGAAGCATTCTTCCATTTGCATATATTCCGATCTAGATTTGACAAATATGATGATATCGTCTGCATAGGCTAGGATCTTGACAGGCGTTGGTGGAGTGAGTTGAACTGTTCTTTGATCTGCTGGTTTGCTAGCTTAGATTGAATATCCTGAGATACTGTTATTGTTGATAATTGATAGTAGGAATGGCTCAATAGCAAAGTTAAAAAGTATTGGTGATATAGAGTCTTCTTGCCTTAGTCCTCTTCGCTGTTTCACTGGATTGGATAGAAATCCATTCATGTTGATGAAGATTTCATTGTCAAAGAAAAGGTTCTGTATGCATCTAAAAAATTCATTAGGAAAGCCAGAATCCAGTAGTACTTGTGTAAGATAGTGTGGATGAACTCTGTCGTAAGCTTTGTTATTATCAAGCATCACTCCAACATATTCTTCAAACTCTTGGTTGTTTCCTGCTCTGGTTGTTGTGAACATATATGAATTCATATGCATAGATCAATAAATGATGATCATGGCAAAAGACCAGATCACATCTATGGCAATTGAAATGGATCTATAGTTACTGAAATTCACTCATTCTACGAGAAGTACTACATCATCCTCATAGTCAGAGATTATGAACCTAGTAATTCTGTTATTATCAATGGCCCTCATAAAGTGACAGTTAAAGCTGACAAATACATTAGCATTGGCATTTGACAAATATGTAATAGTTTATTCAAGTTCAGGTCAGATCATGTACTGTTGGCTGAGCTGACAACTTCCCCTAAAGGCATTTCTCTTAATTGTTCCTGATCTAACAGATTAATCTGTGGTCAAGAAGCTAACCTCAAAACAATATTTCGACCGAGAAGAAAAAGTATAAATACTTCGACATTTTATAGCAATTGAAAGATAACATTTCTTTGAGAAATGAAAAGCCTATACAAGTTCTAACGGACTTTCTCTGTGTTCTCACCTTTTCTCTTATTTTATATCTATTCTCTTTTCATCTCACAACATTACCCATTGATAAACAGGTATATAAAGAAGCCACCTTGCCACCATCACCATATGTCTATCATAGCATAGAGAGCTAAGCCGTAGAAGAGGAGGACGCTGCAAAAGATGGAACTGAAGATGCCAGCCGAAAAAGGTTATTTGAACTCAGGGGCTTTCTAAAAAGTTTGCTGTGTCAAGAAGGTGAAATAACTCTTCAATACTTGCAAAACAATCGCTCTGATCTCTCCGATAATGAAAGGAACGTATGTCTTCTTGTGGCAATTCTTAAGCCATATATCCCTTCTAAGGCCAATTATGCTCACATTGGCCATCAGCTACGTTTTGTTACACTTGCCACTGATCTTCTCCGTTGTGCTGAATACGCCAGGTTTACTCAAAATATATGTCCTATGCTAAGCACTAAGCTAAAGGTATCTCTGTTGGATACTACATCCTTGTATTCTCTTTTTTGTCTTCATGGACAAGATAGACTGAGTTTTTTTTTTTCAAGTACGATAGAAACCCCTTTCAAGTCAAAAATGAGATTGTTAGCCACAAAGACGCTATTTTCAATTCTCTCTTGATTTGGCGAAAGTTCAAGCTGCATGTTAGCGATCGAAATTGGTTTTAGCTTAAACACAACTATTTTACCCAGCTCAAAGTATGTAAGAATAATGAGTACCAAGACGAATAATTCTACACAAACAACAGCTACTCTCGAGCAGCAGCCTCATCGTAGCAATCAGTCTATTAGAGACAACGCAACTCTTAAAAAAAATTACTAACCTACAGAAAGAAGTCAAGAATCTATCGGTAGAACTGAGGCAAAACTACAAGGCGCATAATGATGGCAACTTGGCACTAAAATAAAGGTAGCAAAAAGATACAGAAGAAACCCTTTTCCTGAACCTACTACTCAAGCTAGCCAAGCTAGTACTTCCATGAACCAATTAAGACTAATGAGTATTGATCCAACTAGCCCTTACACTCCGGCTAATCACGTTGATGCTGAACTATGTAGATGCTTGACAGACGTGAATAGTTGCACTTGTGATACCCTAGAAGAAATTCAAAATATAATCTATGATATGAGAAGCAGACCATTGGGTGCTCAAGTTGCTCAACCAACTACACAATCCAGTGTTCAACCTATTTCAACTCCAAAGCAAACCAAAACTGAACCTGATATCACCAAAAAACGAACGTTGCTTGAAATCCGAAAAGAAATCTCACAACTTATTGATATGCTCAAAGACCAACGATTTAAAACTTATTTGAATATTCAAAAGTGCAAAAAAAAAAAAAAAAAAAAAAAAGCTGTCTAATTGTACATTTTGTTTGCACGTTCGGCGTCGAGCGCTGAACATGCTCAAGAAGAATCAAGAAGAAAAAAAAAGTAAGAATCCCATCAGATTATTGTCAAAGTAGTCAACGCGAACGACGATAGGACTGTTTTCAAGGCAAAAGATGTTAATCTGACCCCGGTTGCTGAACAAATCTTTCAAGAATTTACATTCTCAGGAACTGATAATGGGATTGTGAAGATGTCTGAGCCCGTGCCTGTTACATTCGATAAATACGTCTATTGTTTGAAACTATACAACCGTTTTGCTGCATTGGATGAAGAAGAACTCAAGCAAGAAAACCCCGAGTTTCAAGCACTACATGAAGCAAAGACAATCGCTGCTAAAGATGTTGATTTTGGAAGTAAAAATTTCCATTATAGACACAAGCTTACTGCGCTCAAATAAGATAACGCATTGATATTGGAAACAAAAAGAGAATCGTTGAGCCAAAGCTTTGGAAGCACAAAAAACGAAGATGAAACCTGGGGAACATACCAACATTTACAAGAAAGCAAGAACGTGTTGAAAGGCTTTTATGACAATCCGAGAATGAGGCAGTGGAATATAAGAATGAAAATGTACATGAAGAAGGGCAGGGATCGCATTTGCTCGCAAGAGTGTGCATGGCTAAATCCAATAACAGCAAAAGACAACTATGATCCCAAAGGAAAGAAAAAGTCAAAACATCAAGCCACCTCTAAACAGTTGATAATGATGATTGGTGATTGGGGAATGGGTGTTGGTTCAAGAATCAAAAGGCACTCACGATATGGTGGAACTTGGAAGCAAGATGTTCATGCTCATTATACAAATGTCTGCATTACCAATGAAAACAATGCATCTCAGACCAGAAACTTCAACATCCTAAGTAATTATTCAGAAAGCAGGGAATAACAAGATACAAAAACATGAAAGGTGCTTTTAGTTTGTCATATTCCTGGATGGCCCTCAGTCAAGAATGGTCGTAGTATAAGTGGAGGAGATAAGGTATCTAGCTTTGGCCATTGTTATCTCAGACATAACCATTTTGCTCTTTCATAAAACTCTTCCTGGTTTCTCTGCAAGCGTCAGTTACTCCAATACTGAGTTAAATTCGAAAATGACAGCTTTTTATACAAGAAGTGGTGTATCGGTCGAGAGTTTAGCATCTCTTTAGCGGATCAAGTATTTTATTCAAATTTAAAGTTTTCGTGCTGGAAAATCGTGTTTATATGGAATATTTTGCATTTATTTAGATACTAGACTATAAATTAACTCTTCTACTTCTGTCACTGAAAGCTTGATCCCATTATCTGCCAAGATCTTCGTTTTGTCTGCTATAGACATATTACTGAATAACTTGAGCACGTCACCATCCAAATAATAAGAAGGCATATCGCTTTCTTCTTGATTAAAGAAATGATGATGCTGGCTATTGATCTTTGGCCTATAACTTCTAAAAGCAACATAATCCAGTTTACCGATATTTTGGCTTTCTTTCAATATGCTGTTCTGTATCTGCTTGAAGAACTCAAACGCTTCTTTTGAAATTGTTTTGACAACCCCTATGGATCCATGCACAGTAGCATATGTGAAGGCTGGTTCAATTGACTGTGTAATCGTATGTGTATCCTCATTGGTAATGTCCACTAGTGTACCTTGTCGGAAACAATTGACCAAAGAGCCTACATGGAATCCACTGGTGAGTTCCAACTTGGCCATGCCATTATGTTTCTTTTGTTCGTCAAGAATGAGTGTAAACAGGTTATTACGATCATCTGCACCAATATAGACATGATCATTTACAAATTTAACAGCTGTCATCCAAACTGGCTTTGAGTCCACGGCCAAGAGTTCCAGCTGAAGTGGGTCTTTTGAAAGCATCTGAAGGACTGACATGGATCGCATCAAATCACCTACAAGTACACGATCATCACGCACATCCAGACACAAAGCAAGAACATTGCGATGAATATTCAAATCAAATTTCACGCGAGCACCTAAAGGTAAGTCAGGTCGAAAGCTACTTAGACAAAAAATGGATCCATTAACACAGGCTACAATTGAACCATGGCATGACCGCATATCATAAATCACACCAGACATGTCAATCGCTTCAATCAATTCACAGGTATGTGTTTCCTTAATATCAAACACAAGAATACGGCCACGACTTGCTTCTGGATCATCTGGATCGGGAATAGCTGTACCAACAAACAAGAAGTCTTGTTGATAACCAGGGAATCGAGCTACTGTCATACTCTCTACGACTTCTTCATTTGACAGTGTGTAACTATCCAAGACTATGAACATGATTAATGAGTACATAATAGAAATAGTGGTAATACCTTGTAATGTTTGTGCGTCTAGAATGTTGAGTTTGCCCTTTCGAATCAAGAAATTGTTATTCAAATTTTTAAAGATCATGGTGGTGCCCACCGCTAATAATTTAAGCTGAGGCATGTATCGAATACGAATAGGCATTTCATTTTCCAGTACAATTTTAGTATGATGTAGTCTTTGATTCAAGTCAATTTCGCCAAACATTAGACCTGTGGGTGTCATCAAGATCATGTGATCATTAAATGAAGTAAAGCGATACATATCTTTCAGGTTGACAGCTGAGAAATAGAGTGTACCATGTAAATGAGTGACAATGGTGGGTCGACTGCCTGTAATAAACACTTTGGTTTCTCCTCGATGTTGGTAAGCATGCATGCTTGTACAATAAGTGCCTACAACCGTCTGTCGTTCTTCTAGAAGCTTGTTTTTATAGACATAGCTCAATAATTGACCATCCCCTAACAAATGAATGAATAGTGCTTTTGTGTATATCTCTTACCAAACAGGACTAAAAGGTATACTGTCTTATCAAACTGAACAAGAACAAGGTCAGTAGGTCCTATTTCTTTCTGCAGTGTGTGTTCCAATAAAGGCACCAATTGAGGCAGGCTCAATACTTGTATTCTACGTTGCTTCCATGTACCAATCATGACACAATCTTTGCCAATACCATTCTCTTTACCCAAACTGAGTTTGATACAAGCAACATGGTCGTCTGTCACCTTCCTAGTACTATATGATCTTTGTTACACACATACATTTACAAAGATAAATTTACCTCTGTTGATACAAGTTATCGTCCAGTGCAAAACAAACAAGTGTGTTTGAACCACAACAGACTACACATTGTGCTGAACTCAGTTCAGCCAAAGCAATAAACTGCCCTACAGGTGGTTTCCATTCATCCAACAGTCTACCATGTTCATCATGTTGCATCAATCGTATAAAAGTGGGTGTGATTTGAACCAAATGCCCCTTTTGTGTCGTTATAGATGCCAGTGTGGTTTGTTGCAAATCAAGAGATGCATAAGTGGTATATTCTCGAAATTCAGTGTGTTGAATATGTTTTAAAAAAACGGTTTGGTCAAATGTAGTAATAAGCAGTGCATTTTGCTTTTGTCTACTCTGTATAAGTACATAGTTGGTCAGAGTAATATTACCTGTCACTAGCATGTAATGCCCACACATCTTTAATTAATGGGATATCCACACTGTATTGCTCTGTAAATCCAACACCATTTTCAACAACACGCAATGATCCATTTCTGTCTACACCTGAACAACACACCATTGTTTGCTTCATGGGATTATGAGTCTAGAGGTATGCATCTATGTATACTACCTTTCCTTGTTGATCATAATCAAACAGACAAAAATCAATAATAGGACCCAAGTTATGAAATGTATGTAAGATGCACACACTGGTTCTTGCATGACTTTTGTTTAAACGAAACACACAAGAGTCTCCCTTTGTTGATCCTGCGTAAAATAAGCCACGACCTAAATCAACAATTGAACTAGGAATAGGAATTTGCCCAATAGTTGTACTTGAGATATTGATCACTTTCATATTATGCACTTCCAATGTTAACAAATAAAGATATCCTTCTGAATCACCCAGCATACAAGTATCATAACTATTTTCGAGAAATGTATAGGATGTGATCATTACAGGATCAATACTGAGTTCTTTAGTTTCTCTGCCTGATGAACTCAAGTCATGATAGGACAAGATGTATTCGCCTATAGCAAGTACACCACCAATAGGATCAGGCACACTAATCAACATGTGTGTAGTTGCTTCTACTCGCATTGTCAGTTTTTCATTTTCGACCATTTCATTGCTTGAATAGCGAAATATTTTGATTGTCTTAAGTTCATTGATTTCTCCCAACAAGACAGCAACAGAAGATTGCTGAATGCCTTTTAATGCTACCATATCTAAGAAATCAAATTCGTTTGTTCTAATTGTCGATCAGATAACAAGTAGACATAATGTTATTATACCGAATAGATTCAGGTGAAAATCGTTTTGCCTTCAGTTTTTGTTCTTTAGCTAATGGAATAGAAAACAAATAGCCTGTGAAGGCACTCACAAGCATGGTGTTAGTTCGAGTGTCCATAGCAATTGCTGTAGATTGATCTGTAATTTTGGCTTGTGATTCTGTCAAGATACCATGGCCCTCTGTAACAATTGTTTCTGTTCGACTACTATAAGTAACAATAGTAAAATATTTTTGATCTGTCAGAATAAACAATGAACAAGTCTCACGATCCTATTTGGAGTTATGAAAAGTAGTTGACGATCTAACACTTACAGGTAAATGACAGACAGAGAGTCTATCTACTACACCATAAATAGAGAAATGAGTTAAGAGTTTGATGCCTTCATTCAAGATGGAATAGATTTCAATAGTCGATCCTTTACTACGAATATGTCAACCTTACACGTTTACAGAATTGAAGCTTACGAAACAATCAAATTTTCTTGAAGGGAATTAATAAAATAGCCCTTGATAGCATTTGTTACAGCAGTAGCAGGGTTAATAGTGGTTGCAATATGATACTTGTTTATATCCATAAAGAAGAAGAAAAAAGAAAGACAGAAAAAAAGACACGTCGCGTATTTTTATTTATTCTATTTTATTTTTATTACTATTATTGATAAAAAGAACCATAGTGCATCATGTCAAGTGTATAGAATAATAACATATCATCAACAAGAGACGAAACACAGCCTTAGAAAGCGGTTAAGTTCATTTGCTTCACCTCTTTTGTTTCTAATCATTTGCACTAAAGAAGAAAAAAAAAGTTTTATTTTCGTAAATCCAAAACTTTAAAATCATAATCCGCTATTTGAATATGACCACCTGCTTCTTGTGCACTCTATAGTTGTGTTACAAATAATTCTGTTAGTTGTTTACTTACCGTATAAATGGGCAAATCTGGATGAGGGTGAAAAGCAGGTGTCTGCTTACATTCGCTAATGATATCTAACCCAGGAGGATCTGTCAATCGAAATATACCAAAGCTATGACGAATAAGTACGAACATATACACAATGACTACTTTACTTGGGTTGATATGAAGGGGCACACACAATGGCAATGGCTTCAGGCAGCATAAGTTGATACGAACAATGTGTATGTAGATCCAGAGAACTCAAAAAACAAGATTGTGTAGGATGTGTCTAACAGAATTAAGGCAGGCTAATGGAATAAAACTTACATGAATCCAACCAAAAGTCAATAAGTCATGTTTGTCTTGGATATCAAACAAATCCTCTTCATTTTCTGTTGTACAAGTATCTGCTGTGCCTGTCTGTTTGGGTATAATCAAAGTAGTGATCCTTAAGATATTGTTTTTCTAGCGGAATGATGAGTATGTTATCAAACAGACAGAGACTTACCAAAGTACCAGCCAAAATACCACATGTTTCAATCTTATTCCTCGTATTGGGTTCTGCAATCAAAAGGAACCGAGAATGAATACCCTTAGGCAACAACATTTGTCGAAGTGGTTCTCCTCTTTCAGTAGATGCTTGTTTCATAAGTGGAAATACTATCATGCGATAACTTACCATCTGTTGTAGGTCCTCTAGTACGCTGTTCTTGTTCTAACTTGATCTTGGGTGGTAATTCTGGCGCCTTGTGGTGTGGAAGAGGTAGTTTGGGTGGTAGTGCAGGCAAAAGATGAAGTTTAGGAGGTAATTCTGGTGGTGCAGATGGCTTGATATGGTTACTTTGATAAGTAAACCTTGATCGTTGTATTAGGAACAGTTTTCTATATATATATGTATATTTCTTTACCTGTCACTTTGATTAAACAATGAATGATTTGGATATTCAGTTGTTGGGTATTGTTGATAATGCGTTGGTCTATTGTCTTGTCAGTAAACAACAAGATGTGCACTATACTAACCGAGTTCCTTCGTTGATACCAACACCTGCAACACCTTTCAAAGCCTCTTGAAGATTCCATTCAACTTGGTCATGGGTTGGACTCTTTTCTTGTGTTTGTGGTTGCCATTGGCTGGTTTTGTTTGGAACCGACTGCTTCACTTTTTGTACCTTTTCCAAATAGACATTGTATGCTTCTTCCAGAGCTGGCTTCATGGTTTCTAAGGCTTCTAATGCCTCCAAGCAATTCTAACAGACTATAAATGATCCATGATTTTATATGTTCTCGACATATACTTTGTTTAATAATTTAAGACTTTTTTTGTTTTCTGGATTTCGGTAGGCCGGATGTTTAGGTAGTTCATTGATACCTAAGCTAATCAAACCTTGTTATTTCTCTTTATGCTTTTATTTTTATAGATACGTACTTTGTGTATTTCATGTACAAGATATAAGTACGTTCCAAGTCGTGTTCTAGTTTATAAACCCGGGCTTGTTTCAATAACAAGTCGGCAGAGCGAAAGTAGAGTCTAATAGGTATATTTGGGTCAACAGAAATAGCTGTTTGCTTTTCTAGTTCGGCTGGTGACCTCGGTATAGACATGATAAAGAGAGAAAGGGAATAAAGGGAAACGGGAAAAGGCCAAGCGAATCCAATTTTAAAATAAGCAATGCGGACATTCAATGTGCTTCCGGCTCGAGAGCCCTTCCCATTGTTCTTAGGGTCTTGGTCTCCACGGAACATCTATCCTTTGAATCTCTTTCTTTTTATCTTCATCTAATATACAAGATGGTAAACTATTGTCTATAATTCAACTTCCATCATCATCCATCCACCATGAATCAACATGAATCCTATATCAACGAAAAAAAATCGAATTTGAGACAGATCATGTTGACATGGCGTTGATGACTCATGATGGAACCCATTGTCGAATCTATATACTCATTCATATCTTATAGTCCGCTGCCAGACCTGTTCTTAACGTCTATGCCGACAACGGCAAGAGTGTCTCTACTACTGTTCCCCTCCCCGCTGTCTTCAAGGCTCCTATTCGTCCTGACATTGTCAACTTTGTCCACACTAACATGGCCAAGAACAAGCGTCAACCTTATGCTGTCTCTAGCAAGGCTGGTGAACAAACCTCTGCCGAATCTTGGGGTACTGGTCGTGCCGTTGCTCGTATTCCTCGTGTCAACGGTTCCGGTACTCACCGTGCCGGTCAAGCTGCTTTCGGTAACATGTGTCGTGGTGGTCGTATGTTCGCTCCCACCAAGACCTGGAGAAAGTGGCACATCAAGACCAACTTGAACCAAAAGCGTTTCGCCACTGCTTCTGCTTTGGCTGCTTCTGCTCTCCCCTCTTTGGTCATGGCTCGTGGTCATCGCGTTGAAAAGATTGAAGAAGTTCCCCTTGTCGTTGCTGACTCAGTTGAACAACTCATCAAGACCAAGGATGCTGTTGCTCTCTTGAAGGCTATTAATGCCTACGCTGATGTCGTCAAGGTTTCCAACTCTCGCAAGTTGCGTGCCGGTCAAGGTAAGCTCCGTAACCGTCGTCACAGACAACGTCGTGGTCCTCTTGTGATCTATAACGAAGACAACGGCCTTGTTAAGGCTTTCCGTAACTTGCCCGGTCTTGAGCTTGTGAACGTGCGTCGTCTCAATCTCTTACAACTCGCTCCTGGTGGACACCTTGGTCGTTTCATTATCTGGACTCAATCTGCTGTTGCTCTTTTGGATGAGCTCTATGGTACTTATGAAACTCCCGCCACCTTGAAAAAAGACTACGTCTTGCCCGCTCACATCATGACCAACCCTGATGTTGCTCGTCTTATCAACTCTGACGAAATCCAATCTGTTGTTCGTCCTGCTGGTAACAAGCACCACAAGCGTCCCTTCACTCAAAAGAAGAACCCTCTCAAGAACCAAGGTGTCATGAACCGTCTTAACCCTTACGCTCAAGTTCTTCGTCGTGCTGAACTCATCAAGGCTGAAAAGGTTGCTGCTGGTAAGGTCAAAAAGGACCAAAAGAAGCGTGGTACCTCTACTGCCGCTTCCAAGAAGTTCTTGGAAACTCTTCACTCTGCTTAATCTGCATAAATAAAACCTTTATTTTTTTTTGTCAAGTGTAACTTGTTCCATTGGCTGTCAATAAATCAATTGTTACACAAAAAGGAGATAGAAAAAGAGGAGGAAGGGAGGGGGGGTATAAAATGTTTGCTGTTGAGTTTTCTAATCCCCTTTTTTTCCTCAAACTTTTTTTTTCTAAAAAAAATGATTAAAGATACCCAAGGCCAAATGGCGGCTGTTCAAGTAGGTAACTATCCTTTTCTTTTTTCTTGAGAAATAGCCATGATGATTAAAGTTTGTTTAAGCCATACGAGTGAGGCCACTGATGGAACGTGACCGAACACAACGTTTTAATGGAGAAGTATTAAGATCGCAAGACAGACATATTCAAGTAGTACCACAAAACAAATATTTTCATTATGACCATGTTTTTGGATCAGATACACAACAATGTGAAATATTTGCTCGCTTAGGCGAAAAGCCAGTTCAGAAATTTGTAGAAGGTAGTAAAAAAAAAAAAAAAAAATGAAAATGTGTTACTCAACTTGTTTGATAGGCTATAATGTCACCATGCTTGCCTATGTAAATAATAGAGAGTGAATGCAGTGTGATGTAAGACTAAACTCTATTAGGGTCAAACATCCTCAGGAAAGACATATACCATGGGAACAGCACAACATACGGAAGCTTCAGACCCAGATCAAAACGGCATTGTGCCTCGAGCAATGGCTCTATTGTTCAGTTTGCTTGAGCAACAACAACAACAACAACAGCAGCAGCAGCAGCAAACCATAGGTTTACGCCCTGTATCTCAGCCAAGTTCATCTAAATATCGTTATTCCGTCAAAGTATCCTTTGTTGAGATTTACAATGAAGATTTGATTGATTTATTGAATCCAGCCCCTCCTTCAGAAAAACCACCCGTGACCATCAGAGAGGATACAAAAGGCCACATTTATTGGACAGGCGTAAAGGAAGTAACAGTTCACAACACAGATGATGTTTTATAGTAGGTACCTGGAGTTATATTTGAGATTAAACTTTAAATTATAAGCTTTCTTCAACAAGGTACAGAGAATCGTGCCACAGGTTTTACTGATATGAACGAAAAGTCGTCTCGATCTCATGCTATTTTTTCTGTTACTTTAAAACAAGAACGGTTTGTGTCGAATTCACCTCAGTCAAGTAGAGCGGCCAGTCCAGTACCTTCTAAACCGCAAAAGCAACGATTATCCAAACCTGCTGCCACAAATGAAGATGGTGATTGGGTCATTACGAGTTCTAAATTTCATTTTGTAGATTTGGCTGGTAGTGAAAGAGTAAGTGAATCGTATTTATGAGTCTTACTAACATGAGTCAATAGCTCAAACGAACAGCAGCAGAAGGAGACCGAAGAAAGGAAGGTATCAATATCAATGCGGGCCTATTAGCACTCGGCAATGTCATCTCAGCACTAGGTGATCCTTCAAAAAAAAGCACACATGTGCCTTACCGTGATTCCAAACTCACTCGACTCCTGCAAGATTCATTGGGCGGTAGTGCCATGACACTTATGATTGCCTGTGTCAGTCCAGCCGAATCCAACTTGTCAGAAACACTCAACACACTTCAATACGCTAATCGCGCACGCAACATCAAGAACAAAATGGAAAAGAACGAGATGGAGGAATGGATGACAAACGACAATCTTGATTTCTTGCGCAACACAATTTCCAAACTCAAGGCTGAACTTCGCAATAAGCCAACCAAATCTATCGAGAATTCACGTGTGCTGTCTGATTTTGGTAGTGAGGAACATCCTGATTTTGATGAACTGTATCATCAACAGCATGTCATGATTGCAGACTTGCAGCAACAAGTAGAGGAATTACAGGGAGCAGCCGAGTTTGTGAAAGAACGCAATGTAGTAGTGGAAAAGGAGCTGGTCAGGTTGCGTCAAGAACAGTCGACGGATTTTGATTTTCAGCACTTGGTGGAGCCTGTGATTGAAGAATATGAAAAATCTATTTCAGGTCTAGAGTCTCAATTGGCTATGATTCGAGCTGCTCTAAGCCATTCGGATCAGGGATTTGAAGAACAACAGGCCAAGATTGAACAATTAGAGATTGTGATTGAAAGCCAAGAAAAGACCATTGGTGAATTGCGACGTCGTGTAAGCAAGTTGCTGGAACGTCGACTGAAAGACGAGACTTATATTACTGAGCTTGAGAAAAAGCTCATGACAGCAGTAGAAGAAACAGTGCATGATCGAGAAATGTTGAGTGAATTACGAGGCAAGATATTGAAGCTGAAAGAAGTGGACGAAAATACTGAAGAATACATTCATGATTTGGAGAGTCGACTGACTGCCAGCGAATCAGAACGTATGGCATTAAAAGACAAAGTGAATGAACTGATGAGTTCAACCAAGATTGAAATTCAGGGCAGTGAAGAAGAAAAAATAATGGTAGATCAAGAACATCAAAAGGAGCTACAAGCATTACAGGAAAAGCATGATGCAACTGAAAAAGAACGTCAGCGACTACAAGCCCAAGTAGATCAACTGCTTGCTCAAACCGCCTCCCAAGGTGAAAGTTTTGAACATGCTATCAAGAATCAAGAAGAAAGTAGAGAAAAAGACCACCGAATTCGAGAACTTGAATCAAGCTTGGCTAATTTACATCATGAGCATCAAGACACGCTCAAGGAGTTAGATGAAGTACTTTTGCGATATCAGGAAGTGCTTGAACATGCACCTTCAAATGCAGATGAAGAAGTACAGCTTTTACGTCAATCAATTCAACATTTAGAACACGAATTAGACATGTCTTCTAAGCGTGAATCGATCTTTAGACAAATGTCAGAAGAACATAATGAATCAGCCCAAGTGGAAAAGACACTTCAGAATCTCGAAGTACAAGATGTGAACGATAACAATGAATTTGTTTTACGTAGCCTGGATACCCTTCAAAAGAAATACGAGCACTTACGTATTGAAATGCAACTACAAAACATACATGTTGAACAAGAACAAGAACAAGACATCGAAGCACATAGCATGGCTGATTTCCGTGCTTGTTTCGAGTCTCAATTGCTTGCTTATAAACGTGAAATCAAAAACTTGACCCGTGTCATCAAAGACATCAGACGCGTTCGATCCAATGAAAGCAAGAACATGGTTCATCCTGAACATCGCATCTTGATGAAAAGCCTTGTTGTTCTTGACAAACAATTAATAGAACAGTACGAAAAAATGAAATTAGAAGCCAAGCGGTTCTCAAGCGATATAACAGAGCTGATGCATTATGACCATGAATTAATCAAAGACGACAGTACACACAGTAACCATTCCTCTGTTCCTTCCTCGCCTCGTATTCGTAACTCTATGATTCGTCCGCCTACAAACTTTAGTACAGGCAGCACAGGTAGCAATCGATCATCCATTGTGACTACACTTGAAGAGGAGGACAGTTTTGATAAAGACGAAAAGAACCAAATAGCTATTCAAACACGACTATTAATAGCAAAACACGACTTGAAAGCACATCAAGCAGTGGTGAGTGCATTGGAATACAAGTTCAAAACCGCAGAAATTGCATTAAATACGTGCAAGAAGCGTATGGAAGGTGCTGCGTCTGTGACAGACGTAGAGATTGAAGAACTTATGTCAAAAATGGACGCTATGCAAATCCAATTAGAAACCAATGAAAAGAAATCTATTCTGATAGATTAGTTTCTCTTTTTTGTATTTCATAATGGAATGATATCTATATGTACATTTTTATAATAAAGTTTATACATTATTCGAGCACATCTGCATAAGGTAAATCTGCCCCCTTTCCTTATATAATTTTTTTTTTATGAACATACACTTTTTGAAATAAAAATGGGACAGAAAAAAATTATATAAGCTACCTGCCTTGTTTAAAATGGACTCTACTATTCACGAAGACGGGAAAGGCAACATGTTTAACGATTAAGGCGACGTAGTTGTTGAGATGGGGATGGAGATGGAGGTTGACGAAATCAATTATCCCCTGGACAATGTTACAAACTTCGATCAGTATACTGATCTGAGGCCTCCCGAGAAGATGCAGCAGGGCCCTAAAGGAAACCTTGAGAAGCAGCCTAATTCTCTTTCTGAAACAAAAAAAAAAAAAAAAAAAAAAAAAAAAAAAAAAAAAAAAAAAAAAAAAAAAAAAAAAAAAAAACCATACAAGAGGACACTAACTTGGTTTTCATTGTATAGTTTCGATTCTTGTTAGGCATTTTAAAATTTCATTGAATGCATGTTTTGCGTTTATTATACCTGATCCTTGAACTATTCCCTCTTTCAACAACAGAAGCCTTATTTCTTGCTCTATTACTTCTGTGCTTGTGTGTTTCGAAGAGCAATAGACCGGCTGCCCAGGAATGCTGACATCTTTGAAGAGGAAAGCCATGAGTAACAGCATTGCTTTCAAGCTTAAATGTGTATTTTGCGAATAGAGCAGAAGACACTTCAGACCATAAAGGCAACACAGCTGCTTGTCATTCTTCTTTAAAGCTTTCAGCAGCTCTAACTCCATTTCATCGTGGGTATTTTTTGCGATGGTTCTGAGGATCCTGTAGTCATTCTCATTCGCTTTATCATCAATTAAAAGATCAGTGATATTTCTTTCTTTCTTGAATAAGTTGATCAGGACAAGCAAACGCAACCGTGGCGTAACGTGTCTATGTTATCCATGAGAGCCGAATGCTTTTGTTGCTTCCTTAAGTACTCTAGGAATGTCTCGGAAGCCCATCAAGTTTGGATTAAGAGAGTTGGCAACAGCGCCTTCTCTTGCTGCATTTTCCAAAAACAAATGTTTATACATATTCTAAAGAAATAGCTTGTTTTTTTTTACCTTGTTGAGCTGCTTCAAGAACTTCACAATTGATCTCATTACTATCACTTTGGGCAAAAGAGGGTGCTAATAAATGCATCAATCCCTCGAGTATTTGAGTCTGTGATTCGATTTTTTGTTCGAGTTGGGAAACTTGTTGTTGCATTTGAGTGATTTTGTAAATAGTCGTTTGGTTCATATTTGTAAGACAGAAAGACAATTGCAAGAAAAACCAAAAAGCTATTTCTGCTAAAAGAAACCCAAACAATTACTAAATATTCAACATAACTCAATATACTCTTTTTAGATGAGTCTCATGTCAAACTCTTAGGAGTGCATCAACGTATTGCATTGTGCAAACCTTTTTTTTTTTTGTTTTTAATAAGAAACGTTATTAGTATTATTGTACTTGTAAAAAAAAAATAAAGAATTTTTTCACTCATAAAGCTACTATTATTGTCGCAGTACTTGTCGCCTCATAACTTTTATTGTTGACAAAACGAACAAGTTTGTTCCCCACAAACAAGAAAATCAATGATTTTGAGTGATATGAGTTGCTTTTTAGAAAAATAAAATAAAAGTTGTTGACATTTCGAACAAGATTAGCAAAAAAGTTACTTTTTCTTGTTTGTTTTGCGAACAATATTAGTAAAGTCAAACAACTAATTCGTCATAGTGGAATGGACTGATGGTAGCAGGTCGGATGTAGTTTATGCGTTGCCAATTAAAATCACTGCCACCAATATTAATTGAACTTCAATATCAGATTGACCAAGATTTTATGCTAAGGCTTATAACATATGCATCTCATACTTATAAACGCTACAAAGTACTGCCAATTATTCTTGTAATTGTAACCAAATCTTTCTCAAGTGCCGGCTTCCAAAGAGAATTTACTATCAGTAGAAATGGACTTCTACTCGAAGCAAGCTGCAAGTTTTGGGCCAAAAAAATGCGTACTACTGACTGCTAATGCTGTGTCTAATCACTTAAATCAAGGGACATTGGATCCTATGATTGCCCTAGGGCTCTTTCTTACTCGTCACGAACTATATCAAATTCCAGAGCATCATAGGTCAAATGCAGCCTTAATGTTATTGTGATGTTTGGGTTGTGAAATGAAAATAAAATAGAATAAAAAGAAAACAAAGAAATACAGTGAGACTGTTCAGTACTTCTTTATTACAAAATTGATTGATTGTTTTTTGAAATATATCTTTTCCAGGTTGTCTTTTATACTACCTGATTTATTGACTAATTGTGATTATTGATTATTGATTACTTAACACTTTGACAGCTTGTGTCTGGGAGTTGACAATGTAGATTCTCCTTTAATCCTCCTGGTTATCTAAAAGTTACCATTATGATTTCCTTATTTGTAAATATCCATATTATCCCAGTTATCGTTATTTACTGTCATTATACAATGCTTACCTTATATTTATGATGTATAGTGCTATAAGTGGTTATTCATTTATATGATGAAAGACTATTTATTATATTTTGTATTGAAAGTGCTCAGATCACCACAGTTATTGTCTTCTACCGCAAAAGAGATTCTGTCAAGAGAAACCTATCAAAGGATTAAGAAATCAAGCGCTTTTCACCAATTAAATGATTGAAGAGAACGATAATCGAGTAGACAGCATCAACAAAAAAACAAAGAGTTATGCAGAAAAAGGAATACTTGCGATTGAACAAATACAAAAAAAAATTTGGAAGAGGATAATACAAGGGAAGAGAATAGTGTTACAACAAAGATATATACTACTGAAGATGCTCTATTTATTGAAAGTTTGAGCAAGCCAGGAAAAAACAAAAACTGGAAACTTATATTTAACAAAGGCAAAGCAGAAGGTTTTTTTCAGTCATATAAATCATCTGACAGTCTAAAATCCTCTTACCATCATATCCAACGACGAAAGAAACAACAAGAATAATGTTTTTATTAATGTCTTTATTATCGAAATAAAAGTTTTTATTTAAACTTTCTCTATTTGTTACAACTTCACATGTCAAACTTATAGTTTCAGTTTCTAAATTGTGGTGAAAGATAAGTGTTTTGTTTGGATTACATATAAACTGACACAATGGCGTAAGTGAAGGTCTAGGCGTATTAGTCACACTTTTGTTGACTGAATCAGGAAAAAACAAAAAACATTTCCGCGCCCAAAAGTTGGACTTACATTGCACTAAAAATAAGTCGTCAACAACACTGAATTCGTTATCATCCATCAAACTAGACAAGCCATTGATAGAGATAATTAAAACTGTAGGCAAAAGCCTAAATTTTCCATAAACCATCGTACAGTACTCAATAGTGTCCAACATTGTAACATGGGTAACTTCCTCGTGAACAGCAACAAGTACTGGAGCAAGTCTGTCATCATTCTTTTCTCGCGAAGCATACAAGGTATATACACCTTGGGTATCAGTCCATTCAGTTTGGGCTGGAATATAGCTATTGGCAGGAATACTTGCATCTATAGACAATTTGTGTTAAATACATACCATATCTTTATACAAGTAATAAAATACATTACCAACTAAAGAATGAACAACCAGATTTATGATTTTTGGATCACTCAGTAACAATTTACTCATGCGATCTTCACCAGGCTTCCACTTCAAAGGCAGGATGAGATCTTCTTTATCTTTCACTAATTGAATGAGCTTCTTAGTCAAGTTTTTTATACAATCGAAGACATTAATTTGTTTATTTACAATTTTGAGTGGACATACTACAATGAGAAGAGGAGGGAAATGACCAAAAAGTTTATACGTCGCCGTATATGTCACTGTCACCGTTTCCTTACTATCGTCGCCGTCACCGTTTCTTTCGCTCAAAATGATTAGTCTAAAGTGAGCAAGAACATGCTAGAAAATTTGTTATGAGAATGTGATAGATAGGTGTCTATTAATATCAAAATATATATTAATGAATCCTCAGCACATCTTTCCTTTTTCAAAATCTGCTTTAGAATATGAGCATTTTGCATTTAATCACAAGCGACTTTTAGTGAAATCAGAAAATACATATCATTTTTAGGTCAATTTTATTTAGACATAAAGAGACAATCATTTTCGGCTTAGTGCCATTAATTTCTTGGAAAGTGACTTTTATTTTTTTGTTAGGGACATTAGTCTACAGCAGGTTTTTATTGGTTATTTATTACCAATAAGAGATCACATCGGTCCAGTTAGAGAGTAAAACTGCCTTTTTTTATTAGGCAGGTTATCATTTTTCTTATTGCGCGCATCATAAACAGATGCTCAAAGACCCCAAAAATCATTACGTTTGGTCATTGAGATTATTTTTGATATTTTGCACCAGCTACATCTAAACTTGTTGTTTGATCTGCAATGACAGCTATTTCAAGCATTTGGAGGCTGTTTAGGAATGCAAAAAAAAATGGGTAAATAATTTTTTGTAGGTAACAAAATGCCTTTGTCGTGTCTTTTATTGAATTACTCCTACTTTTTATAGCGCAAATTGAATAGTCGGCCCAAATGGGCTGAATGGATTTTTTCAAGAATCGATTGACTTAAAGAAACTCTTCTGAAGCAAAAGCAATCCATTTCATCCATAAGTTATACAGAACACAGAAGGCTCGTCAAATGATACGCAATAAAAAAACAGTTAGAAGGAAGAGTGTCTAACGTGCAATTGCAATTTTGAACTTCGGCCCATTTTGGGCCGATCGGACTAATCTTCACTTGTCACTTAAAAAAAATTCCATTTCATTAAATGCAGACAATAGATCAAGCTATACCTTGTCTTGGAGTTGAGAGAACCCTGGTTTTGATTTTGTTTCATGGACTTGGGTCTAAAAAAAGAATAACACTTCATTGCAGCACTTATTGGTGATGAAATTAAATAAACATTAGAATAACTTCCACTAACGAGTTCCTGCTTTAATCTTTAGTCACTATTTTGCATAAAAAAATCGTAAGAATAATGACTTAAAGACATACAAGAAGCTGTACAAAAAGATATCCTCGATCCAGATGGCTTTTCTTTCCTAGCTGCAATGACATTCCTTAATTCATGCTTTCTCTAGCAAGTATCCTAGTAAATACCTTCAATGTACGCTTTATTGCAAGCAATGCACATTTTGATCTCTGATCCTCTCTTTTAATGAATCTGTATTCACTTCGTTAAAATTTTTATTGTTCATATTCTCTTTTCAGTGTAATATAAGCGATTAATCTCTTTATACAAATCATGTAAACGCTGATACAAGAAAATTATATTTTTCAAAAAAAGTTAAATGCCTAAAATTTTTAAAAGAGCAAACACCTTGATTCTAACCCTATGAGAACAGGAAATACCAAATAGCTTGAGAGAAAGTTTGTGCATTGAAAAGGTAAAAGAGCTAATCAATTAGGAGCACTAGACTCAAACGTAGATAGCCAAGTACGCAAAAACTTTAATAACCATGTCACATTGTCTCACTATACTCAATAAAGATAGAGTGAAATGCTACTACAAACAAGATCAGCTGAAAAAAAAAATTGCAACATTCTAAAGTATATAATAAGTGAGATTTTTTATTGCAATAGACTTTATAGATCAAGTAGATCGTAAGGACTTCTTTTCTGCATATACTAAGCACAAATAAAAGCAAGCAGAGACATTATGAAAACTAGTTTTGATGATCCTATTGATCTCTGTCACTCCTATGAAATAACTTGTACGACATCATGTGTGTAAACAAGAGAGCCTTTCATCGAATCTCCTAATCCTTCTGATACCGTCTCTTGCCACAAAACACAAGAAGGCGTCCTATCAAACACCCTTAATTTAACCATCATCGTTCTTGTGGTACGTTTTACGCACCACAAAAAGCATTTTACAAATTTCTCACAATGTCATGCGTATTGCAAAGTAGTCTATCGAATATGCAGAACTTGATCCAAATCTTGATTTTAACGACAAAGTATATTCAATTAAACAAAACCATAAAAAGCATCTTGTTGAGAGGTATCGAATGGACACAGATTGCTCCTCTGTATGATAGGAGCATAATAAAATGTAATAGACAAGTGCATTAATTTGATACGTTTTGGACTTGTATTTTATTTCATCTCGGCACTTTTGATATGTATTTCAAGGTAGAATACATGTATGCATAAGAATCAAGCGCTTTTTCATAAATCTGATTCAGCTTTTCATTGTATTTGTATTAATCAAAATAAGTAGCGTTTCAATCTAGAAAAGTAGGATATGCCTGTAAAAAGTAGCTATCGCTACTAATTTGGAGCATTGATCTTTTCATGTGCTTACTAAGCATAAACATCATTGTGCGATATTCTCCATTGGCTTACTCTTAGAGGAATTCGATTTTCAAAGAACATGCGTATAGATCAAATCAAGTAGCTGGTGGTTACATTTCTTTGTTCACTATTGTTAAAAAAGAAACATAGTCAGACGGTGACTTTATTATATCAAGACTATTTATCTTTTTTTTTCTCACCATCAAAAAATAGAGACAAATATTCTGGTTCTACTCGAAACTCGCGGTGATGACCGAGAATCATCTGAATTAATAAAAACTGCGCTATATTACCTGCGGCGTAATCTTGTAACATGTCAGTTAATAAGGACAACCCCATATTTAGGGACACTACAGTCAAAAGAAGCCTAGCAATTGTATTACAAAATATCAAAACGATCTTGTCGACATCTCACTTTCATTTTTCTTCTTTTTTTCTCATAGAAAGATGTCTTTTTTTGTCCTACTCCAATATGCAAGAGCAAACCATATACCGCGGTGACAGATATAAAACAGGACTCGAACGTGTGCGACATTCAACTTATCAGACGATGTTTTATAAAATGGCATGTAGGAAGAAAGTTCTTTTTCTTATCTGTTCTTAAAAGGCGGTCAATAGAAGCTTTTCTTATTTGTTTATTTATTTTGTTGCACGAGTTGTTTAGCAGAAGCTTATTCCAAAATATTTTGACAGTTAAATTTGCAAGTACGCCGATCGAAGTTGAAATCGTTTTCTCGGTCTTCTAAAGCGAATCATATTGCTTAATTCTTTGACAATCACGATTTTCGACGAAAATCAAATTTTTTATTGGCTCGACATTCTCGCTCATTCATAGTTTCCCTTTTTAGAGAAAACCAAAACACCTGATTTGCAAGAGATGCACTTTAATGGGAATGTCTATTATGAATCAAACTAAATAAATTACTATTATACTTTATTCTTTTATCTAGGCATAGAGATATAAAAGACTCTTTTTTCTGACATTATTTTCAGAAAAGCTATGGCTTATCAAGATAGCCTATATAAGTAAAGTACAGCATTAAAGTTCAAACTGTCCCTTATAAATGACGTATCGCCAACACGTTACTTTTTAATCCAAGTTAAGACAACGAACACCTTTTATTGTGTTGAATGAGGAAGCAATTAGATGTACTATAAAGCAAAACATATGTTAGACTTAACCTTTTTAAGAAAATAATGTTCAGGTTCTTGCAAAACCTTGAAGTCAAATACAGGCTTATGATAGGGTCTTCAATAGATAGTTGCATTTCCTGTCAATTTTTTTATTCCAAAAAAAGTTTAAATATGCTATACTCAGGATGAATGAAATTACCTGATAAATACAAGGTGACAGAATAGTGCGTTTGGTAACTAGCGATACTGACAAGTTCTTTTTTTTTCCAGAAAAGAGGAATGCTGTATCACCCAATTTTTTTTTTACTAGAGACGTCTGATTCTATTTATCTTATTTTGTAAAAAGTTCTTTTATTCTGAAAAAAACAATAAAGAGGGTTTGAATGCTTATTTCTTGAATTCAATTAATTTATGCAACTACAGGATAATCAGATAACAGAAAAAAAAAACTAGACATTCAATATGTCAAACTCAGCTTAATGACATGTGTCTCTTCACTATTTACAAAAGAAGAAGAGGGCATTCCAGACTATTTCCCACAATCAATTATTACGTCGATAATGATGTAAATTACACATTTTGATGTAAAGTTAATGAAGAAAGTATATGTTTTTTCTTAATCGGCTCATATGACCTATAAAGCAAGATTGCCATGTACGAGCTAAGGGACTATAGGTTACACTTAAATTCTTTATCTACTTAGAATTTTACGGAAAAAAATAATACAACAATCGAATAATGAAATGGAAAAGATTAAACAAAAAAAAACCATAAATTAAAGTTGATTCCTTTATGTTCTACTCTTAATAGAAAAAAGAAAGTTCCCTTGGTCTGTGCACAACAACATTAATCAGATACGTATGTAAAAATACTGATAGTTTTTTCTTTAACAAAAAGGTTGTTCATTCAACACATGTTGGAAGAATAGAAGACTTTCAAATCTTTTCCTTATTAATTTAAAGCTTTATGTAGTACTAGAAATGTTGTTATTCACCTTCTCATACAACATAATGAGATCAAGGTTTAGAATACAAAGAAATGAGTAATCATGAATCCTGAAAATAATCCCTTTGTGTATTCAAGAACCTGTCTCAACCCATGATCAGCTTGATCTATTCCGTAATAATGATTTTGTAGAGTGCTCCTGCTAAATTTCTTTATAGAGTCTATTGAGCATAGAATCTGTATTCAAACAAGAAAACGTGCTTTATACTATTACAAGAATAGTTTATATACATTGGCTAGTACTGATCAACAATGCGTACATGAAAAAAGTACAATGAAAAAGGACAAAATGCTTGAAAAAAAAAAAAGGTCCGGGGCTCAACTGGTAATATGGACTATTTAATTTTTATTTTTTTATTTGTCCCCATATATAAAAGACTTTGTGTTCATTGATTGCTCTCTTTCCTTCTTTCTTTCTCTATTTCCTTTTTGCAATTCTATTTCTGTTTCTATTTCATTTTTTTTTTCGACTATATTTTGTTTTTAATTGATATCGCTAACAAAGAAAAAGAAAACATTTCTTCTTTTTCTGTTTATTTATTTGTGCGTCTTGTTTGATTATAGATGAATCATTGTTTTCCACAACAAAAAGTAAGGTAGTCCAGAGAAAAAAGAACTTTTTTTTTTTTTTTTTTTTTTTTTTTTTTTTTTTTTTTTTAAAAACATACTAACGACTTGAGTAAGAAAACCTTCTCACCTATCGTTTTGTTCAATGATAATGATAGTGGCGTTTCGTCATTATCGTTTAGAGATGATAACCAAATTAAAGTTCAATCTCTTATTGAAGAACATCGCCTAAGAACAAGAGACATGCTGGAATATAATGCACAAGTATGGGAAAATGAAAGACGAATGAATGTTTCATCAGGTACAAGAAAAAAATATTTTGGGCATCGTGATAAACTAAATCAATTTCTTGAATAAAGCTTTGCTAGATATTTCTTTAACAGAACCAGTGACACGCAAGGAATCATTATCATCATCCACCACAGAATCACTTCAGCAAACATCTCCTATGAATGACCAAATTAACGACATAGAGCGTCAGATGTATACGTTTGATATCCATACAAACAATCATCCAATATCCCCAAAAGAAGAAACCCCTGTTAGCAAAGTGACAGAAGATCAAATCACAACGACGTTTATCACCGAGCCTCAATATTACCATACCTACAGACCCTATATTAGTAGAAGAAGACGACGAGAGAACCTACCTAAAGAAGTGACCGAATACCTAAAGCAGTGGCTTATTATGCATAAAAAACATCCATACCCAACTGAACGAGAAAAGCAAGAACTAGCTGATGAGACTGGACTGATGGTCAATCAAATAAGCAATTGGTTTATCAATGCTCGTCGTCGTATTCTGCAGCCTTTGCTTGAGTACGAAAGTCATCAACAACAGAAACAAAGGCGAAAACAACAAAAGCAGCAGCAACACTATCATCATCAGCAGGAGCAGTCGGCAAATGATTATCATCTCGCTTCTTCTGAAAACGATAACAGTAATCCAGTTGTTCAAAATAAAAAACAGTTATCAGAAATTGCCCACAATGTGTAAAGGTAAGAAGTAAAAGAAAAAGTGTCATTTTAATCCAAAAACGTATCTAGAATTTCGATTGTAAAAAAAAAAAAACCATGTACATTCTATCGTTTTTCAACTTGTCTTGCTATTTATGCTATTATCTTTTAATTCCCTTTCTATGCTCGTTTTTAGGCCTATTATGATATTAAAGAGAAAAAAGTACTCGCTCCATATACCTTTTTTTTTAAAAAAAAATAATAAACCACCAATTTATATTATGTAATCTTTACAAAACAAAACAAAAAATATTTAGAGAGAAAAACCATCTAAAGCAAGTGGTTTACTTTCTAAATGAGTTTTATCGTGTGATTGTAGTATGCCGAAAAGGAAAGAGAGAGAAAGAGAAAGAAAGAAACTCTAAACTTTAAGTAAAACTTTTTGAGCTGTTTTTGCAATTCTAGTTATAATCATGTTTCAAAAATTGAGCTTTGTTTTGAACATGAAATTACTTCAACTTTTCTCTCTCCCTCGCGCGCGCTCTCTCTCTCTCTCTCTTTCTCTTTCTCTTTCTCTTTTTTTAGAACTAAAGTATGCCCAAATAAAAAGAGAAAAACAAACGCCCAAAAAGAAAAAAATTTAAACTTCACATATGTTATCCTAAAGAAAAATATAAAATCAATCAATTGACTAATGTAGTACACATAACCAATAACGAAGCCTCTCGATCAACAAGAAATGTACGATTGCAATGGCAGGTTACACTGTTTAATGTAATATACCCGGGAGAACCTGTTCCTATTTCCTGATATTAGTAAAATAAAGAGAGGTCGCGCAGTTCTTTTTTTAGTGACAAAGAATGCATACATATATGGTTTAAAAACCCCAAACATCGCCAGTCGAAATACCGTTCTCTTGTTACTGTACACTAATTTAACGTTGAACAAGTATATAAATACCTAACATAATTACTAATTTATTTTCACCTCATGAAAAATAGAGCAAACAAACTTGAGGTAATCCTTTATTATGATAATTATTATGGTTTTTAAAGATATGAACAAGATAAATTGCGCATGAAAAAAAAAAGAAGAAGATACATTTGGATTAAAACATAGCCGGCACGTCAATAAATGACAGTTCAGACAAGAATATGGCTAATTCTATCACCTTTTCCTCCATGTTGAGAATGACTCATACGAACCATTTTCTTCATAGCGTTCTTGACTTGTGCTGATTTTTGTCGTGGTGGTTCTGACAGCCCGACAAGTGTTTCTTCACTATCAAAGAAATCATGCTTGGATGCATATTTGCGGATATTCAGCTTGAGATGTGAAAGTGAATTGTTCAGCTTTTTTAATGGATTGGACTTATCTTGTGATTCGTACAGTTTGATCATGTTTTCTGTATAGATTCTGATGGCATAAAACTCATTGAAGGCTTGAGCGAGTTGGGCCTCTACCCAAAATGCTTTGGAGCTAAACAGGTACGACATACTAAAAGGATCAGAGCGCTTTGGAAGCAAGGGCTTACAAGCTTCACGCAAGATACGGTAAAGTATTGGAGAAGCATGTATATTCTTTTTAGATAGCATATCAGCACTAGTAAAGATAGATATCCATGGTTTTTCTGGAGGTTCAGGAATCAAATCATAGTCATTATCCAACATGGACTGAACGCCCAATATATGATCCGTCCAATCTAGACTCGCCTTTTTCTTTCGGGAGGCTACTCTATTATAGTGTTTTGCTCTGGCCAATGTGCCTTGCGACTTGCAGATAGGTCGATATTCGCTGTAAAAGCTATGGCATGAATACGAGGGCGCGTCTTGGTATCCAGAATCAATACGATGTATAAGTTTAGCCTGTGTAGCTTTCTTCTGACGATGTTTAATTTTGGCATGTTCTATTATCATTCGAGTTAAGAAATGACCCGCTTTTTCCGCCATGATGGGACTACAGTCGGCAGGACCCAAGACTACTTTCCCCAAAGCATCACCTAGCTTGTAAGCATTTAGTTTGTTTTGTTGTTTGTGGTCAAGTAATTCAATCAAAAATTCTAATATGTCAATTAAAAACTGTTCACTTTTACTGCTGATTGTATTAGAAAGACTCGATAGTGTGCATGCTATAGACATATTAGTATAAGGCCATCCCATGGTCCATTCACTTGCTTGAATAATTTATTTTTCGCCAGGTTTTTTTTGAAATGATACGGTCATGTCCACTCCAAAGGGTTTCCAGCATAAGTGAAGCAACTGAGTGAATATGTACGTCCAAGAGGTCCTCTTTTGTACATTCTTGTCTATCAAAGACCTTGATAAACAAGCCCTTATTAGGCACTAAAATTGATCAATGTCACGGCGACAAAAACTACTGAACTTACTTGATTTACAAAAAATTTTGGGCTCATCAAGTCCTTGTCATGATTAGCATGAATTTTTTTTTCTAAATTATTCTCACCTCTTTTTCTGATTTCATCAATACACAAATAAGTAATGTTGGTAACAAAATCAAAAGAATAGTCAATCATTGTTAAACAAGAAAGAAAAGATAATAGTAAACAACTTTTTATTTGTTTTATTTTAAAATGGCAAAACTTCATCCTTCCCCCTTTCCTTTTTTTTTTGGAAGGGGCAGGTAAAAGTGATATACATGTCTCTCTTATATATATATAGCATGATGAATATCACATCTTTGCCGATGAAAAGGATCAATGTAGCATTATTTAATCAATTATCATCAACAAATAAATAAATAAACAAAGAGAGAGAGAGAGAGAGAGCCCTTTTTATGTCTATTCATTTATGTTATTCAATGCTATGCAAAGACTTCCTTTATACATAGGAGAACTTTTTTTTAAAAAAAAAGAAAAATGATGCAATGTAAATAGACAGTATGCGCGCGCGCGCGCGCCTCTCTCTTTATAAATCAAGGAAGCATTTATAGCTAGTGATATCTGCTTGATTCACCTATAGCTCCTTAATAGAAAGGAGACCAAGTTGAGACTAAAAGCATAAAGAAGTTGCTACCAGTTGCGTCAGCAAGGCGCGGCTTGAAAAAGAAACGAACTGGTGTCACCGGGCTAATTTTTTTCTCTTTCTTCAATTCTTGAACTAGGAAGCTCATATTAGTATGTCTGGTAAGTCGATCATTCCCAAGACAAGTTAGATCTCATATATTTGCCTAGATCCTGTTGATAACATTACTCTCAAGTTGGGTGATCTCGCTACAGACAAACGTAAGTGAAATCATCTCAATGTCTGTATTTACCTGTCTTCTCTTTAGCCACTGCTAATTCAGGACCTGTACCAGTTGCTTCAGCACCAGGTAAAATAGAAATGTGTTTACATGACCATCTAACAACTGATCTGATGCTAGAGAAAAAAGCAGATGCATCCGGGCCTCATGACTCAGGTAAGAAGATACTCGGTCAAACGCGTTTTTGTTACTTACTTTATCGAATAGAACAAAACAACTTGATCAACAGTACACATGTTGTCCAAGTCAAACTTGCTGATCAACAAGCTGATCCTAATTCACCTCTTTATTCTGTTAAATCATTTGAGCAATTAGGTTTGAGTCCTGAGCTTTTAAAAGGTTTATACGCCATGAAATTTTCTAAGCCTAGTAAGATTCAAGAACGCGCTTTGCCTTTACTTATTGGTAACCCGTAAGTACAGCTAGATTGACAATGATATTCATCGCTTGACTAGTCCCAAGAACATGATTGGTCAATCTCAGAGTGGTACTGGTAAAACAGCTGCCTTTGTGCTTACTATGCTTACCCGAGTAAACCAAGGCATGAATGTGCCACAAGTAAGACCATTTATTTAGTTAAATTTTATATTGATCAAGCCTTAGGCTATTTGTCTCGCACCTTCTCGTGAACTTGCTCGTCAAATTATGGATGTCGTTGAAGCCATGAGTAAATTCACTAATATTACAACAAAGTTGGTTGTCAAAGATTCACTTAGAAGAAACGAAAGCGTTCAAGCACAAGTCATTGTAGGCACGCCTGGTTCTGTAGGTGATGTGATCAAGCGTCGATTATTGCCTGTGAATGCCATCAAGATTTTTGTGTTGGACGAAGCAGATAACATGTTGGATCAGGATGGTTTAGGTGACCAGAGTATTCGTATCAAGACTCAAATCAAGAGCAACCCACAAATTGTCTTGTTCTCTGCTACTTTCCCTGAGCATGTTCGTCGATTTGCTGCTCGTTTCGCACCCGAAGCAAATGAGATCTCATTAAAGCGAGAAGATTTGAGTGTGGATGCTATCAAGCAACTCTATATGGACTGTGATAGTGAAGAACACAAATACGAAACACTCTGCAATATTTATGACATGCTTACTGTTAGTCAAAGTATTATTTTCTGTAAGCGACGTGATTCTGCTGATGAAATTGCCAGACGCATGAAGAGCCAAGGCCACTCTGTTGTCTCTCTTCACGGTAAAATGTTGCCTGAAGAACGTGATAAGGTAATGGACGATTTCCGTCGAGGTGAATTCAAGGTTTTAATCACAACAAACGTACTTGCCCGTGGTATTGATATTTCTCAAGTCTCTCTTGTTATCAACTATGATCTTCCTTTAGATCAACGCGGCCAAGTTGATTTTGAAGCTTATCTTCATAGAATTGGTCGTACTGGTCGTTTTGGCCGTACTGGTGTCAGTATTATTCTGGTCGACAGCAAAGAAACTTGGGAGCAAATGTCCGAGATTGAATCACACTTTAAGAGAGAAATTACACATGTTCCCACACAAGACTGGGAAGAAGTTGAAAAACAATTGAAAGAGCTTATTTAAAATAAATTTATATGCCAATCTAAGTGGATGTGACTGCACTCGCCTTATGCATTAAATTTGGGCTATCTTGTTTATTTTTATCTTTTTTATCTTTCTCTCTTATTATGTCAAGAATCCGTTTGATTACATTTGATGCTTATAATACGTTATTTAAACCAAAAGGAAGTCTTTCTGCTCAATATGTAAACACTCTTGCATTTTGAATGTCCTCTCTTATGCTGAAAATTAGGTAGAAGAAGCTTCTAAGTTTGGTATCCGAGTAACAAGGGAACAAATAAATCAACATTTTGGACAAGCCTATAAACAGCAACTCGCAAAAGCACCTTTCTATGGCCTAAATAAAGGCATGACAGCACATGGCTGGTGGAAACAAGTAAGATACTATTTTCTATTCTTTGTTCTTATGATATTAGCTGGTCTATTCTACTTTTATCAATGCGGGTATTCAATCCAAAGGTAAATTAAAAAATAAGTATTTGCGTTGTACTTAATAGTTTAGTCTTGGATCCAACATTTGATCAATTATATCATGCATTATATACCAGATTTACAACTGCCGAAGCTTATTCCGTGTTCCCTGATGTCATTGACACTTTGGAACAATTGAAAAGTCATGGATTTCAAATGGGAGTGATTAGTAACTCGGATGAGCGTGTAGGCAAGTTTGAGAAAATCAAGTGTTTCATATCTCATATGAACAATAGTGGAAGTGGTTCAGAACCTAAATTTAACAAAATATTTTGATTTTGTGCTTGCCAGTGCCCTTGTGGGTCATGAAAAACCAAGCAAAATGATATACGACAAAGCACTTAAAATGGCAGGTGACATTCAACCTAAACATGCATTGCATGTAGGAGACGATATCGAAAAGTAAGTTTAAATTTTTTTTATAACCAACAACTTAAAACAATGGCAGGGATTACTTTGGTAAAGAAACAACTTGGTATGTAGATAGTAACTCTCTCTCTTTCAAATCATAGGTGCAACAAAAGCAGGATGGAATGCTGTCTTGTTAGAAAGAAGTAAGTCATTCATGAAAAGAGAAGTTAAAGCTTACATGTGATAGCCAAGTTGTCTTATGAAGATTTTTCGCCGGCCATGCTTGCAGACAATAATTTGCCAGGACATCGTCCTCTTCGAATCCTTACCATGCATGATCTTTTTCCTTACATAGAAACTATTCATCATGAGGAAGCAGTCAATTGACAACAAGCAATGTCACCTCAAATGAACAGAAGTACGGAATAATGATCCTTTATGATAGTTGCACAAATATGAATAGAGTAAGATTTGCATTTTCTCTTTATAGACTTGAAATTACTCTTTCAATTATATCATATTAAAATGTACCTGTACGAACACTTTTAAGTGTTGAAAAGTTTGAAAAATAGTCAAATTCCCTCGCTATTTTTTTTTTTTTTTTTTGGTTAATAGAAAACACATTGACAGTGCCGAATTCACAAAAACCGTGTAAAAAGTTGTATAGGAGCATGAAAAAAGAAAAAGCGTTTTCAAGTGTTCATTCCTATCTATATAATTAAAAACATACATACTTTATGACTAATAAATAAGTCTTGATTCCATTTGGCACATTACACACCTAATATGCTTTTGATCCTTAATTTATGACTTTTTCAAATACCAAGCTTTTTATAAGATCTTATTTTAAATAAAATTGATAAGCATAGTAGCCCCAAAAGTGTATTGGTATCCCGCTGCTGGTGCGGGTATTTATCAGAATAAACCATCATTTCTGCCTTCTAATTCCCTTTTTTTGAGCTTCTTATGCTTAAGCATACATAAAAGAATATTTACGCAGAAATATCGCAAGTTTTGAAAAAGTGGGAAAATCTTCATTTTGCCCTTATGATACCATTAGCAAATCTTCACATGGTTTCACCGCTAAGCAACACTTTTTCTGAAAGTGGGAATCTGATTGGTAGAAATACCAACAGTTCACATTTCGATCCTACGCACAAACTGTAAGATCACAAAGTCGACATGCCTTCGATCTCGACGATCAAACAGCTGATCGCTAATCGCTTCAGTCTCGTAGACAATTTCTCGAGGCTACGGCCAAAAACTCAATTGTCATCGCTACTAGTGAATTCAACGGTGTGAACTTCAAAGACAAAAGCTTGAACAAGCACCTTCGAGATCAGTATCCTAACGGACTCGGTCTTCGTACAAGAAACATTGGTCAAAAGCAGCACTTTATCGAAATTAATTTTCGAACTTATAAAGAACGTGAGCAGGCTTTAAACAAAGAGTTCATCTTATACGATCGACGTGTTCAAATGGATCGTGCTTTTGAGAAAGACTCTACTATTGTTAGAGTGGGCGTTTCCAACATTCCTTTCGAGGATGAGGAACTCTTGAAGCCACAACTGATTGAAATCTTCCAAGGCTACGGTGAGATTTTAGAAATTGGTCCCCGCCATACTACAGATGGCAACTGGTTTACAGGAAAAGGATTCGTTACTTTGAATCAGAAGAAAAATGTCAGTTACAAGGCATTAACACCTCAGATCCTCGGCTGGGATGACGACTAAACTTCATTTGGTGTATTCCAACATGAAGCCCATTTGCAACTATTGCCATATTGATGATCATATCAGAGCCAATTGCCCCATCCTGGACAGCCGTAAAAAGAGTTGCTACCAATGTGGTAGCATGGAGAATTTGAGAGCAGAATGTTCTCTTGCACCTTGAAACCGCAAAAGAAAGGTTGAAAGACCTAGCCCAGTAGAAAGCCATCAGGCCAGACCAACGACTGTTTGTCTTCATGATTTCATGAGCGATATCGAAGAAAAGGCAGCGGCATTGACTGAAGCTCAACCTACTTTAATCCTTATTCATTCCGAGGCAGAAAGGGAAGTTCTAGAGCAGGATGAACAAAACCAATCCATGGATGAGGATATGCAAGAAAATGCAGATAACGCCGACAGTGACGAAGCTGAGGAGTTCATCTTAGATGAATTAATGCAAGGAATCGAAAAGGAAGGATATAGAATTGATCAAACCAACATCGATGAGGGAGACTCCAGATACAATTAAATACAAAAGCGAGTTGAGAAAGGCCGCTATCCAATCAAACCGCGCCAAAAAGGAAATAGACCTATTAGGTAACAAAATGAAAGCTATACTCAAAGGTCCCGTTTTACATTGGCCAAAAGGAGGAAGAGTGCTTTCTAAAGCCTCTTCTTCTTTGAATCGTACTCTCTAACCAAATTACTACTATGAGTAATCATAATAGTAAAACCAAAAGCTTAAATACCAGACTAGGTTCGCTCAACTATCGTACCCTTCACAAACGGTATAATGAACAGTTGACCGACAATCTGACTCGTTATTTAAAGCTGCAGAAACTCGACATGTATGCCTTTCGAGAAACAAACCTCTCACTCCCTGATTTTAAAAATTCTACAGTCCCACTCAGTTATAAATTACAAGCCTATCAATCAATATGGACTACCAAATGTGATCTAGTCAACAACAACAGACACCTTCAAATGGATCATGTAAAAACTTCAGATGATAACCGCATAATTGTACCAAAATTTTCAGTTACTGGAGAAGCAGGTATTCATCCATTTTACATCTTCAACATTTACGCACCGGCTTCGAATGTAGACAACGCTCGTATTCGATTCTTTCAACTTCTTATGGATTTCATCGATTCACTCGACTCTTCTCTAGACATCATGTCGAGTATGATAGTGGTTGGGGATTTCAATTTCTCCTTTGAACCAATCCATATATCCGGATCTCACTCCTCTCGACCAAAGAAGTTTATGTCCCTCATAGCTGCCAACTTTAGTGATTGTCTCAATTCAAAAGACGATGATGACTTTTACAACTATTTCCCTACTTTTAGACGAGGAAAGTCAATGTCATGCATCGATTACATATTTGCGGGTGGTAATATACGTCGATATGTTACTGGCAGCGAACTGGAGTTTCTCTCTCCCAAGTTAACTGACCACGCACTCTTGACCACTTCACTTCGCTTTGGTTATGCAAACACAGGCAAAGGATTATGGAGAGCAGATCCATATTTAGCAACCAAAAACTCCTACTGCCACAAGATACAGACTAGCATCAGTCACTTTATGACAAAAGTTTTGGCTAATACCACATATTCACCTCAACTACAATGGGATCGCTTTAAAGGTTATGTGCGAAAGATCACTCAAAATTACTATAGTAACAGAGCGTCTTGGCGCAAGAAGCGCCTAAAAGAACTCCAAAGCAAGCGTAACTTTTTGTGTCGATTATACAAGCAGCAGAAGTCGTTCATCAACACCGTTTTGCCAGAAGTGGAGAATGAAATTGCTGTTCTGCAGAACGAAATGTTTGTCACGGCTACCCTCAGAGCAGGAAAAGTTTGGATGGAAAAAAGCGAGCGGAATGTAGGTTACTCTAAGCACTTGGCAAAAAGTCGTAATAGTGAACGCCAGTTCAACACGATCAATCATCCAGTTACTAATGTGGAATGTACTACTACCAAAGACAAATTGGAAGCAGTTCAAGTCTTTTACCAGGATCTTTATTCGGCCAAAACAATACAACGTCGATTTTTGAACTCCCTCATATCCAACGTTACTTCCAAGGTAAGCAGCTCAGTCTCCAATGACATCTGTTCTGCCATGCCTTTTGTCGACATTGTTGAAGGATTAAAACGATGTCCCAAACAAAGCAGCCTTGGTAGAGACGGATTACCTTATGCCATCTTGCGGCTTATCGTAGAGCATCCTAATTGTCAAGATTTGGTCACTAGAGTGTATGATGACGCGATTACCGAATCCGTCTTTCCTCAGTCCTGGCTACAAACCTGCATCACATTACTGCTCAAGAAAGGAAATTTAGTAAACCTAGCTAACGGGCGACCAATCTCCCTTATCAATACTGATTGCAAAGCGTTTACAAGGATACTCAACATCAGAGTCATACAGGCTTCCAACACCATTATAAATCATTTTCAAGCCTGTTTTATGCCCGGTAGATTTATCGGTGATCACGGAATTGCAGTGAAGATTATAATGGAAGATGCAAAGAAATGTGCTCATAAAGGTATCGGTGTTGCCATCGACAGTGCCAAGGCATATGACTACCTTTACGAAGACTATATCTACGCAGTCCTGGATAAGTTTGGTTTCCCTCAAACATTCATCACGACAATCCGAAACTTATTTTTCAAAAACATTATTGCGATCAATATGAATGGATTCCTCTCAGACAACGTTAGACAGCGTCGTGGACTTCGTCAAGGGGACTCTATTTCGCCTGTCCTGTTTAACTATGTTCTGGAGCCTTTATTGCTTACTATCTTGAATGACGATCGTATTCGAGGATATTCAATTGCTGCTCAAACATCCAAACCTTTTTTACAAATGGTTACACCTAGACCCATCAAACTGCTCGCTTATGCTGATGATCTTCTGGTTTTTGTTAATGATGTGAACGAGCTCAAAGCCTTCCAAGAGCACCTCGAGTGTTACAGTAAAGCATCAAACGCAAGAACGAATTATCATAAATCGGTTGCATTCCCACTGTCGGGTCAATCTCGCTCATTATCTGACACGTTTCATCGACGCATTAGACAATTACAGTCTCAATAGTTTGATGCTAACAATCCTTCTTACCTTTGTTACCTTGGTTATCCTCTCTGGTTTACTACCATTCATCGAGATACGTTCTGCAATGAAGCCATCCAAAAGCTGCAATATGTTATCGAACGGTACAAGTTTAGACAAGTCCCTGTCTATGGTCGAGCAAAACTGGCCAACTCTATCCTACTATCTCGTTTTTGGCATGTTCTTTGTTTCACTGCTCTACCGGCATACTTTTACACCAAGATCTCTTCCATGATTTATAAGTTCGTTTGCCAAGGAATTTCCCCCCTTTGTGTAAGACTACTATTTACCATCCACTACTTGCTGGAGGCCTATCTGTGATGGACATATCCTCACAACAGAAAGTCTTGCAATACAGATATATCAGATCTCTCCTTTACAACGATTGCAATGATCGCCCAATCCCTGATTTTCTCTTCCAGCTCCTCGTCTCCTACATTCAAATAGCCTTTGATTGTCCATATCACGAAGTACCCTTGCTTTTCCCAAAGGCTTGTAAGCCCACTCGTCTCTCCGGGTTGCTCACGCTTTCAGCCATACTCAAAGCAATTGATGATTGTCCACTCTCCTCCTCATGGGATAATATAGCCCTCAGCTTGCCTGTCTGTCTAGAAATGCCTTTTGTTGACTTGTGTCAAGTTGATCATACAGTCTCCGACATTCTCGACAATGCTACTATTCGAATACAAAAAACTTCTTACTTTCTGCAGGTTGACCCTAATTCAGGATTTCTCCGCTTCAAAACACGTAAAGAATGCAACATCCCAGGCTTACTGTCTCGGATTTTCAAGGTCTACAAAGATGGTAAACTACTGTTTCTACCCTTCATGTAAGACCTTATGACTCAATCAACTGATCCTTGTCACCCAGTATTTTACGAGTCGTGTCTACTATATTTTGTCTTCAATGAATATTCAGTTTTCGATCTCAACAACTCTGATCTCCGTCAAATGTATTTGCGAGATATTCCTTCCATTCAATCATTGAACCCTACTCGTTTCAAGCGTTTCCTTCAAATATTAATCCCAGGTTGTACCAAGGACCTCTGGTATCGCCTTTTACATAACAAGATCTCTTGAAGACCGATAACTACCACTATCTTTCAACTACCAGATGATAAGTGTGGATTCTGTGGTCTAACATAAACTCCCGAACACATGTTGTTTACATGCAGGGCCAACAAAGACACTTGGACAAATGCTATCAATTTGTTCTTCAAGCACTCTTCTCGCTTCTCTATTTCCCAGCTTTATCTAGATGTAATAGCTTTGAACATTGATCATTACCAACTACTAGATACACACCTTCGCCTCAATTGCTTTGAAGTTCTCTCTGCTGTCTTCTCTTCTATTTGGAACGCGTACTGGCGCCACCACTTTGATGCTCACTTTTATGATGGTCAAGTTATACTCGACGACGCCATCAAAACTATACGAAAATTATCCGTTTTTAAATACTTGTAAACTCTACCTTTTTGAGACAAGTCACTGCTTCTTACACTTGTTCTCTTTTAAATACATCCCCCTATTCGATGAGTTTAATAAAATAAATCCGTCCATAAAAAAAAGGAAATCGATTTTCACTTTTCTGTGATTTGTGATCGATAGAGACATTGCAGACATGACATATCTTAGTACGAATTGTTTCTCTAGACCTATAAAACACACTCAGAATGCTAGATTTACAAAAAATACTTTAAAAAGTGTACGCTACAGCTTTAGAGAAAAATACGTTTTTTTAAGGATAGCTTAATATTTTACCAACAAACATATTGTGTTTTTTACATTATTAAATACTCCATTCTAATACCTACTAACTTTTTTATTGCACTTTTTCAATAGCTCTTCGTTTTTAGACACTTTCAGTCTATCATTTCTTTTGAATTTCGTTTTTTTTTTTTTTTTTTTTTTTTTATGCATTAAAAGTTTTATTTTTAAAAAAATAAAATGATCGTATAAATGGAAACTAGTGTATGTGAAGCAAAGTGACTAGTCATATGGAATATCTTTAACACAATACTTTTGTGGAAGCATTCAGTACGATTACATGAGTCTTATATAATCCCAAAGAAAATAGCCGTCATCTGGGCTACCCCTTAATTTGTTACAAAAAAGATATATCAAGTTTTTCGTTCGTTGCTCCTGAGAGTCAGTGCTCTTTATATCTTGCCTTGTTCAATACTACAGATGGCACTACCAATACCATAAGTAAGGGACGCCATTTCAAAATACCTTCAATTACTTGGCACTTGACACAATTGTTGATACCTAAGAGATAAAGTCTTTCACAAAGGATTATAATAGAATCCGGAACACTACCAAGAGTGACCAGACCAATGTACTAAACTTAGATTTCCCCCACTTTGCACCAAGCTTTAAATTGTGTCAATTTCTTCTTGTTTTTAATAGCAAACATACAACTCTTTCTATATTTTTAGATACCTTAAGTTAGAGTCTAAAACTTTTGCTATGGAGTCAATATGTCATTTCGCTTTGTTTATGCACTTTTGGTCATTTATTTATTTTTTCTCTGTCAAATGACACTAGAAGTTGAATTGCAGATAAAATTTAACATGTCATTTTTGCTAACGTTAATTGAGTATAATCAGACCAGAAAGCACCATAAATCTAGAAGAAACATGATTACCTAAAAAATGAGGAGTTTATGAAGCTAGTCTATTAAAAGAGTGGTAGCTTTGACCAAATGAATGGCTGAAATATCAGCTATTATAATGATCTTCTCGCTTACTTTAACCATGTATATTCAAGCTGCGTCCCTGAAATCATTTGCTGACTTTCTTCCAACTCAAGGCATATATGCAACGCAACCATAGAAAACACACCTTTACCGTTTAACCAAATCTATTTAAAGGCTTCATTTTGCATGTTGTATGTATTGGAACAAAAAACGTTACTCAAAAAAAAGAATCGATGTGAGATTTATGCTTAATAATAAATGGGAATTTTTTCGTGTGAACAACCTATTTTTTTATATGCCTAGTCTTGTTATTTTAGAATGCATAGATAGAACATTGATATAAGTAACAGAAGGAAATAGAGGAGTTTTCATACGTCTTTGTTGCTCCTTTTGAACATGAACTCATAAAGAGGGGTTTCTACTCATGTAGTACAACCTGTGTCACTGTGTTATAAAAAAAAGGCTATAAAAGTTTATTTTCTTGCAGCTTCTTTTTTTCCCATCAATTGCAATGGCTCCTCCCATGTATGAATTATCTCTTTAAAAATAAACAACTTATTCTATTTTATAGCTCTGAAGTAACAAATGAAATCAATAAACAAATGCATGCCAAGGCTGCTATCTTTCTTCGATCCAAAAGAAAAATTGTTTTGACAGGTTCAGAAACAGAGGAAGAAGCAAGAGAAGCAGAAAAGCAACCCGTGTTCCTTCCTTCCTTACCTCAATTTGATGATGTTCATTCGCAGCGTATTCATATGAAACAAAAATTAGCTGCTGGTTTTCGCCTGCTTGCCAAGTTTGGCTGGGACGAAGGCGTTGCTGGTCATATGACTTTTAGAGATCCTGAATATCCAGATTTGTTCTGGTAATGATCTATACTTGATGTTGACTGTTTACTCATTTTGATTAGGGTCAATGCATTTGGGCAATACTTTGGTCATATTAAAGCCAGTGATTTAATTTTAGTAGATCATGAAGGCTCTATTGTCCGCGGTAACCAAATGGTCAATAAAGCTGCTTTTGTGATCCATGCTGCCGTTCATCAAGCTCGTCCTGATATTATCTGTGCAGTTCATACGTAAGTCTATGACATGCATACACCTGTATCTCATCATATTATAGCCATTCTATCTATGGTAGAACATTCTCTACGTTAGGTAGAAAATTGTTGCCTATTTCTCAAGATGCTTGTGCATTCTATGGTGCTCATAGTGTATATGAAGATTTTGGTGGTGTTGTGTTTAACGAAGAAGAAGGACAACGCTTAGTTAAAGCATTAGGTCCTACCAACAAGGCCTTGATCATGCAAAATCATGGCTTATTAACTACTGGTAAGACAGTAGATGAAGCTATTTGGGCATTTATTGCAATGGAAAAATCATGTCACTCTCAATTGATGGCTGAAGCTGCTCACCCTAATGGATATAAAGATCTCAAGTTGATTGATGATTTAGTAGCTACACAAACGTATCATATTTTGGGTGATGAAAAAGCAGGTTATGCTCAGTTTCAACCCATGTATAATATGATTGTAAAAGAACAACCCGACTGTCTTGAATAAATTCTTTATTACATTATATATGATAAATATAGTACAAATGGTGTATATGAGTATGCTGTGGACTAATATTTCAGAATAATATAAAGAGCGTGGACTACGGTATGATGTTAAGTATCTTTATCATTTACACTATAAGCAACTTACTGATACCAGGAATATAACCAAGGCAGGTTAAAGCAATGTTAATCCAGAAATCACATACACAACCTCTTTCCAAAAAGACACCAAGAGGAGGAAGAACAATAGCTAATTATATAGATGAATAAATCAAGCCTCTTTAAGTGTTTAACTTACCGAAAAAGATTTTACAGATATCAGAACAAGTAAAGGCCATGTTAAAGAACAGTGAAGAGATATATTTATTTCTCGTGCTCTTTTTATATTATTCTACAGAACGCGGTAATTTAATCTAAATTGTCATACAATAAAAGGACGTCATTTTCTTTATTTGGATTAGAGCTAAAAATAAATGACAATATTCTATAATGCTTTCCAAGCGCTTAAACGCCAAGGAGCAAGGATCACAGCGCGTTGTGCATATTTCCTAGACACCTTCGGCTGGCTTTCTGTTAAGGCTGCATATTCGTAGGCTTCTGACTTTGCATTAGCTGTATGAGACTTGGTAGACATAATCAACGCACTTGAAGCAATCATTTTTTCTCCATGGCCAATTTGAACCAAATGTGTGCAGAGACGATTCCAAACAAGTGAAAGCCAAGGTGTTTGATGAACACTTTTCACCAGAGCACGAATGGATCCTGCTTGATCCTCCTACGTCATATTTCATTAGTCACTCTTTTATCACATGTCAAAGGTTAGTCTTACTCCAAGCTGGTAGAATTTGGCAAATAACCATGATATAAGTTGCTCTTTATCAGATTCGTCTTAAATAGGATAAGTACTGTGTTTGATTTCATTATGAAACTTACAGGCAATGTGAACTGATATTTTAGCTAATTCTTGTAAAGCAGCAGCTGTTAATGTATCATCATTTTCAAGCATGCCCATGACACATAATGAAAAGATAGCAGGCAAATAGTTGGGATTGTCCGTAATACTAAAAATAGATTGATATTCGTTTTTCCTATTTTCCCCTTAGTTTACCTCGAAAATAATTGGTCCTTTGCCACAGCTCTTTGTTCTTCTCCACCTAAAGCCCAGAGGACTTTGCCAAGTAAAACAACCACATCTTGACGTAACGAAATATCATCTTGAGTAGCATTCAAGGCTGATTCAAACATTCCAAGTGATTCTGGTAATCTATCAAGGAAATAATAAGCAATACCTGCATTCAATTGAGCATAAACACCAGAAGCATCATGAATCGAAGCAATAGCACCCTCAAAGTCACCACTGGCGCAGAGTGTGCGACCCAAATTAGCGCGAATCTTGGCTAAACGAGCCACACCTTCTTCTTGACCTATTTTGGAAGTTTCCATTTGAGCCTCTACTGCCAAGATGGCTGATGCAAATGACTCAGCTGCTCTTCCATATTGACCCAATCGCTCTGACAATAAACCCATTAAATTAAGCGAGAGTGCATCGTTCAGCTTCTTCTCTGTCAGTTTCTCAAGTGCAAAGACAGGCATGATAGCTGCTGTCTCATTCTTGATCTGACCAGATACTAGACCTTGGTAAATCGATTGTGCATAACCATAACTTGCTTCAAGAGCAGATCCATTGCTTGACTCAAACGCATGTTCAAAAATAACGGCAGCATCGTCACCCCAGAGAGAAGCAACATGAGCTTGTCCTACCCAAGCAGAAATCCATTCAGGATCTAGTGAATGTGCCATTTCAAATGCCTGGTTGGCTAATTCATAATCCTTCATCGTTAAACACAAGAACCCATAGTTTGTCCAAGGAATAGCACTACGATTATTGAATTCAATAGCCTTGATGAACCCATATTGAGATATCTTGTGTAAATCTCCTACTGCCATTGCAATCACACCTAATGTATTCCAGTACATGTATTGCGTTGGTTCTAACTTCAATGCTATCTTGGCGCATTTGATGGCCATCATAGCTTCCTCTTGTTTTTTGTTGTTATTCCAACTGATATGGTAGTAAATGACAGCTAAATCATGCCAGAAATCGGGTGCAACTGCTTTGTGGTTCTTTGACAGCACAATCACTTGTTTATAAGCATAAGAAGCACACGACAAGACAACATCAAGAGCCGTCTGTTGTGGTAAACTAAAGCCATTCATGTCTTGAAGAGCCAAGAACTCACTAACCCAGTGGCTAGTGACATCTGCTTCCAACTTGAGTTGATCATGTGCCTTGGATGCAAGCTGGATGACATCCTGCAAGCTTTTATAGGCACAATTGTTTAAATAGCTAGGAATGTGACGGTAGAAAGCACAGGCATCACCCACAAGTTTCCAAAACACAGTGATCGTGCTATCTTGTTGAAGACCTAAAAAGACTGTTTGAAATACCAGGTTACAACCATTTGAAGCACGTCCAAAGAAACCAGCCTGAAAGTCTTCTTTGGCATGATCTAAATAAGTTTCGGCCAAGCCTGCCAAAGCAGGTACGTAATCAGTCTTTCCTTGTTCAGTAGCAAGTGTTAATGTGTGCTTGAAGGTAGCAATAGCATCGTCCAACAGCCCTACTTTCTTTTGAACATAGGCTTTTTCGTGATTGGCATGAATTGAGTGAGGATCGAGTTGAGTAGCACGATCAAATGCCTTGAGTGCAGCTACAAAACGACCTGCTCGAGAATATGACTCAGCAAGACCTTCCCAACAACGAACATCACTTGTGTCTGTACGCAAAGCTTTTTGGAAACAAATAATAGCTTCATTGAATGTGTGTGATTTCTTTAACGTGTAAGTAAAATGACTGTTTTGTCCTTTGTGTGCTATTTACCATATTGACATAACCCATACGTCTCCAAGCCCATCCAACCTTGGGACAAGATTCTGTGACTTGTCGGAAGATATTCTCTGCTTCTTCTAGTTCGTTTTCTACAATCAAATAATCCGACAAACAATGTGCTGCTTCAGCATCCAAAGGGTTCAATAAATAAGCTTTTTGATAGCATTTCTTGGCACGGTTATTGTCTCTTTTGATTTCACGGTAATAATGGCCTAGACAAGTAAATGCACTTGCAAAATAAGGGTCCAATTTAACAGCTTGCATGAAATAACCAAATGCGCTTGCAGCATCTATCATATGATAAGGACAATGGTACACGGTGGATTGAATTACCTTCCATAGACCAATAGATAAGGCCCAAACGATAATAGTAGCTGACGACACCTGTGCCTGCAATCTCAAGTGCCTTATTGATGTACTGAATAGCTTGATCGAAATTCTTCTTTTCAAAGTAGACCCAACCCAATTCAGCAACAGATGCATGGTTCTTGGGATCCAATTCATGTACTCGAGCAAAGTTCTGTAATGCTTCATCCAATCTCCTTTCATGCGTTAGAATTAGGCCCATGCCTTCTAAAGCGCTTGTGTTGTCTGGATATATCTGAAGAATAGATTTGTACAATCCCATAGCAGTCATATAATATTTTTCGTCTAGTAAGCGATAACAATGGGCAATACACAATTCCATAGAAACCAAAGTGCTAACAAGGTCAATGAAGCGATTCAATAATGTTACTTACTTGTTCTTGAGAATGCCTGTTTCGTTTTTGACCTTCTTGACTAAGTCTTTTCCTCGAGTAGCATATTCCAAACCTGTTTCATATTCTTTTGATTCATAATAAATCCAACATACACACTGATATCCAAACACACTGTTGGGACAGGCTTCCAAACCTTCACTTAATAAATCAAATGCCTGATCCACGTCTCCTTCTTTGTAGCATTGATAACCTCTGGCTAATTTAGACAACCCATGCTGAGGGAATCGAGTCATTAAATCATGAATCAAGTCCCAATCGTATTTCTCGGCTGAATCAACATTGCAAGACTCAATCAAAAGCTCAAGCGGTAATGGATCAGGACCATTTACAAGTTTGTTAGCCAGACTGAATATCTTTTCATGGAGCTAGCAAGTCGTTTATCAGCAAGCACATGGCTTGTCTTACTCACCTTTTCTTTCTCTTTGCTTCCCAATAATCGCTTTGTATAGAAATGAAGTAATTTCAGCTCCCATGCTTGCTGTTGTTCAGTGTCTCCTTCAGGTACGAGTGCCAGTACATTCTCATACATGAAACCTAGTTTAGACACACTATAGAGATCTGCTTCAACACCAGCTAATACTTGAGCAGGCGTGCCTGCATTGACTCTAAATCTTCGTGAGGCAACCTCATGTTCAATTTGTTGAGCTAGTTCTTTTTCTGATTGACTGATAATCAACTTCCAGATATCGATCTGTGGGGGTAAGTCAGGCTGATCTCGAATCAAATCAAAATGAGGACTCATGGGTAAGAATTCCTTCAAGGTCTCGAGGTATTTGTCTTGTTGATTCTGTGTTTTGTAAACATTCAGTAGTTTCTTGAGATAACCAGCTAGCTTGGCTCCATCGCCACTAATACATTGTGTTAACTGCATATCACTGAGCTTGTTTTCTTACGTTGCAATTGAACGAGGTATCAGCTCGTTGACAGTTTTGGCTAGATCGTCAAGTTTATTTCGCTTCTCATAAAAACTCACAAGTCCTTGCCAACCAAGCATGTTGTCATTATTAATTTCGATAGCTCTTTTATAAGCCTCTTCGGCTTCTTGATCATCTTCAAGACCTGTATAAGCAACACCTAGAAATACCCAACTATTCTAAATGAGTTTACTGCAGGTTACGAATAAAGAACATACGCGTTGTAATTTTCACCCTCCCATAACAAAACGCGTTTACAAGCCTTGACGGCTTCTCCAAACTCTTTTTTTCCAATGGCATCTCGTGCAGCTTTTAAATCTGCTTTAGAGTTCATGTTGAATACAGAAATGCTGTTCGATTTTTTGTGATTTATCTGGCTCTTGAAAGAAGCTAAATTTGCAAACGAATTAATTAATTCGCAGAAATACTTTTCTGTCACAAGAAACACTTCGCATCTGTCCCAGTCGATCTCTTGATGCAAGTAAGGATGAAGTCAGATCAGAAATAGAATTGAATTGAATGCTTCTTCGAGCGATGAAGAATACAATGCAAATGAATCAGAGACAATGCTGTTTAACTGTGTTGCATGCTTTTGTCTAGCTTCTGCGCACTACCCTTATGATAATGTTATCATTTCTTTATGTCCTGACTCAATTTTTCTTCTTTTCTACAGTTTTTGTCAATGAACTTATTGGCTATTTCTTTGATTTCGTGTACTTTGAGTACATCAAAGTATCATATACACAGAAAATGTCATGATCGGAGAATGAAATGCAAGGGAATATTTTGGAGAGATCAAAATTTAAAACATCATCGTTTGACACAGATACATAAGACTTTTTACTATGATGATACATAATAAAAAATGTTCCTAAAGTATTTTGGAGCACATCAGAAATGTCGTATCTTTAAAAAATATATAAAAAGTGTATACTGTTACCAGAAAATGAAGATACGTTTTTTTGCCTTTTACAAGTGGTTTGTATACCATCTATTGCGTTAAATAAAGCACTACAGCTTTGATTAATGCATTGTATTGATCTTTCTAGTAGATTTATGCACTTTTAGCCACCTAAGTGATTTAGCTATGCCTTTTTTTTTCTTTTCTTAAAGATTTATTATTGCTCCGCGTAAAGTTACCCTAATAGTATCCAAAAGACGGGCGCAATTTATATGGAATTATATTATGTGATTATGCTGCAAATTAACTAGATAGGATAATATGAAAGGTACGCCACTGCTATGAGTGCGAAAAAAAAATAAGAGAAGAATTACAGTCTTGTATGTACTTGCTTTTCATCTGCAAGCAGCCGTAAAGCAGTACGTGTTTGTTGTAGAGTGGAGTAGGCATCAAAAGAGACGTTGTCAATAACAAATCTCCAGTGTGCTTTCCAGACTTGCGAGAGGGCGGTAATGACAATGTCAACAATGGTTAAATTTTTTTTTGTAAATAATCTATTCTTGAGAAGTCTAGTGTTATAAGTGCTTGAATGACATCTTCGACAAGGGTTGTAGGCCAAAGGAATTCGAAAATGAGATTGTTCCAGAAAAACTTCTTTGGTGGACAACAGAAAAGGAGATATTTCTCATTTTCAAGATGAATAGTGCAAATCGGACAAAGAGGCGAGGGGAACGTATCAAGAATTATAGAGTGAAGAAATTGTCTTGTGGGTAGCTTGAAAACAAGGAATCGGTGCAGCATATTACGAGCAACTGGCAGCAGAGACCAGCTCCAAAAATTGACCCAAAAGACACTAGCGATAGCTTGTAAGCGCTCTGGATCAGATGCAGCATTCTGACAAGTTAACCGAAACTTCTTTGTCGATACCATGATGACTGGCCCAGTCAGAGTCGCAAATTGGAAGGGGTTGACAAATGGAATAAAAGATACTGGTGGTGATGATGGTACAGTAGGTAATACCTCTACAGTAGGAGGTTGGCAGTGTTTGACAAAGAAAGGGAAGAATTGGCACTTGTTACTTTCTAGCCTTCGGATGATCTGAAGATAGAATTTTTGAGCTCTTGCGGAATATGATCTGGATGTTTCCAATGGATTAACTTAAAATCTTGGCTGAACAACATAAATGCTTGAACTGGAACGAATTGAATTCTTTTAGGTAATGAAGGAAGTCGTGGTCTTAAAGATTGTAAAACGACCTTCATCGATAAATTAAGACATGCTTGGTGAGATAGCGTCATCTGGCCAAAATCCTGAGGCAAGCGATCTATTGTGGCATATAACAGATCGATTGTTGAAATACGTTTACCGCACCCAAAGTAAGGAGTTCTAGTGTGTCTAGTGTTTTTAGGCTTAGGAGATGTTTCTGACTCCACTGCCCGAGAAAAGTATTGGGAATTGGAAAGAGTCATGGTTGGATTAGACCTACCTTGGCTCATTCCAAAAATTCTTGTTTTTTCATTTTCACGAGCCCTCGTGGATCCTCCACGGATCAAAAAATGAATTTCATCTAGAAGCCAAACCAATAGTATCATTTGATTCCTTGACTCGAAAAAAAACATGTTTTAAACAAAAAACAGACTGTTTTAATAGTCTGGTTATCGAGTAATACGGCATCAAAGATTGGCCTGTTTAAGCTGTGTTTTCAGCATTTTTATTCAAAGCGTCCTATAAAGATCCTATTCGTGAACTTATAAGCAATTGTATATATCTTCTTAGTGACAAAGAATATAGAAAAGTAAAAATGTGGCTGATCCGTAATGTAAATGTGGACCAAGTCTGCCAAGGATGCACAAAATGAATTGTCAGCGGAGATTAAAAAGAAGTAACTTGATTTCTTCCACCCGAAATTGAGTCTTTGCATCAAACAGTAAGTAAGCATTCATCCTAAGAGCCGATTAGCAAGATTTTTTTAGCTTATTACAGTAGAGCAAAGTCTAAATGAGCATTTAAAGTCAATAATTTAACTAAATCGTCGTTTTTGCCCCAATAAACTTATTTTCTTTTATTCAAGGATATCTAAAAATGCAGTTCCCTTGACTTTGTTGAACTCTACATTCATGATGCATTGATACAAAGAAATGAGATTGGTTAAGACGAGTGTATAGTGGCGAAAAATAAGAAAACATAGGAGACGGCATGATGATAAAAGCCCATGTACCACGGAAAGTATTTTGGAATAACATTCTATTATAAAATGTTGTTGGTAAAGCATGATCGGCGTTAACCACTCAAATAGCTTAATACCGAAAGCAGTTGCATAACAGTTAAGCATGTATTGAGAGCTGTGGTTCTTATAGTGTTTCAGGTTAAAAGATACGGAGTGTAACTCTCATTTATGCTGATTGGAATGAAGCTCAGCGCTCCGTGACGTCGATTGGCAAAGAGTAAGAGACAGATAGACACACACAGAGAGAGAGACAGCTTATTAAACTTCATTCCTCTTTCTCTCTCTTTGTTTCATCCTTTCCTTCTTTGCACTTAGTGTAAAAAAAGGGCCTTTCACTTATAAAGCTTCAGATATTCATTTTGCATAGAGAAGCTTTCCTTTATTCAAGATGATGAAAAACATCAATAAAATCTCGCAAGAAATCCTTGCCAAACTCCCCCTCTTTCGTTTAAAGGGTATGCTTTCCTTTGTCCATCTGTCATGCTTAACTTTTGAATAGATCTTATTCGTGCTGTTAGAGCATGCAAGACAGCAGCAGAAGAAAGAGCCGTTATTCAGAAAGAAAGTGCTAATATTCGAACAGCCTTTAAGAATGAAAATCCTGATACGCGTCATACAAATGTTGCCAAGCTGTTGTATATTCATATGCTCGGTTATCCTGCTCATTTTGGTCAAATGGAATGCTTAAAGCTGGTCGCTAGTCCCAAGTATGCTGACAAACGCCTTGGATATCTTGGGATTATGCTCCTAATTGATGAAAAAACCGAAGTGCTTACTTTGGTTACAAACAGCTTGAAAAAGTAAGAATTGAGTCAATGCATATAGCTGATAATTAAATCATTTTGATAGTGATCTCAACCATAGCAATATGTTTGTTGTAGGTTTAGCACTCTGTACAATGGGTAACATTTCTTCTTCAGAAATGGCTCGTGATCTATGTTCAGAAGTTGAAAAGTTGATGGGCAGTTCCAACACTTACATTAGAAAAAAGGCACGTATATGTATCAAAACTAGAGGCTGATCATCTTGTCATAGGCTGCATTGTGCGCTTTAAGAGTGATTCTTCGTGTCCCTGAACTAGCTGAAAACTTTATCTCTCGATCCAAATCTCTTTTGAACGACCGTAGCCATGGTGTCTTGATTACTGGTATTACGCTTGTTACTGAAATGTGTCAGCAAAACCCTGACAATATTCCCATCTTTAGAAAGGTAATGACGATAGCATCAGTATAGATCACTCACTTTTGTTATAGGCGGTTCCTCTGTTAGTCAGACATCTCAAAAACCTTGCTAGTGCTGGATTTTCTCCTGAACATGATGTGACAGGTGTTACTGATCCTTTCCTTCAAGTCAAAATTCTTCGTCTTTTACGTATTCTTGCAAAAGATGATCGTGAAGCTTCTGAATCCATGAACGACATTCTTGCTCAAGTAGCCACCAATACAGAAAACAATAAGAATGTAGGCAATTCCATCTTGTATGAAACTGTCTTGACCATCATGAACATTCAAAGTGAAGCTGGTTTGCGTGTTTTGGCTGTGAATATCCTTGGTAAATTCCTTAGTAACCGAGACAACAATATCAGGTACATGTCTAAAAATACATCATATGGATATTGACATTTTGCAGATACGTTGCTTTAGAGACATTGAACAAAACTGTCGGAATTGAAACACAAGCAGTTCAAAGACACCGCAACATTATTCTCGATTGTCTTCGTGATGGCGACATTTCCATTCGACGCCGTGCTCTTGAACTTAGTTTTGCTTTGATTAACGAAGGCAATGTACGTGTTTTGACCCGTGAACTTCTTGCGTTCCTGGAAGTGGCAGATACTGAATTTAAACAAGGCATGACAACGAAAATTTCACTTGCAGCTGAACGATTCGCACCCAATCAACGCTGGCACATTGACACCATGTTGCGCATGTTGAAACTCGCAGGCAATTTCGTACGTGAAGAAGTACTTGCCGGATTCATTCGTCTTGTAGCACAAACAACCGAGTTACATCAATACACGGTTCAAAAGCTTTATGGTGCATTGAAACAAGATATTTCTCAAGAAGGTTTGGTATTAGCTAGTGTGTGGGTCATTGGTGAATATGGTGATGTACTTGTCAGCAGTGGCAATTTTGAAGAAGAAGAAGGTGTGGTGATTGAAGTATCGGATGTGCTTGTCATTCGACTTTTAGAAAGTATCTTGTTAGGTCCTTATTCTAACCAAGTGACGCGTGAGTATGTGATGACTGCCTTGATGAAGCTTTCCTCTCGTTTGTCAGACAGTAACGCACAAGTCAAGATTAAGGAATTGCTTCACCAGCACACAGTTAGTATGGAAGTCGAGATTCAACAACGTGCTGTCGAGTATACCAATTTATTTTCGCATGATTCCATTCGCCCTGCTGTCTTGGAACGTATGCCTATCCCTGAGGCACGTACTATTATTCAGGCTACAAAATCTGGGCCTACACGTCAAAATAGTACAAGTGTTGTAGGTCCTAGTGATCAAGATTTACTTTTGGACTTGATGGGTGTTGGTACAAGTGGAGGAGGTGATGGTAGTGGAAATTTGATGGAACAAACAGACGTCATGTCAAGTCCTTTAGCTACTACCAGTCCTACTGTAGTACCAGAAACCAACAAGGCATCCAATGTTGATCTTTTGGCAGATTTGTTTGGTGGTTCTCCAGCACCTACTACTACTGCTGTTACTACCACTACTATGGCACCTACAACTAATAATGATTTAATGGATCTTTTAGGAGGAGCAACATCAAAGACAAATACAGAACCCTCACCACAAACTGCTACAAACACTGGTTTAGATTCACTTGATAGTTTAGGCCAAGTATTGCCTTCGTCCACAAATGCTGCAGATTACGAAGCATATACAAAGAACGGCCTTTCAGTTCGACTCGCACCTTCTCGAGACCGTACGAATCCCAACATTATTAATATCCAAATCTTATTTTTCAACAATGGCTCTCAAGGCACTATCAGTAACTTACAATTTCAAGCTGCTGTACCCAAGAGTCAACGATTGCAATTAAACGCAGCTTCCAACACAGTTGTGCAGCCTAACACAACTGAAAAGCAACTCATGAGAATCAATAATCCACAACAGGTAAATAGAAAGACGACAAAGTTGTAACTAAAATGAATCATAGACTGCTGTTAAACTTCGTTTACGTATATCTTATGAAGTCGGAGGTGAAAAGAAGGATGATATTGCACAATATGGTCCTTTCCCTGAAGGAGCATTTTAATTGTATGTAATAAAGAAAGAATATATATATATATATATATCAAGAGTTTATTTAGAGAGAAAAAAAGAGAGACATGCTAGTGATAAAGAGATTGTGTACATTTACATTAAAGAAGAAAAAGGAAAATCCTTTAGTGCTGTGGTGGTTGATTATTATTTACAAACATCATGATGGCTTTAGCAGCTGAAGTGACGGGGGATGATGGCGGGCTGTTTGCTTGTTCCACTATGGTATAGTCTTCTTCTTCTGTCAAATGAGGCTCAACTTCACTGACATCAGGTAATGGTTGAGAAGAGGATGAGGGCTGTTGTTGTTCAGTCATGGCAATGGCATAAGATAAATAATCTAATGAATTTCGGAGACGTAAAGGAGGTGAAGGACAATGAAAAACTTCTTCTTCCTCTTCTATTAAAGAAGATAATGAAGATGTATCGGGTGATTGAGGTGGTGGTGGTTGCTGTTGTTGTCGTATTGGTTTCTTCTTTTCAGTAGGAAAAGAATAAGTCCGTACTAGCCTTGCTTTTTTGGCTTGGTGTTTAGCTCCAGGAGAAGGCATGAAGATCTTTTTATCAATGATGTCTCTCTGAGTGAATCTTGGCTTAGGTAATTCACTGATAAGTTTCTGTTGTTTTTGTTTCCAGAGTTGTTCTACGTCTAATAGAGTTGATGTTTCCCAGCCTTGCTTCATTTTGAATTGAGCAAACCCGAGTCTGGCTTGAAGAGAAACTAGTAACTGGAAAGATTTTAAGTAACATTGTCCTACGCGCAAATTCATGTATAAATTTACCTGAGAAACATCATTTTTTTGATGTCGTGTTTTCGATGGACATGTATTACGAGTAGAAGCAGCAGGTAAGATTTGATATGGCATATCAAATAAATAAATATATCTCTATATATATATATATATATATATAAATAAAGTAAGAGAAACAAAGAAAGAAAGAAAGAAGTACAAGATCAGTAACAATGCGCGTTTTTTTTATCACACCCCTTTTTTTTTAATTTTCAACTGCTAGAAAAAAAATTAAAAAAGGACGCGTTTTCCCGAGTGAAGGAACGCGTTCCAGATTTTTTTTTTAAAAAAAAACATACAAAAATGTGCAACACAGACTATATTTTTTTTTAAAAAAAAAAGTTTATCTATTACTGGATAATCTATTTATCCTCTATGGTTTGATGATATTCTCAGGATGGTTATAGGCTTGAGCAACAAACTTGTTGTGTCTTCCAAGAGCAACTATCGGAAATCAAAAGAATTAAAAAAAGTTCGTTCCCGAAAGTTAGTTACCTAGGCGACCGTTGCTAGACAGTTCCACTGTTGTAAATGCAAGTGTCTTTCCCAGTTTATCTACGCGTGCATCGACAGTGATTTTCTCGCCTTGTTTGACACCAGAAATGTAGCTAATATTGATATCTGTACTCACACCAGTAGCAAATAAGCCCTTAGAGGCAATGGCAAGTGAACCTCCAATATCCACCACAGTGGCTAATAAACCACCGTGCACAGATTCAAGTCTATTCTAAAAGGTGTCAATAAAAAAAGGGGGACATTTCAAATGCGAATTTATTACTAAATGCATCTTTTCCACTTGAAATTCTGCTAAAATGCGTCCATTTTCACTATTAAGTACTCGAAGCTATGGAATTGCTTGAGTAACGTCAAGATAGATGTGTGTAAATGTTTACCCCAGGAAGAACAGCTGAATCATATCCACCTGCACTCATAAAACTCTTGTATCGGGTTCAATAGAGATGTTCATGAAATACAATAGATTACCTTGAGTACTTTTTGTACAAGCTCAGGTGATCTCAAGACAGTGGAAGGTAGCATTTCCAAAAAAAAAAAATAAAAAAGTGGGAAAAAAGAAAAGAAAAAATAAATAAAAAAAAATAGATTAGTTTTATTATTATGCAAATTTAGACATCCAGTTCATCTTCTGTATCTCTGCCGGCAGAGCTCCTCTTTTTCTTGATTCCATTACCATCATGCTTTAATTTACGCTTCTTTTCCCGTCTAGCACTTGGTGAACCTGCAACAGATCTATCATCTTGGCTAGAGTCCTGGTCTTTTTCTTCTTTTTGTGCAAGAGCCTGTTTTATGTTAACAACATTGGCTGTATTACCGTGAATACCTTTTGATACGTTGACGAAGATAGTGAAAAGAGTCTATCTAATTCTGTAAATTTGGGTCTTCTTCTGTCTGTTCTGTTGGTCAAATAGCCATCAAACCCACGAATAATATTTCCATTCTGGTGCGTGTCTTCTAAATATGAACCCTCGAAGAGGTAGATGGAGTTTTCGAGATTAATCTACGATACAGATTAGTCTCAAATAGAACATCATCTTGTAGTCTACCAAGTTCGTATCTACTTGCTTTTTTCTTGCTAGTAGAGCTTGTAGTTCGTGCTTTGCTTCTTCGTATTTTTGACGAGTGACTTGAGGTGGCTCAGCTGGTGTTTCTGTTGTTGTTGTTGTAGTTTGTGTTGTTTGTGCTGCTGCTGGTGTATTTGTTGTAGTGTTGAGTGCATTATTTTTTGCTATAGAAGTAGTGTTTATATTTGTCTAGGTGCTATCATAAGTAATCGTAAAACGCGTTTCTTTTGTACTCACAGTGGTTTCCTTGTTCGTGTCTGACATAATGTGATATATAAAAAAAAAGCGTATGAAAAAGGATTTCCCTCAAACGCTAAATTACATTAAAAGTCCGGTGACGTCTTGTACAGAAAAAAAAGTTGGGCTGAGGCAGCTTTAGATTAAAAGGTTACTTTCTCTTTTTTCTCTCTCTCTCTCTCTCTCTCTCTTTCTCTCTCTCTCTCTCTCTCTCTCTTTCTGTAAAAATTTCCCCCCTTTTTTTTTCTTTTCTTGTTTATAAGTATATTATAGGCTGAGTTTGTCGAGATTAGCAACCCACTCTATTTTGAATATGACAGACCAGAAAGACTCTCTTGTAGACAATAGTGACACACACAGTGAAGAAGAAACACCCACTTTAATTGAAAAAGAAGAATCAGAATGCATACAACAACATGACCCTAGTTTACCCCCACCCGTTGTGACGATTACTGACAATGAAGATACGCCTTCCACCTTAATTCATGATCAAAGCACACCTAGTACGCCCTATGACGACGATACCTCTTCCACTACCAACTCAACCATTGCGCCTGACGACTCTGTCAATGAACAAGACTACAAACCGACCTTGACCGAATTTCAGGGCCCAGTGATCGATTTTTACAGGCACAAGAATATTTTAATGACAGGCGTCACAGGCTTTATCGGCAAAGCCATTCTATGGAAACTTATTCAAGCACTTCAACAAGACATGGGCTGTATCTATATCTTGATACGAAGTGGAAGTAGCAAAAAGAGTAAGATTGGTCGACCTTCTGAGCGATTAAGGAATGAGATTTTCAACAATAAGGTAGGTGACACAAACAGCATTCCCCGTTGGACTAACTTTAAATAGGCCTTCTTGATCTTGAGACGCATGATGGGCAAGACAGTATTTGATTCAATTGTGAAGGACAAGATCATTCCTATCTCTGGTGATTTAATTTCGCCTGATTTAAGCATTTCTGAGGTAGATCGAGAGAGTATTATTGATCATGTGAATATTGTGCTTCATTGTGCTGCCACTCTGAATTATAACGAAAGACTTGATTTAGCCTTAGAGGTAAGCCATAGCATTGACGGGTGTGCATATGTTCATATGAATAGACAAATACCCTCGGCACATTGCGTATGATGGATTTGGCCGATGAATGTAAACATATGGGTAAGCCAGCATGGGTGCTAGATATGGTATTTATTTCTCCTTTTATAGAGGCTTTTGTTCACATGTCACTGGCTTATACAGATTCAAGTTTACCAGAAGGTCACGTTCAGGAACGAGTATATCCTATGCTGGTGGGAGATCCTGAAGAACTTTTAACAGAGATTGTGGACCTTGAACTTCAGGATATTCCTAAAATGACACAGCGTATCTTGGCTCATTATCCTCATACGTATGCTTTTACCAAGTCATTAACAGAGCATTTGATTATGAAGCGTGTTGATTTGAACCGTATTGAAGAAGCGCAAGGCGGGAAAGCACAATGGCCAGTGGCTATTGTTCGAGCTACTCAAGTGGGCGCTGGTGCGTATGAACCTTTGCCTGGATGGGTAAGTCAACACCAAGCAAGAAACGCACATATATTGAAACAGGATCTAGGTGGATGGTGTCACAGGTGCCAATGGTACTGTCTTTTTGATGAGTAAAGGCATTCAAGCCTTACAGCCTGATATGGGTCCCATGTTGGCCGATATTGTGCCTGTAGACTACTTGGTGCGTGTGGTATTGGGCGCGGCTGCTAACATGAAACCACCCGGGTATCGATTTCTATTGCCTTACAATGAAAAATTAGACGATGGCATGGATAATAACAGTATCATTGTACCCCATGTCCAATACTTTCCTTATATCTATCAAGTCTCTGCCAACGGGTTTGATGAGACAACATGGCAGCGAGCGTATGACTCAGTACGATGTTACTGGATTCGCAACACTAAATTAGTCTTGCCTACCGCACAGGATTACTTTATTGCCAACCGATCCTTATTTAAAGCCAAATTCTTTATGAAATACAGTTTGCCCCAATCACTCTCCTCTGTCACTCAGGCGATCAACAGCAGTGTTCGATCCTCTGCAGGCAATCAAAACACAGATGCCAACCTACTGAACCGCACGATTGAATTGGCTTCTCGTGTGGTGGATGCAGTACAACCTTTTATACGCCGTCGTTGGGTCTTTGATCATCAAAATGTACAACAACTAGAACAAACCATGGCTCACGACCCTCAGTTCCACTTACAGAAATTCAAGCATATGGATTGGAATACATATATGACGAATTTCGCTTTTGGCACGCACGCTTATCTTCATCCTTCACCTCCTCTGGGCCTTCGTAATATTTCTGTGCCTGATGGCTGGGCTTGTGCGCTTTATTTGCCTCCTGGCGCTACACGGCATTCGATCATTGATAAACAGATTGAATCCGTCGTGTTTAGTGCTTCTGATATCCAAAAGAGAACAGAACGCATGTTGACTGAACTTGTCTTGTCGCTGGAAAAACCTGGACAAGAGCTCAAGGACAAGAAAAAGATGGAGGAATGGGTCAATGATTTTGATGCTAGTCTTGATGACTGGTGTCATGATGATTCTGATATTCTAAAGAACAAGGATAACATGACGCATTTGGGACACTGGGTAGATCCTCCTGAATCATATGAAGAACATGTACGTATTGAGGTCTTGAATGATAGAAGAGTAGGGCAGAGTATTAAACAGGTAACATACTTTGAGATGCTGTGATCGGATGGAATAACAATTTAGATTATTGAAACCTCGGGTGTGCCTCAAAAGACAGTCGTGGGTGAATCTCTCAAGATTCTACAACGCATGAAAGAACGCACTCAACTTCCTTATATTTGGTCTGCAGGTGCTTTTCTCAATGCACTCTTTAAGCGTCTTTTCACGAGTCTCAGGGTCAATAAGCTAGACATTGCTCGTCTCAAAGAACAAATTCAAGACAAGAATGTAGTTTATGTTCCTGTATCCAAAACTATCATTGATCAATTACTTGTATGGTATATTTGCTTGCGATATCAACTTCCTGTTCCTGCCATTGTCTGCGATGAAGCATTGGCTCTGTTAGGTCCCATTTCAGATATTCTTCGTATTTCGGGTGCGTATTTTGTACGTCGTGATCTCACTTCAAGATCGCCTTTAAACACAGCAGTTGCAGCGGCGTATACAGAAGTCATCCTGAAAGAACATGGCGCACTTTCGATGGTGATTGAACGCGCACGATCTCGAACAGGCAGACTACAAACAGCTTATCACGATGGCATGATGAACATGGTCATCGAAGGCACCATCGGCCATAATCAAGACAGCAATCTATCGCCTACAAAACGCAAAAAGAAAGAGACAGTGCTTGTGCCTATCAATATCACTTATGAAAAGATTCCCGAGTTACGTACACTGATTGATCAAGTCTTGGATCAAAAACCGCGCAACTTGACTGTCACTTCTTCCTTTCTTCGCCCAAGTGCTACTGTGGCTGATCGAGCGGCTATAAAGGAGTCCAATGGGGGTGTTGACAAGGGGAAATATGGACGTGCTTTTGTTGGATTTGGGCAAGTGATTGATGTAAGGCAGACGGCACAAGAGGGTGCTTTACCCTCCAATCGTAGTAAACGAGTCAGGTACGTATAAGATAGCATGTCCATAGATCATTAAATCTCCATCTAGTGCGATTGCTGTTAAAGATGAAGATGCTGTGGCAGACTATGTGGCTCGCAAAGTACAACGTGGCCAACATGAAGCTTCTGTTGTGAGCCCTGTCACACTTGTGGCTGCCACACTTTTGTTTGGCCGGGCCCAGGGAGGCATTACGATGGGTAAGATCTACAAGCATGTCTTATGGCTTCGTCAAGAATTGCTTGATAAGAACATCAGTGTGGATTGGCAACCAGATGAAGATGTGAGCACAATTGTTGCTTATGCGCTTGATCTTTTGGATGCTCGCAACAATGTCACTATGGACGGCAAACGTATTACAGAGCAGACGGTTGTGCGTGTAGTAGAACATGCAGACAATGTCATGGATCTGTCCTACATGGCTAGTCAATTGATTGAGATCTTTCTTCCTGAGGCATTATTTAGTGTGGTTTATTTATCGGGCACAAAAGAATTGACCACCAAAGAAGATCTATTTTCACAATTTACCTTCTTGGTGCGGTTATTTAGACATGAGTTTGTGTATCCTTGGAACCGAGAAGAGGCAAGTCAGGCATACAATACAACTGTTTACTGATAACATACCATAGAAATTCAATGTCTTGCTCGATTGGTTTGTAAAAAAGGACTTGCTTATCAAGAAAGATCAAGAACAATATACCAAAGTAGTGACGATGGAGAACAATGAAGTAGAGTATACACGCGTCTGTTTACTAGCTTCGTTTATATACCCTACTCTGGATGCTTATTGGATCACGTCTTGCTCTTTATCTGCCCTGCGTGATTTACCCTTCATGCCACGTAAAATCGTGCCTGTCTTGTCCCAATGGATTGCAGCTCATCTGATCACAGGCCGCCGTACAATTTATCGTGAAGTCTTGTCCACAGAAGCAAGCCAGAATGCTGTAGATAATTTTCTGGCAATTGGATTTATTGAAGCGGTGCATTCCAAGACGAAACTGTCGCCTGATGCCCAGATTTTGTTACTCGAGTTGGGCATCACGACCAATGAAGATCTAGTGATGGTCTCCAACAACAAAAACATAGACGATGATGCGGTAAGTGTTTATTCAGATCTACATTGACTCATGCTATGAGTAGTCTGTCAGTCAAGAAATCCTGTATCAATTAGCAGACATTGCTTCCCTTTGTCACGAAATCGAAAAATACAGATATATGACAGATAATGTGAACTTGAGGCATAATGCTCAAGTCTTTGACAAGTGTCAAAACCAAATTCGATCTATATTAAGAGCAGATACGAGTTATGCATCTCAACATGGTATGATACTAGAGAAAGATGAAGATCAAATGATTCAGTTGGTATACTCGCTAAAGGCAGCTTCAAGTACACCTGTTCCTGCAGATGATGGGTCTGGAAAACACTCAAGAAGAGTATCACAAGCCTACAATCTCAAGTCTTCATAACAAAGCACTATATTTTTTTTTATTAAAAGTCTTCATAATAGTCGTCTATTCAATCGTTAGTAGTGCTCAATACTATATCTATTTATTTACCTTCAATGCCATTGATAGCATGCAAAAAGAACAATACAATATTAGATGTACATTGCATATTAAAGCCATGATACAAGCCTCTTAGACTCCAGTCTGTTAATATGTTCTTCTTTTGAAGTGATACCTTCTTTTTAGTCTTTTCACCTTCTTCTTTGATAATACAATAAGCAGCATTGGCGATACCAGTGTAGGGTACGGGCCTTGTGGCAACCACAGGTTCAAATCGCTTCTTTCCCGGTGTTCTTGTTCTGATTTGACATTGAAGACGTTTACGGATTGTATCTAAAGGCAAGGTAATCAAGATCTCTAGCGTATTTAAGCCTAATTCAGCTAGACTATACAAAAAGGGTGATTCGTTTGCTGAGATATTGAGTACGCGGTCAATGATTAAAGGTGTCGTGTTTTGTAATAAAGGTGTGATGGTATGAAACAAGATGGTTGGCAACGTATTATGAGAAAAGTACAAGCCTTGAATACCTCCTTCTTCTTGAATAATCGTTTTGAGAGCATGGAAAGGTCCTTTGTATTTGCGTTGTAAAGGTGAAGCGGATTGTACTTGCATTCTGTGTATTACATCAGCCATAGGCTTCATGTCTGTATTTAGCTTACCTAGTTCGGATAAGTTCTAAGGGGCTTAAAATGAAGCCTACAATCAGATTACTGGCGATTAAAGTAGCCAAATTGGGCCCAACATGGTCCAGATGAACAAGAGGAATGGTATCATCATAGAGATCAAACATGTCATTCAAAGATCCTTCAAGTGTAGGCTGAAGAAACAAATGGGAGATTTCATAGAGCCAGTTTGTATATTGTCCTTTAAACAAAGAACGCCAGCCTTCATGGGGTTGCTTCATTAGTTTGCCAATGCCTTGCCAGACACCACCTTCAATAGGCTTGATTTGATGTGGTGGACGAGTGGCATCATCATAGACGCTGGAGCGAACAACATACCCACTGGCATCCACAGTAACTTTTTTCTTAAATACGGGGTCGTCTACATCCAATGTGCCAGTATTTAAAGGATCAGCACTATAACGTCGTCTTCTATGAGCATGTTCGTTATAAAAATCCTCTTCTTCTTCTTCTTCTTCTTCGGACGAAAGCTCCTATCATAGACGTAAACATTGAGCTCAATACATGCGTGGCTTCTTACATGGTGCTCAGCTTCGTCTTCTGACTCCACTGATGTTTGAGTTATAGAAGTCACTTCAGCTTCTTCACGAGGCATATATTGTACTTGTAATAATGTCTTGGACACTTCAAATGGACTACTGATAGCTGTTGTCAGGTATTTAAGTACAATGAAATTCACCAGTTCGCGAGCAGCCACTTTGGAATCAATCAAGTCGTCCATATCATCATAATAAGGTGTTGTCAAAGGTGGATTACCATCGGGCATGACAGTGTAGTTGCCATTGGTTACAAGTCCGGGCGTGTAATAGGGTCGAAGGCCATTGCCATTCTTACCTGTTGTTGCAGGAAATGTGGCAAAAGGATGGCTTTGATCGGCAGGCATAGAGAAGTATTTCAAAAAGAGAAGGTGGTTACACTTTGAATTATCGGTTAGGGTTTTATCAACCCGGACAGAGAAATGACGTCGTGGTCCAATAGAAAAAAAAATTAGAAAAATTGGATGAGTGCCTTTCTTGATTCATTGTCTTCAGCAAGCTTTCAAAATATGGTGGTTTAAAAACTAGAACATATGAAAACTGACAAATTTGAACCTTCTGAAGTTCAATCAAATGAGGTTAAGAATAACAAGAACGATACATAAAGTATCCTATCTCGACTTTTTTTTTCTCAAGTCGTTCTTGTTGGATAGTCTTAGAAGAAAGAAGGAAGGAAGAGAGGCATAGTCTGTACAAAATCATGCTTGCTTGTCCAAAGGAAAGTTACCAAAAGGACATGTTTCGCAATTGAATCTATTTTATGACATTTTTGATTTCAGGCAGTTTAGATATAAATCGAGGCTATGAAATATATTTCGATTCCATTTGGCACAAGCAAATTATTCCTCAATGTGTACCTTTTTTTGAGCATCAAAATTGTTATAGCATCTTGATTCATCCACTAGCCTTCCTTACACTTCATTTTTGATTAAGTCCAATAGTAACAGTACCAATGGCAAATTGGCAGCCCGCTGCAGGCGCGAGTGTTCATTAGAATCATTTCTGCCTTCTAATTCCCTTTTTTTTAAGTTCCTTATGTTAAAGCATACATAAAAGAACATATTTATGCAAAAATATAGCAAGTTGAGAAAAAGTTGAAAAATCGTCAATTTGGCCTTATGATACCCTTTATGAAATCTTCACTTTTCATTATTTTGTGATTGGCGGTTGATAGAGACATTGTAGACATAACATGTCTTTGTACGAATTGCTTCTCTAGGTCCGTAAAACATACTCAAAGTGTTAAATTTAAAAATACTAAAAAAGTGTACGCTGCAGCTTAGAAAAACAGAAAACACGTCTTTAAAAGATATCTCACTATTTTATTAGCAATTGTGCTGCGCTTTATACACCATTAGATGCGCAGTGTCTATATCTACAAATTTTGTTATTACTTTCTTTAATAGCTTGTCGTTTTTAGGCACTTTTAGCCCATTATTTTTCTTGAATTTCTAATTTTTTTTTCGATTATAACTTTGATCTAAGATCATCAGATTTTTCAAACGGAAACACTTCGCTTATGCCAAGTTCTTATTCATTGTCATCAGAATGGATGCTTTCTCCCTTGTATGGATCAAGGCACAGATGTATCTTTAGAAATTATCTATTAATGACAACATCTTGTTGAGCTTGTACATATCTTTTACATTTCTTTGGTTTTTTTGCAGGTTGATTTTTTTGAAGCTATGCAAATTTGCTAAAGAGCTTTTGTCTATATCTATTTATTGCGTTGGTGTATTACCTAAACAACTCTAAAAAGTCAGTCTAGCCTTTTTTTATATGCTTTCTACTAGCTTCTTCGCTTATTGCTTTAGAAAACCATTTTATCTAATCTAATGTCTACTTAAAAAAAAGAATTATTTCTGTGTAAATGTAATAGAAATAGTAAGAAAAGAAACAATTTTATAAAGAAAGTTCAGAAAATAAACAAAAATAATTTATTTACAACAATAAACAACTTTTTCATTGTTTATCTTGGTAGTTGATTCCAACGCGCTTAATGTGCTGTTTGAAATAAATCGAAGTCGTCACAACTGTGAGCATAATACTCCTATGACATTACCTTCTTTGTTGGTTTGGAAACAATTCTTAGATTGAATCTTGATTTGTTCAATTCTCTTAATTATTACCCAAATTCTGGAGTGTTCCTCTTGCTTAATTGAGTAAAGAAAAAATTCACACAAAGAGCGATTTTTGAAACCTAAAGTCCCTTAAAGTCGTCATTGAGACATTTCATCATTTTATGCAAAAATAACCTCAAGAAATTTGATTAACCAATGCATGGCTCACTTTCAATGAGTGACATTGTTCGCTCATGAACACTTGTCTCAAACAAAGTTTAAGTAAGTATAACTATGCTCACCTTCAAAAAAAGCTGTTTATTTTTCATACGTATTAGCACTACATACATCATATTTCCATGATCTACTTGTTTCGCACGATAACATTTATGGATTTGCATTACTTCATTTGCCGAATAACCCTAAAATTAAAGTACAGCATTACACTCGAATTTTCCCCATTTATGGGCAATATGACATCGACGATCACAACGTCATGATGATCCCACTTTAACTCATTGACGTACTTGATGAATCATGAAAAGAATAGAAAACATATAAATAAGCGCATTGTTTAAATCAAAGAACTTCATTATTTATCTACTATACAAACATGTCTTCTGCTTACAACAACACTCATCCTACTACTTTGGCTTCTAATGGAGTCACTAACAATGCTTCTCGTCAATTAAATGAAAACCATGGTATTGCTGCTACTGGTTTAAATGAGCCCTTTGGCCATGCTACTGCTCCTATTGGTGCTCATGGTACTTCTGCTGAGCGTCGTGATAACAGCGATGGTCTTCCTATTGGCACCGATCGTGCTGGTGAACACAATCCTTCTCCCACTAACCGTCATGCCGGCACCACTGTTCCTCCCGTCAACACTGCTGAACATGCTCGCCACACTGCTGCTGAAGAAGCCATTCATGATGGACCTGGTCACCATCACCATCACCACCATGATACTGGCGTCAATGGCGGCCATGGTATTACCAACACAGGTGGTCACCATGTAACAAGTACTCATGAAGGTGCTACTGGCCGTGGTGCTTCAGGCACTGGTCCTACTGGTGTCACTGGTGCTGGTCCTATGGGTACTACTGGTACTGCTCCCACTGGTGTCACTGGTGCTGCTCCTACTGCTGGTGGTCCTGTTGGTGCTGCTGGTCTCACTGGATCTACTGGCGCTACTACCGGCCACACTGGCCATCATGCTCATACTGGATCTACTGGCGCTACTATCGGCCACACTGGCCATCATGCTCATACTGGAGCTACCGGTGCTGCTGGCCATACTGATCATACTGGAGCTACCGGTGCTACTGGCCCTACTGGTACTGGTGCTGTTGGTTCTTCTGCTATTCCCTCTACTGCCACTACCGGTATCGCCCATGACCACACAGACACTCACCACACCAAGCCTACTGCTGAATTAGGTGACCATGGTGCTTCTCATCACAACAAGGCTAATGGTGGTGTACCTACTACTGCTAACCACCAAGATGGTCAAAGACACGCTGGTGAACCTCAAGTCGGTCCTACTCTTAAGCAACATCCTAATGACAACCATGATTTAGCTGGCGAACATCCTACCACTGCTGACAATGCTGAACACAAGCCTTCTGCTGGTGAAAAGATCAAGGGTAACCTTGAAAAAATGGCTGGTAAGATCACTGGTAATGAAGCCAAGGTTGTTAAGGGTGATGACATTGCCCATGGTCGTACTTAAATTCATTTTATGTAAATAATAATAACTGATTCCCTTCCTTATTGTGTAAATTTGTTCAATTACTTCTTACAAAATCTTTTTTTATAATAAAAAAACATGTATGCTTATTCTATTGTCTTTATTATTTCTTGTTCTACAGTCTCTACAGTCTCTTGTTCTACAATCTCTAGATTGTCTTGTTCTTCTTTTGCATTGGCTTCTTTTTCAACAAGAACAACAGTCTCCTTCATTTTTTCATTGTCTTGGAACCCAACACTAAAATCTTCAGGATAATCGTATGTTGGCTTGGGAGAAAAGACAGGTAAATCATCTTCCACAGAACCTGATGACATTTCTGAATTAAGTGATTTTGGGCTAAACGATGTTCTACCAGACACATTCTTGAAGAAAGCTGTACTCTTACTGCTGGATTCAATCAACGTACGATAATTGCGCTTCAATTGGTCCTTAGTTTCCTTTTCAATAAACAAGACCGAAAAAGACCCATCTAGTCCTGTATAGTCTCTGGATGTCAATTTCTTGTTATTTCTCTTATGAGCCGCAGCACAATGAGCATAGTTATAAGAGCGAACAATTCCCTTCTTCTTGAGAGGCGTGTGATCTGACAGTCTTTTTCTTTCCGTAGGCAAAAGACGAAGTAAGCTGGGTTCAGTGTTTTTAGGATCCAGGCGAGAGTGTTTGACCATGGGAGTTACATTGGTATACTTTGATTCTGGAATCTTATCGTTCAAGTTCACAGCAAATTGCTCTACAATCTGATCAAACCGATTTAAATTGGTCTTGGTTTCGAGAGGTGTTTCAGGAAATTCCCATTCAGTACTGTTGGTGTCTGTTGTGTTGGATCCTGCTCGACTCATTTTAGATCGAGTTCTAGAAGCAACAGGTGAGTTGTTGGATTGAGAGGAAGAAGAAGAAGGGTGAACTTCTGGCCCAGAGTGAGTAGCTATTGAGTCCACTGTAGTTGATATGGAATCAGGACTAGTAGCCCCACGGGTCATTTAAGAAAATAAAAAAATAATAATAATAAAAAGAAATACAGTAACAATCATGCTTGTATTACCTTCATTGACCTTAAAAAAAAAGATAATATTCAGACGGTTAATTTCCTCTAAACAATTGATGGTGTGTTGCACAAGTCTCTTATTTGAAATGATCAGTTGCTGCTATAAAACCTAGAATAACAAGACAGGAAGACATCTTGCTTCAACTAAGGCAGCTGTTTGGTTTTGATTGATTGAGCTCCAGAGGCTTTGAAGGGCTGTGAGGCTAACAAGATAAACTATTCCAAACAAACCACTTGGGCGCCAAAAAATGCCCCAAAGCAATAATTCATTCGATTGTGTGGTACAAATATCAACTAAACATTTGCTTTATATATCTCTAACTCTCTAATTTATATGGTAGGTCCAAGGGGTGCATTGAATCAGCTTCAGGATTAGGTCGCTGAAAATAACAAATTATTATTTGCAGCTACAGAAGAAAAGCTAGAGACAATGAATAAGAATTCTTACCATCAAGGAGAAAAGTTTTAAAGAATAAAAGCTAGATTTAAATGAGGCACAGTTGCTAAAATGTGCCTACAATGATGTTCTTCTTGATCTTTTTTAAATGTAGTTGCAGTGGGAAAAGACAAAGATCAAAGCTCTCTCCAAAGAAAACAATTCATGTACTAAAACAGGTCATTAAATAGAAGTTTGATTTAAGCTTTTTTATTCACAGTCTTTCGCTGAAGAAGCTGCTTTGCTTTTCACTGTTGAAGCGTAACTTGTTTTGATCTCAAACATGTTCTTGACAGCATTATAATCGAGTAACTGCCATTGTGCTCTTTCTTTTTCTTTTTCAATGCGTATACAATGCCGCTCATACAGACTGGCGACATTGTACAACGTGTTGACTTGTGAGTAAACGTTGGCATACTCGTCGTATGTCAACGGAAAAACCAAGCTTCCTACCTCAAACAAGAAGCAAATACCAGACACCACTTCACACAAGAAGAACTTCATTTCCTGACCTATTTTAAAGCGTGAGTTTGTCTGATTTGTTTATTTCTGTCAGTTATACATACCGACCACTTGAAAGACCAAAGAAGTCTTCAGGCTGTAGGACCGCAGCATCTGTAGTCCAAAGATACCCAATCGGTAAGTATCCAAGGCTACATGATCTGGATCTGAGCTTAGCCCTTTGATCTCGCCAACGACATCAATGAAGTAGAAGGCCTAAAAAAATGCTACCCCGACTATGTCGTCTAAATCCAAGAAGATGACAAGTTCAGGGAAGAGGAGTTGATTATACCTATGTCCTAAATGTTAGAACAATGCTGTAGGTATTCATAATTGTTTCACTTACCCTTGTGGGGCATGAGTCAAGCTCAGCTTGAAAAGCTGACAGATGTCCGGCACTATCCCAGACTGCAAACGCATTTCGTAAGAGGTCGTCTTCTTCAAGGTCATGTGTCCAGAGCTACAATCAATAAAGACTTTTAGTATTGCTTTATGTATTTGAGTGATGGCTAATGACATACAGCTGAGCGAGCACGTTAAATACGCGCTTTTCTGCACCCGTTTTCCTCTTACTTATTTGCTGCAGCACATGCAACAGCTCATCAAGGTCAAGGCTATTAAATTGTTATGTCTCTATTTCAAATGGAAGTATAGATAGTTTAATCATCTTACTTCAAAAGCATATTCGACTTCTTGTTTCCTGGAAGCATTCATCCTCAACGGCTTCCCATATAGCTTGGTTTGAGTATGGCTTCTAAATCTGTTTAAGTATTCTAAACTACAGAGCTCGTCCAACCCAGCATCTAAGGGTCGCTCCAATTTAATGATACGTTGAACACGCTATGTAAATAGAGTGAGATATTATATGAGATCGAATACTTACAATAGCTTGTTCAAGTCTTTACTTAGATGCTTGGTTTCTTCAGGACTCTTAATGTCGCAGATATTAGTATTTCCGACCGCCAACAGCCAATCGAGGTTGAATATAACCTTCCCTATATGCATAGACCAAACAAGAAAAGGTTTAAACCTCAATTAACCAACAAGGGAAGAAAGAAGTCAAAGCTGAACCTGATTTGTATAAGGAAATTGCCTTTAGTAAAAGCCAAGCTATTGTCGTATTCGTCAAGAAGCAAGGATCAATCAACATGAAGTATATAATTACTTCCTTCTTTTTTTGATTTAGAATATAGATTTTAGAATGGATAGAAAAGATATAAATACTGTGTTGTTGATAGATGTAAGTTCTTAAGACTTACTTTATCAAAACACAGACGTCACTGCCTTCTAGAATATTTTCTCAATAATATCATTGGGTAGAGAATATTCTATCGTTACGTGACCCGTATTATTGAACACAATCCTTAAGGAAATATCAAAATGGCTTAAAGCTAACTCAAAATAGCTAGCAAATTTTGTCTCAACATCAATTTCTTCGAAAACAAGCTTTCCAACACCTTTGGGTGCAGTGAATGCATCAAATCTATTCAGAAAGGATCTGATATTAATACTTTTAGCTTTTCACAAACGACTCACGCTTGGACAACATTTATGGTGTTAAGAGTTCTTTTAGTGTTAGTTTTTGGCTGAGATTGGCTTGATTCGACCTGAAGATTTATTAGTTGAGCATTCGCCAGTAACATTTGTCATTTATCAACTTTTTCCAGACTTTCATTGCATTGCCCTTTTTCTAATGGCGCTTTTTTTAGTACATGCTAAATTAGTTATTGCTATGAATACCTACTGCTACAATCTTGTAGTGATGGGCACTCTGATTAAAGTGTGCGTACCAATCACTGAAGTTATTGGCACTTTCTGGGTCAAGCCGTGGCTTGATAAATTTGTAATGTCGACTTATAAAGTTCTCAGAACCTATTGCTCCCTCGGATATTTCAACGCGTCAAGTGAAACTTGAAACGCGACAAGCCAACATGTTTCACGAAATTTCAACATGCGACTTGCCAGTATGCTGTATCATAATGCATTTACATAGGAAACTAGTAGTTTGTCTTATTGTGTCTTCCTTTGTTATGGCCTATTGATCCTTCTTTCTCTTTCTCTTTTACTACTGTACTTTAGTCTTCTAAGTCAGGTCATGGAATACACTATTGTCGGCTTCATTTAAACATGTTTCTGTACCCTCGTCAACAAAGCTGAACTACAGATTTATGGTCTTCAACTTCAATAACATTTGGGCTGCATGTACTCAAGTTATACAGGCAGTTGATTCAAAGACAAAACTACAGTTTCCTATGATACGTACACTGAAAAAAAAGGGAGATAGAAGGAATATGCTTTAACGGCTTTCTAGATATACAATTTTGCTAAAGATGATATGGAATTAGCTTATTATATAGACATAGCAATGGCATCAAAAATAATTGTAAGAATGCCCTGGATTCTTGCCAGAAGCTTCATTGGTATATCTAACTTTTATGAGAGACACAAACTCAATTCAAGATTGTATTGTGCTAGTGGTGTTCCTCATTGGTTTTTTGCCTGGGGAAGGTATATTATTCATGAACATATCAATAAAACGAACAACAGAGAATACAAAAGTTTGTCAGAAACACTATTTGCTGTACAGAAGTAGGTGACATCGGCCATGATGGAGAAATCGCTTATTAGTTTGTTTAAGTTATTGATTACAACAGTTGAAACAGAAAAAACGCATATACAGAGCAGGGCTACTCCACGTCAAGCTCAAAAGCCCTGGACAGAAAGTTGATGTATATGCCACCGACAAAGGATTCAACGTAACTAAGCACGAAGGGAATGTCGGTGTCGAGAAAAACCTAATCTGTAGAACAAGAAAATTTTTTAGTGCTTTTTTTCTGAATATTAATAGCGTCACGGTTTTTAAAGGGTGTGAGAACATTTCGCCAAATCAAAGTCAGCTCAGAACAAGGGCAGAAACCTAAAATACTTACTTGATCCGCTAAAGAGATGCTAAACTCTTGACCGAGGCACCGCTTCTTGTACAGGAGAGCCCCTTTATTTAATCATGCCGAATAGAGTTTAGCCGGATGAACGTCCTCAGTGGCTTATCACTTTCTATCATATTTCTTATAAATCCGTCTTTCCTTTCTGAGAAACATAAAATTTAAAATTCTGTGTATAATAATGAGGCATTGAACAACTAGCCTTTTTCAATTTGAAACCAACTTCTGGCACATTGAACACTGCACTCGATCTTAACCAAAAGGCCTGAGAGGATACACATTGAACACTGCAGGAATAAGGTTGACACTTCCTTTTATGATTCTCCCAAAAGAGTGCATTTTCGTCTCTCCAGACCTCCCCCCATTCACTTATGGAAATGTTCTAGTGCTACTATTACTTTAGATAGCATCTCCCCGAACTTGAGGAAACAGCTTGAGAAAGGCCTAAGTTATAAAAAATGAATAAGTCATTGAGGACGACCCTTCGGCTAAACTCTATCTGACGTGATCAAATAAAAGGGCTCGAACAAAAGTCCGTTGTTTTTAAATTAGTTCAGTATTAAAGTGACTGACGCTTACAGAGAAACCAGGAAGAGTTTTATGAAAGAGCAAAATGGTTATGTCTGAGATATCAATGGTTAAAGCTAGACACCTTATCTCTTTCACTTATACTACGACCATTCTTGATTGAGGGCCATTCAGGATTATGACAAACTAAAAGCACCTTTCATGTTTTTGTATCTTGTTGTTCCTTGCCTTCTGAATAATTACTTAGGATGTTGAAGTTTCTGGAAATAGTAGACACAGGTCTACGATGTCTTTTACACCTAAGCAAATCTAGAGTATAAACTTAATGAAGCATAAACATGTATAGTGTCACAAACATGTATGCATAAACTGTTGTTAGACGCAGCATGTCCCTATATACTACAAAATTTTCTTCAACTCCTTAACAAAGCTATAAAATAACCCACAAAGAGTTTTTATTGCAAAATACGTCTATAAGCACAAAAAAAGGGGGAAACTATGATAACAGCTTTACTAAATTGATCTACAATTACACTTGTTTCAATTAACTTTGTACTACCTGAGATACAGAAGACAACAATTGAAATCAAAATAGTGTTGACTGATTTAAAGGCGTCAGATTGGCTCCTATCATGATAGTTAAGTATGTGTTTGCACAAATTCAAGACTTACGAAAATAAGTTTTGGTCTTCTCTGGATCAAGAATAAAATTGTCAAGTTTTAAAAGAAAGTTAACGTATCGTTGATTCTTCTCTTATACAAATGAATAGCTACATCTAGCTTTCGTGATATGTCTATATGGTGGAAGTCAAACTCCGTGCTTCTTATACCTTGCACCAAAATATCGTACTTCAATTTTTCCAAACATCGTAATATGGTTTAAAGCTGCGGACATAAAAAGTGGAGATGGAAGCTTGCCCCAATGTTCGCTTTTCAGCAAAGTACATTTGTTTTGGTCAAAGACCAAGGTTTGTTTTTGTATGTATTTGCATTACTTGAAGTTCGCTTTGATATAAAAACGAATTATGGTTACAGCATTTACACTGCGAACGTTGCCGTAAAGAAGACAAAGAACTCTCCGAACCGCCTTTTCTTTATTAATAAACTAATTCGCTTATATACATTCTAAAATTCTTTTGTACCATTGAAGGATATGCTGTCCCAAAACTAAATCTCATATTTGAAGAAAACCCCCTTCTCTTCACTTGATGCTTTCACACTTAGAACACTAGAAGCGTTCAAAAAGCGTTGCCACTGGGGACCATCTTGGATGCACTAGGCATTCATACAGAAAGAGAGGTGTCTTGATGAAAATAATTTTGAGTTCAAAGTGCGAACACTGAAAGTATTTTTGACAATTCCATCTGTGCAACCTATATAACAGTATCAAGAAGCATTTCAATATCTTGAATGTCATAGTAGACTCAAAAAAGGAAATAAAAATAAAAAAACGGGTTAAAACTTTTTTTTTTTTTTTAAAAAGCAGCAACTATCGTTCTATTTTTTTTTCCTTTTCTTTATCTTTTTTATTGACACTTTAGAATGCCAACGTCAGAAGCCATAGCCAGTTTCTTTGGCTATCTAAGTATTTTTTGCTGGATTGTTGTATTTACCCCGTAAGACAGACTGATAAATACTTTGTACTGATACATTATCAGACAATTTAAAGAAAACTATACAAGAAAGAACACAGATGGTGTATCTATTACGTTTCTTTCGTTATGGATCTTGGGCGATATCTTGAATTTACTCGGTATTATCTTAGAAAATTTGCTGTTTACGATGGTAATTAGGACAGATGCAAGGTCTCATTTAATCCCTTTATGTTAGCTGCTATTAGCATTATACTATTTATTAGCAGATTGTTTGTTGATGACACAAGTATTTTATTATAGAACTATGTATCCTAAACAGCCTGTTGAAGAAGTAGTAGCCACTGGTTCTGATCATGAACGAACACCATTGCTACACAAGACCCCCAACAAACAGACGAGATATATTGTGCGAATCTTTTTTGTTTCAAGTCTCTTACTTTGGATTAGTCTTTTAGCCGGATCAGGTTTGTTTTTCTTTTGGCCTCGAGAGGGACACCACATTGATCTGAGTCAATGGCATCTTGTACCACAATTGCTGGGTTGGGGCAGTGCTATTCTGTATTGTTCCAGCCGTATACCACAAATCATGCAAAACTTTAAAAATGAAAGTGTAGAAGGACTTTCTTTAAGCATGTTTATCTTTAGTGTAGTTGGTAATTTAACCTATTGTGTGGTAAGTGTCTCTTGACTACAAACGTTTCTTATTTGTTTGTTTTAGAGTATTGTGTTAGACTCAACAGATCCTACTTATTTGTTGATCAATTATCCATGGTTACTTGGTAGTGGTGGTACCTTATTTTTTGATTTTACAGTAAGTAAAATGTAAGGAGAACATTTCAAATCCTCATTCAATTAGATCTTTTTCCAATTTTACATGTATCATCAACGCACAGACATAGGTTTTAAATAAAAAAAAAAAAACAGAAGAGCAAAAAAGGAGAAAGGAAAGGAGTAAAGTTAGTTCTCCTTAAATTCAATGATGATGTTTCAAGTTGCATATGATACACTTTGGGCGTTTTCATTACAAAAACTTATTGATCTGCAATAAACAAATGCAATATCATTTGACTTGATCGGCACACAAACACACACACACATGTATATATAACCACTATTTTTTTTATTTTTTTATTTCTCTTTCTCTTTCTAACAAGATGAACCATAAAGTGACTTTACCTTCTATTAAGCATGTATTTGACAGCATTTTCCCTGTTGAATGTAAGTACACTATATATATACATATATATAAAAGAGAGAGAGAGAGAGAGAAAAAGATATTGATAGTTATTTAGCCAAACATCATCGTCGTTCTTCTTCTTTGGGCATGGAATCTACGCTAGAAGCAGCTCGTTCATTGCAACAAATGTCCTCTGTATGCTATCATTGTTACCAGCAACAACACTGTTCTCAAAAATTGGTTCATCGTCGTACAATCTCTGCTTCTTTTGACCAAATGCCTTATTATCAACCCATGCCAATGAGACGCGCAAGAGCACATACTACCTCAGGTTATCCACCCACCATGGTCTATCCTCATAAGGTATACTCAAAGCAAGAACCAGAACCCACAGAAAAGAAACTCAAGACACCTACCAACCACAGATACCATTGTCATCATTGTAGTAAATCATTCTCAAGACCTTCTTCTTTACGTATCCATATCTATTCACATACAGGAGAAAAGCCTTTCAAGTGTCATTTTCAAGGATGTGGGCGTAGTTTTAGTGTACACAGTAATATGCGTAGGCATTTACGTGTTCATTATTATCCCACTCAGCAGCAGCAACAACAACAACAACAACAACAACAACAACAACAAATACATAACAGTATGCGATTGCCTATTGTTCCTCAAAGTGTACATGAAACAAGTTTGTAATAATAAAAATATATATAATATTGCAGATCATCCTAGTTGTGCGATATATTCGGAGTGTGAATAAAAACCAAAGCAGGAGGAGGAGGACGAGGAGGCCTATTTTTTAAGCCATCCACAGAGAAGCTGATTTCCCCTCCCTCTTATTATCCTCATTCAAAATGGTAATATTATCCATCCATCCATCCATCCATCCATTTTTATTAAACATGTATCTATAGGTTAAGCGCACAAAGAAAGGTAGAACAACAACCTTGGACCAACAACACATATTAACCTCTTGATATAGTCGGAATCACCGGTAAATACGGTACCCGTTATGGTGCCTCTCTCAGAAAGACCGTCAAGAAGATGGAAATCACCCAACACAGCAAGTACACCTGTACTTTCTGTGGTAAGGATGCTGTCAAGCGTACTGCTGTTGGTATCTGGAAGTGTAAGGGTTGTAAGAAGACCTTAGCTGGTGGTGCTTACACCGTCTCGTAAGTTATTCATATCTATATTATTTGTCTCTAATCAACTGGATAGTACTACTGCTGCTGCCACTGTTCGTTCTACCGTTCGTCGTCTCCGTGAATTGGCTGAAATCTAAGTATCATTACTAGAGATATCATGATGATGGATTATTTTTTTTCTTTTCTTTTTTTTTTTTTGCAAAACTCCAAATAAAAAAAAAAAGGCTTGAAGCAAAAAAACCTGTTGATGAGGAATGAAAGAAAAGGTTGATTTACATTACCATGGGGCGATAAAAAAAAAAGACAAGTTGTACTACTTTATGAGCACTTTATTCTATTTTTTTCAACAACAAAAAGTGCTTGCATTGGTTCGTGACCACTCTTTTCTTGAGGAAGCATCGCGTCTCGCGTATTTTTGTCTATACGCGCCTTAAAAAAACATTTTTTTCTTTATTATTATTTTTTTCTCTTTTCTAGATATGCTCTTTGATGAAGTGAGAGCCATTTATGCTGGTCAAGACGGCCAAAGTGTTGTCTCTTATAAACCTAATGGAAGGTAAATAAGTAACCCCCTCCCTTACCAGCCTTTGTCCATAACATGATATTAGAGAAGTGGTTTTTGCAGGTGTGAATGATACGGGCTTCAAAGTATTCGAGATACAAAAAGAGGATCAAGAACATATGAGTACAGATATTCAAGATCAAAATGAACTACATGTAACATGTCTTAGTACTTCCGTAAGTGTGTATATGTATATATATCAATATTGATTTAAAATCAGACATCAGGTAGTGTGGCTGTAGGTTCTGTAGATGGTCATGTTGTGTTGTATAGACCAGATCATTCACTTGATAAAATGTTGGTGAGAAGTGCTGTTCCTGTACGCAGTCTTTCTTTTCATCCCTCAGGCAATAAACTTGCCATTGCTACTGAGTAAGTACCAGTAGACTTGATTGATCTCACCATTGCTAGTGACCATATGATTCGTATTGTGCTGGCAGCAGACAACTCAAAGATTGTCATGTTGGAAGGCCACACAAGTCCCCTTAAATCTGTACACTACAATCACAACGGTACACATCTTATTTCATCTGATATTGAAGGCGATATTCGTATCTGGGATGTATCCAACACGAAACCTGTGCCTGAATGTATCAAGACCTTAAAGGCTTATGGTTACAATGTACCTCCTGATGCTATCTCTCAGTCTACAGTGGCATGGCACCCTGATGGCTCTTGTTTTGCTTTCCCTGGAAGAGACCGTGATGTGCGTGTGTTCAAGACTGGTCTATGGTCTCCTTTCTTTACATTGCAAGGTGAACATACAAGTCAGGTGATCACAATAGCATGGTCTCCCAATGGATATTATTTAGCCAGTAGTGCAGAAGACAACAGTGTGGTTGTATGGGACACAAAACAGAAAAGAGCTGTGAGGAGTGAAATTACATCCAGTCCTGTCACAAGTCTAGCATGGAATCCTAGAGAGAATGAATTAACCATGGTAAGATCAGACTATCTAATATAGGGGGTTTTTTTGCTGACGTCTTTATAGTCAGATACGTATGGTCAACTGCGTGTATGGAAAGATGTGATTCCAACAGACAATAGTCAGTACCCTCATCCTGCTCTACTTGCTCAAACCATCAAAAAAGAACTCACCCAACCTCACAAATCACAACCCAGGCAAAGCCAGTCAGTCAAGATGGAAAGTAGTCAGCCCATATATGCAGGCAATAGTTTAGCGGTGGATGATGAAGCATTGGATGGTGCTGACGATATGAGTCTGGGTGATCCTCTTGACATGGACGATGAAGGTCAAGCATTAGAAGACGTGTTGGAGGAAGAAGGTGAAGATTTAGGTGATTTTGTGATTGATGATGATGGTGCGGGTTATGCAGAACAAGAGACAGAACAACGGCCCAAGCCCACCATTGAACGCTATGCAGCAGCTGATTTACAGAAACAACAGTTGAAATTCAATTCAGCCTTTGAACCACCTACGCCTTTTCAGCCAGGTGAAACCCCTTACCATAAACCAGAACCAGGCAAAGGATTTGATCCAGCTCCTGGGGAACGTCGTTACATGGCTTATAATTTGACAGGAGCTATCTCTACTATTTTTGAAGGCCATCATTCTGTAATCAATGTTGAATTCCATGACCAGACAGAACATCGTAATTTTCATTTTACAGATATGCAGAATTTCAGTTTGGGTGCTCTCAGTGCTTCAGGTACTGTATTTGCAGTCGAAGGGAAAGAAGCACCCAAGAAATCTAGACATGAAAGAGAAGACGAAGACAATGATGATGATGAAGAAGAAGAAGACGGAAAAGAACAAAAGCTAGGCACATTATCTGCTTTGTATTATCGACCCAATACATGGGGTACAGATAAAGACTGGACACAACACATGCTTCCTGGTGAAGACATTATGAATGTAGCCATCAATCGTATCTCTGTGATTGTCACTACTTCTTTAGGTTATGTACGTATTTTTTCCATCTCGGGTATTCAGCGTCACTTGTTTTCCCTTGAGAATGTGGCCTGCATCAGTGCTATGACAGACTTGGCTTTGATTGTCTATGCTGTCGGCCCCTCATTCAAACACCAACATAACCTTCATTACCTCTTGCTCAACACGGATAATTTTGAAGTGATCCAGAAAGACAAGTTACAATTAAGCAGTGACAGTCAATTGAACTGGATTGGGTTTAGTGAAACAAACCAAGCTGCTACCTATGATTCTGCCGGTGTTTTGCGTGTCTTGCATCGTCAACGTCGTCCTTATCAAGCCACTTGGGTACCTGTGTTTGACAGTAAAGCGTATGCAGGTGAGCGTACAGAAAAGTATTGGCCAGTGGGTGTGTTACGTGATCGATTTGTATGTGTTGTCTTGCGTGGTCAAAACATGTATCCCTTTTTCCCTCGTCCTCCTGTCAAAGATCTGCCATTACAGTTACCTTTATTGGATACTCACATGGAAGTGGGTGCTTTAGAAGAGAAAGTGATGCGTACACACATAGGCACACTTCATGAACGCGATGAAGCCGAAGCAACCAATGCCATACATGAATTTGGAGATACTTTCCTTGAAGCAGACATGGAGATGGATGTAGCCTTACTCAAATTGATCAACTTGGCTTGTAAATCAGAAAAAGTGAGCAAGGCACTTGATTTAGCGGATCTATTGCATACGGGTGATTCTGTAGATAAAGCGATCCGTATTGCTTCTCATCATCGTCTTACACATCTAGCAGAGAAAATGACGAGCTTAAAAGAGGTAAAACTCCATAGGACCTTATGAGCGAGTTATTAATTTCTTAGTCTAAATTTATGCATGATCACAAAGAACCCAGTTTGGCAGATGCCTTCAAATCCATTCCGGATATTCATACTTCCAGTCAAACTGCCCTTCACAATGATCTTGCTGGACTTAAACCATTTGATACAAGCTATAAAAGAAGCAATACGTTTGACATGGAAGAAGATTCTTTTATGGATACACAAGCCTCTAAAAGAGCAAAAGGGTTTGCGTTCAGTACTCGATAAAATAAAGCGTGGAAAGCACGAATGTATCACTAGAAATATAATGTTCTCCTTAAAAATAACACCCCTCCCCCCTTAAATAAACAAGTTGTAATTTCTTTTCTTTTCTTTTTTTTTCACTTGAAATGCCTAACAAGACCAACTTTCAACCCAAAGATGCTCGAGCCGTGAGTATCACTTACCGAGATGATGACGATGATGATATGTCTGATTTATTCGGTCCTGGCAAACGCATGATGACAGGCACACAAGCCTTAGTGGATTTCCTGAAGACCACAAGCCCAGAAGAATTTCAACGTACTTCCACCTCCAATCATTCTGAACGATCTGTCAATACACTGTTCTCAAGGATCCGAAAGACCAAACGAGCACCTTCCATCATTCCCTCTACTGCCTCTGTACCTTCCAGCACGATTTCTTTACCTGCTTCATCTTCATCATCCTCTACGCTGACGAGTGCTTATGAACTACGCAAACCTCATATTGAAATCGTGCCACAAAAGACAAAAAGTGCTACTATCAGCAGTAGTCGATCTCCTTCTTTTCATAGTGAGACGTTTGTGTCACGCAAGGCAAAGGATCCTATTTTGCCCAACAAGAAAAGAGAATCAAGTCTGTATAGTGGGTCTCTTAGACACTCGGTCTCTGTCCGTAGTCATTTGAGTACAGTCAGCCATAAGAAATCACATAAAGTGGCTACAGACCAAGTCTTGGCCAAGACACAAGGCATGGATATGATCGAATCTGCTCTTTTGCAGCGATTGGAGCGGTTAAAGACGGCTCATGAGCCTAGGCCGAGTGATCAAGTGGCGGCTGCTCTCTCAGCTGAACATATTCGAGCATTAGGTATTACTCATCTATTGGACAACACAACCAGAGAGACACAACACAAGAAAAATGTGCGACATATGCAAGTGCAAACAGAACAAGCACAGATCCAAACGTCTGAAGAACCTCAAGTTCCAACACCTACGCATGTCTCTAGGGAAAAAGATCCTGAATTACGAGCCAGGAGAGCTGAAGTGGCACTGGAAAATGCCATGGATCATTTTGAAGTCATGAGCGGACTTGCGTATAAAAGACTACGTGAGTTATGGGAAGAAAAGATGCGTTGGGAAAATGCCTGTATGGAACTAAGAGACAGGCTACTGCTACTTGAACAAGAACAGAAAAAGACAGTGCAAGACTCGCCTCTTTTACGTGAAGACTATTTGGATCATGTCTTGGTGGAAGAAGAAGATGAACTGGGACTTTCAGAGTTTCCCATTAGTGAACTTTGTTAACATCAATAAATTACAATGTGGTCAATTTGTGTTTCTTTTTCTTTTTCTTTTCAGAGGTTGACATATAAGCATAATTAGCATAAAGCAGGACTTCGACGACGCCAATTAAAACAGCGCCACCGAGGCCCATCAAGACTTGCTATAGAGATCATTCAGTAAAGACGATCGATGTTGAATGACTTACAAGGCCTATATCTTGCGTTATGGTCTGAGAAGCTTTATAGACGGCTATGTAGACAGCAGCCATGGAGAACATGATGTTAAAGATAGTGACAATATGACTTTTGATCTCTTTAATTTCATCGGGTTTAATACCAAGATTCAGCTTTTGATCTTGTGAGCTAATGACATTCGATACCATCTGTTTATATTCACGTTCTTTCTGTTGAGCGCGTAAGGTTTCCATATAAGCAACAAATGCAGGATCCTAGAAGCATGTGAGCTGCCGTTGCATCATGTCTACCTCACCTGTGGCTTTGTCTCTTTTGGCTTAAAGTAGAGACTCGAACCCGATATGAGCTCATGAAAATACGCGCCTAGATGATCAGAATAGACTTGATGCATGGTCATTTACCTGTCAATGGAGCAACATGTTCAATCAGATCCATCGAGACTGGATAAAGTGTATCTTTTTCTAAATCGATCACTTTAATCTCTTTTGCTTCTTGTTCATAGACAATAGAAAACTCTGGATGATCTAATGCTTTCACGACATGGTGTTGAATTTGGGGTGTTAATCTGAACTTCATTCTATGTGATGAGAACACAGGAGAAAAATAACTTTTTTTTTGTTGTTGTTTTCTTCTTTTGTCTTCCTCATGACCCTTCAACAGTCATTATGTGTTGGATCACTTGTGTTAGGGCAAGGTAAAAAAAAAACGAAGTGATGAACAAACATATTAAGAGTTAGATTTCAAGTGGCAAGACAAGACTTCCATAGACGATCTATGTTTATTTCATAGTGATCCTGATGCTCAAGTCACCCGATACCATGTTTCTTTTGCTCTTAAAGGCATTATTGACACAAAAGCCTTGAATATCTACATGTATGAAGCATGGCGTTGGGAAGCGTAAGTCTTGAACACCAAGTATTGATGATTGACGCTTAGGATAGATATCCTCTTGACGCTCAAGATTTCTTTATCTCTATCTTTCGTGATGATGTAAGTACAACAACAACAATAGACATCGATAGACTCATCTTGAGTAGTTTGACGAAAGTAATACAACCAAACGAGCCCTTGTGGTTCAAATGAACAGTTCAGATTCACAAGATAACTTGTTATTATATGGCGAAAAGAAAGAGACAGAACTAACCATGTATGCACATCGTATAAGACATTACCATGAATTCTTGACTTTGCCTTCTATCGAGCCTCATGTGGCGGATACACGTATTGAACAAGGCATGATAGAAGCCATGACAAGACAAAAGCAAGATATGCCACTACCTATCCCTACAAAACCACAGCCAGTATCTCAAGTACCTTCTTTACCGCCCTCTCAACCACAAAATCCATATAAAATCAACAAGAGTGTAAGTCCTGTTTTTCTTTTCTAAAGTACATTAACCGAATAAAATAGATTCTAAAGCAATGCATTAAACATGAATTAGCTAAGCAAGGTACTCAAGATACAACATTATCTCAAGTGATTTATACCGATATTCTTTATCATTATGTAAGTCTCATTTTAGACATCCTTTTAGGCTAACAAACTCTGCTTAGAAACAACGATTTCAGTCTACCTGCATGACAGAACAGCAATTACAAGTGGCTACAAAGTACTTTGTTGATCACCACCTTAACTTTAATGCCATGCTGACAATGCTATAACTTTATTACATACTCATAGCTGACATACATTTGAAAAAAAGGGGGAAATTACGTTTTTTATGGCTTTAAGTTTGTACATCTAATAAATATGTGTTATACATTTACAATGGTGGAAAAAAGGGTTGAAAGGATGATTGAGGTTCTTCTTCACCTCGTTTGTTTCTCTTGGAAGGTTGTTCTTGCCAGTTATCCAGATTCATTGGTCTTCCCATAAATGATAGTTCATTGAATAGCCTTCGTTTGTTGCTATTATTGTCTGTTGTTGTAGTATCCCATACATCATGGCGTTGTGATGGATTCACATCATGAGTAAATGTGAATTGTGATTGAGGATCAATCGAGAATGGATTCTTGGGTGGTGGTTGAGATGGTTGTTCCTTATGAGGTATACCCTTCATCTCATGAACTAGCTGACTGTTTCTTTGTCGAGCAAATTGCAGTACATCTCCTACTGGAATCATGCCATGTTCAGGTGTACTACTTAAGAATTCATACAGATCTTGAAGTGCTTGTTGATATCCTGCTGCATAAGCTTTTCGGTTCTGTGATAATGAGTCTTTATAAAGTGTGGTTACTTTAAGTGCTGCTGCTTTAAATGAGTCTAAAAGTGCATTTTCTGTTGATTCATAAGAATCCATCACATCATGATTCGTGTCCATATTGTGTGTATATAAAGAAAACAGTAGAAAAGAGGAGAAAAAAAAAATAATGCTACACACACACATTGGATGTGACGGCTAAAAAAAACTATTGCTGTGTCCCTGAACAAGAGAATAGAGTAGTACACGCTTTATTTCAGGAGAACAATAGCCATGTGAGCTAAAAAAGGCTATTCAGTGTAGATCCAATCATGTTTGTTAACAGAATTCTTTACTTTCGATTCTATGTTGATGTCTCCGTTTTAAAAAAAAAAAAAGAAAAAGAAAAAAAGAAAAGTTTATTTACATGTTAAAGGCAAGGTCTTCATAAATACTTGTGGCCAACTCAATGGTTCGACCATACAATTCACCTTGAAGATCAGAAATCAAATCGAAGATATATCTATTCAAAAAGCCATGGGTATTGGGTTCAAAGGCACCAGGATTACGGAATGAAATCAAAATAGCAGTCCAAATCTTTTCTGTCAGTGTTTGTGGAGCACTTGTGGTGTGAGGATCAAAAATAGCTTGACAGTTTAACAAAGCAGCTCTTATCTTGCCGAGGAAATCAAACTGATGTGCAATAGCCACTAATCGATCTGATATTTCCATATTAATAAATTCAACCGAACTAACGATTTCATCCAACACGTCTTGTTCCCAGGAACCTTGGTTGATGGCATGCAAAATCATTTGGCGTAATTCGGTGTCTGTTGTTTTCCAAACATCAGTCACAATTGTGTCAACCTGACTATAGAGTGCATGACTGAATTCATGGATTTGGTTTGCAATCATGCCTGGCATTTGTGCTACACATACATCTTCCATAGGGCCTTGGACTAACACATCTGCTTGAGGTCTGAGGACAGCGTACATAGTATGAGGATCTTTGATAGCCATTGAAAGTTCAGTCAATAAACCTTCATTGTGTTGACTAAGGATATCGTCCAGAACAGACTCATAGTGGGATTGAGCAGAGTCTCTATTTGACATGTTTCTTTCTTGAGAAGAAAAGTTGATTTGAAGTGCTTGTGCAATACACAAAAATAAAGAGAGGAATAGAATGGATTTCATGGTATAAAGACAAGCAATTGACCAGCAACTGAAAGAATAAAGAAGAAGAAGAAAAAAAAAAGGAGAAAATAAGTGAGTCATTTATATATACGCTCTTCATGCAACATCTAGACTCGGTTATACGCACAGATCTCGTGATGTTACACGGTAATGAATTTTATACTTTTTTCGTAAAAAAAAAATTGGTAAGTAAAAAGGGGGTTAACGCATGGTGTTCATACAACACAAACAAATAAAAAACTTAACCGAGGTTTGCAGTCATAGATAAAAAAGTGCGTAATCACTCTTGAACAATAGAATTGGATACGTCATTGACCAATATTTCCTTTCTTTCTAGTCTTTAGGTAAATTTACATGCATGCGCGTACATGATTGGTGAATCGGAATATGCACTTAAAAAAGTATCTAAAACAGCGTTTCAAGTCAATATAAACAATATACATAGACGCATATTTGTAAAAAAAAAAAAAAAAAAAAAAAAATGGAGTGTATGGTTTGTGTATCCATACCAAAAGGAGTGTTAAAGTGTTAATGAAACGCAATGCGGATGTAACAACACATTCAATGGATTTCGAAACACAAAAAATGATGGTGACATTCAGTGAGCTTTTTCTTCATATATGCTAGTACACTATCTAAAAAGATTTTCAACCTAATTTTTTTTTTTGGATCTTCATATCCTATTTAAGCAAAGTTTATTCTCAAGAGTAAAGAGTTCCCTTTAGTTCAAGAACCCAGAGTTGTTTACAGAATAAGGTAGAAATTAATAAAATAAAGTTTTCTGAGTTTCTACTGTTACACCTAGTGGAAAGAACAGTCAACTATCGAGTCCAAAAAAAAAAAAAAAAAAAAAAAAAAAAAAGATCATATAGACCGAAAGTGTAGGAGAAACAAAAGAATACCCTATGAAAAAGTAGTTGTGCCCATTTTGCAAAAGTAACAAAAAGAAGGAGATTGGAGAAAGAATAAAGAAAATCAAAAGACTAGACCTATTAGTCAAACAAGACTCACACGCATATTTATCAAAAAGTACTGGGGTCAACAATTAAAGCTAACAATAAAAAGAGCGATCAATATGTTTGACAAGACAAACAAACAGTGAATAGGATTGCAATGGTTTATATGTCAAACACAAGTAATGAACTCATGACAAGAGTGCTGTTATCTGTTAAGAAAAAAAGAAAGCACGGTGTATTATGTTCAAGGTGCACTCTCTCCTTTGAAAGTAATAAAGATAGATGCTTTATAGTTTTTTACCAAAAGGAAACATAAAGTCATCATTTGACAGAGATATAAACTTTGGCTATTGCAATGTGTAACCAAATATGTTTCTAGGGTATTTGTTTAGCAAAAACAAACATTTTCCCCTTTTTTCTCAATAACTCCATGGTTAATCTACTGCTTTTTTCTATTTCTCCATACGTCTCTTGAGCTTTTCTCATAGTTTTGTGCAATTTCAACCATATTTGAATGTTTAGCCGTGGCAAACAAGCATAATAGGGTTGGTGTTTGAAATATCGAACCCTCCACAACGGAAATACATCTTCTTTTATTATCATCAAAGGTTAAATAGAAGCCCTCAAGATGAACACAATAATTCTTTTACTAAAATCCGTAATGGCGCAGAAAATTCTTACTAGAATAAGGGCGTCTTCAGTTATTGGCGTTCAGTAGTACATAACTGTCAGATACTTAAAATGGATAAAAAAACTCCATTCTGTAATTGCATTCTATTATGATAAACATGTGGATTTCGCATTTACAACTAAATAGCATATCCACTTTAATCAATGCGGTTTTGTTTCTCATTGCATTAAATACATACAGTTACGGTTTTGTCTGGTTACAGTGTTCTTATGATGTGTAAGGCAATATGTGCATAAGGTTTCTTGACTCCTTTCTTTAGTGTGGACATTTCATTACATAGTAAATTCAATGAAAAAGCAACTCTTCCCAATAATTAGGTGTTCGATCTTTTGTTTGAGCTATCAGGCTGTAAATAGCAATCCTCTTATTATAACCAAATCAAACTACATCGGCTCAATTTGAGAATCTTCAATGTAGAGAGCGTCAGATTCAATGCTATGGAAAGGGATGGTGAAATTTTCTTTTTTAAATAAAAGCTGCATAGACAATGATATGTATGGGCTTCTAAGAGACACTGCATGTTCCTTGGAGTGTCAAACAGTGCTAAAAAAGTAAAAACGTAACGTAAATGTGAAGTAAATAAACAAACGACAGTGATACTTGATTATGCTTTACGTTTTTGTCGAAGCTTTGCCTACGATCTCAATCGTTTTTTTATCGCTCTTAATACACTTGTAGTAGAATTTGCGTCTCTTTTGTAACACTTGCTGATGAATCTACTCGTTAACTCTTCGATTCATGCGTTTTAAGTGCGTCAAAGTATCCTACACACAGAAAATGTCATGATCGGAGTATGAAAGTAATCAAGGCCTAATGCTGAAAAAATGGTCGAGGGGTGGTAAGGTCATCTTACTCAAAATCACAAAACCGTCGCTTGTCAGAGATACGTGAGACTTTTATTGCAACGGTACATAGCTAAAAATGTTTCTAGAAATCTGTAGAGCGCTCTTGAGGTGTTTGTTTAACAAAAGATGCATAAAAATTGTACGTTGTCAGCAGAAAACGAAAATACGTTTTTTTTTTGTCTTTTTTCAACATGTTAATCTTCAAAGCAAGTGGCTTTTATGCCATCAAATGCGTTGGATTAATGCCAAAAAGCATTGCATTAACAGGGTATATAAGCATAACTGTAGTGGTTCCCATCGTGTAGAAGAAGCAGCTATGCATGTCAAAAAGATTTATATAAGCAAAGGAAAACCAAGCATTAAATATGCTTTCAATTACATGGCACATAACGTACAAATCATTATGCTTTCTCGAATGATAACAATGTTCATGTTTAATATCATACCTCGAAAATAGTTACATCCCTAACAAAAAGCCCCATTCTCTCTTTAACAGAGACAAGCTTGAAACGCCGTCAAAAATCCAACTAAAGATTTTTTTTCTTACATTTTTTATACAGCATATACAATATGGATGATGGTATAGTTTTGCGATTCATTAAAGAGATATTCATAGTGTATTTAGAACTTTATTTAAAGAATCGTTTGGCACTTGATGAAAGACACGTAAAAACAATTGAAAAAAAGGCGTTCGAATATTTAGATTGTCTTTATGATGACACTTTAGAATCAGCGTAAAGTAACAAGCATGCAACCATACAATCAATTTAACAGATAATAATGTAGGCATTGTCGATTAGAAGGTGTTCTTGTGTTATTACTAGGCTATCAAACAAATCTTGAACGAGTAGCTTCTATTCAAGCAGCTAATCAAAAGGATATTCAAGACTATCAAGATACGAGTGAAAAGACAGGTAAAAGCTTCTTTGATAACAGACTATCTTATTCGCATGTATAGCTATAATACAATCCCAAGCTGGAGCAGATATCACTGTGCTCAAGACAGATTTGATTGAGGCACAAAGAGTGAGAGATCAGAAATTAGAATATGATCGTGTAGCCAGAGAAATCATGAATTACGAGACAAGAGATACTTATAATGAGTAAGCCTATTATCTGCTAGATAGTATCACTTATCGCGAATACAGATCAATTGCAGAACTCGAAAGGGACATTGAACTGTTACAGAAAGAAAAAGAAAACAAACAAGCAGCATTTGAAAACCGTAAAAACAACCTGTCTCGACTTGTTACTAGTCTAAAGGACTTCCAAGCCTCTGTTGAACAAGAGCGCAGTGTTCTGGTAAGTCAGATGATAGCTAGTTGCTTTATTTGATACTCTGTAGACGGACGACCAAAAGCGATTAATGGACATGGAAAGAGGTTATATCTCTTCAGAAGATGAAGGAGAGATGGGATTATCTGATGAGGAAGAAGAAGAATCTAAAGAAGCTGAACCTATGGCATCACATCGATTCAAAGAAAGAGAAGACGATGAGGAAGATGAAGAAGAAGGCATTGTGCTTGATCCACCTGTTGCTGAATAGACTGCATTTTGACTGTATACATAAAGCTGGTTTTGAACAGATTCATCTTGAGACTGTTTGCTCTTGAACAAATTAAATGGCTTACAATTCATCCAATACAGACCACTGGGTTGGTCTGTTGAGGCAAGAAAGATGCTAGTTTGAGCACCTTGAGCTGGTGAATTAGACAAGAGATAAAAGATGGGATAAAATATTATGTCGAGTAGATAGAATGAATGTTTCTTGGCAAAGTTAGTTCGTACCATGCCTGGATGAACAGAATAAGTATTGAAACCTTGTCTGTGTAGATAGTTAGCATAGACAACATTAGCCAGTTTGGATTGAGTATATGCTTTCCAACCACTATAAGATCTCTTTTCAAACATGATATCCTCAAACGCAATACGGCCAAATAACATGGCATGACTTGAGAGTTGAATGATTTTAGCGTCTTTGTTGATGATTTGCTTGGCTATCAGCAATTCAGTAAAGTAAAAATGACCTAGATAGTTGGTACCAAACTTTGTCATTTAGGCATTGATTTCTTCTTTTTCTTACCTGTATCTCAAATCCGTCTTTTGTTAAACTCTTATGGTTGGTTAATACACCTGCATTATTGATCAAGACATCAATAGTGATGTTCTGATTAACCAGTCGATCTACGCATGCTTTGACAGTGGAAAGATCAGCGAGATCCATATATTCCAACAGGGCATTAGTATAACTACAGACTAATTCGTTTGACCTTTTTGCCTTATCCGATTCACGACAAGCCAAAATAATCATCTTAGGATTCATTTTTGCTAATCCAACGGCTGTTTCCTTGCCAATACCATCACTTGCACCTATAGAAGTCAGTATTATATCTATACATACATGTTACCTGTGATTAAAATCACTTTATCAGAAAAGTCTAAGTAGGGCAAGTCAATACACAATTATATAAACTCAATGTTACCTTTTCTTGTCATTGTTTAAAGATAAAAGAGAAGTCAAATTAACTTAAATTAAAAAATAAAATAAAACAAAGAGAGGTGCGGAATAAGCGCATTGCTCATGTCCGTGATATCGAATCCCAGCTTCATCGTCGATCTATCACTTATAGGAGACTCTATTCTGTACACTTTGTACTATTGTTAGTATATCAAAAGAAAAAAGGTATTCTATCAATGAAGATACAGCTTTGAATTCATTATTTTATCTGTTACTATACGAAATACATATTCTTATTTTGGTCAAAGTCAAATCCTAAATTAACTGGTTATGGTTGTTTGCATAACAATTGCTTTTGTTGAAACCAAAAAAAAAAAAAAAAAAAAAAAAGAAAGGTGAACTTCTCGGTAAAATAAAACAGGGTTATTTTGCATGTAAATCACATAGAGTTATTTGTCCAGAGATAGTTACAATACCATTTAGACAAGGATACAATTATGTATGGGGCATTTTTTAAACTACTACAACCAACGTATCTTTAAAAATCAAATGAACGCATTGTCATGGATTGGATCATTATGACTAGCTTTAGCAAATATTGTAGGTCCATTCTACAGTTGGTTTGCAGTCAAAATAGGATACAAATGAGTGCTTGTGGCAGCACTGCTGTTATAGACAGTGAGTGTAATGCTCGCGAGTATTGCTACCCAAGTAAGATATCTGACAATGGTATGACACGACTAAACCTTGATCAGATCTGGCATTCGTATTTGACCCAGGGGGCGTTGATGGGCGTGGGTCCAAGCCTAGTATGGCTTCCCTGTGTGAGTGCTGCTCAACAATGGTTTTCCAAACGACGAGGATTTAGTGTAGGCATTGTCGTCTCAGGCTCAGGGTTTGACGGTCTTATTCTTTCCAACGTGATACAAGTTGCAATAGATCATTTCGGATATCAATGGGCACTTCGTATTGTCGGGCTTGTTTCTCTTGTACTCTTGATTATTTCTGTATGTACAGTAAGACCTTTGAATCCACCTCAAGTGGCTGACATTCGCATGTTTGATCTGAGTCCATTAAGAATGTTCAGTTTGTGCTATTGTTTGCCATCCAGTTTATTATATATATATAGGTACCCTCAAGTTTTTTTACCAGATATGTCATATGTTAATGTTTATTGCTTGTGCTCATCCTTTAAAATAAGCTTATGCCGACTATTTGAGACTGGATCCTTGGATTGGAACCAACATGTCTGCTATTATTTCAGGTGTCATGATTATCGGTAAAATTACAAGTGGTCTGATTAGTGACTATGTAGGAATAGCCAACATGACATTTATCGCCACTACACTCACTGATGTGATGTGTTTAGCTGTCTGGCTCACAGTAACGAATCCAGCTAGTACCTGGGCATTTGCAGCCATGTTTGGTTATTTTGGTGGTGTCTTGATGGTATTTGTTGGATTACTTGCTTGGGCAGTCAGAGTGATGAGAGTTGGCTGGAAGCCATGGATTGTAGCTTAAAGTTGTGATTGTATATATATAAAAGAGTGCATCTATACAAAAATCGCTTTATTCTCTAAAGATACGAGAGGGTATTTGAGCTATATACAGAGAGAAGATGCAATGATATATCTAATGTTGTTCTGAAAAGAAAACCTTGCCCATTTCATAACTACTAATCATGATTGCACAAGAAGGTCCAATCTTGGCCATTCTAGGAGTAATGCCTCTAAACAGACCTCGGAATCCTTCTTCGGTATAGATTTGTTTAAGGATACCAGGTACTTTGGAGTCTACTAAGGTGGATTTGTCTATGATATGTCAGTATACGTTTTGATAGGTGCAAAGATTACCTTTTCCAGCATCAACTTGTCTTCTTGTCTTTGCTACATCAAAGGGTGTTGTAATGGCAGCTGCAAACTAGGATACAATCAACACATGTATGTATACATAAATATATATCTCCTTACCATGCCAGACAAAGCACCAGAAAGAAAAGCAACATTTAATTCACCAAAATCATAATTGAGTTCAAAATGACGCTTGCATTCTTCATAACCCATCCAGTAGATAGCTGAAAATGGAACATCTCGCCATAGAGTAGGGGGCAGACCTCTCCATAAAGCCTTTAAGCCGCCTTGTGCCACCATCTTTTTTACACCGTCCAATACGTCTATATTGATAATATGAGCATGCTGAAATAATGAAGCATAAAGGTTACATACATCCAAAATCATGAACACCAGTAGTAGCCTGAAGTCTCGTTCTAAACAGTTCAATAGGAGAGATCATAGTTACTGCAATGGTTCGAGCAAATGCACCAGCAACTAAAGGCGAATAATCTTTGTAGGTTGACATGGAAGGCTGAATAGCTTCTTTCAAGTAATCATAGCCTACAAAATAGATTACATTTGCAGGGACAGACATGAGCATAGCAGGTGACAATCCTTTCCATAAGGCAGTAGGACCTTCATATTTGAATATTTTGTAAAGTCCATCCTTAGAAAAAAAAATTATGAGTCAAAAAAAAAAAAGAGATCGGGTAGAATTAAATCTTACAAAAGTACCCTTGAATGCAGTACTGTTCATGTTAGTAGTGACTGCAGAATTGCATTCATATAAAGTTGACAATGCTCCACTCCGAGTGATTCTGTTGTATTGAATACCATGTTTGATGGAATAAAGACAGTTATTCAATGTCAAACAGCACACTGCCTTGGGTGATATGGTTTGTGTCTGCATTCTCATTTTTACAACATCCATAGGTGTGACCATAATAGAGGTCACTAGTGCACCACCACATGCTGATAATAATTTCTCAGTTGAAGTTGTTGAACTGTTTGTCATATATATAAAAAAAAAAAATCTGATAAAGAATAGAGTCGAAAAAAAAAAAATTCTTAGGGGTTCCCTTTTATACCGTAGCTATTGACTCAGATTATCCAATCAAATGTGCTGTTTTGCCTTGAACAAATCCTGAGAGCTATTCAATGATCGAGATAAAATTCTATTGACCCAATCATACTCTAGAGAAAATACGTAAACCTTTTCGTCATATCATGAGTAACCTTACAAGAATAGTACGTCGTTTTTACGCCACAAAGCCATGGAGTTATCAAGAAGCTAACGAGTGGCAAAAAAGGTTTAAGCAGAGCAGTATACCTCATGAGCACGTTTCGATCTCGTTTAGTAAAAGCAGTGGTCCTGGTGGACAAAACGTGAATAAAGGCAAGTAGATCTCAAAGCAAACAAGGTTTGTTTACACTCGCTAGTGAATACAAAGGTAGACTTGCGTCTATCACTATCTAAAGCAGACTGGCTACCTGATTATGCAAAACAAAAAATCAAGAGTTCGACGCATTTAAGGAAGAGTAAACACAATGAACTGATTATTACTTCTGACAAGACACGATCACAAGCAAAGAATATCCAAGATTGTTATGATAAATTAGTGGATGTGATCAAGCATTCAGTAGCAGTAACGAAAGAACCAGATCAAGTTACTTTAGAGCGCATCAAACAACTGTAAGCAAACCATTGTTGTGTATAAAACTAACCATTTATATAGGAAACAAGTAGAAGATAAGCACAGAAAGGAATTTAAAAAGAAGCATTCACAGAAAAAGAGCGACAGAAGATCGAAAGGAAATGATTATTAGTTGTATATAGAATAAAGAATCATTCTTTTTTTTTCTCTTTGAGCGAAAAGAAGACATGAAGCTATTCATAGATCTTATCAATGGTTAACTTGCAGATCTGACAATGCATTAATGTACTTTATGTTCCTTTTGTGCAGTTACGCAACATTATGTATTTGTCAGTTGTTTTCATGGCTATAATCCCTTCATTATTTCAAGCAATACATCAAAAAGAGTGGCAAATGTCTCGATTATAGAAAGTGCATAGTTTAATGAAATCAATGACATTTTGTCTTGTGAAAAACTAATCTACTATTTCATGCAAACATAAATTTCTAGCAATTGTTCCTTATTATATCTTGACTCTGATTTATAGAGAGGATAAATTACATATCAAGGAAAACAACTAATGCTATTCAGAAAGCCAAGAAGTATGCCTAGAGAGAAATTATGATGATGGTTAGAGTCTAGACATACACTGTGCTTTTAAAATCGACTTGAATAAAAAAAAATGGGGGCGACATGTTCAAAATGACCTAAAGCTGTTCAAATACAAAAGGTATTACTCGTAAAAATCATCAACTTAGAAACTCTTTGAGCTTCTTTTTGATTCTAAAAAATGAGAAATAGAGCTATTGATAAGTTTACATACTCAAAATGGCCACCAAATGCTTTAAATCTTGATAGATATGTTTACTTGCTACTTGTACTATAGAAATGAGAAGATATGAGCGAAAAACTTCATAAGCATTTTTGCACATTTTCTCAAAACTTCAGCAGTAGACTGCGTCTTTAAGCAGTTCTCAGCAAAAGCTCGATATCGAAGCGGTGCCGTATAAAACCCGTATACCAAAACTCGTATACCTGGAATTTGGATGCATAGAAACAAGCCACTGAGACATAAATGACATCTTACACTTTCTGATCCCCTTTGCCTTATATTCTCTTACAATCAGTTTCTTGATATCTTGACAAATAAAGAATACCGCAAATTAAACTACTTCAAAAAAAAACTTTATCCTAACGACCAGCATTTCAAAACTTTTGATATAGAACCTTGCAATGGATTAGAGAAGACATTCTCGAAGCGTAGCTTGGACATTGGTTGGGCTCTTGAAGTAGGAACAGAAAAAAAGGGGTAAAACGCTGCCCTACTAATTAAGTTCTGGAAATTTTTAAAAAAAAATTAAGGTAACACTAATACTGAAAGAACCATTTCTCTCTATTCTCATAATGCAATCTACCTCAACAACCGCTAATGCTACAAGCCACGCTTGTGAATTTTACAAAATGTACGAAGAACATCAGTACTGGGGTCGTTATTATTTTCAAAAAGAGGTCAAATCTGCTGAACGTATTGCAGAGATCGTAGGTATGAAAAGAAACATGGTCGACGATTGCATTAAACGCATCAACGAAACTGGTTCTCCTCTTCCTGGCAAGGCAATTGGGAGACCCAAGAAAGAGAGTTAAAGAGCCCTACGCCACATCCATCCAAATATTCGCAAGGGTCCTTTCGCTGGTTACAAGCATCACCAAGAGCAAATGGAGAAATTTGGAGCCATGGTTTGTTTGCCAGCTGTAAAGCAAAAATTATGTGTGCTTGCTTTTCTTCCACAAGCAGCCCTAAAGTAGTATATGTTTATTGTAGGGTGGAATAGGCATCAAAAGAGATGTCAACAACAAATCTTCAGTGTATTTTTCAGACTTGCAAGAGGGGGCAATGGCAATGTCAACAACGGCTAAATTTTTCTTTTGTAAAAAATAACATAGTAATGTATTGTCTTTGTTTGATTTAGAGCCCAGGAACCATATAGAGAAATACCCAAAGCTGAAGTATGAAATGCTAATGTTAACAGTAAAAGCAAGACCAATAATCCAAGAGCTGTTGACCTCTTCATCAAGGGCTTATCAGTTCTGTTGGCAAATATTCCGCTAAAATGATTTACTGACTTATATCATATATTAAATGTCTGAATTGCAGTTATTATCAGTTTTTAGAAATGAATGACTTATGGACTTAGTTGCTTATTATATTTTGCTCATATGGCAATAAGAAAAAAAACCTACAATAATCATATTAATATACAATATACTGCTTTATGACTAAGCAATAGAGACAGTTTTTTTAGTTGTTCCAATGAACAGAACAAAATTCACGATTAAAAAGACACATAACATGCTGTCTTTAACCATTGAGAAAAAAATAAAGTAATTGAAGCTTGTGAGGTGCTGTATAAAACCTGTGTACTCGAAGTTTCAATTGGATGGACTAAGCCGCTAAAGTACAAATTCTTTGCACTATATTCTTTCAAAGTAAAATAAACAAAATGTCAACAGATACTGAATATCACAAGAAAAACTATTTTAAGAAGCAATTTCCCGATGGAAAGCATTTCAAGTCTGTCGATATTGAGCTTCTCAATGGAAACGAAACAGCATTTTTCAAATGTAATCTTGACATCGGCTAGGCTCTTCAAGCAGGCACAAAAAAAAATAGCCAAAGGCTGTCCTACTCGCTTCAAGAACTGCCTTGGAGCTGTTTATTGTAATTAGGAGAGCTGCCCTTTTTTTTAATAAAGATATGAGACCTCTTCATACTTTAGAAAAAAATACAAACCCAGGCATGCATGCATGCATTGCAAGGAAGTGATAAAGCATAGACGCTACAATGTCAAAACCAAATTCGCTTTGATTTTCGATGATATCAAAGATGTTACTAGCTGCAATGCTGAATGTGAGGGTTTTCATTCTTTTGCAGTATACAACAGACTTCATCTCTCAGGCGACGAAGACAAGGCCTTGTATGAAAAGGTACAAAATGATAAGTTCTTATCACCAAAAAGCCTAAGTATTGGGGTTACATCTCGTCCTAGAGAATTCGCCAAAGCGGCAGAAGGAATCATCTCTGTTTTGGAGAATCAATATAGAGCAAAATATCAGCTTAATGCTACCAAAGCATCCTTGGGCATTAGCAAGAACTCTGACTTCTTGGGCGACAGCCGAGATAAAAAAAAGAGTACGAAGGCTACATCACCTATACACAAGTTGCTGATGATAAGTCCTTTATGGTTGCTTTTTTGGTCTACAATATGCTGAAGTACAACCTCCCTTTCGCAAAACAGCCTATCGTCACAGATGTTACCTATAAGGCTGTTGCTAATGACAAGAAATGCCTTTGCTCTTCTGTAATTCACGTGCCTGAAATGCAAAAAAGCATCGTATTTTTTCAAGCCATAATGGGCTCGTTAAATATAGAAACTTTTGCAAAATATTTCATTAAGATGTTTGAACACTGTAAACTCAACAAGTAACAGTTTTTGGGCATGATCATGAACTATTCAGCTGCTCAGCGGCTGGGTTTCCTCCATGCCTTTAACTATTATTTCTAAAACAGTGTCAATGGCAGCGGCTTGTAAGAGTAGATCAATGAAGGTATATGCTGCTTGAAAGGATGCTACATGCATTATATGCAGAGCGTTCAAAGGGTTGTATGCAACCATTCGGCTGTTCCTCCCAGCATAAAGAATGAGTCTCATGTATCGTTCAAGACGAGCTGAAGCCCAGTCCATCTTCTTGGAAACACTTGGGTTGATCCACACCAGGTTCCAAGTTGTTGTAGATGGCTGAGATGATGGATGTGCTTCGCTGTGAGCAGTATGACCTTCAAATGCCAATCGCTGATAAAGAATTTGCTTGCTTCGCATCCAACAAGAACTTCTAACTCGGTGGAGGCGTATCACAGTGATCTATACAGAACAATGCACGAATGCAAAAGCAGCGCTTTTTCTTTAAGACATGTACTGCAGTTCGCACAAGGCGATCTGAACCTGATCAAGAACTATTACAAAGATAGCATTGCTCCCAGGTATGGCTAATATTTTTTTAGCTATTCTTATTTTTTTGCGCAAAATAAAGTTATATGTATCTTATAATTTATGAGTAGCATCTTTTATAACATTTGAAGTTACAATTGTGGTCTTACGAGCGTTTTGTTTCAACCCTTTAACACACTTAAAAGAAGTAAAAAGGAAAAAACTGTATCCTTAAAGGTTTCTGACGAATTTTACTTTACTCCTACTTTTAAGCTCTGAGTACACAGGTTTCAATACACAGGTACATACTGAGAAGAAACTAGCATATCAAATAGAAAAAAATGGTGTAGCTTTCTAGCTCTCTTTCTCTACATTTTATTGAGAAAATGAATAGCATTATTTTTGAAGACGGTTTTGAAAGCCAACATGACATTTAAGGAAACGAAGTCATTGAATTCGAAATGGAAGTTGAAAATAAGATGTATCCTGTTGAAAGCGTAACAGACTACGACAGATACACAAATTTGAAGCTTCCCGAGAAAGAAATTAAGAAGGAAGCTGAAGCAAACGTCTGTCAGAACAAAGGTATATAAGCAGTACAAGGATGCTGAAAAAGAAAAGCTTTATTTTCTTAGGGAAGAAAAAGCGACGAGTGTTCGTGTTGCTGCCACGTCTCTCAACATTAACGTTCGAACAACACAAGGCTGAGTGGTCAAAAATAACAAAGATCCTCATGAATATATTCAGAGGGCTACAGGCAATGGAAGACCTGTATACAGACCGCCCACCTTAACTGATGAGCATAAGGATTTTATGATTGAATGGGCAGACGAAAACACATACCCCGTTATATTAGATGGTATGCTTGAAGTGTTGACAGAAAAGCTTGGCGGATTCGATATCAGTAAAAACAGGATCTAACAAATCTCTTAAGTTTAAGTGTAAGATCACCTTCAAGCAGGCTCGTTAACGAGTTCTGGAGAGAAACAGCCCTGAAAAGATCGAAGAGCGTTATCAATGGGTAAAAAAAACGAATAGAGACTGATATGGATCTCACCAACAACTGCGTGTTCATTGACGAAGCTGCTTTCTATATTAATCTTAAGCGAATTTTTTCTTGGTCTAAAGAAGGCAAAAGTGCAATCGTGAAAGTGTCCAAAACAAAAGCCGTTTCTTCTTTTGGTGTTGTAAATATCAATGTAAGAAGACCAAGAGTACTACCTCCATTGAAGAAGAGAAATCAGCAGGAGTTTTGAATGCAAAAGTGATCAGTAACAGTACCACTGTTACTGTACATTACTTCAATTTCGTTAGTAGTGTCGTCATGAGGAATTTCATGGTCATTATTTGACTATGGACAATGCTCTTATTCATAACCATTAAAACATTCAGAATCTCATTTAGAGCCAAGGCTAGAAGTGCTTGTACCTTCCCCCTTACTCGCCTGAGCTTAATCCGATGGAGCGATTCTGGTCGGTTTGCAAAAGCAAACTCAAGAGAAAACAGCTTTTTGAACAGGAGATATTGACTTCGAAAATTGCAGATGCTTGCAATAGAATTTTGTACAGTGACCCCTTAAAGGCTACTGCAGATATTATGCTGCCAAACTTGAAGACTGCCTTTAAGGCAGACCCTATCTATTAAACTTGTGCATTTCGCGTATGTATAAACATGCTAAATTTTCTTTTCCGTTTGGTGTTACTTTGACGCACAAATCGAAGAGTCACCAAGTAGGTTTATCGACAACAATGCTAGAAAAGATAGTTCTGCGCTCTGAAACACAAAGAGAATGTTGTGCATACCCTTGTCAATATGCCTACCATCAATTTTTAATATAGTATGGAATGACACAAGTTTATTTTACAATCAAGACTGATAAAAATTACAACAAAAGAGCAGCCCAGCCAGCCATCATAGCAAGACCTCCCAAAGGAGTGACTGGACCAAGAGCACGGAACTTATCACGTTGAAGCGTAAGCAAATAAATTGTGCCACTAAACATGATGGTGCCACTCAAAATCAATGGTTGAGCAGCAGGATGAATACGGCGAACACTAGGAGGAATAGAAGACAAGGCCAAGAGTGCAACACCATGAACAATTTGGAATTCAGCGGCCATGGTCCAATTCTAACACACATTAGCCTATATCGTATCTTAAAGTTATATACCTTGATTTTAGTAGGATTATCACCTACTACTTTGGCAAGTCCGTGTGCACCATAAGCACCCAAACCTAAACCAGTGGCACCTATGATAAAAATTAAAATAAGGCTTATTTCTTTTCTTGCTTGATTCAACACGTACCAAGAAGACTGCCTGCTCTCCAAAAGAATTGAGAAGTCATTATTATGTAACAAAATAAAAAAAAACAAAAAAAGTCCAGGTAAAAAAAAAGAAGAAATCTTCCCTACTCGGAGAATGGGTTTTTTCCGATTTTTTATTTTTTATTTTTCCAAACCACATTTCTTTAAGGTATCGTTCCATAAAGTTTCAATATCATTCTTTTTTCCATTTATCCAAACAGAAGGTAAGGCTTGTGGACGCTTGTTTGCCCAATATGTACCCGTGTCTCCTACATCCTTTGTCAAACATAAATAAAGTGGCGTCTGACTTCCTTCTTTTGGGGAGAGCATAATAAAATCAAACAATTTCGATACAAAAGCTAAATTAAAAATAGCTGTGTGGGCAAATAAGCGAGTACGCACTGTGCCTGGGTGATACGCTATAAAAAAAAATTAGATCACAATGTATGTGTTCCTTGTCCTTACAGTAGATTGGCACCCGAGTCGTTTTAGCTAAGCGCGGTACGAGTTGACCAATACATGCTTTACTAAATGCATAATGATCAAGTCCATTGAGTCTGTACTTTCCATACGAAAAGTTAGTGTTTAATTGATTAATGGCATAGAGAGTTGAACTTGAGGCAAACAAGACACGACCCTGTTTTGTGTTCATCCAAGGCAAAAGCAACCGAGTTAATAAGACAGGTGAAAGATAATTCTGTCCATATCAAGTCAATAGTCTGTTTTTTTTGTTGAATCACTTACTGTTTGGCATTGTGATTCATAGCCATCGTCTGTAACAGTATAAGGCGTGTTCATGATTCCAGCATTATCTAACACAAATGAGATATATAGACAAACAAGAGTGATCTTACTAATCAATAGTTGTATGTCTCTCTTGGGTGCGATTAACTTGACTTGGTCTACAAAATCACGTACTGATCTGAATGATGTCAAATCAAGTGGGATACATGATACTTTATCAGATCCAGTGAGTGATTGTAGCTCCTCTATGATTTTTTGACAGGTCTCTATTGATCTTGTCCCTATCCAATTCAATCAGACCTGCTTAATTCAAATACATGCAATCTGTACCAATGACAACACGAAAACCAGCTTTAAGCAAGACTTTGCATATCTCTAACCCAATACCTGAGTCACCACCTGTGATGACAGCTAAGGCTTGGTTGCCCTGGAATAGTCGTGCGATCGCGTCCACTTGTTGCTCGTTGATATCCTTTGTTGTACTAGCGTTAAATAAGCCACGTTGACACAAGGCAATATATATGGTCTCAAAAATGCCAATCAGATACACGCGAATAAAGACAGGCAAGGGCGTTTTGTTGAGTTCTGTGTTGCAGGCTTCTAAAAAAGCACTGGATTTTGAAGGTACTCTACGTGTAGACACTAACTCATTGGTGGTTCTTTTGGCGTTGATAATAAAATGTATCACCAAATACAGTACAAGAGAAACAACAAAACTGCTTGAGAGTAAGAGCATTTTAAGAAAAAGAAAAAGAAAGTCAATGTCGCACACGAAATGAGAATCTAGCTAGATTTGCTTCATTTCACAAAATATCATGAAATCATAAACTATGGTGTGAATTGTGATGAAAGGTGATTTTTAATAAGGAATTGAAAGAAACATCTATTTTACAGCAATTATTTTGTTTTGTATGGTTTAGTCCTTGGTGACATTGTGAATGGCTTCAGCGAGGTACTTGACGTTTTGAGAAGAAATACCAGCCATGGAAATTCTACCATCTTGAGTTAAGTAAACGTGCCACTCAGACTTGATCTTGTCAACTTGTTCAGGAGTCATACCAGAATAACAGAACATACCGATTTGGTCAGTAATGTGGTTCCAGCTCTTCTTGGATCCAAAGTCGTTTTCAAGGTGACCTCTGAGCTTTTGTCTCATGGTGATGATACGGTCAGCCATGTGCTTAACTTCACCAAGCCATTCTTTCTTTAATTCAGGAGTGTCCAAGACAGTGTGGACAAGGTGGGCACCGTGAATAGGAGGGTTAGAGTACATGGGACGAATGATAATCTTGAGTTGAGAATCAACACGAGACTTTTCTTCAGCATCAGCACAGACAACAGAGAAGGAACCAACACGTTCACCATAGAGACCCATGTTCTTGGCAAAGGATTGGGCCAAAATGACTTGGTGACCTTCATCAACAAACTTGCGGAGAGCGTAAGCATCGTTGGTACAGTCACCAGAAGCGAAACCTTGGTAGGCCATATCAAAGAAGGCAAAGTGTTCACGTTCCTATTTTGTTGATGTCAACCCATAGACTTGTTTGTTTTGCTTACCTTGATCACCTTGGAGATTTGGTCCCATTGTTCCTTAGTGGGGTCAACACCAGTAGGGTTATGAGCACAAGCATGGAGCAAGACAATTGTGTTCTTGGGAGATTTCTATTGAATTTCAAATCAAACGTGAGTGACACTATTCGTATACAGATGTAGACTCACGTGAAGATCTTCCAACATGCCATCAATGTTGAGACCATTGGTTTGCTTGTCAAAGTAAGTGTACTTTTCCAAGTTGAGACCAGCATTCTTCATGATAGGAATATGGTTACCCCAAGTAGGATTAGGCACAATAATGTTCTTTGCATGAGGGTACCAAGCATTCAAAAATTCAGCACCAATACGAAGGGCGCCCGTACCAGAAATAGATTGAGTGATAGCCAACTATTTTTTTTACCATATGAATAAACACAGAACGCGGCATGCATTCACTTACTCTGTTTTCAGCAATGACAGAGCTATCATCACCATAAGCAAGAGCACCAGCAGCCTTGGTGAAAGCAGGAACACCGGTAATACCAGCATATTCCTTATCCAAATTCTTTTCAATCAAGATTTTCTCAGCCTATAAAATGTTATAAATAACCAAAAACAGTAGGATTCTCATTACCTTCTTGACAGAGGTCAAGACATAGGGCTTACCACCATCATCACGGTAAGCACCAACACCCAAGTTCATCTTGTTGGGAGAAGTGTCTTTCCTGAAGGCTTCAGTAACACCCAAAATAGCATCTGGGGGACCTATTCATTGAAAAACGCGGGGAAGATGAATAAGCGAAATAATAAGAATAAAAAAAAGGTTCCTAGTCCGCTCTTTACCTTGAGGAACAGCGTTCCAAGTAGAAATGAAAGCACGAGAAGCCATACGGCTAGGCTTGATTGAAGCACGGGTGATGGCAGAAAGCATGTTGGGAATTAAGGTTACGAGAAGAAAAAAAAAGAGAGAGAGGAGGGTGAGAAGAAATGAAAGGGATGATTTTTATACAAAAAAAAAAAAAAGATGGAGCCCAAGATGTTACACTAGTGTTTGTAATCCAGTTACGTTTCGTTCCGTATAAGGTACCAGTGAAAATTTAATTCATGTTGACAGCAGGTGAAAATGAACCCAAAAAAAAAGTCACTTGCGTACGCATAGAGTTTCCCAGATAATATCGAAAGTTATTTTTTTTTAATTTAGGTTAAATTCTCAATGAGTTTACCATTTCTTTTTAAAGGATCTATTTTCGTTAGTTGCCGGATCAGATTCATAACATACATCTTCAAGTCTTTTAATTCAGGCTTTGTTACATGTACATTGAAGCTTAATTTTTGGATTTGTTTATAAGGTTGTTGACCCCCTTTCTTTTATTTTTGCTTTATTTTTAGATAGTTTATGGTGGTATTGTTAAATGAGCAACATATCTGTCCATACATGTATTTCAAATGAGTATATATATTCTTTGAATGATAACGGGAAGAATTAATCTACCGCTCCTATCATGAATTTCCGACCCGGGATCTTCTTTGACTCCAAGTAACACGATAATTTTTTTTTAGGGTGGTGTATAAAATACATTGTTGTTTTTGTCATCGTTTTGCTTCTTTCTTTTTCACCTCTTCTTAAACGATCCATCCATCCGTCTAAATGGTAAGTTGAATTTTATTTTTTCGTGTATAAAACTTCACTTGTCTTTCCATCCAGAAAAAAAAAAGAGAAAGTTATTGTGTAGATAAAGCAACATCTTTTGTAAAAGATCATGATTGTGGACGCTGACAATACACTTTCTTGTATCTGTGGAAAGACAATGTTGATAAAATCTGGCTGAGTTGATTCTATATCAACTTGTTAGAGTGTAGTTTTATCAGAGTTGTGAATTTTAATGTAAAATTTGAATCTGATCGAACCCTTATCACTCCATGACAGCCTCCATCCAAGAAGTCTACTGGCAAGAAGGTTGCCCCTGCTCCTTACCCCATCAAGGGCAAGCAAACCACCAAGGCTACCGCCAACCCTTTGATCGAAAAGACTCCCAAGAACTTTGGCATTGGTCAGGACATTCAACCCAAGCGTGATGTTTCTCGTTTCGTCAAGTGGCCCCAATACGTTCGTCTTCAACGTCAAAAGAAGATCATCTACCAACGTCTTAAGGTCCCTCCTGCTTTGAACCAATTCACTCATGTCTTGGACAAGAACACTGCCACTCAAGTCTTCAAGTTGTTGCACAAGTACAGACCTGAATCCAAGGCTGAAAAGCGTGATCGTCTCCGTGCTGCTGCTGCTGCCAAGGCTGAAAAGAAGGAAGTTGCCAAGACTGACAAGCCTGTTGTTGTCAAGTACGGTATCAACCACATCACCGCTTTGGTTGAAGCCAAGAAGGCTCAATTGGTCATCATTGCTGATGATGTTGACCCCATCGAATTGGTCCTTTGGTTGCCCGCTCTCTGTCGTAAGATGGGTGTCCCATACTGTATTGTTAAGGGTAAGGCTCGTCTCGGTACTCTTGTTCACAAGAAGACTGCTACTGCTATTGCCTTGACTGAAGTCTCTGAAGCTGATAAGGCTGAATTGGCCACTGTTGTCTCTGCTGTCAACACCAACTTCACTGCCAAATGGGAAGAAGAACGTCGTCACTGGGGTGGTGGTATCATGGGCCCTAAGTCCAACGCCAAGATGGCTAAGCGTGCTGCTCTTGCCGCTAAGGAAATTGCTGCTCGTCAGTAAACTCATCCGTATACAATAAATTAAACGTAATTTGTCATAACCCTCTCATTCTCTTTTCACATCTTCTGTAAATAAAACCCATTCTTCATCTCTAATGATCCACAGGCTTTTTATTGTTTAGTAAAGGCATTTTTAAAGCAGTTCTAACAGCAGGTAGTCTAAACGCAAGATTCTGAGCTACACTATACCAAGCAGAAGATAGCCAATACAAGCCAATGGCCATGGGTGTCTGTGCTGCAATAGGCACAAATGCGATCGAAACGCCTCGAAGTACATTGGTGATGATGGTTTGCTTCTTACTCTGTGCTTTGTTTGCATACCAAGCATTCAACTAAATAAAACCATAAGTTTGTTATTGTCTTCTGATTATACTTGCCTCTACATTAATCAGGTTACCTGCACCAATCAAGAAAGGCACCATCATGGTAGGATCTGCCACTGTCAGATCCATAAACCAACCCAGCCCTTCATCGGATAAGCCTGATGCAGGTGTCTCTGCTGTTTGTCCCCACCAAGGCAATGGCATGGCAGCCACATGTCTTAATGAGAGTGACATGCTGACAAACAATGGGATCTGAATGTAAGGCAACAGTAACAATTTCCAACGCGAGCAGCCATAATGCGCATAGATCTCCTTTACTTTCTGACTATATCTCTTTTGAAGTTCAGCTTGGTATCGCGTATAATGCCAGCCTTGACGAACAGACTGTTTACCGACTTGGGTCTTGAGTGTCTCTCCCCAGCTTTGGACCATGGGGGCAAGGTTGATCATCTTGCCTATGCTTTGTTGTTGATAGACGGCAATCGGAAACGTCAAACAAGAACGTAGCAGTATGGTACTAGAGACAATAGTAGCCCACCATGGTAGGCCTGTGTTGTGAATAATGTGGATGATCTGTTCATTAAAAGCAAGTACGGAAGGTAAAGCAACTTCAGTGGCTTCATGATGATGAGCCACTGTCAAGCCGGTTGATAATAACAATGGCTTATAGTGGTGTTGTGTTGAAGCCAATACAGGCGCGTGACAATAAATATGGCTTGTTTTTTGTACTGTATATAACAGCTTCTTTCGAGAACAATACATGGTAAAGAAGCAAAAAGTTGTAGGACATTGAATTTCTGACACTGGCTTTATACACTTAAAGAAGTGAAAGGAATACATTAGGCAGACACATTCAACTATGTGACAGAAGGCGCAAACTGAGATAGTACCAACGTCAACAGAGATCCCATAGTTACTTTTACTTCAAGACAAACAAGACGCTTCAGAACAAGGTAGATTATCATGCTGATTGGTTATCAATTCAAACTCCATACCTGTTTGCGAAAAGTAAAAAAAAAAGTAAAAGGATGCAGAATTGAAAATCCCCCTCTTCCCGAACACCTATAACGTCCGAAATGGTAACCTATCTTACACTAGAGTCGATGGCAGTTTTCATATATCAAAGCGATGAAAGGGATGGATACATCAATAGATGGATGGATGGATTCAATCAAATATACACATCAACTTGACTAGGAAACTGTCATCGACCCAGTCAGACCATATGCTAATCTTTTATGATAGCCTCAGCAAATTAAGGATATCAAGCAGTTCCTTGAAATTGCCCGTAGAAAGGATGCTCAATGTAAGTTGTATTTGCTTTGTTCTGATTGTGTACTGATGTCCATCGATAGCCGCACGTATCAAGAAGAACGCTGATTCTGTCAAGTTCAAGGTCAGATGCTCTCGCTACCTCTACACTCTTGTCGTCAAGGACAAGTCCAAGGCTGCCAAGCTTAAGCAATCTCTTCCTCCTGGTAAGTGTATACAATATGGTCTTTACAGTTAAACTGATGTGTGCTGCATAGCTCTTGTTGTGAACGAAATCTAGTTTATTTTTTTTTTGATATTCAAATAAACCCTTTATTTGAAGAGGCAAACTATGTGGATTAGATAAACACTTTTTCAGTTGCTTTTTTGAATGATTCTTGTCTACGCTGGTTATCCAATTCTACTTGCACAATGATTTTTTGTCTCCATAACTTTTCCAATGAAGTACAAGAAGAAAATTGCCTTGATTCTAACATATATAAATGAGTTGGGAGACATTGGAGTGATTGATTACCTAATATCACTTTATTCACTTTATCTGCTATGTTGTCTCTTCTTTCTTGACTTAATAGTTCTCGTGTTTTATCATTCTCTAGTTCATTATAAGCAATCAGAATAAGTACATTGTTGGTTATTTCAGGATACAGTTTACGCCATGGTCGAATATGCTGTTGTGCAAACTGAACCGCTTCCATGTCGCCTTGTGCCCTAAGGATTTCAATGAATTGTTGGCAGCGTAATTGATAAAGAGCATCATGAAGAGACGTATTCGCATGTGTGTTATATGCTTCCATCAGGTCAGGAAAGTGTGTCTGAATCAATTCAAATGCGTGTGCAATATCTCCTTCTCTTATAGCATGATGAATCTCTGCTTATGTTAATACTCGTCTTGGCTGTGCCTCTATACCTTTTCTAGTGTCCATATCATGCCATGCACTATGTTTCATGTCTAAAAGAGGATATGCTATCTATGTGAGTATTCCAAAGGGGACATGCAAAGACTTACTTTGTTGAGTGTTGTTAGTATTGCTGTTCATATCTATGGATAGTCAATACACTATGTTTTGTTCATAGTTGTTTACCTTCTTTGACTTTTGAACAATTATCCAAGTCGTGCATATCTTTCAATAGTGCTTTTGCTGTGTTCTTGTAACAATTATGAAGTAGGTACTCTATAACTATAGCTCGACATGCCTCATTCATGACTGAATATAATTGTGTGTGTGTGTGTGCAAATGAGAAAAAAACGTATTTTATTTTATTTTTATTGAGCAGGTCATGATTTTTGATTGGTGAAAAAGCAAATTAGCATCCTTTTGAAGTCTTTATGATTAAATAGTGCCTTAAAGTAAAGAAATGAATAGGTGGTTGCCATAGCCTCAAAAGAAATACTAAATGTATTATTCAAAGAAGTAACCCAGCTCATATGCTTGAGATCAGTTGGATTTGTCTCTCTTGTTGACCGAGTAAAAAAAAAAATCTATTTATTATATCGACTGTTGACAAAGTTACTACATACTTTTGCTTTAGAGCACCGAGTATATTAAGTAACTGACACACATGCAATTAATTTGACTAGTTTGCAGCTACCTCATAACTTGGTTCATTGCCAAGTAATATATGCTTAACACGCGTTAGTGTGTATATACAAGTTTCTCTAGAAAAGTAATCCTAGACGCCATTTTAACAATTCGGGTCTTCAAATAGATAAAGCATTTACAAGTCCTTTTTCATACATTTTCCCTTCAAAAGGAAAAGACTAGATATGTCCGAGAAAAGAGATATAATTGACGTATGTTTAAGTATAGGTTACGTCTTTGTTTATCCTTGTGAAAAATAAAAAAAAAAAAGAAAGGACCGCCACTTTTGTCGATCCGTTTTTTTTTTTAGAGTAAGTGTCACAGAAAAAAAAGTTATCAATATATATACACAGATGACTTCATGCTTACTTTTTTACATCACAACCTATTTGTTAAAAAAAGTAGCTTAAAGAAAGTCAAAGGTGAGTATTTTGATCTTAAGATATGCATTACAAACAGTAGAGAACTTGTCAAATAGAAAAGAATATGAAGTGAAACAAAAACAGTAGACGCATACATCATTTTGATGAGACTGATTTGTGCCTGGTTTGGAAAAATAAACTGCGTATAAATTAGCTTTCTATAAAAGTATCTTTTATTTTTTTTTTTTTTTATTTTTTTTTTTTTTACTTTTTTAATACCTTAAAATGAGTAATCAGCCAGGCCTTGAAGATTCGTCTGCTATCACTATGGACAAATCACCTACAACTTCCACTGCTATGGGGAACACACCTCAAAAATCACTTTTATCGAGACATTCAACACATCATAGCCAAGCACAATCAAGCAAGACCAATCGTCATATTTCTGCCAAAGATGGGTTTATGACCATTGTTAAATCATCATGGCTTAACGTGATGTTGGTATTTGTACCTATTGGTATTGCTTCTCATTTTGTATGGTCTCCTACGATCACTTTTATCATGAACTTCCTGGCAATTGTTCCTCTCGCTAAACTTTTGGGTTTTGCAACAGAAGACATTGCTTTAAGAACAGGCGAAGTAAGTGAAATGACGGAATAAAGCCTATAAGCTTACAAATTTTAGATTATCGGTGGTTTGTTGAATGCAACATTCGGTAATGCTGTTGAACTTATTATCTCCATTATTTCTTTGACACAAAACTTGGTTGTTGTTGTCCAAGCCTCTATGCTTGGCTCTATCCTTTCCAACTTGTTACTTGTTCTCGGCATGTGCTTCTGGGGCGGTGGATATTACTATAAAGCTCAGTACTTTAACAAGACAGTTGCACAGACATCAGCCTCCTTGCTTTTCATTTCCGTTGCTTCACTCTTGATCCCAGCTGCATTTTATGGATCGATCCACTCTGCTGAATCTGCTTCTGCTGCTGTATTAACACAAGACATTCTCAACATCTCCAGGGCCACAGCTATCATTCTTTTGATCTTGTATTTCTCTTATTTACTCTTTCAGGTAACATTGTCATTTAGATGTGGCTTGTGTCACCTTAGACTCACCTTTCTTCTCTTTTTTGTTTAGCTCAGAACTCATAAGCATCTGGTATGTAGAAAAATAGGAATTTTCGATTGTACGACATTGAGGCTGATATTGATTTGCGTTTTTTGCCTAAATAGTTTATGGGTCCTTCAAGCCCAGATATTCGTAGAGTCAGTCATGCTAGTCTTAAAGTACAAGACCGACAAGTCTTACAAGAAGAAGGACATGCTAGTCACGATGATGACGAAGAAGAAGAGGAACCTCAGCTTCCTGCTTGGATGGCTGTTACCCTGTATGTATCTATATATATGAAGCGTTGTGTTATTTAACTGTCACGATAGTCTTGTTGTTGTCACTGTCATTGTAGGCGTTTGTGCAGAATTTTTAGTGTCTGCTATTGAAGAAGTGACTGAACTTTGGCATATCAGTGAGACTTTTGTTGGTCTTATTCTTCTCCCTATTGTCGGTAATGCTGCTGAACATCTTACGGCTGTTACTTGTGCTATCAAGAACAAGGTAAGTTTTATTTCTTTTCTTTTGTTTTGGATTAACCCCACTCTAGATGGACTTGGCTTTAGGTGTGGCTGTGGGCAGTAGTATGCAAATTGCTCTTCTTGTTACTCCCCTCATGGTTATTATTGGTTGGGGTATGAATGTTGAGATGAGTCTGTATTTTAATATTTATGAAACTGCTGTATTGTTGATTGCTGTCATTATGGTCAACTATTTGATTATGGTAAGCACTACCATTGTGTATTTTTGTATTGACACTTTATATTTAGGATGGTGAAAGTAACTGGCTAGAAGGCCTTATGCTAATTGCTGTCTATATTGTCATTGCTATCAGTTTTTACTATTATCCTGACGGTGGTAGTTCCACTGCTTCCTCTAGTAACAACAGCACCTTGGGTGCCTAATACTACATTGTGTATATACATATTTAATAAAGTCCCTTGATTTATGCTACAAAATCATACAGATCATCAAATATAGTTAATGACGATATACAGTTTCTTAAATGGTAGGCGGCTCTCTAACTTTGTTTTTTACAAACAAATACTTGAAGCAGAGAACCTTTCTTTTTTCTTTTCTTTTCTTTATGTGGTCTTCTTCTTTTACTCGTGCCTTAAAGCTAACGTATCCTATTGTACAAGCACCTTGCGCTGGTCATACAGGCGCTGAATTAGTAGCTGCTGTTAGTAATGCAGGTGGACTAGGTTCTTTAGGAGCTGGCATGATACCTCCCTCTCAATTACGCACAACTATTCAGGCCATTCAAGCCAAGACATCCAAACCCTTTGCGGTCAATTTGTTCTGTCGCCCTACTCAACCTGTCACTGAGGCCGAGCTGCAAGAGCATTGCCCTCATATTGATGACGTATTAAACCAAATTCGATCGGAACTCGGTATTCCTATTCCTACCGAATACAAACTACGTTCTCCTCCTTTGGATGAACAAGTGGCTGTCTTGTTAGAGACCAAAGTGCCCGTTGTTTCCTTTACGTTTGGGATGCTACCCAACCCTCTTCGAGACAAGCTTTGGGACGCAGGTACGTATTTAATTGGCACAGCAACCACGGTCCAAGAAGCACTCATGTTGGCCGGATTGGACCCTGCGGACTCAACCCGTAAAGCAGACGCCATTGTCGCACAAGGACTAGAGGCTGGTGGCCATCGTGGTTCGTTTCTGCATGGTACAGGTGAAAATCATCAACCAATGTTACGTTCGGACTTGATAAAAGCTATTCGAAACCATGATCTTCCTATCCCTCTTTTAGCTGCAGGTGGCATAAGTCACGGAGAGGATGTGTATCGCGTCCTTCAAGACGCAGACGGTGCTGTGATTGGCACATTGTTTATGTTGGCTACTGAATCGGCTACACCTCCACCCCACCGGGAATACATGTTGCATGCCGAGAAAGATGGTGTAGAATCCACCAAGATTACCACTGCTATCACGGGTAAACAAGTCCGTAGTTATCCGAACAAGCTCATGAAGCGTATTGAACAAGTGGTTGCTGAAACAGGTGCTCAAGTACCTGTTTATGATATTCACTCGAGCAAGACGAAAGACATTGCCACTTTTGCAACTATGCATGGACTCAAAGATTACATGCTTTTGCTTTCAGGAGCAAACACGTCTGAAGCAGTCAATTTTAGTGAGCAAGGTACACTTTCTGCCTTAGACATACTCCAGAAATTAGTAACTGAAGTGGAACAAAAAGATGCAATAAAGAAATACTAGGTTAATGGCTTATTACTAAAAGCGGTTATTTCAAAAAAAAGATCAACAATCTAAAAAAAAAAAAAATAACTCCCCTTGTTTCTCTTTATTTTTCCCCTCCCTATAGACTGTTGTCTCTCCTCTTTTTCTTTCTTTCTTTTCTCTCTCTATTGAGCGCGTGTACCCTATGATAAGAATACAGCGTCTTGTAGTGTATATTCTATTTCTCGTGTTATTTGTGCTTGCCACGATAACTTTATTGCCTCATCTCGAACAAGACTCGCCCGCTTTTCAAAACACAGTAACTAAGAAACAAAAGAAACCTGATCCTAACGAAGAGCGATATCTATCATGGTTTCCTCACAGGTATGTTTGTATGTATTTACTTTTGACTGAACCTGTGGCAGTGGCTTCCCTGAGCAACAAGAAGCATTTAGAAACGCTCTTCGTCTTGCTCTCGAAACAAAGCGTACTATCATTGCACCTATGCTGAGAATCAATCACACGTACCCATGGTTACCATTTGAAGACTTGGCTAAACGCTATGAAGCTCAAGACAAGACGACACTGCTTTCATTATGTGAATCCAACCAACAGAACTGGCAAACTGAGTTGGAACATTGTGAGACAATCAATAACTGGATTGAAATTCCTTGGTCAAGCATCATGGATCTAGACATCATTCAACAAGAATACGGTATTCGCATTATTGAGCGTACACAAGGACACGGTTGGGGTGTTCATGAATCAGCTTTAGGAGGCAACATTGACCCTGACGATGTGGCCATTGTTGATGTCATGACATTTAAAGAAAATGGTACAGATTGGGAACACCCAGATGAAGAAGCACTGCTCAAAATGAAACATCAAGACCGCCTCAGTCAATGGATTCAATCGCACCTGAAAAAGACAGAAAAACTGACAGAACCCCTTAAATTCGTATTGGAAACCGAGCGATTACTTGCCATGGACGCTAAAATCATTCAGTTTGGTGCTCTTAGCTCAGCTGCTCGCTATCCTACCACACCCTCAGAGATTCAGCAACAATTACGCAAGGCAATGATGAAGACACGATTTAATGTGCCTGATCATTTATCTGCATTGACTGCTCAAGCAGACAAAATTGTTGAAGCATTAGGAGGTCGATTCCAATACAGTACCTTGATCTTGAATCTTTCTAAGCTTGTTGCTCTTGATGCCCGTGCTGGCACTCTTCAAAAACTCGCTGTGGATGGTAATGTACTTTCAAAAGAAGAAGAGGATAAATTGGTCGCACAAGGACCTACCAGTATGGAAGAATTAAATGAACGATCAAGAAAGGAATTGATGGATGCTGTTGTGCTTGAGATCTTTGGTGATATTCCTATTAACCAAGCAGTCTCGGCTGCTATGCCAATCAAACCAACCTCTAAACTAGCCAGTCTTTTAAACTCAGGCCCATTATCTAATTCTAACGATAGACATCAATTGCTAAAGGCCTGTGTGGATTACCATAAAAATGTTGAGCACCGTTACCCTATCTATTACCTGATTAACGACATGGAACTTGCACCAGAAACACGCCCTGATATCTTTGGTCCCCTTTTGGAGATGTTTCCTTGTATCTTTTCTAAATCTGATATGCTTCAATGGGGTATTCAGACCACCCATTGGTCTGCAGGTCAACCTGGTCTGACAGATACGCGTGTTGATTACGAAAAATTATTCCAACCTCTTCTTGATATCCTGATTGCAGGAAAAGGTAAATAATTATATGCAGTGCTATTTTCAATATTAACAATCCTAGGCTACTCATTTTTCGAAATCCCAACCACGCCTTTAACGCGTTTCCTGAATTGGAGTCCTAAACCATAAAACTTGACTCTATCCTCACATCATGATGTGAAAAATCACGAATGATAATAAAGGGTATGGGTTTGTGATGTCATGATTAGATCAGATTATTGTCATGTCAATGCTATATAAAACAATTATTTCTTGTCCTTTTTTTTTCATCTTCTTATATTATCTTTATTACAATGTATAAACTAACTCTCCACAAGACTCGTTTGGCTGCATTAAACGCACGTCCTTCCACAAGATACTTTTCTACTCAAAAAGAACCAAAAACAGGTCCAAGCAAGACATTTATTGCTAGTTTACTTTTAGCTGCTGGTGGTTTTGCTTATTATCAACGTCAGAAAGAAGAGAGCAGTAAGTAATTCATATGGAATTCATGCAATTAAAACTGTCTCAGAATTCTATAATGGTGATTCAGATGCAAAGGAAACTAACAGGAAAATTGCTGAATTAGGCCAACGTGTCATTCAAAACGGTCAAGTCAAAGGCGACCTGAAAGATGCTCAATATCACCTGAAGGAATCAGCTCGTTCTACTGGTGATGCCACTCAAGATGCCTATAGTAAACTTAAACAAGAAGGCCGTGAAGCTGCAGATCAAATGAAATCACATGCTCATGATGCTGCCTCTAAAGCCCAAGACAAATATGAAGATGCCAAGGATTCTCTCAAGGACAACAAGGATTCATTAAAAGCCGAGAAGAACCCCATGGTGAAAGAAAAGGTTTCTCCGATCAAGACCAAGTCTCATCCTGAGGAAATTTTAGAAAGTGAAGCTGAACACCGTGTCAAGGACACCAGTGGTCTTGTAGGCAAAGACACTGATAAAGTCAAGCCTGTTTGGGACGATAAGGGTGCTAAAGAACGATCTGCCAACAGCCCTAAGGTGGTTGTGGATCATGATCATTCCAAAGGTGGTTTTCTAGGTGGTATCTTTGGTTCTTCTGATTCTGACAAGCACGACAACAATGTTGTTCATAATGAAAGAATGCCCTCTGTTCCCGTCACTCAAAGAACTGTCTATGATCCTGCTCCTACTGTTCACGGTAACCCTATGGCTTACGAAAAGCGCCACAAGGACCCCACCAAGCCTGCATGGGAAGTTGATCTTGAACGCCATGCACATGATAATGTCCGCGATACCTCTGGTTTAGTTGGCAAAGACACAGACAAGGTCCGTGCTGTCTGGGAAGAAAAGGCCGTTCGTGATGACGGTCGTCATGCTCAACCCAAGGAACATTCTGAAAGCTTTTGGTCCAATTTGTTTGGTAAGACCAACGATACTGCCTCTGATATCAGCCGTGAAGCTACACACGAAAAGGACAAGTTGAAGCATCAATATGAACAAGACAAGGAAAAGGTTGGATCCATGTGGCAAGATGTCAAGGACAAGGCCAGTATGAAGGCTAAAGATGTTGAACATGAAGCCCATCGTATCAAGGGAGATGCTGATAACACAATTCAAGAAAAGACAAGCCAATTACAGTCTGGATGGAACAAGGTCAAGAATGAAGCTCAATCGGTTGTCTCTGGTGCTCAAGAAACCGCTTCAGATGTCTCGGGTCGTCTCAAGGCTGAAACCGACAAAGCTTCTGCTAATGCTCAATACGAAAAGGAACGCTTAAAGCGTGGTGCTGTCGATAGTCTTCAAGAAGGCAAGGGCCGTCTTGGTAGTGGTCTGAATGAATTACAGCGTGAAGCTTCTTCCGGTGCTGAGAAATTGAAGGCTCAAACAGAAGAAACTGCCAAGAGTTGGTATCAATCAGGTACTGAACATGTCAAGAGTGGTATTTCTACTGTCAAGGATGTTGCTGACCAAGAACTCCAATGGGCTGAACAAAAAGCACAAGAAGCCAAGAAGGAAGTTAGCCAATTGCTCTCTCCACGCAAACCAGAAAATACCGGTTTAAGTGGCCATGTTAAGCGTGGTGAACGCTATGCTGAAGTGGAGGAAGGTGTATTGAGACCCACTCGTCCTAATACTGACTTGAAGCCCGCCGAAGTTGTAGTTGAGAATGCTTCTGGCAAGGAAATGTAAAAAAAAAAAAAAAGATATGATGCATATGTAAATAAACTTGTTCTTTTTGCGGTTATTAAATTCATTGAGCCCTGTTCTATTCTTTTAACTTTTCTTCTACACATGATCTCACGTCTTGGATTGGCATTAGTAAAAAGTCGACCCATTATCACCCGAGCTATGTCTCGACCTATGGTGAGACTTCTTCCTGTTCAGTTACGTCCGCTGAGTACGACACTTGTCAGAAGAGAGCAATATTTACATGGCTATAATGATCATGAGCGATACCATGGTACACTAATACATCTCGAGATTATGTTACTGAACCATAACACCTAGGTGAATATCCGAGCCGTACTCATTACTGTGGCGATTTGCGTGCTTCTGATGAAGGACAGCGTGTTGTGTTATGTGGCTGGGCACTCTCTTCAAGGTAAATATCCTGCTTAACAATCAATGACAACTCATTATGCAACAGAGACATGTCTCAAGAATTGATCTTTTTGCCATTAAGAGATCATACAGGTGTTACACAACTTGTCTACCGAGATTCGAGCAACAGTAACCTCAAGACGCAGATTCAATCCTTGTCTGCAGAAAGTGTGGTTTGTGTTGAAGGCATTGTCAAAAAGAGACCTGAAGGCATGTCCAACAAAAAACAAGCGACAGGCGATATTGAAGTCGAAATCGTTCAATTGTATTGTCTGAATCCTTCCAGTCCTTCTTTGCCCTTTTGGCCAAACCAAGCACAACTCGTAAGTCGTTTATTGACCTCTTTTCGCTTACTGATACTCATTAGCCTAATGAAGAAGTCAGGCTTCGTTATCGTTATCTTGACTTGAGAAGACAAGAACTTCAACACAATCTTCGCATTCGATCTCTAACAGCCAATACTGTCAGAAACTATTTGACTGAACATGGATTTACAGAGATTGAGACACCTACTTTGTTCAAGTCAACACCTGAAGGTGCACGTGAGTTTATTGTGCCTACAAGAAAAAGAGGTGCATTTTATGCATTGCCTCAAAGTCCTCAACAAGTAAAGTGTATTGAGTTATGATCTTTCTTTTTTTTTTTTACTAATCTATGTTGTATATAGCATAAACAAATGTTGATGGCAGCTGGTTTTGATCGTTATTTCCAAATTGCCCGTTGTTTTCGAGATGAAGATTTACGAGCAGACCGTCAACCTGAATTTACACAGATTGATTTAGAAATGTCTTTTTGTAAAATGAAAGATGTGCAAGGTATTATTGAGGGTATGGTCACCACTATCTGGGATAAAGTACTCGGTAGAAAACTGTCTAAAAAGGATTTCCCTTCTATGACTTATCATGAAGCCATGTCCAAGGTAAAAAAAAAAAAAAAAAAAAAATTAGCATGTTCATAATATGTCTATAGTATGGATCTGATAAGCCTGATGTTCGTTTTGACATGAAGATCAATGATATTGGTTCTTTTATGCAAGATATTGTGAACAATGAAGCAATGGATTGTATGGTCGTCAAAAAAGGTGCTGCTATCACCGGCGGTGAATTAAAAGCTATGCAAAAGATACTGGATTTGACAGACGACAAGAACTTTAACTTTATCAAGATCAATGAAAACAATATGGGTTCATGGCCATCCAAATGCAGTACTTTACGCCATTCAAAACATATTGGCAGCATAGAGAGTCATTTAAACACAACACTTGATATTCAACAAGGTGATTTAGTGGTTGTCTATAAGCGACTCAACTATCTTTATGGTGGTAATACAATCATGGGACGAGTGCGTCTACATCTTTCTAGCTTAATGCAAGAAAAGAAACTACTTCAATTAGACCAAGAGAAATACAAATTCTTATGGGTCGAATCCTTCCCTCTCTTTACACCCGACGAAGAAGGTATTCGAACATGGCAAGCAACACACCATCCCTTTACAGCACCCTTTGATCAAGATATACCCTTACTTGCCACAGAACCAGCCAAAGTAAGAGGTCAACACTATGATCTTGTATTGAATGGTATGGAAATTGGTGGTGGATCCATCCGTATCCATTCCCCTGTGATGCAGACATTTATTCTGGAAAAAGTGCTCGAGTTACAAAAGCATGAATACAACCGTTTTGATCATTTGATTGATGCTTTGGGTGGAGGATGTCCTCCTCATGGTGGCATTGCTTTAGGCTTTGATCGATTGATGGCTATTTTGTGTGAATCAAGCTCAATTCGAGATGTGATTGCTTTCCCCAAAGCTGCTGGTGGTAAAGACTTCGTGGTGAACAGTCCTTCTGAAGTGACAGAGGCTCAATTAAATGAATATGGGCTTCAGTTGTCTCGTGTGAAATAAGCTACTGTGACGTCAATGATCTCACTCTCTTTTTTCCCTCCTTAAATCTGTCTATTGCAATGATGTTTAAATTAAACTTGATGAATTCCTCTTTAGCATTCATAGGAGTGTCTCTCTGTGTGTGACGGTTAGACGGTGTGACAACATAAAAACATACGTTGTTTCCCCTTTTTCTCTCTTTTTCTTTTTTCTTAAACTTGTTCTATGGCATCTATTGCTGATAATTTATTTCTACTAACTACACTTGTTCTTTCTGCTGTAAATCATATGTCATAGTTATCAAAAGTCATGCCCACAATCCTTTTTTTTTTAGTGTGCTTGGATCATCAGTTTTATTGGTGCCTGTGTTTTTAGACGAGGTCTTTCAGGTGGTGCCTGGTGGATTATTGTCTATGAGCTTATGTTGATTATTATAACAAGTACTATTCTAACGACAAACACATATGCCCATTACAGATATATGGTACATTAGGTACATTCGACGGTTATATTGACTTGTGTAATAGATTCTGACTTTCTTGGCTGCCAGTATATCCATGGTGACCTATCAAATTGATTTCGTATTGCCAGTGACGAAATTCACAGCAGGATACCGAAGTGGAGCTAGTGCTTATGCTGCAGGCTACATCATTCTGATGATAATTCAAGTAAAGTAGATTGCTCTTATGTTTTACTTATCACTTCTTTAGTTTTTATGGGTCATTGTGTTTGGGAGTGAAAAAGAGAGTAGGATAGGAAAATATGCTCCTTCACAATATGGAAACACAGTGGGTATAGTGGGACAACAGTATGAAATGACAGCCAAGACAGATTCACCAGAACACAATCGCGTTGCATCACCCACTCATCCTGCTACTGTGGAACCTAACATGACCAGCTCGGAGATAGCACCACCGAATTTCGAATACCGTGAAAAAGTACAAGCATTGCATGCATGTAAGTAAACATTACAAAAAAAAAATTTACACAAATCTAGATCAAGCGAATCCTGAAGACCCAAACGAACTGAGTTTTACCAAAGGAGAGATTCTGGAAGTAGTTGACCGTAATGGAAATTGGTGGCAAGCACGTAAATCGGATGGTACAATAGGCATTATTCCAAGCAATTATGCAGGTATTTTATAATATCATGTTTTATATTGACTTTTTATAGTTTGGTACTTCGCCTAAATAACCACCGGAAGAATGTTTTATTTTACGAGTCTAATTTTATTAGCCGTCTCTTTTTTTTTTTTTTTTTTTTTTTTTTTAGATTAAATTCTGTGCATACGCTAGGGTCATTTCATCGATCAAACTTTAAAAAAAACAGGCCTGAGCGATAAAATGCTTTATTTTTTTTTCTTCTGATTAGACTATAAGGTTTGGTATAATACATATAATACAATAGGATAATATACAAAAAAGAGAAAGAGAATATATAAACAATTGAGAGAAAGAAAGAGAATTTAGCAGGCTAATTGAGACCATTGTCCTTTTTTATCGACATTTCCATTGTCATACAGTGTTCTACCAGCCCCGGTATCGATATCAATAAACTCTGGGAAAGAAACATATGTCTTTTCGAATTGAGATAATTTGGCATTGGCCACTTCTTCTCTTTGACAAGATGGAGCATGGGCGTGTACTTTTGAGTCGAATGAATGTTTGAAGGTATTTACAAGTTGATTCAAAAGTTCACGTAAGGTGGGTTGATGAGGATAACAACGTTGTTGCATTTTTAAAGAGAGAAAGAAGAATAAAAAAAAGTTATAAAAAAAAATGAAGGGTATTTATGATCATGACGAACTTGTTCTCCGATTTCAATTTAGCTCCGTTTTCACCAAAAAAAAAAAAAAAAAAAAAAAAAAAAGAGAGCCTCAATCGCTCTGGAACATTCAACACAAACAAAACGGCTAAAAATAATATTCCCTTTCAAAGTAATTCCGCACTAATATACTTTTTTACTCAGTCTTAAAGAAAGTCTTTGAATAATATCCAATGTTTTCAAGACTTCAAATGTGCCACCTAGAAAACTAGTATCATGATATCGAATATCATACTTTTGAGCCAGTTGCTTAACCATAGGTTTGACAAGAGGCAATTGATGACGTGGCATTTCAGGAAACACCTAAGAGAATGAATACCATATTGTGTAAAATACGCAGCTTACATGATGTTCAATTTGATAGTTAAGTCCACCCATAAGCCAATCGCCGAACGCTGTAGAAGTCACATCTCGACCCGTAATCACCTGGAGTTCATAAAACTCTGTGGCTGAAGCTTGTGCTGAAGAAAGAATAGGCATACCATTATGGTTCATGGCAAACACCAAAGCAAGCAAATAGCCCGCTGTCATTTGGCTGATAATAAAAAACAGGGCTACGTTCCTCCAACTGTCTATCCAAGCAAGGGCGCAAGAAGAGAAAAAGACCCAATGGATCATCAGAAACAAACGCTCACACCAAGACAATACTTTGGATTTGGTCAGACTCTCATTTTTGAAAGAATATTTGAGGGATTGAAAGGCCCAAGAGGTACGTGCAAATGCCAAGATAAAAAAATAGTATCGAGTTTGAAAGGGTAGGACATGCTCTGCAAGGAATTTATCATAGCCAGAGTTACTCAAAGAGCCATAAAAATTGGCTGCTGCAAATTCATCCCATAAAAGAATAGGCGCAGTGTCAATATCAGGATCCTCCCCGACACATTGGTGCTAGCATGGTGTGTGTTGTGCTTGTTTTTCCACCTAAAGTTAAGGTTAGTATCGATCGGAGATGCAGTGCGATTTTACCAGGAGAGCGAGAACCCTTGAATCAAGTTACCAAATGTAACCAAGAAAAGATTGTTGAGATGAGGGTCTTTGATAACCTGATAATGAGCGAAATCATGAGCCAGCCATCCGCATTGCTGCCAAAACAGACCCACAATGACAGCTGAGATAACAACAGCAAGTGTCGATGTTTTACCCCAAAGCTGAAGAATGACCAGTCCTACAACACAAACAAGCACCGTGGACAACACCTTATAAACATAGTAACTTGTACTCGCCTCAAATAAGCCTTCTTTTTCAAGTCGTAAACGAAGGTCACGGATCTCTTGAGCAAATGCAGCTGCTTTGCTGTTCTTCATCATCTTGGGCTCCACATCACCAACATAAAGATTGGCCAGCAATTCATAAGCAGAAGGAGGATGCATTTCTTTAAAGACATCTAGGGTAATACATGGATGAGTCAGAAAAAGTGACACCATAAAAAAATTCACCTGTAGCATCCCTTCCAACTTGTGTCTTGATAACACGTTCACCACCAGGATGATCAACGATAAATTCAGTAATATCATAGACTTTGTTTTCTACGACAATCAATTTCTTTGCATTGGGTTTGTTGTCAAGCACATCTTGATGTATCTGAGCTAATTCTGCTCTTGTAAAAAAATAAGGCACTAACAGAATTGCATTTATATATGGGAGCCAATCTTTATTTATGCCTTTACCTGTCGATCCTACTTTATTTTCCATAAGAGAGAGAGAAAGAGAGCGAAAGAGAAAAAGAAATAAAAACCAATGTCTATTTTATTATATTTTATTTTCAATTTCAACGATATTTTATTGGCCTTGAAGGTGATTCAACCACATCAAAGAACCCCTATATCGGATATTCTATCAATATCCTGCTTGCAATGTGGAAAAATAATTATGACCTTGAATTCAAAAAGTGATTGAGAAGCAGACTTAGAAAGACCTTGAGTGTTTGTACGGCTCCTGAAGTTGATTTTATGCGTGTAACAAAAATAAGTCAAAAAAAGAGTATTTTTAATTAGAGAATACAATATTCTGAAGGCGATGGTATGAAAGAAACTGGATAATAGAGAAATAAATAATGGCAAGAAAATTAACAGCATCCACCGCCTTGTTTGGCTTGTTCATCAGGTGTTTGAGAAACAAGGATTGTCTGACCACTGGTTGGCTTGATTGTGTTGCTGGATGATTCCAAAGCCTTGTTGGACACAATACGATAAATTTCTAAAAAAAAAGACTGTTCAACATCCTGTGTACAAATTGTTTGCTTTACCTGTCAAAATTTGTTGGAAGGATTGGTCAACGTTAGTGGCATCCAAAGCGGAAGTTTCGATGAATGAAAGGCCATTGTCAGCTGGCGAACTGTGAGTTGTACAAAATCATGACTAATAGCTCATTACCTGCAAATTGCTTAGCTTCATCAGTTGGAACAGCTCTTAAATGTCTCAAATCACTCTTGTTACCAACGAGCATGATGACAATATTGGAGTCAGCATGATCACGAAGTTCTTTCAACCAACGGTCAACACTTTCATAGGTAGAATGCTTAGAGATGTCATACACTAATAAAGCACCAACAGCACCACGATAATAACTAGCCAAAAAAAAAAGAATCAACTTCCTGTCGTTTTTTCTTTCTTTTTTTCTTTTTACTTACGCACTAGTAATGGCACGATATCTTTCTTGACCAGCTATAATACGCGAAAATATAAATTAAAAAAAATGGATGCCTTATTTTATCATTTTACCAGTATCCCAAATTTGAGCCTTGATCACCTTATTATCCACTTGAATACTTCTGGTAGCAAACTCAACACCAATAGTACTCTTTGACTCCAAGTTGAACTCGTTACGAGTGAAACGACTCAAAAGATTAGTCTTACCAACACCGGAGTCACCAATCAAAACAACTATTAAAAAAGAAAGGATGTTAGCCCGTAGGTTGGTATACATGTATAGTTTACCTTTAAAAAGGTAGTCATATTCTTCATCTCTACTCATCTTAGGTTTTTTTTTTTTCTTTTCTATACAAACGAGAAGGAAAACAAGAAAGAAATCAAAAAAAAAAGAAACCAAGCCCGTTTTTTTAAATTTTTTTAACGGAACTGATTCGATTCGCACAATCTTCTTTTCTTATTCCTTCTTGGTCTTTTTTAAAAAGCCTATGTCATTTTGTGATGCGTTTGTGTACTCTTTGTATTTATTTACATACTCTCTTTGTCTGCTGCTTCTTTGTTTGATTCTTATAGAATAATGGCTTAGATAAAAGTAAAAAAAAAGTCTGAACAAAATAAGGTTTTGTCTTCTGTATTCGAAAAAAGTGTTGTGTTACAGTTTGTCATGATAAAGAACACTTTCCCTTTTTTTTTTGATGTAGATTCAGGTTGCTAAACGTTTATTTCTGTGCATCCCACCTAGTTAATAAGCAGTTTGGATGCTACTTGCAACAAGACAAAGACGAGTACATGATCAGCACATATAGATGCAGACCAGTCTTGAATACGATTGTTTGATTAAAGCTATGCTGCCGTTTTCACCATTACCAATAGACATCAAGCCTTCCTTTTTGTGATCAACCAGTGCTTAAGCTACTGAAGTTTGGCAAAACAATACACACATGTTTGTGACGTACTGTTTTCATTCGTGGCACAAACAGTAGTGTATTCCCTTGTGGTTATAACCCAACCATCTTTACCAAGCATCTTTGGGTTTCCTTCCCCTGTCTTTCTTTCTGAGTCTAATACTCGTTAAAACGTATACAATGATTGTTTCTTGATCTTCCTTAATATATAATCGAGATCCCTTATAACTCCTCTATCATCCTGGTTCTGAACTAGTTCGATACAGGAAGCCTTTGCCTTGGGAAAATTCATCATTATTTTGATCTTTGTATTGCTTGAGAGTCAGTTGATTGTTACCTGTGGTTCATTGACTTTGTTTTCTTTGTATGATAACTCGTCGTCTTATTCATTCAGGAATATTAAATAGTCTTTGGCATGTAAGTCCTTGGCCATTATTTTGAAAATAGCTTGCAAGCTTAGCTCACCTACGCATTCTTCTAGGAAGAAATGTCGAGTATTAGGCTTGAAGCGATAAGAAAACAAACATTCATTTCTTTTTACGCTGAGTCAAAACATATTACAATTAAACCTCTTTGCGTTAATATTTCATCAGAACCCTGCGATACAAGTCATTTCAAGCGTTATGTGCCAAAAGAATCGTTTTTTATTGCAGCATACAATGTAAGAAAAGCCTCTTCTTTTCTTGCAGATCTATATCTGGTGAAGGCAATTCGATATTGTAATCAACTAGTTCACGTACTATCGAGGGATGATAGAAAGAATTTAGCTCTAGAATTGATTTGAAATAGCTCAAATCACATGCTTAGTAATGTTAGAATGGATCTAAATGTATATTAGTCCCATAAAACTGCAATTTCAATTGTAAATAGACTCAGGTTAAATGGCTTTTGTTTTAGACTATCGCGTCTGTAACTTTTCCTTATACACATAAGAAAAACAGATTAGACACCTTTTTCTAGAAAGATGTCGCATTTTTAAAAAGGAGATCATATTTCTTAGAATCAATCTTCTACAATGAACTGTCTTCAACGACTGCAGCTATTAGCAATAGGGCCCATAATCATCATTTGGAGGGTTTGATCATGAATTTATCAGAAATAATTTTGGCGGCATTTTAAATCAATTAAAAAATGATCGCCTAAAAATATACAAAAACAAAAAGATAAAGAAGTAACACATTAACAAAAGTTATAGATATGAGCGAGACGCATCTAATGATTTAGAGAATAGTACATATATATTATTAAAATTTTGAGCTACTTCTAAAAATGCTTTCTCTATTTTTGACTTTTTGTGTACAACTCTTATATGACTTTTGCAAATCTAACACTTCCAGCCCCAGACATTTTTTACCAATAGATACCATAATTAAAAATTGCTCTATCACTCACAAATTGCAATTTTGTATAAATCAAAACTTTTTTTTTATGGATGAAGATTTATTCTATTAAACTCATCGAATAGGGGATATATTTAAAGGAGAACAAGTGTAAGAAGCAGTGACTTCAAGAAAAACATCAGGGGGTAGTAAGGACGTCTGATCATTTTTCAACTTTTTCAAAACTTGACATGTTTTTGCATAGAAATGTTCTTGTGTACTGATGCGAAAGATGTTTGAAAAAAATGCATCGATGGTCTATTTTGGGGGTAGTTGCGGAAAAAAAAGAATCCCAGATAAGTCCTTTTTTGTCAGCCAAAACAATGTAAGACTCGGAAAAAGTTATCTGAATACTTGTTTCTACATATATCAGACAAAGAAAACACATGTGTTAGTTTTTGTTGAGGATGAGACAAAAAAAAAGAATGGCTGTTCAAGATAAGTTCTTGTGCATTAGAAGAAAAAAAAGGCATAATGCTTGTTTCGATAGTAGTGATAGTTTATCACTAAACATATGAGTCTGGGAATAAATCGATTAACGCACTGTTTCCTCTTGCGCTGATTAATGCAAAGAATTAAAGACGATAAGGTTTGATTCACTTTTTTTTTCTGAACAATTGCCAATGTAGATTGAAAGTCTCAAGTTTGAAGGGAGTCATTATGTCCTTGATTAAATAACCTTTACGGGAAATATGCATATCGTTCGTCTATATTAGCAAATTTCAAACAAAAAATGATTGGTTTGTGAGCTAAGAGATACTCTCAAACTAATTCAATTGGTGGTGATGTTGATTTATTTCCAGACTTGACGCCAAATAGATATCGACATGTATGAACAGCAAGCTCAATTTGAAAGCTATTAAACCAATAACAATTGAAGTAACTGATAAACATTGTCTGAAACATGCAAGCGTTGTTCTAATGCTTTTTCTTATCAATATATGCTTAAAGACTTGGTCTATTGTGATCCAAATGTGTCATGCCTAAATCAATAAAGAGCATTCCACAAGAGAAAAAAAAATAAGGAGAAGTTGCACAAATGATGTTTCTTTTTTTAATATTCAATATAGATTAGCCTAATATTTGACAAATAAAAAACATGTATTTTTTTATAAAAAAGATAACGATACATTATAAAAAAAAAACTAGAGTATAATCAGCAAAGGAAAAGTAGACCTATTTAATACAACATTGAAAGAAAAAGAGAGAAATTTAATTAAAAAAAAGTTTTCATGTGATACTAAATAACTGAAATAGATTATAGATACCTTACATCTCTTTTTTTTTCCTTGTTTCAATTGATTTTGTCCCTGTCGCTTATCTTGAAATGTTGTCCAACCAAAATCAAGAAAATTTTTATGACAATTATGGTCTATGACACATTGTGAATAAAATAAACCAAAAGAGTCAATAGACAAGTCACATTTAGATGAGTATATTAAGATGGATGCTTGCATGCTTTCATATCTTTTTCTTTTTTCTTCTTCTCTTCTTTGTCAATTAAAAAACTTCCTTTTTTAACTAACAAAGCCTTTAAAATATTATATTAGAAGGCTAATTGATTTATCGTTTTTCATAACGTAACTTTATGTATATTCACGCCTACGAAAAGTGCTCAGCCGATTATATTTGCGATCAAAGTAAGTAAAAATTCAACCTCCTCCTATTTTATCAATCTAATTTTTTTTTTGATTTATGACTATTAGTTTGGAAATCCTCTGATAACTCTACAGATCTCTTGTCAAACTAAACCTTTAAAGCAAACTCCATCTATCTTTACTCTTTTCTTCTCTCAATAACTAAAAAATGTCAAACACTGCTACTTCTGTCCCTGCTTCTCTTAAATTGAAGACTGGTCAAATCTTCCATGGTACATCCTTTGGTGCTCAAGTTAACACATTCGGTGAAGCCGTCTTTACTACTTCCCTTGTTGGCTACCCTGAATCCATGACTGATCCTTCTTACACTGGTCAAATCTTGGTCTTCACTCAACCTTTGATTGGTAACTATGGTGTTCCTGGTCAAGTCAAAGATGAATTTGGCCTTTACAAGTATTTCGAATCCGACGCTATTCAAGTTCAAGGTATCATTGTCAACGATTACGCTACTGAATACTCTCATTGGACTGCTGTTGAATCCTTGGCTGAATGGTGTATTCGTTACAATGTTCCTGCTATCAGCGGTGTTGACACTCGTGCTTTGACTCAACTCTTGCGTGATCAAGGCTCTACTTTAGCTCAAATCAGCATTGGCAAAGAATCCTTGATTGATAACATCAGCGCTCTCAACTTCCCCAACCCTAACCAAGAAAATTTAGTTGCCAAGGTTTCCACTAAGGTTCCTGTTACCTACAACCCTAAGGGTAATCTCAAGATTGCTGTGATTGACTGTGGTGTCAAGCAAAATATTCTTCGTTGTCTTGCTAGCCGTGGTGCCAGTGTTACTATCTTGCCCTACAACTATGACTTCAATGCTGTTGCTGATCAATTCGATGGTATCTTTGTCTCTAACGGTCCTGGTTCTCCTACTGTCTGTGTCGAAACTATTAAGAACTTGAAGATTGCTATTGAACACTTGAACAAGCCTATCTTTGGTATTTGTATGGGTAACCTTTTGCTTGGTATGGCTGCTGGTCTACAAGTATACAAGTTGCCTTTCGGTAACCGTGGTCACAACCAACCTGCTCTCAATGTCGATACTGGTCTTTGTTATATTACTTCTCAAAACCATGGTTACGCTTTGAACGATAACGACATGCCCAAGAACTGGAAGCGTTTGTTTGTTAATGCCAATGACGGTTCCAACGAAGGTATTCAACATGAATCCAAGCCTATTTTCTCTGTTCAATTCCATCCCGAAGCTAAGGGTGGACCTCAAGATACTTACTACTTATTTGAGGAATTCTTGAAGCATGTTTGCGCCCAAAAGATCGACAACGAAGGCTTCCATGCCTCTATCAGCGATGTCAAGCAATCTACTGTCTCAGCCTTTGCTTAAATCAACTATTAAATATTTATTCACAATCACAACATTTTTACATTTGTTTGCATCATCACACTTTTTATATCATTTTATTACAAAATAAAAAATATTTTATCAGTAGAAATTTTTACAACAAGAGGGTTTATAAATTAATGAACAAAAGCATTATGAATCTTTTCAAATTCTGTCATGCTTTTGAGTTGAACGCATCGATTACTTATGGTCATGCCATTGTTAGGTAATTGGATTCTAGCCAAAGTTTTGAGTTGACGATCCTTCTCTTGTCCCTAATCAAAGAGCTTTAGAAAAAACATGCATGTATATATATATCGTATACACTTACCTTGACAAGCGCTGATTCAATAGAGTCAAGAGGTTGATCCTTTTGTAATTCAACCACTTTATCTTTCAATACATGAAGTCTTTGTTTTAGGGTATACAGTACAGATTGTTGTGTTTGGTATTGATAGTCTGGTAACTTCTTGTTACTAAGCCACTTGCCGCCTCTTCTGTCAGACGAAAGTTGAACTACCTTTGGAGTGGCACTTGCTGTACGCATATCTTTGACAAGCATACGAGTCTCCAATGCAAAGGAACGCACCGTATCTTGCAATTTTGTATCTGACTTGTTCTTTTGCGTAGGTGAACTATCATTCAAATGAAGCGAGCGAACAATATCAGAGCCCTTGAGATAAGCATTTTCAGCACGTAGATAACGAATGGCTGCTTTGAGTGACTCCATATGTCCTTCATACACGCCTGTGGTTGGTGTATCTGCTAAAGTAGAAGCATTGTCTTCCAAAAGATCAAAGTCTGTGGCCTTTTTGGCAATCGAAAGTCTCTTTTCTTCCTTCTTGGCTGCCTTTTGCTTTAATTGCGTGTTTTCTTGCTCTAAAGCATCGTATTCTGCTTGTAGATTCTCCATGGCTTCAGCATACATTTGCTCTTGTGATTGTGATTTGCTCAACGTTTCTTCAAGAAGAGCAATCTGATCAGCTTGCTTCTTAACTGTTTCCATACGCTTTTCAAGAAGTTCGATCTTGACGGTTGATTCTTGAAGCGCTTGATCCTAAACAAGGACATGAACACTTGCACTATACAGCAACAACTTACTTTGAATTTGACATCTTTTATGAGTTTTACAATTTCATCACTGTGTTGTTGAAGTTTGCGTTCCATGTCGTGATTCATAACAACCTCTGCCTTGATGTCAGAAGCACGCTGTACCCAAGGAGCAACGCCTGTCACAACTAAACAAACATTAGCTTCCTATTTTACTCCATAATAAACATTACTCTTCTCTGTCTTGTTTTCATTCGAGATGCGTTCAAATGTAGTGTTGAGTTCATTGGTAAGTGATTTTAAGGTCTTCAGACATGCCTCCCACATGGTGCTTTCAGGAATTTCGAGGATCTCGTCGGCCTTGTTGAACACGATTTGTTGGATGAGAGCCAAGCTGATCTCTTCTTTGCTGCTGACTTTAGTCTCTACATACACAGCAATTTGCTTGTAGGCTTCATAACAGAATTTACCCAGCTTGGAGCTGATAGAATACAGCATCTTGAAGCGATGAAGATACTCTGATTTGAGTGTCAATGCTTGTTCTGATAAGTCTTCTAATTGGCGCAATAGTTTTCTAAGTGTCATACATGGTAAGAAAAGCAAGAAAATACAGTTGATATACTCACTTGGCCAATATCTTGCTATTCTTTGCCTGAACAATCAGACGAGTCAGTGGTTCAAGATATTCAAAATCAAGTTGATTGAGACCTTCTACAATAGGAATAGCTAGAAGAAATATGAGTCAATAGCATAGACTGTGGATAGGACTTACTTTCATTACGTGCCGCATTTGTCACAGCTTGCTTGACAAATGTCAACTCAACAATCATTCGGTCCGCATTCAAGTCCAAAGCTCGGGTCAAACCAAAGAATTGGTCTACATGATTAGCCTCACTTTGAACAAGATAAATGTCGCTCAAATGTTCTAATTGAGCAATCATGCGCTGCAACTCAATGACACACTCGTTTTCATTAATTTCATCTGTTCTCAACAAGTCCACAATACCTGTCAAGCGTCTTTCAGTACCAACCAAATCATGGTAGACTTGTCCCATTTTAATAAATGTGACAGGATTACAATTGACGATGAAGGTGACAAATCGCTTGCTCAAGTCACTTAACCAACCAGCACGTTGACGCATTTCACACACAGAAACAAGACTTTCAGACACAGTATCCATGATCTTTTCACTGATAGGCTGGTTCTGATCCAAATGCTTAATGATCAGTTCAGCCTTAAATACCAGACGCTTGTAAAGTAAGACACAAGAAATGGCATCGTTTTCTGTCTTGAAAAAGGCTTCAGGAAGATAAGGTTGAATGTAACTGAGGCGATCATTGGCTTGAGCAGCATCCAGCTTTCTGAGTTCAAGATCAATGGATTTAGCTTGTGCTTTCATTACAGTGGATTGTAGTTGCATATTCAAAGACATCATGGCTTGCGATTGACTGCTGAGCGTTTGTTTTTCGGATTGTTGGCTAACCTCTCTGTATCTCAATTGCTCTAAATCGTTTTGTAAAGTAGTAACAAGTTCACGGAATTGTTGAATCGTGCCTTCATAGTCTGCACTTGTTTCTTCGCTAGAACGAAGGCGTTCCATTTGTTCACGCAGAAGCATATCTCTGTGATCTATACATCCATTTGAGAGATACTGTCATTTGCTTGACATTACTTACCAATTTCTGCTTGTAATTGTTTTTCTGTTTCCATGTGGTTATCTTCTAATTCATCAGCGAGCTCCTTGAGTGCTTCCAAATCATCAATAGCCATGCGCATCTCTTCCATCTTTTCTGCCAATGCTAAATTCTTTTCAGTGAGCTGCTCAACCAAGTCTTCGGCACCGAGTGCATCATCTAATCGCTGCTTAAGTTCCTCAATAGTGAATTCGGCCATTTCAAGTTTATCGCGTGTTTTTTCGTACTGTAACTTCACTTCTTCCAATTCATAAGTCTCTTTTTCCAGGTTCCTTACTTTATCTAAGAGTTCATTTTCACGAGCTGTTGTAGCATCCCGTAATCTACAACATCAGTGTAAGTATCCTTCTTCTGGGGGTTTTGAAAGGGAATTTTACCTCATTAATGCTTCCTTTAATCTTTCATTATGTCTTTCAAGCTGTATAACTTCTAATGGTGTCTTCTCCTCATTATCGCGATCAGGAATACGGTTTATGATGTCTGCTTCCTTCTTCAGAACATCCAGATCAACACTGATTTCTTCAATCTTATCTTTCAATACATTGACTTCTTGTTGTAAATTTTCTGCTCGTTCCTCAGCCACTTCTTTATCCAAAGTCATCATTTCAAGTGATTCAATCACATCATTGTACTTGTTTTCATACATTTCTTGTTCAGTAACTGATTCCTTGAGTTGTCTCTTTGTCTCTCTCAATTCTCTTTGTAGTTCAGCAATCTTGTCTTGTAATTTGTTACGCAATGTCAAAAACTGCTCAGCTTCTTCTTTAACCTTTTCATGTTCTCGTTGACGCTCTCGGTCTTCTTGTCGTTTTGTTTCCAAGATTTTAAGTTTAAGACGAAGTTCCTCATAGTCTTTTAGAGGCACCATTTGTTCTGATTTACTGACTGGTAAGTTAGTAGCGAGTGAGCCATAACTCGCTTGAGGCGTTTGAGGCATTTGCTGGCGTACAATATGTGTAGAAGAAGTATTTGAGATTATGCCTGCTCGATCTTCGAATGCATCAGAAATAGATTCTACGTCATGCTGTTCCTGAGTGATAGATTCATGGTCAGTGATTTCTTCTATTTCTTCTTCTTCTTCTTCTTCTTCTTCTTCTTCTTGTGATTGCTCTTCTATTTCTTCTTCCTCTTTTTGTTGTGGTTGCTGTTGTTGCTGCTGTTGTGTTTTCAACTGTTGTTGTTGCTGTTGTTGTTGTTGAAGCATAGCTAGTTTTTCTTGTTGTTGTAAACGTAATTGTTGCAATTTGTTCTCTTTTATATCTTTTGGTGGATTTGCATTGGATCGAGGCGATAAGGGGAGAGCCACTTTACTTTTCCTAGATGCTGTAAGGCTGGCAGTGGGAGAAGCTGATTTTCGACCAGCAGACGCTAGCCCACCAGCAGGAATAGTGGACGGCTTTCTGCCTGGTGCATTTGGCAATCGACTGATTCTCGAAGGAGAATTAATACGAGAAGGCAATAACGTAGAAGAGCTTGAAGGCGTATGCTGCTGCACTGTCCTAGCCGCTGCCAAGTTGGGATCATGAGCAGGCGCGAACCGCCCTGCTATAGGGGAACTACGCTCAGACGAGCTTGTCGCGTCTGAATCGTCGTCTTGGTCTTGCAATAGCTTCACTTGACTCGGTCTGACAAAGACACCATGATTGGCTTTACAGTCAAAATAGCGTTTGCCTTGGACTACACCGCTATTTTTGCCCTGAGGTTCGTCTAATTCGATACCAATCCATTTACCTGTTTGGAAACTCGTTGTGCCTACAAATCGAATACTACCCACTTTGCCTTGAACTAAGGCACGGGCACCTATTTTGAGCTCCGAGGAGATATCGAAGGTGTTGGGAGAAGAGTTATGAGATGAAGAGCTTAGAACAGATCGTCTTCGTTGAGGATCAAGTCCTGACATTTTTTATGGGGCTGAAATTTCTTCAAACGTATAAGTCTTTATATCTAACAAAAGCGTTTTATATATTTATATCAAATAATAGAAAACCAGAAAAAAAAATAAGCGAAATAGAAAGAAAGAAAAAAAAAGGGGGAAAGAGAAAAAGGTTAGGCACATTTTAATCCTGCTGTTTTGCAAGTAGTACAGTTCTCCCCTTTTTTTTAGAAAAATTTCAATCTCATTCATTAAATTGATCAATGACATAGTCAATGGCTTCAACCACTGATTTAAACACTCGTAAACCTTCTTGATCTGAATTTTCAGCATCTTGTGGACGATATTTACCAGTTTGAACTATGAAAAGAGTCAATCTAATGTACGCAAACCTATGTAGTCTACCTAGAAATCGATGTAACCCCAATTCTTTTGCTCCTCCTCCCAAATCATTGGAAACATCGTCACCGATAATGACAACCTGGTTTGGTCTATCTTGCATGTCTCTAGAATAGCATAATCAGCATAGAGTATGAAAAAAGAACTTACATTTGTTGTAAAGCCAATTGAAAGAAATCAACTGTAGGTTTGCCTACTACTTTGGCAGTTGTGCCCGAAGCAAACTCAAGTGCCTTCACAAATCCACCCGGTCCCATAGACAGCTTCTCGTCTTTGTCTGCAAAGTACTTTGCCTTGTGAACTGCAATCAAGTCAACATTTGAGTCTGAGGATAATAAGCGAAAGGCCTCATTTAACTAGGTGACTGTCAGTATGAGATTCAAAAGTATATGGTACTAGCCTTTTCATAATTAAATCTAGAAGGTGCTAAGCCAATGACGACAGCATTAGGACTTGAGCTATCTATGCCACTAAATTCTTCCATGGCTTCGTCTTCCATCAATAACAAAGGTCTATCTTTATCAGTGTTGCTTCATTGTATGATGGTAAGTTACCTGAGCTGCTTTGACTTAACTAGGTCTCGACAGGCAGATAAGGAAGTGAATAGCTACAGTTATTTCAGTGTGCTTTTTCCTTGCAAATTTATATATACATCTTTTTCTTCTACTTGAAAACCAAGGCTTGCAAGTTTTTGAACCAGTCTTTTTGAAGATACTTTTGTTGTATTGGTAGCAAACCTTTTGAAATACACATAGATAAGTTTTTTTTTTATGTGTATTTAAATGATCAAAGCTCTTTACCTGAATGGAATATTGCTTGCCTTTAGGCGTTGAACAGCTTCAATAGCACCAGGGATCACTTTTGTATCAATGTGGATAGTACCACTCAAGTCTATCAATACACCTTTAATGACTGACATGATAAAAAAGAAAAAGAAAAAATACGCGTCTTTAAAAAACAAGCTTTATTTAAATAATTTAGAGTTGACCACAGTCTTCAATGATAACCTTCTTGGTAGTGCGACCAGAGCCAGTACCGAAAGATTCGATCTTCTTAACAACATCCAAACTAAAACAATCAAATTAACACTCCACCTTTGACAAACACAATCACTTACCCTTCAACAACGGAACCAAAGACAACGTGCTTACCATCCAACCAAGCAGTCTTGACAGTGGTGATGAAGAATTGAGAACCGTTGGTACCGGGACCAGCGTTGGCCATGGAGAGGAGACCGGGGCCAGTGTGCTTAAGAGTGAAGTTTTCATCGGCGAACTTGGCACCGTAGATAGACTTACCACCAGTACCGTTGTGGTTGGTGAAGTCACCACCTTGGAGCATGAAGTCAGGAATAACACGGTGGAAGATACAGCCCTTATAACCGAAACCCTTTTCACCAGTACAGAGAGCACGGAAGTTTTCAGCAGTCTTGGGAACAACATCAGCTCTTAATTCCATGACGATACGCTAAAGAAATCATGATTAGCCGTGTTTTTTTTAAAAAAAAAAAAATACGCGTATGATATACTTACACCAACAGGTTGGCCATCAGCAGAGACATCGAAAAAGACCTTAGGGTTAGACATATTAGAAATATTAGATAAAGAAGAAAAAAAAAACTCGAAATTAAAATTTTTGGGCTCTTTTTATTACTGTTTCCCTTCTGTTTCAATCACCGAATTCTTTCACTTTCCAAAAGTTGCTATTCAACTTTACCTAGGTCCGTCAATCAGAGTGGAACAGTGCTTAATTAAAGTGTGTCAATCAAGCTTAAATTGTGACATCAGCTCAAATAAACCAACGCGGTGTCTAACTTAAAACTTTGATTGGTTTATGCAACACCTTCACATACACGCGGGGAAATAGATGTGGCTTGTTTGTCTATTTCGACTAGAGTATGACGTCTACTCTTTATTTCTATCTCTTTTCCTTTTCTCTCTTAATCAGAATATGATACCCGAAGAAGAATATGGCTTGTTATCGCAACAACCAGAAGAAATATCAGAAAATGAACAGGAAGAAGCTATAGAGTTTATTTCATATGCTGAGAGTGATGACGATGATGAAGACCCTTATTTTATGCCCGAACATAATAAACGAACTAGTACTTGGACCTTTCTTAGGTAATAATGACATGTAGAATGATTTCTCATAATTCAGTACAGAATGACTTGTGCTCCTATTCAAGTCGTGCGATTCACGATACCCGCTATTTGCATATTGACTATTATTACTTATACCATTGTGATTGGCGTCTTGACAGGGAAGAAAAAAATCTGACTTAAATAAATCATTTATGCATTCAAGTCCGAATTTATTCATAAGCCCGAGAGAAAAAAAAGTGCGTGGGTGCAGTTAAATGTAAGCGCGTAGTCTACTTCTTTTCCTTGTTTGCTCATCATGTCAAACAACAATAAGGAATATACTCGGGAGGATATTGAACGCATGAGAATCGCCATGGAAGGTGAATCAGCTCTTGACAAAATAAAAAGAAAGTCAAGAGAAGAACCTCTTGTACCAGCAGGTAAGAAAAAAGAAATTGCCTACTATGTCTAATATCATGATAGGTGTTGCTTTAACTTGTTTTGCTCTTGTTGCTGCCACTGTGGGTGTAAAGACAGGTAACAGAGCCTATGCTAATAACATGTTTCGTTTGAGAGGTAAATAATAATTCAAGGAATCAGCATCGTAACCTATTCATTTTAGTTGCAGCACAAGGTTTCACTGTCTTGGCTATGGTGGGTGGTTCTCTTTACTATCAATACAAGGAGAAAAACAGCAAGCAATAATGTAAATAAATCTCACTCAATGTCTATTATATTCCAAAGAAAAATTTGTTTTGTGCTACTCCATGAAAGTTTATTGGGGTAAATGTAGTCCTTGAAGTAACAGCAAATTGGTTGCCATGCCATCATCTCCTGTAGATGTGATGGCACTGCTATCATCAACAATGAGACTCTGGCTGCTATTATTATTAATATGATGATTAATGTTATACAATGAGGACCCTACTTCTTCTTTCTCTTCTTCGATTACTAAGGATTGAAGATCTGGTGCTTGCATCAAAATGTCCATAAACTCGTCTCGTAGTAAACTGAAGCCTTCCAAAACATGTACATTTTCTGAAGAAGCTTGTTTATCTTGTGTAAAATCATGGCATTGAACCCAAGTACCATCCACTGTCATAAAGAACTTGACTTGGCTAGGTGAACTCAAGAAGAATTCAAGCTTATAGAGACTACCGAGGTTATGCGTCCGAATGAATTGGACCAGATTCAAATTGATTTCTATACGGAAACTTTGTTGATCATCACCTATAGACCAGATCAAGGTGCGAGCCGATAGGTCCACATGGCAATGTAAGTCACTAACACGCTTCCAGCTACCAATTTGAAGATTTTGTACAGAGAGATTATAGGTTTGTTGAGGATATCTCACTATTAAAGACGTTAGTTAATTGTTTTGAAAATGAGTAAACTACTTTACCTGATTCATGAGCTGTAGGAAGGTGATAAGCTTCTTCAATAATCGTTGAGGAGTTATATAACCTTGGTTCTGTTGAGAACAAGAGTTGTTGTGGTTGAATATTAGACGTAGAATGGTATGAAGAAATGGAGCTAGGAGGACCCAGTGAAGAGTGTCTTTCTTGAGGTGTAGGTTTTCGATAATAAGGATAAGGGCCCACAGAATGAGCTCGTATGCGCTCAGAAGATAGAGAAGCTGACGAAGATCTATAATGATTGCGACGATGGACATGAGAAGAATGACGGTAGTTGTCTGAAGTAGTAGAGGAACTTGAAGTAGAAGCTGATAAAGTCAAGTCAGGCATGCCAGTATGAATAGGAGGTGTCATGGAGCAGCCAGTTTGATTTTCTACTGACCAAGGACTTGATGAAGAGAAAGAAGAAGAAGAGGAAGTAGGTGGAGGAGGAGGAGGAGGAGGCATTGAAAGGCTTTGACTAGCGTCACCTACAGCTTTGTTATCCTCAGCATTGACATTTTGATGTTGTTGTTGATGGAAATAATAATAATAGTAATAATAATACAGATTGGGATCGATTGAATCTTGTTGTTGCTGAAAGGCAGCAGTTTGACAGGCAGCAGCAGCAGCACTTGCAGCATATTGTTGTTGCATATACAGTGTCGAATCTTGTAATTGAGCTGATCTCTTAGCTTGGTTTTTGACTTTGGCACGGCGATTTTGAAACCAGATTTGAATTGATCGCTCAGGCATACCTAATTGATGAGCTAATTGCTCACGTACACGGTTGTTGGGCGAGGGATTTAAACTGAAGGATTTCTCGAGAATAGCTAACTGTTCTGGCGAAGTACGAGTTCGTTTACGAGGAGGTGAGATGTCTCGATCAAAAGATGGTGGTACTACTAATGGTGGAGGAGGAGGAAATGAGAACATCTTATTGTTGTCACTGTATGGGTGATACGGGTGGCCAAAGAAATTGTTATTGTTGTTAGGATTGTAGCTAGGCATAGACATTATAAATTATTAAAAGGATATAGGTACTATTAAGTAATATGAAGAAAAAAAAAGTAATAAGAGGGAATGAATAGTGCTCATATATATTTATATAATAAATCTCAACGTTGTACAGTGTATATTTACAAGTAAAAACCGATCATCCGTATTCAGAGATCCGCTTCGTTATTCTTTTGAAAGTAACACCTTTTTGTTTGCCTTGCAGAAGATTTTAATAGGTTGTTGATCCAAACAATAGAACTACATAAATTAACATATATTATCGTGTAGCAATTGAATCTTCATTTTATTTTTATTTTTATTTTTATACACTCTGTATTCTTGTGCCTAAAAAAAGAAAAAGGGAGAGCATAATCGGCCATTCAATCATTGAAATAGATGAGCATGTCGTACAAATTCCTCTCCTGTCTACTCGCACGTGCTTTGCTGTGTTTTCATCAACCTTCAAACTAATGAAATGACAAAGAATTTATTGTTAATATATAATACATGTCACATTACACTACAGGGAATCTATAATTATGATTCAACAATTATAGAATTACAAAGTCCTATTTTACTTTTGCTCCCTTAAACCGGGTATCAATTAATATAACACTAATCAAACCTTGTCGAACTTTTATCCAACATTACTTCGGAGTTCTCTATGCATTGTAACATTAAATCTTTTTTGGTCACCTTTGTATGCTAAGACAGTATGAATTAGATGATACTCTAAATCCATAAGCTCGGTATGTTGATTGAAAATGAGGTGATTCTTGCATTTGGCAGGTTGTAAAGTTACTAAAAAGAGTAAGTAACATTGTTTATCTTCAATTCGACTATTCCGTAGTTTAAATTCTATACGTTTATATGTCATAGTACTACAAAGCATAAAGCTCAGTCCATGTTCCTGCTTTAAAGTATATGAATATCTAAATAAGAACACATGGTAATTCTTGTTATGAATTTCAATGCGCGAGAATGTCATTCGTATGAGCCTGAGAGTCAATCTATCAAGTAGTCCTGCCATACTTATCGTTAACGTGTATGTATGAAGGATTGAATCAAGCCTATAACTTTAAAGTTACATAATTCTACTTTGCTGAAGAAAGAAAAGAATAAATGATAATATATGTTGGCCAATGAAAGAAAGAAGAAACTATAATTCTAGAACTTTTTGATTTTTTAATTTATCATTTATGAACTATGCATTAGTTTTCTTTGAGATGATTCAATCCTATATGAAAGTGTCTTGCTCAGCTTCCAGAAATAGATTTGCTCATTTTAGATAAATGAATTTGCAAGTTTAATTTTTTTTTTCTTGCGTACAAACTTTCCCTTGTCTACATTGTCGATCAAAACGTCTTATACAACGCTCAGATATGTTTCAATAATTATAGCTTCAGCTTCTACCCGTCGACAAAAACTCTTTAGCAATATACAGAACATGCAAGGCAAGAGAGGAGTAAAGAAAGATAAAGGGTATTTTTCTTCTCAATAGAATACAAGATGTGTTATTTGTTATTAAACAATGTCCCCTCTATTTGGGCACTTTTACGTTACATCTATCGCAATTAAAAATATGATCAAAAGACATTCAAGCATGTAAGATTCTTTTTTTTTTTATTGAAGCCAGTCAAAGCAACATCAACGGTCGCTTCCTCCGATGTAGCATAAAAGTGTGTGATGCTTACTTTTGTGTTTGTTTGCTCATTATACTGATATACGTATCAATTTAGTAGCTATATACTTTTTCAGCATGGTTTACAAAGGGTACTTCATTCTTCTTCTCAAAACAATCTTATACAGACCAGAAAAACAAAATCAATGCCCTATCATAATCTCTATTAGCACAGACGAGAGATGGCTTACTATGATATCGTCAACTTGGATCTTTAGCTTTTTGCCTTTCAGTACATTGCTATTGTCCTACAGCTATGTGGAAAAGACTTGTCTTACGATAATAAAAAACAAGGTTCTTTCAATTCTAAGATCTAAAATTGCTTCTGTTTAAAATATTCAATTGTTTGCGATTCAGGATTGTAGTAAAGCATACTTTAGTCAGCATAAAGGATGTATGTGTGCTGCACTGCTTATACTGAGATACATTAGTTCAATATAAAAATTTGCAAAGACAAAAGTGATGCTTAATCTAAAGTGCAAAAACATCGCACATTTTCCAATAGCTCTTGTCACAGTTTTTGTTGTTATGTATTTTAAAAAATAGGTTTAAAATGAAATATGGCTAGTGAATCATTACTATATATATATATATATATATAAAAAGAAAGCCCTGTAAATCTGGACCTAAGAATACCATTTGCTTGTATTAGCACTTACAAGAAACGAAGCTTGATTTTCCTTCTCAGACAAAAGCGTCAATCAAAAGGGGCATTGTTAGTAACAAATAAAAAGCCTATAAATGCTTACATGTACATATTTATCGGCCCTATTAATCAAGATCTTGCTTTACAACTGATACCTCACAGATTATCCGGCCAAGTGAATTTAATTAATAATGCATCAAGGAATTTATGCATTTTCGTAAACTTTCTTACTTTCAATTAGTCTTTCCAATTCTAGATTTATTGCAACTTCTTAAAATGGTATAGATCTGGTTTATTCTGTGTACATAAAGTAAAGGGAGGTTTGTAATAGCTAAAACATAATTCTAAATAGTTCGGTGACCACAAGGCTATATCTGTGGACACTGACAGCTTTCATGGTTGACATAATGTTGCATAAGTGTTGAAACAAATAAAGTTTAAACTTCAGTGCTACAAAACTTTGTATAAGCTTTGGACTTTGACTATCAAAAAGCGCTTAAAATGGTACACTTGTTTGCTTTCTATGCTATTTATAAATCTTGTTCGTTCTTTTGATGTTCTCTAACTGTCGTACAATCTCAAGAAGTTATCTTTTTTTAAAAAAAGATGACTTGCTAAATTTACTGGTTTAAATGAAGCCTTATATTTTGGTTTGGTTTGCACAATGTCTTACAAACAATATTAACAAGCTCTTTGTAGTAAAAAGAGAATATCCTAAGAACTTAAAGAATAAAAATAAAAAACTGCTTGATTGAAGAAATCATTCGATACAATACAAAAATCTCTTTTTCTTCTTGTTTTTGTGCTCATCATAATATAGTTTGCTCAAAAGAATAAACCATAATGGATTCTGAAGACAGAAAAATGGCATGATTTTCATCCTTGAATAAGTCCCCTAAAGCATAAACGATGGGCACTATAAATTATATAAAATAAAAGTTTAGATTATTTATTAAAAGAAAATAAAACAAAAACTAATACTTGGTATGGCCACCTTTAGCATCAATCACCACTTGATATCGGCTTTTCATGCTTCCGACCAAGCGTGCAGCATATTCTTGGGTCGAAGTTCTCCCACTCTTGTCAAAGTATCGACTTGAGGCTTTTGATATTGTGTACCTCAACCCTTCTGTTGTCCACAAAATTTTTAGGAGCATTCTAATATGCTCAATAGGATTCAGATCAGGATTTTGAGTAGGCCAGTACTCAGAGCATCTAATTTGATGAGTGTTTTTTGACCATCGAGCATAGGTATCCGTATGACAAATAGCACCATCTTCTTGCAAGGCGAAATCCCTGTCTTGAGTTCTTTTGAGCTCCATTAACCATGGATGCAATGTTTGAGACAAAATATTCACATAAACATCTTGCTTAACAGACTCCTCTTCAACAATGGCTAAATGCTTAAAACCCCCAGACCATAGTACAATCGCCTCCTCATAGTGTTCACTAACCTTTCGGAGCACTCTTCTGTCTGAACTGCTAGACAGACAGAACTTTGATTCATCTGATCAGATGATGTTACGCCACTGATCATCTGTCCAGTTAATCTTACTGCTGGCCCAGTGAAGTCTATTCTTTCTCTGCTGATGATAGAGACAAGACTTCTTTGCTGCCACAAACGATCGGAAGCCCATTTGCTGAACAGCTAAGATCGCAATGTCTTTGTGAACATTGATGTTCATTGTCACGAGTTCTTCTTTTAACGTGTTGCAGACGGCAAAAGGATTCTTCCTGAGGATGCGACCAAGGTGTCTTTCAGTCCTCTTATTAATTTTGTAGGGCTTAGCACGATGAGGGCTGCCAGCCTACCTCAATCTTTCAATTATGCTTCTGACAGTCGACACAGGTAATTCTACCAATCTTGCAATGTCAGATGGTCTTCTATTGTCCATGCTAGACCGGTAGGCACCGTAGAGTTGTTTTTCGTTTGGCTTGTTGTACTCATGGCGGCTGCTGTCGTTAGTTTCTTGATTAGACATGAGTAGAGTGATGAGATTAGAAAAAAGTAAAGAATCTTTATTTGTGAGATCTATGTAACATTATGCCTTTTGTTTATTTCTAGCTGCACAAAAAAGTTTCTATCAATTTGATTAGAACAATGCAAGCATTTATTCTTAAACAGTTTTCATGAAGGCGTATTATATACCTTTCTTTTCCTTTTAAAGGTACAAAAAAGCGATAATGTACGTTAATCATTTTCCTACGAAATGCAGCTATAAGGCCGATTATTTAGTATATCTGGTGAAGACAAACCATTTGTTTGTGTCAAAGACGAACATTATAGAATGAAATAACATGCTTCAGAGCTTGGCATAGACGGAGTGCTACCGCAAGAAAGTCTGAGTTTAAATGTATGTTGTCAGATCAAAAAATGAAGAAACCTGGCAAAAAAAACACAGAAAAAAAAAGATATTCAAGGGAAATAGTAAACTAGAAGCATTCAGAGAAACTATTAGCAAAGCTTACAGCCAAATTTTGTAGGTTAGGTATCGCACATTGAATGATGTGAAGAACATACCATATTCACAACTAAAATATTGAGTTATCTGTCAAAAATGCATATTCTATTTTTGAGCTATAGCGTACACTTTTTATAGCACCTTTGCATATGTAACAGTCTAAGTGTGTCTTATACATCTAGGAGAATGATTCATACCAAGACATGTTATGTCTACAATCTCTCTATCACTCACAAATCGCAAAAAAGTGAAATGTGAAGATTTCTTAAAGATATCATAAGGCCTCTGGTATGACTTTCCTCTTATGGTTAATACCTTCGCTTTATTTAGTAGAGATGGTGTTTCTACTTCTATTGTGCACCTCTCTTTTCTCTTCTTTTTTTACTTTTTTTTCTTTCTTATCTTTCTTACTTGTATACACTATAGTACATCATCGTCTATGCTTCCTGCTCTTTCTTTCCATATTTTCTATCCCTCTATAGTTTCTTTATACATGTACCCTATAGGGCCCAGTCTTCATAAGCTTACAAATAAAATATAGATTTTTACCGGGTATCATAAGACCAAAATGATGATTCTCCTACTTTTTCAGAACCTGGTATATGCTTGCACAAACATTTTCTTTTATGTATGAACAAACACAGGAAACTTGAAAAACGTGAATTGGAAGGCAGAAATGATTGTTTATTTCAATAAACGCTCTCACCTGCAGCGGGCGGCCACTCCACCATTGGTACTGTTATTATTGGATTTAGTTTTAGTTTATGTTAAGGGCTGACGAAAGAAGACCAAGCTACAATTTAAGATTGTACAATAAGCTTAATTCTTGAAGAAGGCATAAATCGAGGATTAAAAGCATAATAAAGATATAGTATGCATAATTGGTTTTGCTGATGCCAAACGTAACCAAAAGTTGTCTAGTGCCCACAATGCATTTCTGTTTCAAATATGTTGATGATAAAAAGGCGAAGAGAGAAATCTAGTTCTAGAGGAATAGGAATTTAATATTGAAGGTATACTTAATGGATGACTAAATAGATTTTATAGATGACACCTAATGCCTATATCTCTTTTGAAAGTATGAAATGTTCTTTTGTCTTCCCAAATGAACTTGGACACAGTGAGTGTATTCACATTTATGTCTCAGAATACAAAACAAAAATATTTTTTTCTGATTTTATGAGTTCATAAAAAGTAGATTTTAAATGCTCTAACTAGCCATATGCAAAGAAGATGCTATCATGGTATTGACATTGCTTTAAGACTCTTAGCATTATATGGCTCGAAACAATCTGAGAAATGATTTCAATGATTCCGTAGTAGCGTTTATATATTACATAAGGTAAATTGAATAGACTTTGCGGGGTAACGGAATGTGCGAAAATTCATTCGTCAGCAGAATTAACTTTTTTTTTTCCCTTTCACTATTAAAATCTCACAGCTTATCTTGTGTTTTGTTTTTCGTATTTTTTTTATCTTTCTATATCAAAGTATGCCAGTAGAAGGATTCAAAGTTGATGTAGACAAGGCTGTTGGCCATAAGTTTGAAAGCGAAAAGGTTGTCTGTAACCGTCGTGATTTTTTATTGTATGCACTCGGTGTGGGTGTTAAAGAAGACGAATTAAAGTACTTATATGAACTGGGTAAGCTACAATCCATACACATCCAAGAAAAAAATTAACCTTATTTAGACAAGGACTTTGCTCCTCTTCCTACTTATCCTCTTGTTCTCTTGCTCAAGGGTGATGATTATAATGTTAACTTGTTTAAGGAACGCGCTCAGGGCAAAGGTACTCTTCCTGGTATGCCTCATTATGACCCTAATAAGATTGTGCATGGTGAACAGTCTTTGGAGGTCTTTAAGCCCTTTCCCGTCGATGGTGGTAATTTTAGTGCTCAAAAGACTTGTACCGGTATTTATGACAAAGGTAATCCATTGTATTACAAGCCATTTTCTCATGTGATTATGCAGGTTCTGGTATGGTGATTGAGACCACAATTGATCTCTATGATGAACAAGAAAAGGTGCATTACTGCCGTATGGTCTCTAAGTCTTTTGTTCGTGGCTATGGTGGATGGAATGTAAGTTAATGTTCTACATAGATAGATATTAGGCTAATTTCTTTTTGTCTATAGGGTCCCAAAGGACCTAAAGGTGTTTCCTACAACCCCCCTAAACGTAATCCAGATGCTGTAGAAGTGTTTCCTACCACTGTCAATCAAGCACAAATCTATCGTCTTTCAGGTGATTACAATCCTCTTCATATTGATACTGCTTTAGCACCTACCATTGGTTTCCCTAAGCCTATTCTTCATGGTCTTTGTACTTATGGTGCTTGTGGCCATGCTATCATCAAAGCGTTGGCTGATAATGAACCTACCCGCTTCAAGTCTATTGAAGGCAGATTTGCTTCTCCTGTATTCCCTGGCGAAACCATTGAAATTTACATGTGGAAAGTAGACAGCAAAGATCCCAAGACACAAGGGGTTGTTTTTGTTGCTAAAGTGAAGGAAAGAGACGTTGTAGTAGTTAACAATGGTTACGCTACACTTTACAAAAAGGGTCATGAATCCAAGCTTTAAGTTTATTTAAATAAATTTATGTGTGTAAATATTCAAGCATGATGTCCTTTTCTTGGTGTAGGGAATTCTAGTCTTCTATGAAGACGATAGGATATGTCAATATAGTTAGGTTCTTCATCAGGAGTAATAAATGCATGTCGCATCATAAAGTCGATAGCCACTAAACCACAGTTCGTCTTCCATTCGTTGTTCAAAATAGTCTCTCTCACTTTATCAAGTCGCCAAAGATAAAAACAGTCGACTTCTCCATCGCATGGAGTGGGTGTGAAGTCTTGAGGCAATTCTAAATCAAAAATATACTGTGTCTCAGGCTGTAATCCATTGGAAGTATAAGTGTAATAAGTGATTACATTCACACTTTTAGCCTAGGTAATGTTTTTAACATATGTGTATCTTTCTTTCTATCCTACCTTGGAAGCAATATCAAGAGGAATACTAGCTTCTTCATCGCATTCTTTGATAATTGTGTCTTTCACTGAATACGTATAAGAAATGCCACCAGCAACCTAAAAACATATCCTTTTTTTTTAGTCATGATTTTACAAAGGTGCTTATCATACACAATTGTCTAATAGGCCTGGCCATGTCTGCTTCGTCTTTGATCTTCTAGCCACCCACATACAGATATTTCCATCCTTATCGCGTGTATAAGCATTTAAATGTACGCCAAATGTCGAGATGCCAAACAATGGAGTTGCTGCACGCTCCATAACAAAAGCAACATTATCAGCTTGTTCTGAATCTCCATAAACAGGATACAGTTCATTTCTCCAGCCAGATAATGCATCAAATGTCTTATCCGCTCTCCAAGTATTCATAAGTGTCTCGACCACTTTAGTTCTCTTCTGAACCGTATCAACCCATGAAGCAAAACGGATGAGTGTTTCGGTGATCTCAAAAGGCTTATGATCATTTTGACTATGGTTGTATTCTTTTAAGGCCTTCATCACATCGGGTAAAACATTTCCTATCTTTTGAGATCCCAGGTAAATTGGCACAGCATGATGAATATCAAGCTTGCTAGAGGCGTCTATTTCATAAGGGAAACTGTCGCACTGTTCAACAACCTCAAGTAAGGACTTCATGAGTAGAAAAGAAAGGAGATTGAAATTTTAAAATTTTTCTTTTTTCTTTTTGTTTTTGTCAAGATGCACTTGGGATTACTAACACAAGAACGATTGTCGTTTGATCCTATTAAACCCTTGATCCTTCGAGGACCGCCTTCAGAAGACTCTTCCACCGTATTTACGGGCAACATTGTCTTATCCTTGTCTAAATCTACCAAAGTAACAAGTATTACTGTTACTTTCAAGTCAACAGCTACTACTTACTGGCCCGAAGGTAAAACTAGAATGAATTTAGAGAGTATTTGACAAACAAATGAGCAGGAATTGGTGCACGTGGGACACGCTTAACCTATGAAAAAACATTAAGCGATGAAAGCGTTGTAATTTTAGAATCCAAAAAAAATGAGTACATCAAACTGTCTGCTGGTATTCATCGCTTCCCTTTCGCCTTTATTGTACCTAATGTAAGCCTTTATATACAATACAAGCAATGCATCTAACTAGATATAGTCCATTGTGGAGACAATCGAAGATGTATATGGTCGAGTAAAACATACAGTGGATGCTCATGTAATTGGTCCAGGCATTCAATTGCTCAATAACTGGCATGTCTCTAAGCCTGTATTAGTATTGCGTACTTACATGTCAGACTCACTATTGACCAACAACTCATTACAAGACCTTTCTCGTACTTATGAAAAACACCTACCTATTGTCGATGTTCAGTTGGTTGTAGAACGTGCTGCCTTTTCATCAGGCGACCTTTTTTTCCTTAAGCTAATTATGCAACCCCAGCGAAAGAAAGTCCGTCTAGACCATATGGAACTCATAGTGACCGAAAACAGACGTTACCATGTTGCCGAGGTACATGCCAATCGCACAGACACAGAACAATTCCAGTTGCCTTATTTAGCGTCTGTTAGGCTAGCCGAAAGCGGTGAGATATTGAACGAAATCGACAGTCTGAAATCTGTATTTACAAAAAATGGACGAGGTGTTGATTTGACAGACACTATTGCTTATCGAATCACATTTGCCACACCCACTTGTATGCGAAACATCCACCATACGACTTATTACAAAGATATTCTATTCAAGCATCATCTCAGTATTAGTATGGCTATTTCTTATGTAGACGATGATGATCCAACCTTATTTCGTCCTGAATTAAACTCGAATCATAGTAGCAGCAGTAGTCTTGGAGAAGAAGGGTTTATGGTCATGCCATCATCATCTATTGAGCACCATGCAAATGAAGCCATGTCTGCAGTAGCACCACCACCTGCAGCATTTGCCATGTCTTTTACCAACACGAACACGCATATAAGACAACCTGTCATTAACGTCAACACGTCGAATCCTCCTTCTGTTTTCTATCCTCCTCCTCCCATACCGTCATCTCAACATCCAACTCAGCCTACATGGCTATCCAAATTGCGAAAACCAGTCAATGCTAAAGAAGGCGGACGGCATGTAATCAGGAAGCGCGAGACAATCCGTTTAGAGACACCCATTGGTGTGTTTGATTGTCGACTAAAAGAAGACTATGGTCGCTTACCTTCATATTCAGAACTCAATGTCACAGCTCGTCCAACACATAATGATGACAAGAATAAGATACAGCCTGATATGGTAGAGCAAGATTTGATGCTACAATGTATGCCAGATTCTAATCAACAAAAACCTTTTAAAGAACCTCAACCACAATTGTGTCCTTGTTATTTTAAGTTTAGACGCCAAATGGAAATGGCTTCTCAGGCACAGTTGCTTTCTACCAACAGTAATACAAACACAACATTAGAAAGAATACCGTCTATCCCTCCGCCCGATTATGTAGAAACAATTAACTAATTTAAGCATAAATACCCCAATTAGCATTCAATTTCATTTTAATAACAAGCACAACTGTGTAAAGCATAACATTGTCTTCAATTGATTTGTCAATGTCAAAACAATAGCAAGAAATTAAGATCAGACAGTTTATTGAGTTAATAATAAGTTCATATTCACCAATTATGTCTTTTCAGCGCAAAGTGATATTGTTCATGCTATTTCGCATTAGTGGAAGTAAATAGCACTAGTAAATGCAAATCTGACATTACAAAGTGCAACATTGGCATTAGATAATGCAGTTTGTCATTATTAAACGAGCTTCACAATATTTCTAGTGCTTTTCTTCATCGCCTAAAGCATTAGATAATCACTTAAATTGAATTAGTTGTTGTTCCTAAACCAATCTTAGTTGGTTCCGATTCAGCTTCTAAGGTGATACATGCTCTCCGAGGCGCGCTTTGCTTTCAGTGTTTGGATTTTATCATCACCACTTTGAACCCATGCTGGTTCCCTATAAAACACAGAGTTTTTTTTTTTCCTCCACCCATTACCCATTGGTGTTCAACTATTCCATTTTTCCAAAAAAGAAAAAAAAAGTTGACATAAGACTTCTCAGCTTGAATGTATAAGTGCTAAAGTACTCTTCAGCACTACTGTTAGAAAAAGGTGCTAATGCACCAAGTCACATATAAGACAAAACAGCATTTATAGAAGCGTATTGTCAAATCACACTGCAGAAATATACGGGTGAGGTTCAGTTCCATTATATCGTATGGTCCTTATAGTCCACTCACATCTTACATAAAAATACAGATACATATTACATATATGGATGGTTTAAATGGTTTATTTTATTTATTGAAATACATGGATGTATAAATAATTATAGAAATCATTTACTATATAGATGTGATTAAAGAGTTGCATATTATAAAGAATAACAAAGATTGACTATAAACACTAGTATAGAGAACATCTCGAGAAAGCACAACCACTAGCCAAAAATAGATTCAATCCAGACAACACTAATGTCAACCTTATTCCGGAAGGAAGCGAGCACTATAATTATTGAATGACAACATTTATTCAAAACCTAAGCAAGATTACAAGGAAAAAATGGGGTATGAGTCATAGTGCCTTGATTTATTATTTGCATACCTCAACGACAAGCCTTTATAGATAGCACTACCGAAAACAAATAGCTTTGAGGTCTAAAAGAAAGAAAGGTCAATACAATTGCCACAGAAAGCATATAGCTTACTTGTCTCATCACTCTTGAGGTTGCTCTTATACAACAGTATCCCCAGTAGTCCAAGTCATCTACCAGTGGCAAAGTAATATGAGTACGCCTAACCTTATACATAGTCATTATCTTTCACCAAAAAAAAAAAAAAAGTAGTAAAAGTGAAGTAATTTTTGGCTTTGAACACAAGTACTTAAAGGAAGAGCACTATGAAAAAGGTTTAGTAGACTGTAGTCAATGATGCAAATACCCTTAAGTATGAGTCATCAGTAGTGAGATACGTCTTGAATGAGATCAGCTAAAAAAATCAATCGCTCGAATATCATTCTGTAATCACTTTTGCTCACATGCTTTACTATGATTGCTAATTTTATTTTGCTAGCATCTGTACCATCATCTCGGGAATCGCTTTATAGCTTGTTGTATGTGTTTACACCATAGCCAATAAATGAAGGCAATTGATACATGATTTTGAGTGTTTGTTGCTCTTTATTGGCTTGAAAAAAATCAATTTCACCATGTGCCACCTCTTTGATACAAGCATAAAAACCATACAGAATCCTCATAATTACTCTTTCACAAATCTGGCTTGCTCATATGAGATTTATCTTTGACAAGTCCCCCCATTGTACCCACGACCATATTAGCAAGCATCCGGTTCAATGTTCGTCAGACCATTGAAGAGGATCAATGCCATTCAATCATGTAACTTTTTTTTTCTTTCTATATATTTTATTTTAGTTTAGTTTATTTTGTCTAGTATATTTCGTTTTATTTTATTAACTTTCATTTTAATTGCACCCTCCTCTTCACTTTGACTATTACTCTTAGTGTACGCGGCTCAATCAATAAACACATTAAAAAAATTGATACAAGCATAATAGTTTGATGAATACTTAGTGAAAGATCGAATTTAATTTAGATGATAGTTAATTACTCCTAATATATATATATATATATATATACAGTAGTTACATTAAGTGTCCCATAAAACTCATTTGTAAACATAAATTAACATATTTTTGTTGTGTTGACCTTGTATTAGTATCAGAAAAAGCGCTTTTTTTGGACAACTTAGGCAAAAAATGACGAACGTTTTCAGAAAAAAATCCTGCGAAACTTGAATCCCTTATTTTCCTCGGCGAATAAGCATTCTCAATCGTAGGTTTTCCACATTCTTCGGCAAATTGTTGTATACACAGCACTATTCATCCCTTCATGTCCTAAAAACCAAGTATTAATGTCATGTATAGATACATCTTTCAATCACAGTTTTATCCGCAGTTTCACATAATCATAAATTGACATCTGTATCCATACCAGTGGTAGACGTGGTCTGTGCCCTGATCATGTACCCAGTTCTTGTGTACCTTAATCCATTCAACCGATTAGCTAGTGTATACACACTCAGTCCCAAATTAAGGATAATCAATTATCATACAAACAGTATAAATACAATACAAAATATAACCTTTAATAAAGCAGACTTCTTTTGGCCGTTTTGGTTCTAATCGACTTATTGATTTGACCATTTTATTAGTGATTATATCACTTTTTTTTCGATTAAGAACGTATATTTAGCTCTACTTTATACTACCTACCTTATTATGTCTTCTCCTACTTCTGATTCTCCCATGGATACTTGTCAAGACTACCCTGTCTCTTCTTCTGGTTTTTCTCGTACGGCTCTCCCAGCCACTTACTTGGAAACTCTCCAGCAAGCAGTCAAGGATCTGACAATTGAACTTGTCATCTTGGGAACTAAGGTTGCTAATCCTCCTGAGGGTTGTGATATCACTGTTTTGCGTTCAGATCTTGTTGCTCGTACTAGAGATCTTGACCTGATCAAGCAAGCTTTGGTAAAGGTTCAAGGCCCTGCTATTACTACTCTGTCTTCTTGGCCCTCTGCTCCTTCTTCTGTTCCTGTCTGCCCACCTAATTTACCCATTTTTCAATGGACAGGTGTGGTTCATGACCACCAAGCACCCATCTTTGTTGATGTTACGGCTTGCCTCATCCGCTTTGAGGATGTTCTCTTTGCCAATGGTCTCAATCTTGATGATCATTATCGTCGCCTAGTCCCACAACAATTACCAAACATTGTTAGGAAATGGTACGAACAGTTTGTTGCGGTTCATCCTATACAAAGTCCAACTTGGTGCGACTTTAAGGAGGCCATTACTCTTCGCTTTGGTCGTTCGACTGAACAAGATCGTGCTGACTGCGCACTCAAACTCGTCAACATCTCTATGAATCACGGTGAATCTTTTGCTGCCTTTGTTGATAGATTCCGCGATTTACGTCGTCGCTCTGCTGACCAGAGTTTACCTGTTGCTGTACTCATTGACAAGTTCTTTAAGGCCATGCCTGGAGCTCTCCGTGAGCGTGTTTCCCTTGCCCGTGCTAATTTGCCCGCTGAAAAACGCTTGAGCATTGATCACTTGATGCAAATGGCTCTCCACATTTCCAAGGACTTGCATGAGATGTCGTTCATGGGTAACAAACCTTCCTCTGGCTCTTCTGGCTCCTCTCCTTCTGTTTCTGTCATGTCTTCTAAACACGCTGTTAAGTCAGGAAAGATCACAAAGAAAGCCTTACCTACCAGCAGTGGCAAGTACTGTGAATTACATAAGGTCACCACTCATCAGACGAGTGAATGTAAAGCTTTGTCGTCAATCTCAGCCTCCTTGGCAAGCAAGCCTAGTTCTTCTTCTGTCGCTGCTACTGGTTTTTCCAGGCCTGTGGTGATCTGAGCACTTTTTAATACAAAATATAATAAATAGTCTTTCATCATATAAATGAATAATCACTTATAGCACTATACATCATAAACATAAAGTAAGCATTGTATAATGACAGTATAATGGTAACTTTTAGGTAACCAGGAGAATTAAAGGAGAATCTACATTGTCAACTTCCAGGCCCAAGCTGTCAAAGTGTTAAGTAATCAATAATCAGTAATCATAATTAGTCAATAAATCAGGTAGTATAGAAGACAACCTGGAAAAGATATATTTTAGAAGATAATCAATTATTTTTGTAATAAAAAAGTACTGAACAGTCTCACTGTATTTCTTTGTTTTCTTTTTATTCTATTCTATTTTCATTTCACTACCCAAACATCACACATAGAATCAAAGCAAAAGACATCTTTATTTTTCTTTTTCTTTTTTCATAGAACTTGTTAGGCTTTTAATTTGATAGATTTGTTCATCACTTTTAACACCTTTATATTTTCCTTATAGATTCTATCTATCCATATATGCAACTTTATACCTGTTAGAAGGCTCAATCTGCTTACTTATGCATGCATAACCCTAAGTTTCTTGCTATCATTTGGTGTACAACAAGCAACTTTATAATGCATCTGATAAGAAAATAACACAAAGGCCATTTGTTCATGCATCTCTTAAAGTGGCCAAGGCAACAGATTGATTGGCTAAGCCACTTGACTTCGAATGTGGTCTTTTATTTTTACATTGTTGTCAAAATAAAGACCATATTGCTCAGGGTACCCGAGCTCTTGTCTAGCTAACCTATGGAGCTAAAAGAGTGCTACCTTCCAGCCGTGTAGCTGTGTCTGTTCAGTGTTTTGCTTTTTTGGCGCTGTTTAGATATGACGTTGTACTAAGACCTGTGTAACCAAAAGCTAGGGGACAATAGCGATTGTTTATACATGTACGTACTAACTGGCTGCAGACAAAGGGTAAACACTAAACCTAAAAGGAAGCAAATATGTATACAGATATCAGTTTTTGGGTTTACTGATTCTCAATACATAGATACTTGTACTCCGGGGTACTTGTATACACAAAGGGGAAAAAGAAGGCATGGTGGCACTTTCTAGACTGAAACTGGTGTTTCTCTATCGACAAGGCTTTCTCTCAGGTGTCTCCAAGGTTACTCAACAAGTCTCAAGGTCAATCAAGAATGACTCCCATGGCTCAGTGAATATCTAGTAAGTATCTTCCAATGGTATTAAAAGTATAATACACTAAAGTCCTTTTGTTTAGGTGTTTGCAAGGTTGGTCATCAAGGTCTGTTACTGGTCCAAGGCTGACTCTCTCCCTGGTTCTACCCTGTTATGGTTAGCAAGCTCAAGATCCCTAGGTATACTCTACTTACGGTGGTGTCTAAGGTGTCTCCGAGGTTGGTCATCATGCTGTGTTACTGGTGCTTGGTTGTGATTAGCAAGTTCCACGATCACAAGGTTTGTTCTACTCAAGTTGGTTCCCTGGGAGTCTTCAAGACTATCCATCAAGACAAACAGCAGGTTCAAGACTCTCCATTTATTTTTGGGAAACGGACATAATGTTTTTCTGAAATCGTCATTTACAGTATTTTCGGTTACATTTGAGAAGATTATACTGTATTTTCTCAAAACGGACAAAATTTATCAGCCGCACTGTATAGAATGATAATTGATTATGATATATTTTAGTATGTAATTGAAGACTTATTTAATGTCAGATCATCACATGTATATAGATTCTATATGTTCACAACAGATGTCATACATGATTTTCTTCATAACTTTTCATTATTGAACAAGATAACATTAGACCAATACTTCTTCTTCTGGTGGTGGTTATAATATGTCAACGTCTTTTACTTTTTTTCTTAGCTTGAAATAAATGTCAATTCTAGTATATACATGAATGATTGGGAGAGGCGCTTTCTTAGGCGTATGAATGTGTCATAGGGTCTGTTTATATTCTCCTAAATAGTTTAAGTATTCTCAAATGATGTTTACTAACATCCATGGTACTTTTGGAGTTGATTTGAACAAAAAAAAAAAAAGCGACTTGTAAAAAATGGCCAAAATGATCATTCGACCAAAGGGTATTACCCATGGAAACCTTGAGTTTGACAACTTGTGATCTTCTTTTTCACGCTACAGAATTAAATAATCAAAATGTGCGTCTGAATCTGTAGTTTCTGTTGAATGTGTTTGCTTGGCAATCGCATTATAAAAATGATGGGATAGGGGCGAAAAATCTTAGACCATTTTTGTCCATTTGCTCAACATTTTAGCAACAACTTTGCAGTCTTTTTTGTATCAGCAAACTCAGAAAGCAAAGATCTACAACTCTTGTCAATATACCAAAGCCGAATAACCACGTCTTCAAACAGTTCTTAACAAAAGCTCCATTTTTTTAAAGATTTTATTATTGCTCCGCGTAAAGTTACCCTAATGGCACTCAAGAGACGGGGGCAATTCATACAGAATTATATTACGCAAATTAACTAGAAAGGATAATATGAAAGGTATGCCGCTGCCATTTTGATTGCGGAATTGCCTTCCATTTCAGTCTCCACACAATGCCATCTGGTATGTTCTATGTCCATTTACTCCCATATTTACATTGAAAAATGCCTAGTTTTCTATCTCTCCATGTTTTTTAGTACTCGAAATAGCATATAATGCTTTAGAAAGATTCATTACTATCACATTTCGTATGCCATCTAGAGCAAAAATCCCCAAAATACAGCTTAAACAAGCCAATTTTTGATCGACCATTACTCGACAACTACATTATCAAAGCAGTCCGTCTTTTTATTCAAAACATGTTCTTTGGAGTCAAGGAGTCGAATGGTACCATTGATTTGGCAGTTTTGTAAAATTCATTTTTTTGACTCAAGGCTCCACGGGAGGTCCGTGAAGATGAAAAAAATAAAACTCGATCAGAAAATTTTTAGAATAACCCAATGTAGGTCTAATCCAACCTCTACATGCCTTATACTAGTACGCAGAGAAATTTAGTTCAGGATATGCTACTTGAAAAAGTACAAACACTGATTTACGTTTTCTCACAATGACGCTTGTCTCTTCGAGGAGGTGCAATGATTGCAAACACTCTCATCCTGTCCCAACTATGGTTCTGTCTGCGGCTTTTCCACCCGACACAAGCATTTTTAGATCAAATACCGCGGTTGATATACAAGTTTGTCTGGCAAGAGAAATATCCCAAGGTATCTTTCGATCAATTATGTCTTCCCCGCCTACAGGGTGGCATTGGTCTTCTAAATCCTGCGCGCCAACATTTAGTACTCCAGATGAAATGGCTTTTTGCTCTTCTTGATCGAAACCAAGGTAATACGCTGCTGAAGAGTGCTTTAAGCCATCATCTACTGTTTATGTCTACCAGCTCCTCCTTTCCTACTCTGCCTTTCTTTTCTCCGGTCTTGCGAAAACATGATATCTGCCATCAGTTCTCTATCATTCCTGTCATATTTCAAGCATTTGACCATTTTGGGATTAACTTTAACCTACAGCGAGTGCCTATCCAAACATTGCTGCATTTTCTTTTAACTAGGATGTTCTCTGACCTGCCCTCTGGCCATTGGCTCTATCGACATACAGAATTGCCTGCAATGATCTTCTTCAAGTTTGATGAAAACATGCACTGGCTACGTTTACAAGTACGCACAGAGTATTCCAAGTTTCCCCTCTTATGCCGTTCGCTGTACAACGATATACTGATTCGACATTGCGTGCAGTTACAAACCTTTATGATTTCTTATATCTATAATGAAGTGGAGCAAGTAAATGTTGAAGAAAACGATCAATCATTAGTGAGCCAATTGCATGACTCTCCTCTCTGGAGCCAATACACGTCCAAGGCTTACAGGATGCATAATTATTCCAGTGCTTCGAATACTCAATTGAATTTGCCATCTAAATTGCTGCGTCTATTCTGATCTTCCTCAATGCTCTTACCTTCCAGAACTCTTTGATTCAGAATTATCAATAAGAAACTGCCTACAGAAGCACAGCTATATAGAATCAATCGCGTTCACAACAGTAATTATCGCCTGTGTTCTTCGAGTATCGACTCTTTTGAACATTTCATTCTTTATTTGTCCTTGGAAATGGATCATTTGGATTGAAGTCCTCATCTGCTTCTAACCACAGATGTATTTGTCAGCTGATACGGTTTATCGCCTACTCTGTCTCGAATCCTGCCCTCCTTTCCTACTGCCTGACAGTCGTCTCTTTACGGTCCTATCTGTCTGCCAATGGAGAATATGGTCCGCTTACTGGCGTTTCGCCTTGGACAATCAACCCTTCAACCCTGAGTAGATCATTTCCGACATTATTAGTCAGACTTTGATCTCACTGCACCAACATTATTTGCTCTTAAACGTTTTTTGACTCTCTCAATGACTAATTTTGTGCACTCTTTTTTTTTTCAGCTTATCCACGTTACACCCCTCTGTGATGTGTAACTAAAAACATACATTTTAATAAAAATATTTTACAAAAAAAAAAGAAATCTGTTCCAACCGAAATGAGGAAAGGTCATCTCTTGGTAGTTTTGATAAAAATAAAGCGAGTTTACTAAGATGAAAAAGTCGAGTCAATTTGAGCATTGCCTTCGAATCTGCATTCAAAGTTTATTTTACGCTGTAATTGGAAAAAAAGAAGTCCTTTTCGGTAGATATTGGTCTTTTCAAGCTGTCTCCTTAAAGTCGAGGGGATGCCATCTATAGTAATTGTGACTTGAGTTTACTTCCATAAATGGAGAGGGCTTCGAGGAGACAAAAAGGTATTCTTAAGTATAGGGAGACCAAAAAAAAAAAAGCTAATTTTTGCAGTGTTCAGTAAGTCGGAAACTGTTTTCAGAAATCTCATTGCTATACGAGAAACTCAAAAGATGAATGCTTTGAAAAGGACCAATGACTAATAAGCGGGCATTATTCGATAAGCAGAGTATCTGCTATGCGCTGTAACACGTGATTTGCGTAGTACGCCAATTTTGACAAGACGCGTGACAACGCGTTGACTAATTTTTTTTTTCAGTTTTTTTTCCCTTACATTAATCTCATTATGTCAAGCGACGACATTACTTATTCTTCACAACCGTTTGAGCCTGGATCAGCCATGAAAAAGAGAAAGATAGTCCATAAAGACACCAGCAGTGATCCACCCGCTAGTTTTGAAGACGAACTAAAAATGTTGAATGAGGATATGGACGTCGATATTCAAAGTAAGTGATCTTGATCGATAATCCATGGCTCATGGTTTGTTTAGTTGAAAACACAGAAGCCACTTGGGGCCGTCCTAAAGCACCTTTACTTGATCCTACCAAAGACAAAATAGGTAAATTGTCAACCCAATCAGGCGGTATCTAATAGGATCAATTAGTCTTTCAACAGATTGAAGTGGATGAATATATGGACTTTAATGCTTTTAAACCTGTTGCTCGATTGTATGGTGCTACTGCGGTAAGTATTTGAGTGACAATCAAGCACAGATCATTGACATGGATTGAAATAGAATGGTCATAGTGTCGTGTGTCATGTCAGGGATTTTCTGCCCTATTTCTATTTCCCTGCTCCTGTTGGATTTCAACATAGTCATTTACCTTCTCTCAAGTCATCTTTAGCTGTAAGTATAATGGACCAAACAAACAAGTAGCTCATATGATCACTAGTCTGCTGTGGGACGTATAAATGCTGTTGAAAGTGTCGAGATTGTGATGAAACAAAGTATTTATGGGTATCATGGTGATCACAAATCACCCTTTATTCGAGTCACCACAAGAGACCCTCGAGATATCTCCAAATGTAAAAACAAGATTGAAGAAGGTGTAAATGTGGCTGGCTTAAGTCGTCCTTGTCAGGCAGATACCACATTTGAAAGCAACATGAACTATGTCCTTCGTTTTATGATTGACTGTAAAGTACTTGGTGCTAATTGGATTGAACTGCCTACTGGAACATGGTCATTTGTAGACACTAAACAATCGTTGGCACAAATTGAAGTGAATGTGAGGTAAATAATAGATTGTGAAAGCATACATACTGATTCTTGGGGCGGGAATTCTAGATACAATCAATTAATAAGTCATGCACCTGAAGGAGATTGGTCTGACATTGCTCCCTTAAGAATTTTGAGTTTTGATATTGAATGTGCTGGTAGAAAAGGTGTCTTTCCTGAGCCCAATATGGATCCTGTCATCCAGATTGCTTCTGTTGTTCAAATCCAAGGTCAAACAAAGCCATTTGTTCGTAATGTATTCACTTTAGGTTCCTGTGCTCATATTGCTGGTTCTCAAGTCCTGTCGTTTGACGATGAAAAGCAATTGTTGCAGAAATGGAGTGACTTTATTCGCCAAGTAGATCCCGATGTTGTCATTGGTTACAACACGACCAATTTTGATTTCCCTTACTTGTTGGACCGTGCGAAACATTTAGGCGTCACCAAGTTTCCTTTCCTCGGAAGAATCCAAGGCTTACAGACAGAAGCCAAAGATGTCAAGTTTTCTTCCAAGGCTTATGGTACAAGAGAAAACAAGTCGATCAATCTCGATGGTCGTTTGCAACTCGACATGCTTCAGGCTATTCAACGTGATTATAAACTCCGTTCTTATACCCTCAATTCTGTCTCGGCTGAATTCTTGGGTGAACAAAAAGAAGATGTCCATCACTCGATCATTACTGAACTTCAGAACGGAAATGAAGAGACACGTCGTCGTCTTGCTGTTTACTGTCTTAAAGATGCTTTTTTGCCTTTGCGATTGATGGATAAGCTCATGTTGCTCTTTAACTATATCGAGATGGCGAGAGTGACAGGTATTCCGTTCAATTATATCTTGGTTCGTGGTCAACAGATCAAAGTGGTGTCTCAACTGTACCGTCGTGCACTCGAAAAGGACTTGGTGATTCCTGTCTTGAAATCAGCGACCATGGAAGAACCCTATGAAGGTGCTACTGTCATTGAACCTGAGCGTGGTTATTACGATGTCCCGATTGCCACACTGGATTTCACTTCCTTGTATCCCTCTATCATGCAGGCACATAACCTGTGTTACACAACCTTACTGTTACCCGAAACCGTGCATAAATTAGGTTTGGTCAAAGACGTAGACTATGAAATCACACCCAACAATGACATGTTTGTCAAAGCCTCACGTCGCAAGGGCGTCTTGCCTGAAATCCTGAGTGACCTGTTGGCTGCTCGTAAGCGTGCCAAGAATGACCTTAAGAAAGAAACAGATCCCTTTAAACGTGCTGTCTTGGATGGTCGTCAATTGGCCTTGAAGATCAGTGCTAACTCGGTCTATGGTTTCACAGGTGCAACTGTAGGTAAATTACCTTGTCTCCAAATTTCTTCTAGTGTCACTGCTTATGGTCGTGGCATGATTCTCAAGACAAAAGAGAAAGTAGAAGAGCATTTCACGATCAAGAATGGATACAAGCATGATGCCAAGGTTATTTATGGTGATACAGATTCTGTCATGATCAAATTTGGTGTCGATAATTTGAAGGAAGCCATGGCCTTAGGTAGAGAAGGTGCCACTTTAGTCACTCAAGAGTTTGTTCGTCCCATCAATCTTGATTTTGAAAAGGTTTATTTCCCTTATCTGTTGATCAACAAGAAACGATATGCTGGTCTGTATTGGACAAGAGAAGACAAATACGATAAATTAGATGCCAAAGGTATTGAGGCAAGTAAACAGATCAAATGGTTAAATCAAGTTCACTTATATATGTATGTATATTCTGTATCTCTAGACAGTGCGTCGTGATAATTGTCGTCTTGTACAAAATGTAGTGTCTAAATGCCTTGACAAGATGTTGATTGAACGCGATGTAGAAGGTGCTCAAGCGTTTGTGAAACAGACGATTGCTGATCTCTTACAGAACAAGGTCGATTTATCTCAGCTGGTGATTACAAAAGCACTCAGTAAAGCAGACTATACCAATAAACAACCGCATGTCGAATTAGCTGAGCGTATGAGGAAGCGTGATGCTGGTTCAGCCCCTGCCTTGGGTGATCGTGTTGCTTATGTGATTATCAAGGCAAGTAGTAATACGCCTGCTTATGAGCGATCTGAAGATCCCTTGTATGTGCTGGACAACAATATTCCTATTGATACAAAATATTACCTTGAAAATCAACTTTCCAAGCCATTATTACGTATTTTTGAACCTATCTTGGGTGACAAGACAGAAAGTTTATGTAAGTGACACATCTGTTGTATAGCCATTGTTATTCATGCCTATGTTCAGTATCGGGTGCCCATACACGTACAGTCAATATCTCTACACCTACTGTAGGTGGCTTAATGCGATTTGCAGTCAAGAGTGCTACTTGTTTAGGTTGTAAAGCACCTTTGCCTAAAGGAGATACCTCGGCTGCTTGTAAACAATGCAAAGATCGTTTGCCTGAACTCTATAGTCATCAATTAGAACTTACCAACAAGCTCTCTGTCAAATTCTCGAGACTCTGGACACAATGCCAACGTTGTCAAGAGTCATTACATCAAGATGTGATTTGTTCCAACAATGATTGTTCTATCTTTTATATGCGTAAAAAGGCACAAAAAGATATGGATGAAGCAACTGAGAAATTAGAACGCTTTGATTATGAATGGTAAAGACAGTCCAATCACGTGATGTAATAAAGAGCCATGCATTCATCAAGTGGACGACGTGTCTCTTTTTTTTTGTTTTTGTTTTTGTTTTGTTATTTTGTTTTGATGAGTGCAGAAGAGATTGAATCCTACAAGTTTCAACTCGAACAAGTTGAACTTGCTTTACAGGCTGATGCTAATAATGAAGAACTACAGAAACTACAAGCAGATCTAAAAGAACTAATAGCCATGTTTGAAGCAGTCAATCAAGAAACAACCAATACAGAATCACCACCTACAAAAAAAAGGAAATCCGAATCGAGTCCATCAGCCACGACAACAACAGCACTCAAGCTACATGAGTTTTCGGTTGATCAAGAAGTCATGGCACGTTGGTCTGGTGATGGACAGTTCTATAAAGCCACGATTACAGCTATTGGTGGTGCTGATCAAGTATTTTCTGTCAAATTCAAAGGCTATAGTGATGTTGAATTTGTCAAGGCAGAAGATATCAAGGCCATTGCTACCAAGAAACGAGAACCCGGTATTTTTGAAGTGGTGGATAAGAAAAAGAAAAAGAAGGAACCTGTCTTACCTGTGGTTCCCCCTCCTCCTGCTATTGCATTACCAGCCACACCCGCCAATGCATTAAAAAAGAAAAAGGCAAGTGAATTCGAGAGCAAGAAGAGTGCTTGGTTGAATTTTGCTACAGGATCCAATAAGAAAAAGAAAGTATCTGGACCTGTCATTAATAAAAAGAGTATTTTCAAGACACCCGATAACCCACACAGTAAAGGTAAGTCTATCGTCTATCTATGATCTATGTATTCATGTTACTTTCTTTTAGTGGGTGTTGTAGGTAGTGGTAAAGGCATGACCTCATATCAACAGCGTGGCAAACATATTTATACGCCTACAGCTTCAGAAGATTAAAATTAAAAAGGGACTGTATAAAATAAAATAAAAAAAAAATCTCTTCTTTATTTTTTCCTCTTTTTCTCTCTCTCTCTCTCTTTATATTTTGTTACACTTACATAAACATAAACATAAAAAGGCATCTACTTGATTTTCTTTCTTTTTTATTCTCTTTCCTTATATCATGTTGCCTCAGTTTGGATTTATTGTTGCACAGGCAGGTGCAGACTCACATCCAACCATGTCAAACCAAACTACTTCTACATCATCTCATTTGACAAAACCACCATCTCATGACCCATATTATTACCGTTCTACGCGTTCACCACCTAGTTCTTTATTACCACCACCACCACCTCTTCCTTACATGTATAATAACAATAATAATAACAACAACAATAATAATAACAGTGTGAGTTCATTACCACCACCACCCGACTATTATCAACCAGCTAGATATCAACCCTCTTCTATGTATGAACCCTCTAGTTATAGACCATTGCAACCATTGCCTCCCTTACCCCAACAACAGAAATGGCATTCAGAAGAAAGTTATCATTGGCATCCTCCAGTCTATCCACCACAAGAATTAAGCCATCCTCCCCCACCTCCCCCACCTCCACCTGTTCAAGTCATACAACAGCCTGTAAATCAAACGACTGGTTCAAAGGTTGCACAAACAGATGATTATGTGTATGACGATCCTTCTTCTTCATTTCAACGATGGCCAGGTAAATTAAGCAATGTATAGATTGACTTACACAGCAATAGAAGAAACAATGATAGACCATGAGAATAAAATGTTGCGTCGGATACGAGAATTCAAAGATTTGATGAGTTGGATGGATACTGAATTTTGGGAACAATGTGACAAGTAAAGTACATCATGTTCAATCCATGTACTCATAGACTTAGTATTTATCGAGAGAAATTGCAGTCTTTACAAGAAGAAATTCGAGCTATTCAGTTAGGTAAAAGAAGATGAAGGTTGAATCGGCGCTTATTCCTTTTGTGTTAGGCACACATTCAACATTTAAAGAGACATTGGCGGACATGGAATTACGTCGAGAACAAACAATTCAAGATGCAGTCTATTATAGGAATTATGAATTATCTCTATCCAAATATCAATTCGATCAAGAAATCAGTCTATTACAAGATGAATATGAAGTAAGCAAGAAAACTTCCAACGTATATTGTAACTGACAATGGTATAGAATGAAAGACATCATTTACATGATATGGTATTACAAGCTATTGAAGAAAGAAAGAAACAAGTCAGAGAAGATAAAGAGATAGAGACTGAATTTGAAGTCAAAGATCTGTTTAAAGATGCTTATGCCCGTGTTCATAACAAGCGACATTTAAGAAAAAGAGCAGGTTTAGATAGACATCAGAATGCATCTCCTTCTCGTCAAGATAGAAGAAGAAGAGGTAATGTATCCTCTATGGTATAGTATGATTAAACAACTGTAATAGCGGATCGACAAGCAACACCCCATAATATTCATGCTGCACCTTCTGTATTAGAAGAAGAAGAATTAGAGATTGATTTCATGAGTATGAAGGTATTTATATATATATATATATATATATATGTGTGTGTGTGTATATTTATCTATTTATCTATAGGGTATGCATATGTCATCAAGAAGACATCCACAACCACAACCACAGATATCAAGAAGACAATAGAATTCTTTTTTGAAAATAAATTCCGAAATCAAAAGGGAATTTTAATTTTCCTTTTTCTTTATGCATTGGTTTATAATAGTGTTATTGATAGTAAAAGTAACAGCCATTCAATTGACTACCAACCTAAATCAGTGTGATTGTGGCTACCAGCAAGACAAAGACACGCAATGGCAAGAATTATGGCATATTGACTTTGATCAAACCAAATCAAATCATTCATTGATTGACCCAGAACAATTCTACTCGTTTAAAGACTTGTTCTTTTCTAACTATGTGATTCAAGCCAAATTCAATGACACGTATCCCAGAACATTTAAGCGAACGAATGTACAAATCACAGAAGCTGGACTTGAAATTGCTGTCAAGACACATCTGATCGCCAACGCCAGTCGATATGATATCACATGTGGAGGTGTAGGCACAGACAGACAGGATATATTGTATGGCTCATTTCGTAGTTTTATCAGATCCAGTGCTGTTTCAGGTACTGTGGCAGGCATGTTTCTGTATCATGCGGAAGGTGAAATTGATATTGAATTGGTCAGTGCGTTACAACCACCTCAGGCTTATTTTGCCATGCACCCATTGATCTATGATGAGAATGGGAGAGCATCACCCTTAACCCATGGTGAATCTATCTTGGGATTTGATCCTTCTTTAGATTACCATGAATACCGTTTTGATTGGTTTCCTAACTTGACTGTCTTTTATGTGGATGGGATTGAAAAGTATCGAATGACTACACACGTGTTGGGATTGCCAAGTCGAGTTATGTTTAATCATTGGACAGACGGAAACCCTAATTTCAGCCAAGGACCTGCTAAACAAGATGCCAGTATCTTTATTAAAAACATGACTTTCTTTTTTAATGCCACTTCCTCTTCTTCTTTGCCATGCCAACAAACAACAACTGCTTGTCCAATACAAAGTAAGTCACATCGATGTCTTTCTATGAACTGATGAATATAATGTAGTGATTTCAAACGAACTCGGACAGAGTCATCTGGATAAAATAGAACCCTTTTCATCCATGGCTGTTCCATCCTGTTGTGTATTTTTGTATTCTGTATTATTCATCTCATTTCACACGCTTCATTTTATATTGAATTAAGATTTATTTATTTTTATGTGTAAGATGTTCAAGCAGCATTTGAAGTCGTTGTTGGGGTATTTTGATGCCAGCATCATGAAGCCAGTCCAATAAACCAGATTGCATCAATGTATGTTCATAAGGAGCATCACTATCATCGCCCATAGTGAGTTCATCATCAACTGTGGTTCGAAAAGAAGGCTCTTGAACTGTAGGTTGAGTATAAAAAGAAGGAATTTCTGATAATAGCTGTTCAAACTGTTTATTGTTGAATTTACTAGAGGAAGACATGAAGAAGAAAAAAGAGAGAAAAAAGGGAATTTAAACAAGCGATGCATAAATTCAATTTATAAACATCCTCTTTAATGGCATGTGATAACACGCTTAAAAAATTGATATGACACTTTGTGACTGCCCATCTTGCAAAAAAAAAAATAGAAAAACACCATTTTTTTCTTTTTTTTTTTCTTATTGGCAACTATGCGTAATACCAAAATTCTGGCTGGTTCTTCTCACCCTGAGCTTGCTGCTCTTGTCTCAAAGCGTCTTGGGACACCACTTTCTGACTGTACTTTAAAGAAGTTTAGTAATAAAGAAACCAATGTTGAAATACGTAGGTTAAATGATCATACATAAGTGACTAATTACCAACATGTATAGGTGTTTCTGTTCGTAACGAGGATGTTTTTATTATCCAAAGTGGTAGCAACAATATGAATGATAATATTATTGAGCTTTGTATCATGATTCAAGCTGCTCGTATTGGCTCAAGTAAGCGTATTACTGCTGTTCTTCCTTACTTTCCTTACTGTAAACAAAGTAAGCGTAAAGGTAGAACAAGTATTACTGCCAAACGTAAGTGGGATACTATAGGATTCTATTTTTTCTTTTTGTTATTGACGAGACATAATAGTTGTTGCTAACATGTTGGCTGTTGCTGGTGTTGACCATATCATTGTAAGTTATATATATATATACATACATAAGAAATATATTTATTCTGTTTAGACCATGGATCTTCATGCTTCACAAATGCAAGGTTTCTTTCAACGCCCTGTTGATAATCTGTATGCTGAACCTGTTATTGCCCGTTGGATCACACAAAGTGTTCCCAACTGGCAAAACGGTGTCATTGTGTCCAAGAATGCAGGCGGTGCTAAAAGGTATAGAGACAAGATATAAGATAGATGTTACTGATGTCAGACAGAGTTACTTCTTTAGCTGATGCTCTTCGTCTTGATTTTGCTTTGATTCACAAGGATCGTTCTCGTATGGGTCCTCAAGGCCACAACCGTCCTTACAGTGGCATGCCCAAGCATGGTGAAGGTGACAGTGTGCGTGTTTATGAAGAAGACGATAACGAAGAAGATGATTTGACTGCTTCCATCTCATCTCTGAATGAAGCGGGCACGAATGGCGATATCTTGAATGCTGCTGTCAGTGTGGTTGCTGATAAGGATGGTGAGAGTACAATTACTTTGGTGGGTGATGTCAAGGACAAGATTGCCTTTTTGACTGTAAGTGTACACCCCCCCCATGATGGATAGAGATGATTAAGCCTAGAGATAGGATGATATTATCGATAATGTGGGTACCTTCTTGGATGCTGCTGAACATTTGGTTCATAAATGTGGTGCTGATAAGGTGTATATCATTGCTACTCATGGTGTCTTGAGTGGAGATGCTATTCAAAAGATTGAATCTTGTGATAGTGTATACAAGGTAAAACAATGCTTCCCCTCCCCTCTTTGATTTGATCTCCTAATATTCTATAGTTGGTTGTCACCAATACCTTCCCTATTCCAAAGGAAAAAATGGACCAATCTTCTAAATTGGTAGTCATTGATATTTCTTATACATTAGCAGAAGCCATTCGAAGAACAGTAAGTGACTTGCTTTTTTTATTGCATTGTTTTCTTATATTTATTTGTGTAGCACAATGGTGAAAGTGTTAGTTATCTCTTTAATCATGCAGAATAAAATAGAATACTTGTTATAAAAAAGAGTTAAGGAGCATATATATATATATATATATAATAAAGAAGGGAGGAGGGGGGGAGGGACAATATCAAAAGAACAAAAAAAAAAAAAAAATGAGGAGGGGTGGGAGGAGAAAGAACTTTTTTTTTTTTTCATTATTTTTTGCCGCTTTTTTATATTTTTTCTTTTTCTTTCTTTTAAAAATAGTTTGGGGTGATGAAATCAAAAAAGACAAAGAGAAATTCCACTTCACCACGGTCGTCTGAAGAGAATTCGTCTTCTCGCAACGCTTTTTCATTTCTAAAACATCGGTTTTTTGTCTCCAATACAGAACAACCATTGTTAACCAGTCCTCGTCCTTCTAGTTCTTCAAATATGAAATCATGGTCCATTGATAACTTAGAACAGCATGATGAGGATCATCAGTCTATGCCTGACTCCAATACATGCTCTTTCTCTTCTTCTTCTTCTTCTTCTTCTTGTTCTACATCAAAGACGAAAAATACGCGACCTATGTCAATGATGGCTATTGACTCACTCACTCAACCTACAACATCACCTATCGATATAACCACTCGTCGTAGAAATTCAACCAACACCATGGCCATCAATGATGAAAAAGAAGAAAAGAGAAACAGTCTGATCATCTTGAAAGAAGGCTACCTGTACAAAAAATCTGATTTCAAACCATTTCATCGACAAGCAAAACTGGATCGTGGATGGAAACTGTACAAAGTAGTTCTCAGAGGACACAAGTTGTATTTCTATAAGATTGCTTCTGAATCTCCTCTTCGTTCTCTCTTTCCTTTGTCTCCTACCAGTCAACACAAACACCAGAGCCAGCCTTCATTGACTTATTCTTTATCTGCCAGCAGCATTGCCAGTGCTTCCATGACAATGAGTCCTGTGGCGTCTGAATTTGATCAAGAAGCACAACAGATTCTTTTTTCTCATTCTTTGTCATTGTATGGCACGATCTTTATGGAACTGAACCAGACCACACAACAGCCTAAACAACAAGTGTATTTAGTCCTTGCTCAAGAGGCACTGTACGTATGCCGTCGAATAGAGAATGTATGGAAGATAAAGACAGACTATCCTCTTCATGCATTACAAGCTCAGATTCATGACCGAGATGTGTTTCAATTCAGCCTGTTTTTCCAACAGACAAAGATAGGGACCTATTCAACACAGTACGGTGATCTAGGTCAAGCTTGGATCAGCATGCTTCATAGCAGGATGTACGACGCTACACAAGAGCTAAATCGGAGTCATCGGTCCGAAAATCACTGTACAACCATCCATGCACTGGTTCATCAGTTGCTGACAACAGAGGAGGACTCAGTGTTTTCAGACACGTTTCTGTTGACTTGGTCCACATTCACGACAGGATCACGCGTATTGAATGAAATCAAGGCGTGTTTGACTCAGGCGACAGAGCTGCGTGTGATTCAGTTGTTTAGAGGTTGGTGTCAACAGTTTGCTTTAGACGTGATAGGGGATGTAGCCACAGGCATGGTGGATATCTTGAGTACCTTGAGCCATCCACAAGCAAAAGAAACCAAAGATTTAGTACTCAAGATAGTCCATGAAAACGCAAAAAAGACACATGAACATAGTTCCACTGTCAATTTAGGTAATCAGGGTGATGCGATAAGCATTTTGTGTTCATATGTTTTTTTTTTTTTTTTTTGTTAGTTGCTAGTAGTCATACTGAAGAACAAGAGGATTCAACAGACATAGAAAACATCAAGGCTCATCATAGCAATCATAAACGTCGAGATTCTATCAATTTATCAAATTTGTTGATTACAGGATTGACACCGAGTCTCTTTTTGTCAATGGATACATTTAGTTTTGCACAACAGATTTGTTTATTTCATACAATCAAATACAACCAGTTTGGCCAAGATCTGTTGAATCCATTGTCGTTTCTGCCTCGACCACAAATACCTATTCAAATGTCAAACTCACTTGTGTTTACGCCTGCATCACCTCATTTCTTGACAAAACTCATTTGGGTTCATATCTTGATTGAGAATCAACAAGATGAAGGTACTACAGAAGACTGCACATTCATGCGCTCTCAGCTACTCTCTCATTGGATACGTGTTGGTCTCCATCTGTTTGAATTAGGTGATACCATGGGTTGGTGTGCTATTGCGCTTGGCGTATGCTCTGTTGGCATTGTGAGATTAAGAGAGACATGGAAGGCTGTTGATCGTGACTTGGTGAGCCACATCCAAACCGATTGGGTTCCCCTCTTGACAGAATACGGTCTGTTCACTCAAGAAATAGGTGCTGATTATTGGTCAAAGCAAGCCATGGTTTGTTTTTCAAAGGTATTACAGATCCATCCTACTGGTTTACCTTTTTTTGGTACGCTTCGACAATCGGTTGATCGGTTTAAGAAGCACGCGAAAAACACACTGTGTACACCTACAATTGATTTTGAAGAATGTCAGTTTATTCATGATATCATCACGACGGGTCTACATGAATGGCAACAAAGACAGCCTAGTTTTGAACCTGCTGAAATACCAGACATTGTGCCCATAGGTCCCTTGCAGTCTTATTTTGAACACTCCGTCACAGATATCATGTCTGTGCCACATGACTATAAGCATTTACAAGAATGTTCCCTTGCTTGTGAGCCTAGAATTTTTGGTCAAGGTTTTCAACAACGACAAAACAAGACGAGCACAGCGACAGTAGCTGATGTGGCTCCTCCTTCTACAGCATCTCTCAAGTTTCCCAATATCTTGGACAGTTGTACCATTTTGGATATTCGACACCAAGATACCTTAAGTCAGCAAAAAAAGTCGCGCAAGACCAAGAACAAGTCTATTTTAGAAAGCGATTATTTCTTGCCCAACAAGAAACAACCAGTTACAAAAAGTCATGAATCCAATGCACCCTCCACCAACAAACAAGGCAAAATGATTCGTCAACGCACCTATAGCTTTCCTCCAGGTGGTACTCGTTTAGCACATCATGAGAACCCAACCAAGTTGGGTGATTTATTCGAACAAGAAAACAGTCGTACTTGGCTAGGCTCCTTGATTTCAAATAGACATCATCGTACTTTCTCTACAAAGGCATTTATTCATGCACACCGAAATAGTTATGGGCATCAAGGCGACATGTTCTTGAATACTCAGCATGGCGAATTGGTCTTTAAGGCCACTGCTCTCTTAAAGAACGAACACGATACAACCAAAGGTACTTATACTGACATAAACACACAAAAGCTGATGCTCATAAATTTTAGATGATGATACGCTTTTAGTCACTTTAAAAGCAGGTAGTTTAGAACAGCTTGTGGATGTGCTTGCAACGAGTATTGCTCCTTTCGAAGACATGCTTAAAGAACAATGGCATATGATTCCACTTGCTGAAGGATTTGATCAACAACAACCTTCAAAGATAGCTACAGATGAAGAAGAATATATCCATGTCTTTTTTACGACGTATCGCACTTTTTGCTCCCCAGCGCATTTACTCGAGATGTTTCAACAACGTTTTGTAGATGCTAAAACAAAAGCACGACATCCTTTAAAAAGAAAAGGTTCTTTGATACTGTTAGAGTCCTATTTCAGCCCAACACACGCTCAAGGAACAGTAAATGCTTATGATTGGAAACAAGTGGCTAGTATACAATTGCGCATTTTGAACCTGTTGCTTTATTGGATGGAAGAACATCCGTATGATTTTGTAGACGAAGCCAAAATTATTCGGTATGTGGCAAGCTTTCTCAAACATGCCAAAATGGCATTGGAAGAGTGGTCTCGACCTTTAAAAGACCACCAAGGACATGCAGATACTGTTTTACTGGCTGAAGTGATTGAAGAGCGCTTAAACAAACTATCAAAACAGTTTGTTCAAAAAATTATGTCTCCCATTTACGATATGAAGGCCATTGCATTTGATCCTGAGCGCTCTCGGGGTATTGAAGGTCTTTACCGCCAATTGACAAACACGACACAACGATACCATACGACACTACAATTGGTCACGAACAAATCCCAGCCATTATCGCTTACGAGTCAACCTCGAGTAGCAGACGCAAAGAGCCTGGTTGACTCCTTTGCACCTGAAGTATTACTTGAACAAGTCGATCGTGTTGTTCGTCAATTGTTCAGCGCAGTGACCATGCAAGACTGGATCCAAACGTTTGATGTTTTTGAAGCACAAGCCAGTGATCTATATGCTTGGTTGCCCGCTCGAAAGCCTTCGCGTACTTCTCGAATGTCGGCTGTACTTTCGGCTGTGATAGATTCACCTTCTTCCCACCTGACAACCTACCACATTTTGTCAGAAGAGGTCATTGTTTCTGACATCTTTACTGCGATTGAAGGTGCTCGACGCTCTGTTGTTTCTCCCTCTGCTTTTTCTGACGATGACCTGTTACTTGCTTTTCCTGGCTCTATCCAGTACCTGTATTGCATCCATTTCATTATTCGAAGCTGGGTCATTCATGAGATTGCCGATATGAATATTGATTCCAAGACACGCGTTTTACGTATAGAAAAGTTCTTACAGATTGTCTTGACCAGCAAGACGATGAGCGAAAAGCTGACCTTGTTTCCTGAAGGACGTGTACCGGGCTTTGTGGAGTACGCTATTGCCAATGCTTTGGTGAGTCCAGAAATCCGTTTGTTCTCTAAAGCATGGCATGATGTGGCTATGCAGCACGGTCATGCTAGTCTGGACACGCTTGAAGGCTTATTGAATCAGATGCAAAAGACTCAACCTGTGCTTGGTCATTCTCGGCCATCCACTTTATCAAGTTCTTACTCGCTTTCTTCCATTTCTTCTGGACAACATCACCCATGGCTTGTTCCTAGCCTCGGGTGGATATTTGAGCGCATGCTGGAACTTTGTTTTCATGTGCCTGACGCCTATGAAGCAAGAGACTATATGATTAATTTCGATAAACGTCGTTGCATCACTCAATTCTTACGACTTGTTCAGAACGTTCAGACAGACTTGGACGAGCAACCTGTCGAGACAAAGAGCATCAATATGTCCTTCCTTCTTTCTCCTAACGAATCAAAACACACATGGAAAGACTTGCGCGAATTGGCAGCTCGGGAAAACAAAAAGCAACCAGGCAATTTGGTTCTTCGCGCAGGCCCTCGTACGACTGTGTTTAACAAGCTAGTGACTGAGCAAATGGAAAAGCTGAAACGATATTTTAGAGATAGGGATCGTATTGATAAAGAATGGCTTAGCTTTCAACACAAGCTTCAAAAGAAACAGCTAGAACAAGCTCGACAGGCAGATAAACAAGACCGTAAGACCAATCAAGCCAAATCATCTACAACACTACCATCACATCAATTACAACAGCACAGTGTCATGCCTCGTATCAATTCGTTTTTGAAGGGGCTTCGTCCACATTCTATGGCTGCATTTCCACCTCATCTCCATATAGATCATCCATCTTTATTTCCACATCTTTCTTCCATCAAAGCATCTACTGTCATTAATTTAATTCATGCAACAACTTCTGTTGCTAGTACTTATACAAAACGTGATTTTGTGTTTCGCATTGTGACCGAAGAAGGCGGCCAATACTTGCTTCAAGGCATGAGCAGAGAAGACATGCAAGACTGGATGCAGTATATTAATAGTTCTTCTCGTGAAGGCGCTGCCAAGAGACAGAGTGTCTTGGCAGCTGATTCAATCAATGTAGACCCTATCGTCTTACCTAATACTGAAACTCGCTCCAAGCCGTTTTCCAGAACATCTGTTTTTGGCGTCCCTTTGGATAGTCTGATACGCGATCACCAGATACCACTTGTGGTAGACAAATGCATTCAAGAAATTGAACGTCGCGGGCTAGAAGAAGTAGGTATCTATCGTGTAGCTGGCACAGGATCTGTCGTGAGCGCTCTCAAGACTACATTTAATAAAGATGTCAGTAAAGTGGACCTAAGCGATCCCCTTTGGGCTGATATCAATGTAGTCGCAGATACCTTGAAGCAATTTCTGCGTGAACTTCCTGAGCCCTTATTGACCTATACATACTATGATGAATTGATCAATGCTGCAGGTAAACAAGACAAAAACGCAACAGAAACTAAATTATATGATTTATAGCTTTAGAAGATCATGATGAACGAGTTTATTTACTCAAGAAAATTATCAAAAAACTACCTTATTCCAATTATTTAGTGTTGAAAAGGATTATCGAACATTTTGTCACGTAAGTTTCTATATATCAAGATTGTATCTTATTTTTTATCTAGTGTAACCGATTTTGAGGCTACAAACCACATGTACGCAACCAATTTGGCTATTGTGTTTGGTCCCACTTTATTACAGCCTTCACCAAGCCCAACTTCCTTTGCTACCACTATGTCAAATATAGGGCATCATCAAACTGTTGTGAAATACCTTATTTTGAACTACCATTACTTGTTTGATGTTGAATTAGACGAAGCAGAAGCTTTTACAAAAGACGAGGAACAAGACACTCCATCTAGTAGTTAGAATTTATACACACATTTATTTATAATCATACCGCTCCCTCGCATTGATGGCCGGACCATTCTTTCTTAATCACTTAATACAATAAACTTTGTCTTTTTAACATGCAATTTATTAGGCAAGAGAAAGGAAGACTATTTTTATGGATATTAAAAAGTGATCGTGTAACGCTTAGCATTCATCAATTACCGCTGTTTATTATCTATATAGATGCATGCTGTACATGGCTCTATTATTTTAACCTTCTGAGCTCAAACCTCGGGTTTGACGTACTACTTGGCATCTGACTTGATACCCTTTCGAGTTCCTAATTAAGAAGTACTATGGACATCTTGTTCTTTCTTTTTGGATTCTGACATTTAAAAAAAATAAGCTTAAAAAAATGGTTTCTTACATGTCAATCTAGTTCTGATGGAAAGTAAGCGCATGATTGCAAGCAAATATGCCAGAAAAAAAAAGAGGGGAAAGACCCATCTTGATTCTAAAACAAAAAAAAAGAATATAAAAATGACAATTCGAGTAAAAAGGTAATTGCATCTTTTTCACCAAATTTAATATAAAGTCTTGGTATATAGATTTAGAAACGAATTATCGGTTTTGCGCTTGTACTAATTTTGTCATCGTATTTACAACAATATATAAAAGCCTAAAAAATGTCTTTTTTCTTTTACTTTATCTTTCTCTTTCTTTCAGAAAAAAAATAGTAATCCTTCTTTTTGGCAATGACTTTTATTAAACAACAATTCAGCAATAACAATAATATAATCATGTCTCCTCCAATTACTCCCAAACAGCATTCAGAGCCTAACTTTGGTCATAATTCGTCATCATCAAATCATATCCACTTCTATCATCACCACTACTTTCATTTCAAGCCAGAAGATCAAGTTGTTCGGTCAAATTGGACATCACCTTATACTCTTCCTCCTTCCCCGCCCTCTCATCCTTTGACTATACTTGAGCCACGTCAAAAATCGATTATGGCCATCTCTTCTCTTGTAAATGAGACTTCCTCGGAAATCATTACATCCCGCACTATTCGCAAACAAAGAAACCCAGTTCCTTCTCCATCATCCTGCTCTACTCGTGGTGCATTCAATATGCCTTTTATTGTTAATTTCACAGATAGAAAAGGATCCAGTTTATCATGTATTCATGGAACTGTTACCAATAAGATGAAAAGAAAATATACCAAAAAAGCATCACCTTCTTTTTCTCCTTATCCTTATCCTGTTGTCAAGCAAAGTGATGAAACACCAAGACAACGCCCTACAAGTAGTGTTCGAAACGCAAATACAGTGAAGACCAACGTGAAACAAGCTCCGGCAGAAAAGGAAGATTACATTATTAAGCGTTCTACAGAAGCAGCTCTTATCTACGATGAATTAGCTGCAGATTTTGATGTTGCTGCTGCATTCAAAGGTGCTGAAGAGTGGATTCCTACTTTTGATTCATTCAACAGAAAGCCTTCTGTACGTGTTCAATGGAGAGGTATGTATTCTTTTGCACCATTCAGATGTACAGTTTCTCATGTTTTAATACAGGACATCCACTCAAAATCAAGCATATGCCTTATTATGACAGATTGCATCGGGATGAAGCTTCAATTGCTGCAACGCTTCGTCTTACTCCAGAACAATACCTGAAATGCAAATGGGCTCTTATCTTGGCTGCTAAAAATGCTTATGAAACTAAATCCTTGTTCCGTAAATCTGAAGCTCAGAAAGTATGCTGCATTGATGTGAATAAGACAAGCGTACTCTGGAATGCTTTCGGTAAATTGGGATGGCTTGGACCAATGTGGCCACAATAGTTACAACACTATTTGGATCATTTATCTGTGTGTGTATATATATATGTAATCTCTTTTTCCTTTCTCTATATGCTACATTTTATGTCAATATGTTTATATTTATATGAATTCAATAAAACGGGATTATTAGCGATTCAAAATTATATCTTTTCTTCTTTTTTCAAGGCATTGCAACTCTCAAAGCATGACTATTGTTTTGCCAAGAGGATAATCTTGTTGTACAAGAAAGAAATAACGTGCGTGTGATATAAAGCCATATTCTGCCGATCCACCGTGTTACTTGTAATGTTATTAAGCCAAGAGATTTTTTGATCTCAGTGCATAATCATAAGTCTAGCCGTTGTTTTTTCTATTTTCAGGCATCCACAGAAATTAGCAAAAAAAAAGAGAGAGAGAGAGCCTTCGGTAGCACGATAAGCATTGCCACATTCTTCTCTAATCTTTCGCTTTATGGATCGCTTTCATGAAAATTATAAGCATGATGTTTTGTTTGGCTTTTAAGCGTTCCTTTGATGACTATAAACTATCGTCTTTCTTAGCATTCGTACTGATTGTAATTGTATAGGCATCGTTTTTTTTTTTTTATGAAGCGATCTGCATTGAATGTTTCATACAACGCAACACAGTCTGATCAAGTTGACTTTTATTCCTTTCTTTTTGGCTTTGAGCTTACACAACAGCAGATAGCTCAAGTAATACCAAGCCCAGCATCTCCGCTTCATTTAAAGTCGTTTTACTATACAGAACAATGCTGCAATTTCTCAGTAACTCACTTTTAGATAGTTCTAAAGCAGAACTTGTTTTTATTTGTGTTTATGACCTGATTGTTTGTGATAAATCATAGACAAAGGACTATACAACAAGGATCAACCCAAGTAGTACATATGTTGCACAAAATAAACAGCGCCAAGAGGACATCCTGGCTTCTGCAAATCAAAGAGGTATTTCACCAATTCAGAATAAAGAAAAATAAAGCAATACGTAGGGTGAATTGAAGCATATAAGTCATGTATTAAATTAGCTGTATGCAAAATAAATTGGCTAAAGGAGTCAATTTGCCTATAACAATGACCCAAAGATCGAACTGTAAAATATCAATAAAATAGTTCCAAAACAGAAGTATTTAAGATGCGTTCGCACATTGCTCAGAGTAAGCTGAGAATTTAATTCAGATAAGAGAAGTTCTCAAATGAAGTAGGTAGACTAATCAGTGAACTAGCGAAAGGATAGAGTAAGCTCAAATTGTTGATAGTAAGGTTGGAAGAGAAGAAACGCCGATTGCCTAGCGGACATGCAAAGCGGTATGATACTGTGTCATTGGCTGAAAATCTCGCATAGTAGTATGCCAGTTGGCATGAGTGGGTATTTGAATATGTGCAAAATGCAGAAACGACAATTAGAGGTCACAAGAGACACCAGGAGACCTGAGAAAGTATACGCGTAGTAATATAATTGCTATTATATTGGTATATTTGGCATAAGAGACTGCTAAATTGCATGATAATGTGCCAGTTGGCAACCCGCCTCGCATGCCAACTGGCATGAGAGTGTGCCACTTTGCATGTCCGGCGGGCAGCTATCTACAAGCAGTTTCCAGGCTTTGAGCGCTTTGCCTTTGGTCTAATAAAAATGAACATGAACTTATTACTGGTATATTCGTCGATGCATCTGTTCTTTCAAAGTCTACCCACCATTCGTCTACATCAATGTTATCACTTGAGCTCTTTGAGCCTTAATAAATATAAAATTGTAATGAACATAATGTTCAAAACAAGCATCGGCATCATTCTTGCATTTTGTGAAGTAAATTTGAATTTTTTTTTTGACACGTAGACATAATGAAAGTAAAATAACGAATCAGCCTATTTACAAATGATTATATTTCCTTATAACTCAATTAATTGAGACGCCAGTTGGTGGGTTAATCAGAATTAACTTTGCAGCAAATATTGTGGCGACTTTGAGTCTTTCTGTAACAATACAAGCATACAGTAACGCTGCGTTCACTGTATTTGATTGGGTAACTTTAATAAAAAAAAAAGTGGTTGAGATCAAGTCAAACAACAACCTAGAATTCAACTTAACTATGCAGAGATAATTGATCTCAATTACACATATGCTTACCAAATACTAGCAAAGAAAGAGAGAATTTCCATCACAAACGAGGATACTCAAGCAAATAAGAAATATGTATATGTGTTCCAGACTTTCATGTTGAAGGAAAGAAAGATCGCCTTTTTATTTGTACAACATGTCTTTTTTTGTAATCCTACACTGACTCGAAATAAAAATTAGCCCGGTTTTCGGTCATTCGAACTCAGCAACAAAGGTACTGAAATCTTTTAGAACTGTGACCTTCAGTAATTTATAGTTTCTGAAAAGCTTTATTGTTATAGAAATTTTAGTATAAGATAGTTTATAAATCTAAAGAACATACTTTTTTTGTAATTCCTGTATTAACTGAGTGCTGTTAAATCAGAGAGGAGAGGGGAGGAAAAGAGAGAAAAAAAATATAAAGTAATTGGATTTGAATTGGTTTTTAAATTAGAGGAAGCAATGTAACTATCCAAATGTGTACAAATCAATGGAGGTCTGCGGTTTTTGAGCTTATTTCAGTACCATAATCCAAAAGTCTTTTGATATGCCAAGATAATGCCTAAACACGCTCAGTTTCTTGTGGATGATTTGTTGAGATGTTTATTTTAAGATAATGTAAGTAGAAGAAATCAGTGATTGATGGTGCAACCTTTGGCGTCAATCACAGCTTGGTATTGGTTGGTCATACTGTTTAGTAGTATGAAGATAGTAAGGGAGGTATTCAACTACCTCTTTGTATCCGTGTCAATATTTTACATATACTGGTTCATATCTGTAACTGATTTGTTTCCCTTTTATCTCCCTCTGTTCCCTGTTTTTTCTTACAATCCAATGTAAGTAACAATATAAGTATTATTCATGTATCTCATACTCTGCTTAATTTCTAGAAATTGATTTTTGCTTAATATTTTGTTTTTGTTTTTTTTCTACACAAAAAAAAAATTTTTTTTTCAATAAAGTGTATTAGAATGAGTATGGTAACTAGACTTGAATTAGGTGAAAGGAATAGAGTCACAAGAAAATAAAAGAGGACTTCTTGTTATTATTCTGTGTAAAGCTTCTTTTTTTACTTACTAGTTGCATGGATATTTATACAATTTCTAAAGTTCATATGGAAGCCACTAGAGAGTGCATTAGAAATCGGCATGGAAGGGAGTAATGGCTCTTTAAAAAAAGCCACCCAGGTATTGTATGAAAATTTATTGTTCAAACCAGTGTTCAAAGGGCTGATGGAAAATCCAAAAAGGCAACCGGAGTGATAATTTTTCACTTTTTAATTACTCTCCCAGTTTTATTGTTCACTTTTTTTTGTTTTCCATATTTTATTGATTTCGTAACATACTGGTGATGGTGTCTACAATATCTTCATTTTTTAGAGGCAAACAGCGCATTATCCTTATCGGATTAGCCCTGACAACACTACTTGTATTTCTGTTTCAATTCTCGGATGATCAGCTAAAGCTATCTTCAATATCAGATAGTGGTTGTATTATTGCAGCCCACTCAACCAGTAACACAAGCACATCAACGCCAAGAAAATATAATTATTCGAACTTAAATAACTTAAACTCAACAACACATGGTAGACAGGCAAAAGAACGCATCCTTGTGTTGACACTGCTTCAAAACGACCAAGATTACCTCGATAATTACTTTGATCTATTAGATATCTCCACCTATCCAAACAAACTCATCTCTATTGGCTTACTAGTGTCTGATTCTTCAGACAACACACTACAAAAACTATCTGAAAAGGTCCAAATTCTTCAAACTCGTTGGAGACATAAATTCCATGAAATCGATATATTTCAAAGAGATTTTGAAATTGATAAGAGACCAGATGACATTACACTTGTACTTGATTCTAAAAGAGCAGCACTAGCAAAAGCAAAAAACTTTTTACTGGCAGCAGCATTAAAGGAATATCATAGCTGGGTTGTCTGGATTGACGTCAAATTGCATTCTTACCCAGCCACTATATTTTCGGATTTAATGTTGGCAGATGCAGATGTTGTTGTTCCCAATTGTCTGCAATATCGTGAAGATAATGAATTTTGGGCTTTTGATAGAAATAATTGGCAAGAAAGTGATTTGTCTTTAAAGAAGCAACAAGACTTGGATCAAAATGAAATACTAATGGAAGGTAAACGATATTGAATGTGCTAATTTTAATAAGAAAACTAATGGAGCTAGGATAGATTACAATGAATTTGCCATGGGTCGTCATCTGGTAAGACAACATGGATGCATAAAACTTTGACTAACACATTTCATAAGCTTGTAGATATGCCTTCTCACAATGGCTTAAACTATAAGGTACCATTAGATGGTGTAGGAACAACATTTACCATGGTGAAGGCAACAGTTCACCGAGAAGGCGCTATATTCCCACCATTTATATATCAACATCATCTGGATAACGAAGGCTTTGCAAAAATGGTCAAATCAATGGGCTTCACTATCTATGGTATCCCAGGCTATAGCATTTATCATTTTTAGGAACTCCTTAATTTGTGTGTATTTGTGAAATAAAACAATTAGAGCTTTAAGCATTTTAAGCCCCTCAACATAAACATCATGCATTGTACGACTATCAGTGCATTATTTTGTTAGGTTATCGACTTTGTTAGAATAAGTTTGATTACATCTGAGGCTTCTTTAAAAATCATCTGATTGCATATGTGATTGAAAAAAAAATCAAAATCAAATTGGGCTTAAAGATTAGACAATGATTTAGAATACATAGAGGCAAGAATATATAAAAACAAATAAGGGGAACACTCCATCCACTTCAAAAGAGTGACATAAATATTGAATTTGAAAGTATAGTTGTATGACTGTTTCATCAATCTTCAAAGCATGTCAACTCTTTCGATTTAATTTTACAATGTTTCTCCTGTTGCATACTCATTTATCTTTGATTTACATGCATTCGATAAATTAGAGTTTTCTTTGTGATTATCATATCCGAAGCTGCTCATGTTTCATAGTAAATCCTACTCGCCTATACTATGCTGATCGAATAATGCTAAGAGAATACCTATTTACTAATCAATATTTACTAAAAACGTTCTCTTTTCTATCATTAACAACGTATAATGAGCTTTGAATGCAGGTCTGACGCCAATGCTCAAATAACCTAGGCCTTTTCATCTTATTGGACTCGTCTTCTTTTTCTTGGAAGTACCTAGACATGGTCATACCTCATTTCGGTTGGACCAGACGTAGATTGAGTCATTCCAAAAATTCTCAATGATCTTGTTTTTCCATCTTCACGAACCTCTCGTAATCCTCCTAGGTTAAAAAAACGAAATTCACGCAACAGCCAAATCAATGGTGCCGTTTAATTTCTTGGAGTGAGAGAACATGTTTTAAATGGAAAAACAGACTGTTTTGATAATGTAGTTGTTGAGAAACGACACGTCAAAGATTGGCATGTTTAAGCTGTGTTTTGAGCATTTTTGCTCTAGATGGCATATGAAATATTTTATTGATAAGCTTTCAAAAGCATCTTATGTTACTTTGTTTGTCAAAGAACATAGGTGTTGTGAGATGAAGAGAGAATAGATATTCAATAAGAGAAAAGGTAAGAACACAGAGAAAGTCCGTTAGAACTTGTATAGGTTTTTATTTCTCCAAGAAATGTTATCTTTCAATTGCTATAAAATGTTGAGGTATTTATACTTTTTCTTCTCGGTCAAAATATTGTTTTGGGTTAGCTTCTTGACTACGGATTGATTTGTTAGATCAGGAGCAATTAAGAGAAATGCCTTTAGAGGAAGTTGTCAGCTCAGCCAATAGTACATGATCTGACCTGAACTTGAATAAACTATTACATATTTGTCAAATGCCAATGCCAATGTATTTGTCAGCTCTAACTGTCACTTTATAAGGGCCATTAATAATAACAGAGTCAATAGGTTCATAATATCTGTCTATGAGGATGATGTAGTACTTCTAGTAGAATGAGTGAATGTCAGTGACTATAGATCCATTGCAATTGCCATAGATGTGATCTGGTTTTTTGCCATGATCATCATTTATTGATCTATGCATATGAATTCATATATGTTCACAACAGGCCCTATGCCTGTTGGAGTTGTTGGAATATATACGGCTTGATCATCCATTGGTTCTTGAAGTATTGACGTTGTGATGATCTGACATTAAATAAGTCTTCAATTACATACTATAATATATCATAATCAATTTACATCAGAAATAGACATAAAAGAACCTCTTGTACTGAATAAGACAATGGATCTTTTAATAGATCAAGACTTATAACCGAAATCCATAATTTACATTATTTAATTAATTTAAAGTAGTCTATGATAATAGAGACTCAGTCATTTGCATGAACTCTACTACTACTTACTCCGACATCTCTTCATGTATAAATATGCTAGAATAATTTATAGTCAGAAAGGAATAACAATAAAATTGTATAGAACAGTCTCAAAGTATCTACCTTTGTCTCAATATCATCTTATTATATAACTCTATTATCAAAACATCACACTTGATTTTTGTATTACTTTCTCATTCTGCCTGAAACTTCTATTGTTTGACATGATTATTTTCATGCATGATACTATTACTTATTAGAATAGTCTTACAACTCAATTAGTTTCACTTTATTACAAATCAAATTGGTCTATCTCAACGAGTTCATTATGACTCACATTTTTTTACTTTAAATCATTTACTTAAAGCCTCGTTACCTTAACAACGTGGTACTCATTACATACAATCTTTCGTTTACTCTGGTTTCTGCTGTATAGACTCTTCTATACGTTACTGGTATAAAAATCAAACCTTGTCTCGTAACAATATCATTTTCGTTTCTGCAAAAGACTAAGGAAGTTGACACGAGCAAAATAGGGTTTCTCCGGGAATCGAACCCGGGACCTCTCGCACCCTAAGCGAGAATTATACCACTAAACCAAGAAACCACCTTTTTTTTGTCATGTGTGCATGTTTGTTTTGGTTCGCTTTTTCGTTCTCTTTCGCGGTTTTTCTGGTGATTCTATTATGTTAACAAATCTTCAAATTGGAATGGTGCATGTCTCTGATGTTCCTTAAAGTACATACAAAGTTTGGTGTGATTTGGTCTAGGTCTGATGGTACAATGGTGTTCCAAAGATTTCGGCCAATGGTTCTGTCTTCTGTCAGACCCAATCAGATTCGAGTCAAAAACAGTGATCGGTGTGTCAATTGTTGGGTCTGGGTCTCAATTGTTGTACTTTTTTTTTGGTTCCTTATTTGTCCTACTTCTTCCGTATTTTGTTTCATGATATTTTGCTGTGATTTAATTGTGTATTTTATTTTGTTTTATTTTGTTTATTGTATTTGACAGTTCATCTCAGTTTGAATCTGTTGAATTTTATAATTTAATTGTATTAATTGTTCTCCTGTTTGACATTTCAAACGTGATTGCTTTTGGGCAAGTTTGATCTGTTCTAGATTAATGACAAGCAATTGTCTTTGTAGAAATTTATTCTAAAGAAAGTATAAAAGCTTAAAGAACTTTAGAAGGAATAAAAAAAATCAAGAAATTAATCTTAATAATCGAAACTTTTTTTATAAATTTTCTTTTACATATATCTTCATTGTCTTTTGAAGGAACTGTGCCTAAGGTTATTGTTGTGAGATGAAGAGAGAGTAGATATTCAATAAGAGAAAAGGTAAGAACACAGAGAAAGTCCGTTAGAACTTGTATAGGTTTTTATTTCTCCAAGAAATGTTATCTTTCAATTGCTATAAAATGTTGAGGTATTTATACTTTTTCTTCTCGGTCAAAATATTGTTTTGGGTTAGCTTCTTGACTACGGATTGATTTGTTAGATCAGGAGCAATTAAGAGAAATGCCTTTAGAGGAAGTTGTCAGCTCAGCCAATAGTACATGATCTGACCTGAACTTGAATAAACTATTACATATTTGTCAAATGCCAATGCCAATGTATTTGTCAGCTCTAACTGTCACTTTATAAGGGCCATTAATAATAACAGAGTCAATAGGTTCATAATATCTGTCTATGAGGATGATGTAGTACTTCTAGTAGAATGAGTGAATGTCAGTGACTATAGATCCATTGCAATTGCCATAGATGTGATCTGGTCTTTTGCCATGATCATCATTTATTGATCTATGCATATGAATTCATATATGTTCACAACATTACCCTCCTCCAGAGTCAACTCATCTTTGATAGTTGTAAACGGCTTCTTACAATGTGAACATCTAGGCTTGATATAACGTTACTTGACATAAAAATGGTTTAGAGTCTATGCAATTTGTGTTCTTCAAAAGGAAAATAGTTTTTCTTCTCTTTCATGTCACTTAGCATTTAATTCTTTTGCTAGCTCTTCCATTTGTGGATAATTTCTCTCTACTTTGTCTAGTAGGATGGTTTCTTCTCTTTGTTCCTGTCTTGTGTAGTACATCATTCTTATTCTCTTTGTTAGATGCAGATTTATCGCTTGATTTTGATTCAATGCGTTCATGCTCTAATCTTTTTAGTTTTTCAACTTTATCCCAGTAGCGATTGATGATTGTAGGATCTTGGAAACTAGATGCAGGCTCCCAAGTGTTAGCTCTTTCACCAAAACCAGTCCATTTAACCAAGTACTTTCGTCTTCCTGGCTTGCCACGATGATCACGAATATCTTCTACTTCAAAGTATTCTTCTTCAATGGTTGATTCATCAATGGTCACAATCTTCAGTTCTGATGGTGTATAATTACGATGCAATAATTCATTTTGCTCGTCTTTTAATTCATATGAGCCACCTTTGTTTCTTCTTACAACAGTATAGGGGCCTTCATATAATGGAGACAGTTTACTCGGTCTCTTTTGCAGTCTTACCATAACATATGTTCCGGGTTCAATATCAACAAGTATGTTCTTTGTATTGAACCTCTTATTATATTCCTCATTTATCTTTTGAGTTCTTTCAAAGATAGCGGGAAAGACAATCTTCTCCATGTGATCAATGCGCTGCTCAAGGTCATCGCGCGTCATCATATCTTTGGGAAGTGGATATTTGTTCTTTTCTTCATAGTTTTTAGGTAAGCCGACTCTGCGTGCAAACATCAATGAGAAGGGTGAACTCAACGTCTTATTCTTGATAGCGTTGTTGATAGAAAGCTGGACTACTGGTAAGTAGTAATCCCAGTCTTTGCTATTCGATTGACACATCTTTCTCAGTGTGTTTTCACAATTTTTACACTGGATTCAGCACTTCCATTTCCTCTAGGATGGTAGGGAGTGGAGTACCTTCGATCAATGCCGAGCTTTTTCGAAATAGATTCAAGTAATAAGTTATGGTATGCTCTGCCATTGTCGGATTGTAGGATACGAGGAAATCCATAGTCTCCAAAGATCTGCATCAATGTATGAGCAATGGTATCTGATTGTTGGTTCTTAAGTGCTCTGACAATAATATATTTTGAACAAATATCAGTCAAGACCAAGATTTCAGTATTCCCATTTTCAGTTACAGGAAAAGGACCTGCAGAATCAACAGATACATGATCAAAGGGTCGCAATGCAATAATGCTTGTCAGTGGA